TTTTCAAACGCCACTCATGGAAGGGCTCCGGAAGCATGCTTCCCCGGAAAATTTTGATTTTCAAGGCCTCGCGGAAATGCATTTTTTAGCATTTCCGACGTCACCCATGGTATGTTTAGGGACATATACGTTACTTTACAAAAAGTAGTACTCCAACTCAGACAGTCTTTTAATTTGAAAGTGCTAGCAAGCCCTCGCACATAGAGTTACCTAGAGTAACCAACCTTCACACTACATAATGAGTTAAGTATAGACAGAAGAACTGGGGACTATGACTTCTATAGACATACACACCCCAACTTAGTATGAATGAAAACTGAGGGGCTATGAAAAAACCTTATCAAAAGTTTACTCAATTTTTTGATTATTTTAGAACGTTCTATTACTTGATTACTACTGACTGCAATAACAAAAGAAAAATAGTTTTATTGTAGGTTCTGAAAGGCGAGGGTGGTTCTTAGGTGCCTGGAGCATTGCAATATTAAACATTTGGCATTCTCTGACATACCTTTATTTATATTGCAAGTATTAAGACGGTACACCTTAATCTTTTAGATGAGAAAAACGTCAAGGGATCTCCTATTCTTGAGTTTTGAGAAAGATTCACCATAGTCCATATTTCTCTATAAAAATCAAAAAGATGAATGGCCAGAGTTGAAACTTGCATTGAAGAAGCCTCAATGAAATTCGTGGAATCGCAATCAAATTATTTCCATTACGATGAATTTTCACTTTCAGAACGCTCATGTATGGAATAATTTATTCCATACACAAGCGTTCTGAAAGTAGAAAGGCAAACAAATAAAAATGCTTTTGTTGCTTGTTAAAAACGTTCTGATTCTCAATCCTCACTTCTATATCATAAAATCGATCGTTCCTATTCCAACAAAAGCCGTGATTTTCTAAGAAAGCCTGAATTATTTCGTAACTTAGCAATTGGTAATTTTCTCTTAAACGAAAGTGATATTATTTATCGTATGTGGTAAAGTTTATTGTTTGATCATGAATTTTATTTGAATTATTCAAAATACTAAGAAATTATATTCAAAATCGACGTTAGCTAATGTCATGAACACGTAAGACAAGTTGTGATCTGTATGACGAATAAATGTCGCTTCTTGATGCCTTTTTTCTCCACGGTAAGTCTTTCATGGCTTGAAAAAAGTACAATACTAATAAAATTTATAAATTTGTGTTTAAGCATGTAAATTTAGAATACTTATGTCTTGTTCTGACGACAAAATCGTAGCAGCCAATGTACAATGTTGATAGAATCGACAAAAATTTGACATCTTGATTTTGCGCCGTATTTAAACAAATAAACAACGTAAATAGTTATATATTCTGATGTTGTCCAAGATTTTAACAAGATTTTAACTTTGATTTCGATCTTAAATAACATCAAATAATGAAAGTGAAAGCTATTACCTAAAATGAGTGAATGAAATCGACAACACAAACTTTCAACATTTCAAACTACAGATATTTCAAGTTTAAATAATTGCCAATAAAGAACATCACCGACGTCTAGCTGCTAGATTAATATAATATCAAATTCAATTTTAAGCAAATGTTCAGCATGATCTGACAACAGCTAAGTCTTTTTCAGGCTCAAAACTGCATATTTCATACTTGAATTATGGATAAGATTTGTGCTAAAACCGAATGCTGTTGCCAAACGAAATGTTCTGTCTGCAAGGCGAATATTACATGCATGGATAGCACTGACTTTAATAAGAGTTTGTGGGTATTACCTTAGGGCATGACTTGAAAAACCTAATGAATAATTTAATCTTGGTGTACAACCCAATGACACAATTATGCCGCAAATAATTAATTATAGACAATTTTCAAATCAAATGGTCAATAGTTGAATGAATAAAATGGTCAAGGAAGGGAATATGATTGCTGGATTGAGGCAAAATTCAAAATGCTCTTCAAATATTTGGTCAATTCGTGGAATATCAATGACCGAAATGTTCAAAGCATTAGTAAAAACTTTCCACAACTTACAACTTTCCTAAGCATTTAATATGACACTTGTCTTAAAATATTCAATAAAATTGCTTGGCAAACATTCAATGCTGCGGAAAAATTATTCAACAAAACAAACCCAAAAATATTCAATAGCTTGTGATGAGCACAGCGGTGTACCATAAAAACAACAACACCCACTAGAGTTATCAGCAATATTTGTTTGTTTTGCTGTTTCCAATGAGTATAGTAATTTAGTAAAGAAAGATGGTTTGCAGGAGCTAAATAATGCAGCATATCGTTCATACATAAAAATGATGTTAGAAAAAATAGATAACATAAAGCGAGCAACAAAATTTCACCTTCATTTTTCTGGAATAAAGAATATCAGATGATTAAGACAAGCCAATATCAGATTGCAGGCATACACGCACGAGAGCTATCATTATTTTTTGAGTAGGGTAGGGGGCAGTGAGTATATATTCCTCATTTCATAATAAAATAACGGACTTATTGACTTCAAATTAAACGTCATAATTTCTTTCTTCTTTATTTTTCGTCCGCCCAAGAATAAAATCTGCTCAAGTTGTCAAACTTCAAACAGTTTTAGCAGAATAGCTGCCTCCTCTCCCCAGTCCTCCCTGTCCCTTACGTCTATTAGTGGATGTTAATCATCTTATCATTTTACATTCTTTTCGTCTGTATGCTTATAGCTTTACTTTCAAAAAATTACAGCTTAGAACAACATGTTTTAATTGTTTTTACGAAAAACAACGACTCGATAATTGTTTATATAGTAGAGGAAGGACTTGGAAGAGGCTGGCAATTGTTGATGCTTAGTTATGGTGATTTGCAACAAAAATTGGGTCATTGTTCATTGGTTTGAGAATAAAGGGCACGACTTTTTCGTTTGTCTTGTTATGAGTAATTACGCATAGAATAGTGATCATTTCATGTTTTTATTCAGCTTTACGTAACGCTTTGGAAGATGATGATGATGATGATGAAGACATTGTATCTTCAGTCAGTCGAACGGACCGTTATAGTTTCCATTTCAAACACAGCGAGTTAATATCATTGAGCTCAGATAAGAGAACAGCTGAACGTCAATTTCAATTTTTAAGTGCTGGAAATGGCATAGTTTTCAGTGATCAACCTTTACGAGATAATGAATTGTTTGAGGTTTCTGTTGATAAGTTGGTTCCAGCCCTGTTTGGAGGAAGTGATATTACACTGGACATAGGTAAGCTAGTAAATAGTTATTTGGCAACAAATTACAGCTCCTTAGCGTATCCAGAGCGCTGTAAAACGCTTCATTTTTAAAATAAGTAAAACATCTACGTGGTCATTTAGCCATATCATGAATTCTTAATGAATATAATTCTAAACGACAAAATATTGAATCTTTTTCTTTGCAAAAGCCCGTTCAAAGTTCAAATATTCTTTTCCAAATTCACGCATCATCTAATGAAAAAACAATTAAGACATTTCCTTACATGTTCGATAATAAAAGGTTAACGTTGTCAAACTTACATTTCTTTAAAGTCCGTCTCATATAGTGGCATATCCACCATAGATAATTCGGGGAGGCCAATATTCATATATGAATGCTATGAGCTGAAGAAAAAAATTGATTTCAAAGGAACTCGATAAGGCAGACATGAATATTGAAATAGTGCTCCCTCCCTCCAAATATTGAGCTGGCTACGACACTGATCTCAATATATTGGCTTTAGCCGTTAGCTTATGGCAATTAAATATTATGTTGACACGCTCGCTCAGCTCTACCGCGATGTCGTTCACCTACATTTGACAAATAGGTAGTCCCAACAGCCTTGAGGGGTTGGCCGTTTTTTTTTATCTTTTTGTGCTGATGGACATGGGAATATTTTTTGAATGGGTCAACCAAATCACACCATTTCTAAAAATTTTCGTAAGCATGTTTCTTTTGAGTTATTTTCAGCCTCCCATGGAGTCTCCCTCAAAATCTCAGTCAATGACATGCTACATTTGTAAAATACAGGAGTGACGTCGTTGAATCCATCGTCCATGAATTTACCAAGAACAATGACTGATCTTGCAACTGGAACGTGGATGCTGAGTGGTGATCAGGTTGTGAGAAATAAAGTAATAATCACACGGAGGTCTGTAAAACTTAATCATAGAGATTAGCAATAATAGAGAAGCAGCTAAATTGGAGTTTAAAACAAAAGAACTTCATAGAAGTTCTTCAATTGCTACACCAATATGGTGGTTATGACGTCATGTGAAAACGCTGAAAAACGGAGTTTCAAATAACTTACAATAAGTGACTAACAACAAACGAGTAAAAAGTGAGAGATTTTTCCTTGAGAGATTCAAAAGGCAAAGATCGTTGGGTGGTAATTTATTACATGTGAGCATCATTCATCATTTTGTAAACAGAAGTATTAACTGGGCAAATCATTTTTCTTTTTGATGTTTTTGATTATTTTACCAAAATTTCACCAAAGTTTACTCATGTAATGATTCTTAATCTTAACCGTGTAGATATTGCCAAGATCTTAAAACCTTATCTGTTGGAGATCGTATTGGTGTTTGTAAAAAAGAAAATGGCTCTCTTCATTTTTTCATTAATGGAAAACATCAAGGACTTGCTGCTTCGCGTTTACCCCAAGGTAGCATGAGTAATAAAGATAATATTTATAGTAGTATTATCTTGAACATGTTAAAGATTCACGTTGTTAATATTCCTGTTTCATTTGAAGAGGTTTTTGCTGTCGTCGATCTTTATGCAAGATGTACTAAAGTGTCAATTGTATCACCTGGAGGTCCACCATCTGTCTCAAACTCACATATCTCAAAAGGTTTGTACTTTGAGTCCATGCCAGCATAGATGTTAGCTAAACTAAGAACCGAGTTCCAATATCCAAGTCAATTTATTCAGCACACATCTAGATGAAGACTATTAAAAGGATAAAAAACGGTCCACCAGCTTTTGATTTTCCATGTCAAACACTCGTGCATTTGTGCTTCCTTCTTGATAGTCCATACAAGTAATGAAGACGAGCTCAGAAGATATCATCAACAGCGACAATGGCTTCAGGAATGCCGTATTGTCACATTCCGCTTATGGCTTATGAAAAATATAGTTTCTTCCGAAATCGAAAAGAAAGTAAGTTAGTTTTTCCTATATTAGCTACAATATATATTGTAGACGGAAATTTTCTTTTATTGTGAAGTTTTTTCGGTTATTGCACAAAGCTTTCAATTGTGTAAATTGATTTTTTTCTTGCTGTGAAAAAAGAAATACTTCAATTAAGTTTGCGATAACTGAGAAATACAAACTTGCAGAACAACTTTCTGAAGTTCTTGGGACAGAGCTTATAAAACTCCACACACTGAATAAAATTAGACAGTATAGAAAACTTGTGCCTTTTTCAAGACAAAAATACGCTTTCATGCTCTTGAAATTGCTTATACCAAAAATGTTGCTCAGCATAAACATACACGAAACATTTATGGCAAATAGCATAAATTTACACCAAATACAACTAAGATTATCGACATCAATTTCTCACCGAAAGCACGCATATTTTGCGACCAATACATTAACATGTTTGTGTAGCATTTTCTATGGAGTATTTTACAGAGTACCGGATTTCAATTTCTAGGAACTTTTCTTGTTTGTACGGTCGTACGCTCATATATTTGGCCATGATACTTTTACTTGTGATGATTGTGGAATAAAGTCTCCTAATGGAAAACTTAATTATCATTGTATGGAATGTGAGAATCTAGATCTCTGTGAAAGTTGTTTCAAATGTAAGTTCTTTTTTTGTATCGTTGAAGCATACGATACTCATTACATCAAGACCTTCCATTCTTTGTAAACGTGTTTTAGCGAAAAAATGTCCTAAAGATCATAAGTTGGACCACAAGCTTTCAGAAATGAGGTAAGTTGGAACTCACTTTGCTCAGCATCGCGGTAGCCTCGTTTTCACATAAAACGTATGCACGGAAGCTGGCGTTTTCATTTTTCAATATTTAATAATAACAATCAACGCTAATTCAGTTAATTAGCCATGTCGGGTGTGAATGTTTCGCGTTCCTTTCAATTAAAAGACAATTATATTGTGTATCCGTTGAGTCATTGACATCAAATTAAATGATCATAGTTTGGTACAAATTGAAAAATTGTGTCATGTCGTCTTCTTCATTGAATATATTAAACTAACTATTTGCAAATTTTTTATTCACCGGTTTGTCTTAAGATATACAATAAACGTCATTACTGTCCAAGACGGTGTTAACAAACTTTATTGACTATCTTGGAAACGTTACATTTAGGTGGACCTGTGATGGTAACAACTGTAGTGGATATATTACTGGCACAAGATTTCACTGTCTGGTTTGCGGCGATTTTGACTTGTGTCTGGGGTGTCAGAAAGCAAAAAACTGGCCAGCAAGGTTTGTAGAAATAAAAGATTCGACAGTATTAAGAAGTGCAAACAAAGATGTATTTCCAAAATAGACAATTTATTACTGGGAGCAAACGAAAATCAGTTTAGTCGGTATACTTTTTTAGACACTTTTAGCATCAGTAAGAAGGGACTATATTGTCACAAAAAATTAAATTACATCGCATATTTTATCGATTCAGCGTCTTGCTACCAGCATCATTTTTAAATGAGTCAAAGATCCTATCAATTTGCATTATATAGGAAAATCAATGTTATTCATCATTATAGTTTATATGACATGCTGTCCTGATTTTGCACTGTTTTTAGACATAAAGAAAGCCATTCAATGACAAAGTCATCTACGCTAGTAGGTAATATTAATTTATCCGCGCCGATTTTATAAAGGCACAAATGTCACGGGCCCCGCGCCTAACAAATATCTATTAACAGTATTAATGCAACACATGCTCTGATTGGTCTATAGCTGATTTTGCATTAGCCTGTGGAGACATTCATAAGAGTTGGGACTTGTATTGTTCTCTGCATTTTACGTTCTCAGATCATGGTGATTGGGTAAATATGGTCACATGGGTATCTCACCGCAATTTTTGTTGCAAAAGCGCAAATTATAACAATTTTTTATAATCACAAAAGACGAATATTAAAAAAATGTTTACAATGATTTATGTTTCGTTATAGTTGTGCTAATCAAAGCGATGAAGAATAGAAACTTACGCGCTCCCTTGTGGCAATAAAAGTATTACGGCGTATAAATTACACCCATTGCATTAAATAAATGGTTTTCATAGTTATGATCTATAAACAACGGGATACTAGTGATCACGTGAATAAGACGGCACAACAGAAAATTTGTCTTTCCTCCATTTAATGATCAATTTTATTTTGGCTGGCTTTTGGAACAAGAATGGCGGACGCTAAAAAATTTTACTTACGCATTTAATAAAAACGGCAAGTTTAAAAAAAACTTTTTAAATAAAAAAAAACTTGTCGTTTTTATTAAATGCGCATTATCAATAGTGCTTTTACGCAGTTACGGTAATTTTACTTACGGTGTCCCAACTCATTCGTATGTGCTCTTGTGAAAACCAATCTGAGCTCAATGAATTAAATCAATCAAAGAGGCTTTGCAAATCGATCATGAATACATGTAAGAGGAAAAGTTATAAAGTTTATTTTGAATTCATCTGTTTCGCATTATTGTTATTTTCTAAAAGAAACAAAGGATGATTTTCGTGTTTGCACTGGCTTATAAGCACATGTAAACAAAAAAGTATATATGTATACTCTTGCCTATAAAATCAACATAAAGCGTCGTCTCAATTACCCAGGCACCAACATCACCTTATGTGAATAATATTATACAGATAAACACAGTTGAATTTCTTCTAAGTTCTAACTGCATTTTTACGTCGTTATAAAGAAACAAATTTGGGGGGCCTCGCGAAAAAAATGCCACAGGCACAAGAATTATGCATGACAGTTATTTTTTCTAAGCTTTCTCAAAATTAAGATTATTAATTCATATCATAACTTTTAGTTCAAACAGAAACTATATCAGGTCAATTTGCCCAACCAAATTCAAGTGTATCAAGTTCAACAAAGGACAGTTTCTGCGCTCCCGGAGAGCACAAGTTTACCAATGGCAAATGTATTCTTTGTAAACGATGCAACCAGTGTTCTGGTTATGGAGCCAATTGCATAAATGCAAGCCAAAAATATCGATCTCCAGGAGGGTAAGAGATACGTTAGCTGTTTAAGCTAAGTTTAAGCCTAAAGTTTAAATAAAAAGTTTTTTATTTTAATCAGTGCAAGTGCTTGAGCAGCTATATTTCAACGAAAAGCTTCTTTCATCTTTGACATAATTGAATTGCGTTGTATTTTATTGAGTCATAGCTTAAGCATAAAAATGAGATAAGTAGCTAATCAGTATAACGATCCCTGTACAATAGTAATTCCGAGGTGGGGAACGCCTTCCTCTTAAAATACAAAATCTCCTTACAAACTATAAAACAAGCACCAGGGTGTAGATCTCAGATTTAAACTGATCACTACCAATCTATACAAGTCATCTGTCCTAGATCTGTAATAAAAAAAAACTTACATTACTAAAGGAAAGTGAAAATGGGAAACGAGGTTTAGGCTGTGGAACAATGTGCTTACTTATCGCTTAGACTTGGAGCCTTAATTGTTGATCACTTTTGTTTGCAAAGTTATTTATGAACATAGTAATTTTTAGATGTGTGCACTTTTTAACAAGCTGTCTACTGTGCAGTTATCAATTTTTGTGTGTATGTAGACTTGCCGCAGTTGCACATTTAGCATTGCCAAATAACTAGAGCATAATATCAGGTGACTAGATGAACAATTTAAACACGTTATTATAATATTGTTAAAGATTTAATGTTTCGTCATTTAATCTTAGTTTATGTGGCTGCGGCTATGGTGATGCTGGTTGCCAAAAATGTGGAATATGTAGGGAATGTGCTGAAGCATTGAAAGGTAGACCAAACATGAGCAATTGTAAAAGCAATGTGTTTAGTGTGGATTGACTAATGTAGGGACTGTTTTTCATTCTATTATACAAAATGACATGTTTTTCAATCACATTTCATTAATATAAACAGAACATCAATGTTATTATTGCAAGAAGGCCTTTCTTGCTATGTTTTAATGTTTTATATGAGATTAACACTATGCTTAGAATTAATGCTTTTATCTGTTTGATTTATAAATGAAAATATTTTTTAACTTTTCCCATTGAAATAAAAATCTTTATTTGAACAGTTCAAGGAGCATCATTAAATTCTGGTTATCAACAAGCAGAGAGACCTCGACCTATTCCAACACCAACGACAAAAACTACCCCAGCTACAACGACATGTAACTATCGAAAACAATGTGAAAGTTTTCTTGAAACTTTGAAGATTTCAGGCGAGTGCCAAATTCATTCATCCCATTATTAAAGACCCCAAGTATGCAGCATTAAACAATAAAAAATGTGCAATGATACAGTTGTGTTATTCAAGTAATCGTCAAAGTTAAAGTAGCGACCTTAAAACTTTCAATAAGCAATTCATTGCTCAGGTGTTTGGTTTTTCTTCTTTACTCAGACAAAACCTTCATATCATTTTCATACCAATTGTTGAAACAACTTTTGCATAAAGTGAATGAAGTAAAAAAAAAATTCACTATGTTATAAAAAAGAAAAAAGTTTAATCACTGTTTCAATTTCATTTGTATTATATTTACAAGAGTATTAGCTTAAGTATTTGATTTGTAATAACTAAATCCTGTCCATTTCGTTAAAAGGTATATTTTGAAAGAAGCGACATGGCAACAAACCACCAAATAAATAAATGATCGACAAGATATAAAAATCAACGGCAGAGAATAAGCATGTCTGCATGATTACACACTCGTTCTCAGAATAATTCTATCCCGTAATTCAACAGCTGTAAATACGATGATCGTCTTTGAAGAGTTAACTGTTCTTTGAGATGTACTTATTAAAAAAATTATTTTGTTATTCTTTGCTATTTTTGCAGATGACTATTTTGACAAAACTCCAAAATACAACAAGTGTTTTTGTGATAGCTGCCACAAAGCTCGTGGAGATAAAGAATGCTACACTCGTGGTAATCCACCAAAGACCTATGCTTTACCTCTTGGTTGGAGCAGATTTGCCATCAAGTAAGCCGTACTAAAAAGTTTAATCGCCTTGAACAAACGATGCAATATTGAAACCATGCATAAATATATGTTATTTAACAGCTAGACGGGAAGTATAAATGGAAAAATATATTTCAGTCCTGTGCATGTGTTTCTCATGATTCTTTGTTGATTCCCCTCTTCATAAACTTTCACATGATTTCACTCAATTGACTTTTATTGCTGTGATAATAACTTCTATTATCTACGTTCATGTTCTCAAATTTAATTATTAACCGAGACCACAGATGAAAGGACGTTTTCTGAGAACGAGGGGAAAATATCTTTCCATCCTATCTGACCTCGACATGATAAATAACTCTTTTGCTAAAGGCAACAGTCCTCAGTATTGTATTGTGCGTACAGTCATTCAGATTCAACAACGATGACATCGAAATCGATCAAAACTTTGCTTCTCTGCTTTACTTTGGAGTACACAAAACTCTCTTAAATAAGATTATTAGAAATATAAATTTGCTAATATTTTGCTATGTGCAACAAAATAAAACAAAACAAAACAACTCTTTGCTTAAACATTTAGTTGTTAGGAATACGGATCTCGTATATTTGGGAATAACTGTGAAGTAAAAGATCACTAGATTCGCTTTTAAGGCTGCAAGCCTTCTCAAAATTTCAGAAAGGGAAGACGCTTAAAACTCTTTTTTAACAACAATTAAGAATGTATGATACTTGATAAAAGTCATCATGAATCCATATAACTACTTAAAACGATGTTAAGATCAATTTCAAGAGATGATCAAATTCCACGTGCCGCCTATGGCCACGTATAAAATAAATCAAGCATTCAACCTTTAATTTGACTCAAGAAATACATCTACTTAAAAGCAGCTCTTTAAAACTGTTCCACTTTTAAAAGCTTCATGAAGTTATTTTCTTTAACTTGCTTAACTTTTTTTTGAATTTCAGAATTGGTCCACATGGTAAAGTTTTAAATATATTTGAAAACTGGCATGTTGCCTTCCATGGAACACAAGCAGAATGTCTTCAGCCAATATTCAGTAATGGTCTACAACTGCTAATGCCAGGTAAGCTCTGTGCAAGCTAGTGACACAAGTTCTATTTTCTCAATACAATTATTTTTTAGCAGTAGCTATATGTGAAATTTGCTGGTTTTGAAATACTTTGAACTGCTTTAATAAGCTGTAGTAAAAGACACACACAATATTCCTATTAATTATAAAGGCGATGTTGCTTTTGGTGGAAGTAAGTTACGCGAGGGAGAAGGACATTACAACGATAGTTGGAAACCACATGGCTTTGACACTAAGCAAATATTTGTTTCCCCAAGTGTAAAGTATGCTGGTTGTGCTGTCTATTCCAAGAAGAAAAGGTGATTTAATTGAGCGTATAAGGAATTGACATCTAAACTTACATTTAATATAATCGCTTCATAACTCATAGCTCTTAATAGGAAAAAGCCATCAATGCATTGAGCACAACAGAGTAATTTTTCCACATGTCGATCAATAAACATTTTTGGAAAATGTTTACAATCAAATTTATGTCTCCGACTTTGCAGCAATATATGCATGTGCGATTTAGAATAGTTCCATACCGATGTTTTATGAAAGAATATGTTTTTTATTTGATAATTTTCCTCTTTTAGATTTACAGATCCAAAAACTAGAAAAGAATCAATTGCCCAGGTAGCATTGCAAGTTTTAATTCGACCTGGATCATACAATGTTGGAAGAACTACTGTGGAACGTTCACAGCCATTTGATTCAAATTTCAGTGATAATGAATTGGAATGGTCGACGAAAGAAAGAGGAGCAATAATTGTAACGGGATTATTGATCAAAGTTACTTAGTATTTGATTATTGATTTGTATGGCATTTACTTTGTTTGGTTAACTGTGATTTACACTAGCTTTTTAGTGGCTGTTATTTAATGATAATTTAATTAAATTGTGACGATATTCCAAATCAACCAGTAGAGCATTATTCTATCAATTAATCGTCAACAATGTCTAACTTGCAAGTTTCAAAATGTACTTTCGCTCTTGGAATATTATATGTTGTGTATTTTTTTCATAATTTACAAAATTACTAAAATTTAGTACCATTCCATCAGTATCACAGTGACCAGAAAACATAATTAATAAATAAAGTAAACATAATTAATAACCACTGATGTAATAAGTGATGTTGTAATTAAATACTAATTCGATGTATAAAATATTTTCAATTTCACTTATTTATTTTTTAGTTAATAATTGTAACAGGATTATTGATCAAAATGCAGTAGTGTTTGATTATTGATCTTGAATAGCATTTACTTTGTTTGGTTAACCGTGATTAACACTACCTTTGTCGTGGCTGTCATTTAATGATAATTTGATTTAATGGTGTCAGTTTCCTAAATCAATCAATACAACATTATTCTATCTCACCTCACCAAAGTAAATTAAATTTCAAACATTTCATTTTCTTTACGCAAGCTTTTACGAACCGCTCTCCTGGTTTTGAGATTAATTTGTTTGATCGTTTTGTACTTTTAGATAAACCAGACGATGCTAAAATACATAGAAGTTGACACCTTTTTACGAACATTTGCTCAGATGATAGTCTTGACATTTTTAAATTTTCTATATTTTTTGATACACCCTCTATAGTGTCGCCTTCTTTACATTATAAAAAGCAATGCATTCTCTTAATTTAGAATATCTAATTGACAAAAAACATCTTTGTCATCTAATTCACCAAAAAAAGAATTTAGTCTTCCTCATCAACAGTTACTTTGTCACTCTAAAATAAATTTAGTCTCATCTCAAGCTGTAACAACAAGTACTTCCTTAATATTGTTTGCAAATTCTTCTGAAAGCCATTTGATTTCATAGTTGGCCGTCCACACTTGCGTTGAAACATTGGCAAAGACGGTGATTTGATGACCTCCAAATCATGACTACTCAGTTGGCAGTATGTGAGTGAAGCTTCAAAGCAGATTGGCAGAAGGGTAATAAAGATAAATAATTTTGCAATATTTGTTGTACTCTTTCTGGAACATTTTGTGGCAAATTAATCTTACGCTCTTCTTAAGACATTCATCGAGAAGATCCACACATTCTTCTAGAAGAGCAATTGTATTATCTGTTAGACTGCAGATAAATCCTACTAGTTGAAATGCTTTTTGAAATTTTAGATTCTAGGATTTTCCTACAAGCTCCTTTTCTAGTGCAAAAAATATGAAATGCAATTATAGCAAGTGAGTGGAAGGCCTGTGAGACCTTTAATAGTGACATCACAGAGCGACAGGCCTCTTCAATTTTCTAATTCTAAAATCAATAAAACATTTGTCTTTCTCATCAATACATTTTGCTATCAAAATAACTATATACATCAGCATCTCCAGATGGTAACGGAAAATTATGTTTTTAATTGGAGATCTTTTTAGTGCATGTTTACAACATGGAATAAATGCAACCTTTCAACTTAATCAGTCTTGTTACAAATGAGATCATTTTGAACACAATTAAATTTTCACGCATATATTTTATGTAGCTATTTTCCCTGTGGAAATATACATTTCTTTTCACATCACTATTTTGAGAACCTTTCATCGTTCCTTTAGCAATCTCTTCATTATCACCAGGATGAGACGAGCCTCGCTTTATTCTTGAATTTTTTTATTCGAGCAAAACAAACGAGGAACTCGTTTTTATTTTGAGAGTAGAAGAGCTTGTTTGAAGATTTTAGAATTGAATCTAACTTCTGCAAAGCATTTTAACACTTGAGGCCGGTTGCACGAAGCTTGAATATCGTTATCCATTAGATACTCATATTAATATTCTCAAACTTGTCAAAACACGACTGTATATTTTTGTCACGGCAAAAGAATTTTGTAATCTTAGGAGCAATATTTTGTTTCAGTGATTACTTAGTTCAAATTATATATTTTTCCTTTTTAAAAAGTTCTTAAACCTTTAAAACTTTCAACCTGCACCAGGGAGCAAGCTGGAATATAACGGATTAGCTACATGTACTTGCGATTTTAGAAGAATTTGTCATGTTTTCTTTGTAGATACCAAGAAAAAAGCATGAATTTACTCGAGACCAGATGTTTTGGAAAATATGTAGCAAGAATTGCTGAATTATTTTTCTCGCTCAGTTACCCCTCTGTGGATCTATGTTGTAACCTCACACATACCCTGCAAACTGTGAACCAAGATTATGGACGTTATCAAATCACTTAAGGATCTCTGTGCCCAATGTTTACGCACGGGTGAACGGTAAACTGTGAAATCAAACAACTTTGTTTTGAAAGAATTTCCAGACAAAATTGAGGAAATACAACTAGTTGTTGTTGCAGCTTGAGATGAGACTGAAGATTTATTTTAGAGAGATGAAGAAATTATTGATGAAGAAAACTGAAGTCTTCTGAGTTAAAGTTTTTAATTATTAATTTCACTGTCTAATCAGCCCTGTTATTTTTGGGAAAATGTGTGTTTTCCTGTAAAAATCTATGTTCAGTGCATTGTGACATGGATTTATTCGAAAAGCTGGAGCAAAATATGAATTCATTTTGTCCGCCACAGGTGGTATTTATAATTACCTAAACAACAGCCTAGACTATATGAAGAATAAATGTCGGTTTTCGATGTTCTTCTTTACAAAGGTAAGTCTTTTATGGCTTCAAAAATGTACAATAACAATAAAATTTGTAAATTTGTTTTTGAGAATATAAATTTAGAACACTTATCTTGTTCTGACACCAGAATCGAAGCATCCAATATATGACATTGATAAAATCAAAGTCTGACATCATGATCTTATGGCTATACAAACTACATATAAATGAATAACGTTCAAAGAACTCTTTCCAGATTTGATGTTTGATGTTGACCATTATCAAATAACATCAACAATTAGGAAAGTGAAAGCTGTGAGTAAATGACCTATGAAATCGATAACAGAAACTTCAAATTGCGGCTATATCAATATAATATCAAATTAAATTTTAAGTAAATGTCCACACGACAAGCTGATAGTCGCTAAATTTTTTCAGGCTCAAAATATTGTATATTTCACGCATAGGTTAAGAATAAGATTAATGTTAAAAGCGAATGCTGTTGCCAAAAATCAGTCTATCTTCGAGGCTATTTCGTGCATGTATAACAGTGATTTGAAGTATTACATTAGAATATTTAAGCATAACTTTGAAAACCAACTAAATAACTTAATCTTGTTGTTTACGCCAAGCTGTCAAAGTAATTGTTATGAAAGAATTTAAAAACAATCTTGGAATCAAGTCAGAATAGTTAAATCATTCAATAAAATTTGTAACTCGCGTCTGGAAGAGTATATGGTTGCTGGATTGAGGCAAAATTCGAAACGCTCTTTAAATATATAGTAAATTTGTGTTATATCAATGAACGAAATGTTCAAAACAATCATCAAAACTTTCCACAACTTATAACTGCACTGAATAGGCCCTAAATATTAAATATGACACTTAAAATATTCAATAAAATTGTCTAACAAACATTCAATGCTGCGGAAAAATTATGCAATAAAATAAACCAGAACTATGCAGTAGCTTTTGATGAACACAGCGGTGCACCATAAGAATAATTAAATTCACAAGAGTCATAAGCAATATTTCTTTGTTGGTTTGCAATGAGTATAGCAATTTAGTAAAGGATTTTAACATAGGCGTACGGGCACATATTTTTAGGGGGAGCTGGACTAAATTTGCCCGAATTATATGACGTCATATGACGTATGACGTCATAGATATTCTTATGTTGTCTCTGGCCATCTCAATTAATAAGCTAAAATCATTACAATTTGCTAAGAGGATGCTACGAAAGTAACTACATTTTATTTGATATTTGAAATTTTGTCATATATAACACTAGACGCAGAAGAAATTTAGTTAGTTAAATGTGCGACGATCTAAGACTAAAAGAAATAAGATTTACGATTACGTCGCTGTCCAAAAATGTTAATTATCTTTTCCATGTCGTTCTTTAAAGTACTATTTGCATAGGCTCTTTCCACATTGATTAGGGCAATGCTGTTTAACCGTTTTGACCAATTGTACTTCGAAGATAGGTTTTAAGCGACGAAGAGCGCTAAAAGATCTTTCTGCTGAGCAGGATGTTGCCGGGATCGCGGCCAGAATCGAAAATACTTTGTAAGCCACAGGCAGGACTTCATGAACACCATTTTCGAACATTCTCTTAACAATTTTGGCAGCGTTTTCTCTCTCAGCACAAGGGAAATCAACGTCAATATTCTCAAAGACATTTTTCTCGCTACTAAGAAGCTCACTGTCGATACCATAGAAGTGTGATACCAACTCAACATTCGCCGTGGTTGGAGACCTGTTGAACACAATATCTGCAAGTGCCAATAGGACCTCTTGATCACTACCTTCAAATCTTGATTTCATCTCCGCCACAATCTTGTCAATGCTTAGGTAGTAGCATGTGATACGATAGTAATCTTTTCTGTTCGATTTTCCACTTCTGCATTTACTTCAGCCATTTCACCGACGAGAGCTTGGAGCCGCCGTGACGGCTGTTGGAATCTTGGTACTTTTGCATCTTTGAAATTGAATTCTGTACCTTCAATTTGCTCCTTAATTTTGTGTGCTATGATTTCAGCCCGTGACCATAACAGTTCGAAATTTTCGAGGGAACGACATCCAATTAATGTCTTAATCACGCCATCAACACTCTTCTTTGCTGTGGCGACATCCATTTGCTTTCCTTGTAGGTACCTGCTCAAACCATCGGTGTTAGATAAAATAACCTTTAATACCATCAAACCAAAAACGAACCGAAAGTCGCAAATCGAGTTAAGTAGCGAATTGCTGTCATTGTAGGTCTTCGGATCGCGATCTTTTGAGAGTGTAAGGAGAACCTCGATGATCTTAGGTAATTGGTTTACTACTGCTTTTACAGCTGCCCAACGACAAGACCATCTAGTAGCACTCTGCGATTTAATAGTCAGTGTAATATCTTCGTCCTCATCTTCGACCTTGATGTCATTGAAGATGGAGTGGCGTTTGGGACTTCCTTCCAAGAAATTATGGAGACTCTGGATCACACCTAAAGCTTTCTGAAGTGGCTCAATTGTAGTCATCGTATCTTGTAGCGCCAAGTTAAGCCGATGCCCATGGCAGTGAACATAGATGCTAAGAGGTGAGCACTCCTTCATGCGTGCAGCAAGTCCTTTGCGAGGGCCACTCATATTTGCAGCGCCATCAAAGCATTCTGCGACAATGTTTTCCAATGTCAACTCTAGCCTGCCAATGGCTGTCTTTAACAGCTCATACAATACTTCTCCTTCCGTAGATTTGGTTGAATAGAAACCAGTGAATGTCTCTTTGGTTTCGCCATTGAAAACATATCTGAGGAAAAGAGATAATTGCTCTGTTCGACTGATGTCTGCCGTTTCATCGACAACTATTCCGTAGTAGTCGCTACTTCTTGCTTCTTCTGCTATCCTCTCAAGCATGACACTTGCTACTATTTCCAGTAGTTCATTTTGAATAGCAGGGGATGTCCACTGAGCATGTGTCTGCAGCTGGCTTTGAAGTTTAGATTTCAGCCAAGGCAAATCGTTGCATCTTATGCAAAGTAACTCGAGAAAGTTTCCTCTATTTATATCAGATATCTCCCATATATCACCCCGAATCTCTTCATGACCTCTAATTGCAACATTTTGTTGTGCAGTGTACATCAAAGATTGTATGATTACTTTTAAGTATTGTCTGTTAATAGCAACCTGGTCCTGGTGTGCACTATTCAGCTGTTGTAGTACGGAGGTTTTCTTTCTTTCCATTGCTTTAAACTGGAGCCATCTTGTCATGGATCTGACGTGGTTCTCACTCTTGCCATGTTTTGCCAGCTTTGACGACTTCTTCCAATTTGTAAGCACAAATGAAGTATTCTTCCCAAATTCTTTACAGGCAAAACAAACGCATGCATCTTTATCCACTTCGTAACTAATCCATGGATATTTCTTGTACCATTCAGGCTGAAATCGTCGCACAAATGTTTCACTGCCGAATTTTCGTGCAGGATATTCACCTAATATAGGCTGTTTTGGGGCGTGCAAGGTGGAAATCTCTTCTTCATTCATACTGTTAAGGGAAACCTTTCTAGTCTGTTCATTTAGAACAGATGCTGTTGAATCTAAATCTTGTATTGCTGTTGTGTCTAGAGTGTTAGACGTCGTCGTTGATTCTGGTGTTGCAACGCGTTGTATATTTTGATTTAAGTTAAATTCTTCGATGAACAGTGCGTCACTGGAAGTAAGATTTTCATTATCCGTGACCGTATTCAATTCTTTATTTTCTCTGAACTGCGTCAGTGGATTTAATTCATCAACATCAATAAACGTTCTCATTGGTTCCGTTTGGTCTTCGCTTATGGGCTCCTTCAAATTAATCTCAGGTAGATTTTCCTCAAAAGACCCAGTGGCTGCTAAATCTTTACTAGCACTCGATTCTGTTTCCTGTAAGGTTAGGTTATCATCCTTGGTTGTCATGTTACTTTTTACAAAGAAACCACTGATCTTTGACTGCGATAAATCCGATGAATCCATCACTCGATGACACTTAACTTTTCATTATTGTGAACTCGTCGAAAGTGGACCTCCTTATAATCACTGTCAATTTCCTTGCTGCATTCCTCGCACCAAACGCGATGTCGATACGGTCGTTTACGAGACGCCATATGTACGCTTTATTAGAGCTTGGCTACTAAATGTTTTCCCCTTGTGGATAATAGTTTCCTTGAACAACAATCATAGAGTGAATGGCACTAATCTAATCAATGGAATGGACAGTGCCTCTCCATACGAAGCCTAATTTTCATGCAAAATTAAAAATCACTTTTGGGGATCGCAGCGATTGTTAATCTATATATTAATGTATAACGGATAGCGTGTGGGAGACGATTTTTCGCAATTTCAAGACATTTCAAGACTTTTACTGACCTCAGCCCTTTTTTATAAATGGAGAACGTTATGTGGATAAATTTAATACCAAAAGCTTTGCTCTGATTGAAAATATCGGCGTTCGTGTTCGTTTAAAAGTTGTAAACACCGAATATATTCGTCGCAATATCGCTAGTAAATAGACCGATTTCTCGTGACGTAATTTGTTTATATTATAATGGGGCGGATGTAAAATTCTCCTATTATGTCTCAAGAAAAATTTTGCACCCAATCACTTTACGCGATTTTTATTTTACCTCCTGAAATTTAAGTAATTTAAACAATTTAAAAACCATCCATTAAAAGACCGTTCACGCTCAAGAACCGAAGCAGTTTATGATCTAGAAATGATGTAGATTAATATTGAAAATTTAAAAACTGTAGTAAGTATCTTGCCAGAATATCATGTAAATGCTTGCCCGAATACACAAATTCTCGAGAAATTGGGGCTGCAGCCCCCCCAGCCCACCCCCCCCGTACGCCTATGGATTTTAAATGGATAAGCGACTGAAATGGAAAACGACAAAGTTCTTGCTCTATCAGTTTCTACGAATAAAGCACAGAGAAAGAGGCGGAATACGAAAGCATATCCATTAGCAGAATGAAAGCCAGGAACAAAAGATTGATAGTTGGGGGGAGGGAAGTTACTCGTATTTGCATATGCATGTTATAATCCGTATAAAATGACGGTTTCAAAGAAACTCTGCATGAAAAATACAGCATGTTTTGAATTTTCGTGCATATCGTTTGAAAAAATATATTGCACAAGCCAACTATACTTTAAGAATAAACAATATCATTATCTTAGACAATCGAGGCCAGACATGCAATGACACTGCGGAGCATGGACGTATGAGGGCTGTCATTACTCCCAATGAAATACGCCTGACATATTCATTTCAAATTCCACGTCATAATTTTCTCCGGTATTTTTCTTCCAAGTAACGTACTCTTCTATATTCAGTACTGACTTTGCAGAGCAGCTACTGCTGTCTCCCTTTCCCTACTTTTCCCTTTCCCGTTTGCCTTTGAGCGGATGTTAATCATCTTATTTTTTAGGCGTTCTTGTCGTGTGTACGCTTAGCTTCATTTTTAAAAATCACAGTATCATATAGAGATAAGATAACATGTTTAACTTCTTTCCACAAAAAAAAACAATCATATACTCAATGGTACGTACATAGTTGAGCAAGAATTTTAATATGGAGCATAGTGGCCAATTTTTGATGCTTGGTAATAATAATTTGATTCATCCTGGTCTGTGGTCATCAGTTTTAACATATCAAGTTGAGAATAAATGGTGCGATTTTTTCGTTTACCTTGAAATGATTTACGTAAATTAGTAAATATATTCTATGCTTTACTCAGCTTTACGTGAAGCTTTGGAAGACGAAAATGAAGAGGAGACCGTACCTTCAATCAAACGAACGGACCGTTATAGTTTCAATTTCAAGCACAGCAACTTAATATCATTGAGCTCAGATAAGAGAACAGCTGAACGTCGATGTCAATTTTTAAATGCTGGAAATGGCATAGTTTTTAGTGATCAACTTTTACGAGATAATGAATTGTTCGAGGTTTGTGTTGATAAGTTGGTTCCTGCTCTTTTTGGAGGAAGTGATATTACACTGGACATAGGTAAGTTATATAATGACCCAAAATGCTAAAAACACTTATTTATATATTTGATTAAAATATAAGTAAAATGTATATTATGTAAACGTTAGTATACCTAAATTGGGAATGTAATCCCAAAGCCTTGATTCTTTTTTTCCAAGAGTTGCAAGTACGTTAATGCGTAACAACAACAACAATAACAATAGCAATAATAACAATAGTAACAACAATAATAACAACAATAACAATAACAACTACAATAACAATAGCATTAACATGTTATATTTGCAATACCCAGGAGTGACGTCGTTGAATCCATCGTACATGAATTTACCACGAACAATGACTGATCTTACAACTAGAACGTGGATGCTGAGTGGTGATCAGGTCGTGAAAAATAAAGTAATAATCAAACAAAGGTCTGTAAAACTTACGTTGAGAAAAATGTTATTTTTAATTCTTAAAGAACAGAAAAAACGATGGAAGTAACGGATAGTTGTAATTTTAATCACCCCAAGGGATAGTTGTAACGTTGAAGGTTAGAAGCCTCCAAGTTTGTGTTGCAAACAAAAGAACATCACTGAAGCAATTTAAATTGTTACCATAATGATTATGGCCGCTCTTACGTCTGTAGTGAAAACGCTCAATAATTGAGAGCTGACTGACAAAATACGAGTAAATAGCGAGGAATTTCCTCCATGAAAGGTTCAAAGTGACTGCAACTGTGAAAACCCAGTTTGAGAAAACAGAGATTGATTGTAGTAATTTATCACACCTGAACAATCCAGTTTTTTTGTGAACATTAATTGAGCGAATTAATCCCAGAAAATTCACTATAAGTTTACTCCTATAATGCAGTTTTCGTTATCATAACTGTGTAGATATTGTCAAGATCTTAACACCTTATCTGTTGGAGATCGTATTGGTGTTTGTAAAACAGAAAATGGCTCTCTTCATTTTTTCATTAATGGAAAACACCAAGGACTTGCTGCTTCAAGTTTACCCCAAGGTAGCAAGAGTAGTAAAGATAATATAAGGTAATATTATCTTGAATTCACGTTGTTCATATTCCTGTTTCATTTTAAGATGTTTTTGCTGTCGTCGATCTTTATGCAAAATGTACCAAAGTGTCTATTGTATCACCTGGAGGTCCAACAACTTTCCCGTACTCCCATACCCTGGAAGGTTTGTACTTTAAATCCGTTCCAGTTAAACAGATGCTAACTAAATAATTTATCGATTGAGTTCCATGTGTATTTATTTATCCAATGAAAACTGGGATGATCTAGCTTCACTCAGTCATGGGTTTCATTCTATTGTACAATATGACAGCTTTTTCAATCATATTTCATTAATATGAACAGAACATCAATGTTACTATTGCAAGCAGGCTTTCTTGCTATGTTTTAATGTTTTATTTGAGATTAACACCATGCTCAGAATCAATGCTTTCAATTGTTTAATTAACAAATGAAAATATTTTTTAACTTTTCCCATTGAAATAAAAAAATCATTATTTGAACAATTCAAGGAGCATCGTTGAATTCTGGAACAAGTTATCAACAAGCAGAGAGACCTCGACCTATTCCAACACTAACGACAAAAACTACCCCAGGTCCAACGACATGCAACTATCGAAAACAATGTGAAAGTTTTCTTGAAACTTTGAACATTTCAGGTGAGTGCCGAATTCATTTTTCCCATTATTAAAGACCCCAAATATGCAGCATTAAGCAATAAAAATGTGCAATGATATAGTTGTGTTATTCAAGTAATCGTCAAAGGTAAAGTGGCGACCTTAAAACTTTCAATAAGCAATTCATTGATCAGGTTTTTGGTTTTTCCTCTTTACTCATATAAATCTTTCATATCACTTTTATACCAATTGTTGAAACAACTTTTTGCATAAAGTGAATGAAGTAAAAAAAAAATTCACTACGTTATGAAAATGAATAAAGTTTAATCACTGTTTCAATTTGATTTGTATTATATTTACAAGAGTATTAGCGTAAGTATTTGATTTGGAACAACTAAATCCTGTACATTTCGTTAAAAGGTATATTTTGAAAGAAGCGACATGGCAACAAACCACCAAATGATTAAATGATATGCAAGATATAAAAATCAACTGCAGAGAATAAGCATGTTTGCATAATGACCATGATTACAAACTCGTTTTCAGAATAATTCTCTCCCATAATTCAACAGCTGTAAATACGATGATCCTCTTTGAGGAGTTCACTCTTCTTTGAGATGTACTTATTAAAAAAATTATTTTGTTATTCTTTCCTATTTTTGCAGATGATTATTTTGACAAAACTCCAAAATACAACAAGTGTTTTTGTGATAGCTGCCACAAAGCTCGTGGAGATAAAGAATGCTACACTCGTGGTAATCCACCAAAGACCTATGCTTTACCTCTTGGTTGGAGCAGATTTGCCATCAAGTAAGCCGTACTAAAAAGTTTAATCGCCTTGGACGAACGATGCAATATTGAAACCATCCATAAATATATGTTATTTAACAGCTAGACGGGAAGTCCAAATGGAAAATATATTTCAGTCCTGTGCATGTGTTTCTCATGATTCTTAGTTGATTCCCCTCATCATAAACTTTCACATGTTTTCACTCAATTGACGTTTATTGCAGTGATAAGAACTTCTATTATCTACGTTCATGTTCTCAAATTTAATTATCAACCGAGACCACAGATAAAAGGACGTTTTCTGAGAACGAGGGGGGAAATATTTTTCCATCTTATCTTACCTCGACATTGATAAATAACTTTTTTGCCAAAGGCAACTGTCTTCAGTATTGTATTGTTCATACAGTCATTCAGATACAACAACGATGACATCGAAATCAATCAAAATTTTGCTTCTCTGCTTTACTTTGGAGTACACAAAACTCTCTTGAAAAAGATTATTAGAAATATAAATTTGCTAAAATTTTACTATGTGCAACAAAATAAAACAAAACAAAGCAACTCTTTGCTTAAATATTTAGTGTTTAAGAATACGGATCTCGTATATTTGGGAATAACTGTGTAGTAAAAGATCACTAGATTCGCTTTTAAGGCTGCAAGCCTTCTCAAAATTTCAGAAAGGGAAGACGCTTAAAACTCTTTATTAACAACAATTAAGAATGTATGATACTTGATAAAAGTCATCATGAATCCATATAACTACTTAAAACGATGTTAAGATCAATTTCAAGAGATGATCAAATTCCACGTGCCGCCTATGGTCACGTAAAAAATAAATCAAGCATTCAACCTTTAATTTGACTCAAGAAATACATCTACATAAAAGCAGATCTATAAACTGTTCCACTTTTAAAAGCTTCATGAAGTTATTTTCTTTAACTTGCTTTAACTTTTCTTTCAATTTCAGAATTGGTCCACACGGTAAAGTCTTAAATATATTTGAGCACTGGCATGTTGCCTTCCATGGAACACAGGCGAAATATCTTCAGCCAATATTCAATAATGGTGTACAACTGCTAATGCCAGGTAAGCTCTGTGCAAGCTAGTGACACAAGTTCTATTTTCTTATTACAATTATTTTTTAGCGGTAGCTATATGTAAAATTTGCTTGTTTTGAAATACTTTGAATTGCTTTAATAAGTTATAGTAAAAGACACACAATATTCCTATTAATTATAAAGGTGATGTTGCTTTTGGTGGAAGTAACTTACGCGAGGGAGAAGGACATTTCAACGATATTTGGAAACCACATGGCTTTGACACTAAGCTAGTATTTGTTTCCCCAAGTATAAAGTATGCTGGTTGTGCTGTCTATTCCAAGAAGATGAGGTGATTTAATTGAGCGTATAAGGAATTGACATCTAAACTTACATTTAGTATAATCGCTTCAAAACTCATAGCTCTTAATAAGAAAAAGCCATCAATGCATTGAACACAACAGAGTAATTTTCCACATGTCGATCAATAAACATTTTTGGAAAATGTTTTCAATCAAATTTATGTCTCTGTTTTTGCAGCAATAAATGCATGTGCGATTTAGAATAATTGCATACCGATGTTTTATGAAATAATATGTTTTTTATTTGATAATTTTCCTCTTTTAGCTTTACAGATCCAAAAACTAGAAAAGAATCAATTGCCCAAGTAGCATTGCAAGTTTTAATTCGACCTGGATCATACAATGTTGGAAGAACTACTGTGGAACGCTCACAGCCATTTGATTCGAATTTCAGTGATAATGAATTGGAATGGTCGACGAAAGAAAGAGGAGCAATAATTGTAACGGGATTATTGATCAAAGTTACTTAGTATTTGATTATTGATTTGTATGGCATTTACTTTGTTTGGTTAACTGTGATTTACACTAGCTTTTTAGTTGCTGTTATTTAATGATAATTTAATTAAATTGTGACAATATTCCAAATCAACCAATAGAGCATTATTCTATCAATTAATCTTCAACAATAGCTAACTTGCACGTTTCAAAATGTACTTTCGCTCTTACAATATTATATGTTGTGTATTTTTTCATAATTTACAAAATTAGTAAATTTAATACCATTCCATCAATATCACAGTGACCAGTAAACATTATTAATAAATACAGTAAACATAATTAATAACCACTGATGTAATAAATGGTGTTGTAATTAAATAGGAATCTGACGTATAAAGTATTTTCAATTTCACTTATTTATTTTTCAGTTAATTATTGTAACAGGATTGTTGATCAAAATACAGTAGGTTTAATTATTGATCTTGAATAGCATTTACTTTGTTTGGTTAACCGTGATTAACACTACCTTTTTAGTGGCTGTCATTTAATGATAATTCGATTTAATGGTGTCACTTTCCTAAATCAACCAATACAACATTATTCTATCTCACCTCACCGAACTAAATTAAATTTTAAACATTTCACTTTCTTTACGCAAGCAGTTAAAATTGAAGCTTTTACGAACCGCTTTCCCGGATTTGAGATGAATTTGTTTGATTGTTTTGTACTTTTAGATAAACCAGACGATGCTAAAATACATAGAAGTTGACACATTTTTACGAACATTTGCTGAAATGATAGTCTTGACATTTTTAAATTTTCTATATTTTTTGATACACCCTCTACAGTGTCGCCTTCTTTACATTATAAAAAGCAATGCATTCTCTTAATTTAGAATATCTAATTGACAAAAAACATCTTTATCATCTAATTCACCAAAAAAAAGAGTTTAGTCTTCCTCATCAACAGTTACTTTATCACTCTAAAATAAATTTAGTCTCATCTCAAACTGTAACAACAAGTACGTCCTTAATATTGTTTGCAAATTCTTCTGAAAGTCATTTGATTTCATAGTTGACCGTTCACCCTTGCGTTAAAACATTGGGCAAAGAAGGTGATTTGATGACCTCCTAATCATGGCTACTCAGTCGGCAGTATGCGAGTGAAGCTTCAAAGCAGATTGGCAGAAGGGTAATAAAGATAAATAATTTTGCAATATTTGTTGTACTCTTCCTGGAACATTTTGTGTCAAATTAATCTTACGCTCTTCTTAAGACATTCATCAAGAAGATCCACACATTCTTCTAGAAGAGCAATTGTATTATCTGTTAGACTGCAGTTAAATCCTACTTGTTGAAATGCTTTGTGAAATTTCGGATTCTAGGATTTTCTTACAAGCTCCTTTTCTAGTGCAAAAAATATGAAATGCAATTATAGCAAGTGAGTGGAAGGCCTGTGAGACCTTTAATAGTGACATCACAGAGCGACAGGCCTCTTCAATTTTCTAATTCTAAAATCAATAAAACATTTGTCTTTCTCATCAATACATTTTGCTATCAAAACAACTATATGCATCAGCATCTCCAGCTGGTAACGAAAGATTATATTTTTAGTTGGAAATCTTTTTAGGGCATGTTTACATTATGGAATATATGCAACCTTTCAACTGTATCAGTCTTGTTACAAACGAGATCATTTTGAACACAATTAAAATTTTCACGCGTAATTTTTTTATGTAGTTATTTTCCCTGTGGAAATATACATTTCTTTTCACATCACTATTTTTAGAATCTTTACTCTTTCCTTTAGCAATATCTTGATTATCCCCAGGATGAGACGAACCTCGCTTTATTCTTGAATTTTTTTTATTCGAGCGAAACAAACGAGGAACTCGTTTTTATTCTGAGAATAAAAGAGCTTGTTTGAAGATTTTAGAATTGAATCTAACTTCTGCAAAGCATTTTAACACTTGGGGCCCGTTGCACGAAGCTTGAATATCGTTATCCATTAGATACTCATAGTAATATTCTCAAACTTGTCAAAAAACGACTGTATATTTTTGTCACGGCAAAAGAATTTTGTAATCTTAGAAGCAATATTTTATTTCAGTGATTACTTAGTTCAAATTTTATATTTTTCCTTTTTAAAAAATTCTTAAACCTTTAAAACGTTCAACCTGCGCCAGGGAGCAAGCTGGAATAATACGGATTAGCTACATGTATTTGCGATTTTTGAAGAATTTGTCATGTTTTCTTCGTAGATACCAAGAAAAAAGCATGAATTTACTCGAGACCAGATGTTTTGGAAAATATGTAGCAAAAGTTGCTGAATTATTTTTTTCTCTCAGTTACCCATCTGTGGATCTATGTTGTAACCTCACACATACACTGCAAACTGTGAACCAAGATTATGGACGTAATCAAATCACTAAAGAATCACTGTGCCCAATGTTTACGCACGGGTGAACGGTAAACTGTGAAATCAAACGACTTTGTTTTGAAAGAATTTCCAGACAAAATTGAGGAAATGCAACTAGTTGCTGTTGTAGCTTGAGATGAGACTGAAGATTTATTTTAAAGAGATGAAGAAATCATTGATGAAGAAAACTGAATTCTTCTGAGTTAAAGTTTTTAATTATTAATTTCACTGTCTAATCAGCCCTGTTATTTTGGGGGAAATGTGTGTTTTCGTATAAAAATATATGTTTAGTGCATTGTGACATGGATTTATTCGAAAATCTGTAGCAAAACATGAATTCATGAAATACCACATGAAATTCCCACATGAAATTCCCACATGAAATACCAAAAAAAAAACTGTAAAGTTTTTAAAAGTAAAGAAATCGTCATATTTTTTAGCAAGTTGCTATGTCACAATTGTGTAACTTTGATCAGTTGTGTTTTAATTGTTGTTATATATCGTATTTACTCATACTTTTCACTAAAATTAATGTTTTATCGCTATAATAATCATATTCGCTTCTATTGCATAATATTCCGGTGCCTGCTTCTTATTGGCATTTTAATATTTAGTTAGTACGACTTTTACTGGTTATTACTGTCATTTGAAATCAGTAGACCACCGACCAACGCTTGTAAGTGTATAGTAATTACTAAAAAATTACTACGTTTTGTCTGTGCTATTTATTTTTATAAAATATTTTACAGTGGTTTTTAAGCAAGTAACTGTAAAAGATACTAACCAGCTGCTGACAAAATATATCTCATATTTCACATCTAAATTTTCGTTGATTTGTTGAACATCCGAATATGTTTAAAGTACTTAGCATGTATTTTTTCTTTTTCTAAATACCATTGTTAAAAAAAAACTATTAGATATGTTTGAATTTGATCTGTGAAATGTATAGTCTGAAGAGGTTTTTCATTTGTCTTACGGTTGGTTAGTATATTTCGTTTGAATTATTACAATACTGTTCAAAATTTCTTTTTTATTAACTAAAAATGTCTAATGGAAAACAAAGTGCCTGTATATATCATCTGTACATTTCATCACCTTGATGAATGGTAAAAATTTAACATCACGTCTTCCATAATATTTTGCTGGATGTACATACCATAAAAATCTTGATATCGTACACACATAAGAATATAGAAGCTCTCTGCTTTGCTTGCAGCAATTATTTGTAAACGTATTTTTTATTGCAGCAAGAGTTGGAGTTTCTGGCTAACCTAATGTACCATTTGATAATTAAACTTTTATAAAATAAACAACAAATAGTAAAATTGATAGAAAAGTTTACAAAGTTAGTCAGAATTGCTGCAGTACATACACACCTTCCTTGCTCTGCTAACAATAGTGAAATTATTGAAATAGCATAATAATTGAAAGCATTTATTCGTTCTAAAAATTAGGAACTGGACACTCTAGCTACGTGCAGTTAAAGTAACTAAAAAATACAAGTAGTATTAGTGTAATAAAAATACATGTTGAAAGTATGTTGTAACTAATAACGAACTAATGATTCTTACTGTCAAATTGTATGAGAAAATTTTCTTTTCTGTTTTGTGTTCCTGAGATCTAAATAAAGTTAGAAAACATCTCATATAAGATATATTAAGCATTTTTGCATCGGGATTCTAGTTTTTTCTATTCCGACAATAATACTTGTAAATTTTCCATATATTTTTAAACACTACGGAGCGCGCTGAGATAATACTCAAAAAAGTCTTTTTATCAGTGTACTTCCTGCTGTGATCTTTTAAATAGATCGTAATGCAAAACAGGTATTCGACACAGTTTGATGGTTATAATCTGAGGCGTACAAAAACGACGACAATATCAAAGTTTGTCATCTTGTTAAACACTCAAAGCTCGTCAAATTGATTGTAAGTTTTTCAGACTAAGTTGTGTTGTATTATATACACTAGACTATTAAGTGCTAGCTACGCGTCAAGATGTTACTGAGTTGAATATAAGTAAAATGTTTAATGAAAAGTTTCATCTTCTTTCTATATGTCGTAGTTGCTCTCAATCTTTGAGCTATCTACATCATTAGCGGTGGAGATATTTACCGCCAAAAACGTAGCTAAATCAGAAAAAAAATGTAGAAGCGATAAATATACAGAGTAAAACGTTTCTATAGAGTTTAAGGTTTTCGCTGATATTACCACCATTAATAAAGTTATGTGTCTATGGAAATCTTAGAACATGGTTATTTGCAAGTTTAGATTATTAACGTTTGTGCTTGGGTCGATGTTATTCATACTTTCTCAGGTTAAAGCTAAAGGCGACAGTATAAATATATACTGGTGGGCGGAAGTTGACACGCAAGCAATTTTTTCACGCTGATTGTACACTGCTCTTAAATTGGACCAAATATTTTGTATTGATTGATTCAGAAGTATGGTTTAGTGAACAGTGATTTACTTTGCATTTAGGCTAGAAATTAATATGATTCGTAAACAAATTAAAAGATATTAAATCAAATTTTGAAGATTATGGAATAGTTTACATACAGAATAAGATAAATATAGATAAGCAAAGGTTTGAAGGAAATAAGTCAATCTAAATGCTCATTGAAAGTTGAAACGCCTTTTTTGAGTATTGTATGTAGTGCATTAAATCAATGAGTAACCACAAATTTTGCGAAATTTCTGTTTGCAAAAGATTAGAAAGAATTGTATTGGCCAGTATATCTTTGATATTTGGCGCATGCAAATATATTTTAATGTTACAAGGAAGAATTTGCTTTTAACGTCTAACTAATCATTGGTAATAATAGTCAAATTAAACAGATAAATTTCCCGAAATTAACTAGAAAACAGAGTTGGAATGTTCTACAGAGACATGTATAAGTAATATGGAACCAACTAATGAGAGCTCAGATAAATCTGTGCATTATTATAAGAAGAAATCAAACTCATACAGCAGTCAAGCAGAAGCTATGTCATTTTTTGAAGAAGGAAATTTTAGTATGAATAATGGTGATTATGGAACAGCAATTGAAAACTACAAAAGATGTTTAGAAAATGCCGACGAGGATAAATTCAAAATGATGGTTTATTTTGGTCTGGGTAACGCTTGCACCCTCTCTGATAATTGGGAGGAAGGATTGAACAGTTTTAATCATTGCTTAAAGTTTTCGTCTGAAGTTGAAAGTGAATATTTTGAACATCAAGTATACCTAGGCCTGGGGAGTGTTCATTCTACCATTAAAAGATTGGAGGAAGCCATGAAGAAAGATGAAATGGAATGTCTCTGCCATATTGCATTGGGAGGATTGAACAAGTCGCTTGGATATTATGAGAAATCTTTGGAGCATTATAGAAAAGGATTCTCTTTTATTGATTATGAACACCAAGAAGCAGAAATGCAATCTCGACGACGGAAAGAAAATCAACAAGGAAATCAACAAGAACAAAATAAGCGGCGTGAACGACCGCGACGACCAAGAAAAGTTGGTGGTATTAACGTTGGTAAAGATTTCGTTAAACATAACTTAAAGAGCCTGTCAGTAGTTACTTCAGCTGGAATTGTCAGTGGAGTGTTGGCTGTTTCATGGGAATTAGCAGAATTGTTTGATAAACTTGAGCAATATAGGGAAGCAGCAGATATTTATGAAATGTATCTGGAGATTGTCAAAGAAGATGGAGATATAGAAAAACAAACGAACGTCATGAAGCGTCTGAAGCAAATATACTATGAAGACGAGCGTCATTACTTAATGGATTCAATTACAACGAAATTACAAGAAATTGAAGAGAGAAAAAAGAACCAAGGTACAAAACGCACATGAATTAAGAGACAAATATGCTAATTAACAAATACTATAAATTTAAGGTTGAAGATTAAAAATATCTCCTTTGAAATTCCCGTAGAACTTGTTCGTTGTGGAAATGTTTAGCATGAATTCAATGTAAAATACGCACGCTTTTTTAACTTTTATGCAAAGTACCTAATAACTTTTCGTTTAGTTACAAAAACTAGTTTTAGTTTTTGTTTTTCGATTTTGCAAAACAATACTCTCGTGATATGAGTAAAAGACATGGGTGAGATTTCCCGTGAAAGAGCTTTTTAGAGCCATTCTTATCAGAACTTATTGCTTAAATGAGTGGTTGTAATATGTTTATTTGTTGTTTTGTAAGATTTTTTTCACAAATTGTCTCTGCTATCTGAATCGTTGGTGCAATATTGAAACTCGAGCACTGCTATTTATTTATTATTTGACTATTTAGCTACAATATATTACTCTCTCTATAAATAGAATACTTTTACTACTATTTCAGAATTGCAGCTGCGTGAATGGAAATACAATGATAAATCGACAAAACATAAAGAATTGTTCTTAAAATTAATTGAGTATGGGAAAGACCCTAATGTTGAGGTTAAACATGTGGACGATGTACGTGTAGTTTTCTCGGAACAGTTTTTACTTGGCAGAGGAAGTGATGGAACCCGTGTTTATCTTGGACTGGGAAAGGATGGTTACGGTAAAGCAGTAAAACAAATTCTTCGAGATAATACTTATCTGGCACAGAAAGAAGAAGAAATTTTTAATGAAATCAATGCTAAGAAGTCGGATTATGTTGTAAATTATTATTGCTCGAGACAAGATACAGGAACGGATTATGTCCATTTGATTCTCGATCTATGTGAAGAATCGTTGGAGTATTTTGTGCTATCCGAATCAAATAGTTTAGATTATCTTCAAAAATGCCTTCCCGACATTTTCAAGCAAATATTGAACGGCTTAGTTGATCTTCACAGCGATCCACGTCCCATTCTTCATCGAGATTTGAAACCTTCCAATGTTCTCCGAGACACACAAGGCAAATTCTTGATAGCCGATTTTGGTATTAGTCGAATTTTGAAAGACTCTCAGACATACAAAAGCGAAGCTAATAGGGGAACTCCGCATTGGATTGCCCCTGAATCTTATATTGTTGATAAAAACTTTCTTGATAAAGCACGTTACAAACCAGAGTCTGATGTAATGGTAGGTATTGGGTTGTTACTATTTGCAAATTGTACGTAAATTTAATTTTTACATTTTATGTACTCTATTATGTTTAATTTATTTTAGAATGCGGGAATGGTGGCTTACTTTGTTGCAACAAAAGGAAAACATCCTTTTGGTACTAAAGAGTGCATACTTAAAAATTTGTTGAATGGAAAGCCTGTTGGCTTAAAGGAAATCAGTAATTTCGAACTAAAGGATCTTCTTTCGTGGATGCTACAACTTAAACCCGAACACAGGCCATCTGCAAAGGAGGCGTTAAAACACCCTTATCTACTATCTGATGAAGAAAAGTTTGACTTGCTGTGTGAAGTTGGGAATCAACCCGAGATAAAGATACAGCATTTAGATCATCTTCTCTGCTCAGATGTCTATGAGGGGATAATTGGTCTCGAAAATTGGATGAACCGTCTCATTCCTGAATTCGATGATCATTTCAACAAGAAATTCTACGACTCTACATGGTTGGGATGCTTAAGATTCATACAAAACGTTGATCAGCATTGGCATGATGAGCATCATACAAAACTGTCACCATATATCAAGGAAGGCAACTATAAAGAGTATTTTGTACGGGTTTTACCAGAGCTTCCTCTTCTGGTGCACAGAATCATAAGATTAAATGAATGGATCTTAAGACCCGATATGGAAAAACGTATTCCTAGTAAGTTACAGCCATAGAAATAATTCTTCAGTTTTAACGATATTGCTAGATAATATCCATTTTCCCGATTGGTAACACCGGAACATATTAGGGTTTTTTACTTATTTGCATTGTTTGTCCGAAGCTCTTGTAGCGCTTTTGTTTCTCCGGTTGAAAAAATGCAAAGTATAGCATATGCGGCCGAGAAATCTGTTTAGGTTTTTTTCTGCAATTGGTTTTTGTAAATAGTAAATCCATTCCTTGATTCATGTGCAATTCGTCACGCACGTGATCTCGCGTTACTTTCACGTATGTATTATGAGTGAAAAATATAAAACTGTTAAAGGCTAAGACTATACATACGTGGAGCCACACGTAATCTTGCGCGTGACTCCATAAACATTTCACATGAATACAACCATTGAATTCTATAATAACTGGAGCGGATATCTCTAACACGACTTTATTTAGCAGCTGACGCCAAAAAATGGAGAATTTGTTCCATTATCGCTGAGATTTACCGAAATTGAGTGCTTTTCCGAAAATCTCACAATTTCTCTCTCCCCCTTAAGAAAGAGTGAGGAAAAATTATATGTTTTTTAGCATGTTTGGCATGCATTTTATGATGAAAATCACTGTAAAAACATAAATTTCATAAAAGTGAGTCTACTGTAGTTGCCAGTTGTCGGATTCCACGACCGATGCCTTTTTTACCTATTGACGAACGAGCTATTTGTTGGCTACATATGAATGAAGATTTGCGCGTCGTATCTGTCGTTCAATGGTTTGCTCGATCAAAGTTTGTAGTCTGCACGAAACAAAATATATCATATTTTATCTCAACGGATCACGAGAGAAATGTTAGCTCATGTATTCTCATTCGTTTTTTACTTTCTTTCATGGAATGGCCTTCTTCGCAACACTTGTAGGATTTGTTTTTGTTCATACATCTCGCGTTTTGTAAATGAATAATGAAAAAAATATTGTATACAAATCACGAGAACCTTTAAGATTTTTGTGGTCTTCTGAACAAGAACTGCATCAAATACTTGTCAAGTTGTAGCATATTTGATTTCGTTGTAATGATGGTGAAATGGCAAAAATGCAAATAATTAAAACATTTAAATTACAATAGTGCTTATAATACATAAATACACAACTGTGAATTTAATACTTCTCTTTTTTATGTGTTTCCTATTAGCCACGTGAGTTCAGAATTTGATTGACTAATAAAGCTTTCACCTCAATAATGAATTTTACACCCATATTTAATATTAGTTGTTATGGGATTTTTCCCTCTAAGTATGGTGTTGTTTATACAAGAATAATGAACTGCATGTACACGTGTTAAAATAAGGCAATAAAACCAAATGAATTTAACACATTTTGTTTTCTTTAATGCTAGAAGCTTAACAGCTTTTCAGAAATCATAGAGTTATCAAACTGTACTACCTGTATTTCATTAATATTATGAAATGAATTAAGAAGCAAAAAATTGAAGAAAAACTTGGAAAAGTCAAAACATTTGCCTGGTTTAATACAGCAAAAATAAAGCAAATGGCAAATTTCCATTCTGTATGTTATTAGATAAATAGGCTCAAAATATTTTTTCAGCTAAAACTGAATTTAAGAAGAAATATGTAGCACTGAGGTTTTCATTACTGAATCCTTAACGCTTCATTATGGCATGCGTTCCATATAAGTAACATTCAAACAACATTCTACTAAAATAATTTAATAAAGATATGACATGATTTTACAATTTAGTTATACAAAACAGTTGTACAGTTGCAGTACGTCATCATCAATCTTAGTATCAATATTGACACAAGCACAAACTTTATGGTCTTTTTACATAACATTTCATCAAGCATCAAGACACACAAAACCTTGTTATCTTTATTTGGTATTTGACCTTTACTTTCAAAGCATTCAAGGCATCTTTGTTAAATCCATTATCTCCATACATAGAATTAGTCTAAGTTCAATTAACTGTTGGACAGGGAAGTCTGTAAATCATTTACCTTTGTTTGTATTCAGCCTTAGCATTTTCAGTTCGACTCTATCTGGTCAATTGCACCTTCCAATTGTCTTAATATAATGATCTAAGAAATAGTGGTACTGCAGCATATTCCAGAAATATTTTGCTATCCGATCATCTCTTCATGTTGTCAGCAAATTGATCACAACAAACTCTGCTCTTCTTCATGGGTTATCTTTGGGGGTGATCGTTTTTCATAGTATCTGCCCACTGAGTAAAAAGAGCAGAAACTTTTTTTGCGTCAGGGAAACTACTTTGCAAATAGATGTACGGTTTCACACATTAACAAATAAGTGAAAAAGTATGTTGATATTTAAAAATAAAAACAAGAAAACATCAGTCGGATTTTATCGCTTAGGCTTCAAGTTCAATTGCTTTTCAATTTTTGATGAACAAACAAAACAAATATCTCATCTGTGAAAGCGGCATGTTCCTTTTTGTGGACACTACGATATCCAACAATTGAATGATTGAAGTGTTGGCATTTTAAAAGAAATGCCAAAAAAATATCGTGCTTGTTTTTGAAAACTGCTGTATAAATAGCTATAGATATCAGGGGGAGGTGAGAATATAATTTTTTTGCAAAGCGATCATTTCAGCGGAAATAGGTCCATTGGCCGCCATTTTTTGGCGTCAGGTCCCAGTCCACATAGCCGCTCCAGTTATTATAGAACTCAATGAATATAACACCTAGTTTATGTAATAAATGATGACGAATGATCAAAAAAACGAAAAGCTTGATTCAACGTATGAGAAGGAAAGCATATTTCTAGCTATACTTATACACAGAAGAAGTTTTGATTGACTCTAACTTTGGATGACTTTCTAAGAACCATGCTCTAACTATCGCCATTACGAAAAATGATCTCAAGTAGCAAGTTTAGAGCTATCAACGATATGTATATTAGGCGGAACACTGATATGTATATTAGACTGGATAACGCATCTCTTGAGAAAATTGAAGCAGGAAGATCGATCGTTTGCTACTGGCTTCATGGGGGGTATCGGTCCCACTTTACTATACTTTTTTATTACAAAATAAAAGTTTTCGCGTTTTTATTCCTTTTACAAACTTCTGATAAAAGCAAAATTTTTATGACATGTAGAGGAAAAGCGATAGAGAGTTTTAACCCTGAAGCTCTGTTTTTTTTTGCTTTGTAACGACTGAAAAATAAGATGGCAAGTTGTATTGAAATTTGAAAGTTGAAGGTGACGAGGACAATTTCAGCCGTGCGAGGCATTTTTAGAAGATGAATACTTAAATTACAAATTTACAACAAAGTAAGAACAAAGGTATTCATATTTTCAACATATTCATCGATATTAAAGTTGTTCACATAAGAACTGGTTGAAAACCTTGCTTCGCTTAATGACAACAGAGGTACTTTTATTCGCATATTTTGATGATGTACATCTCGTAGAGTTTGATGACACCGTTTTCAACTTACTATTGTTCATCAAAATGTCTTTCTGATTATTTTTCTATGTCGATTTGTTTTATTTCTTCACTGATATAATTAAGACGTAATTTGAAATTATTATGATATTAGCGATGTGAATAACAAAGTGTTGTTAAATAAGTAAATTTGTAGCAATCTTCCATAAACGTCATTGCAGATGAAATTTTTGTAGCAGTAGTAGGATTCTGTAATATTTGTTTATTTTTTAAGCAGCATCATATAATCTCCAGTTTGTTTCAAAACAATGCAATTCGACTTTGTACCATCTCAATTTTCTGCCATTATAAAGCCAAGAAGACAAACTTTTTAGGATTAAATATCCTTGCTGGTTGTTCTGCCCTTTTGACGAAAATTTTACTCAAATCAAAAGTTTGTAGAACGAATAAAAACGTAAAAACTGTGATTTTGTAATACAAAAGTATAGTGGAGTGGGACCGATACCCCCCACGAAGGTCAAAATCAGATGAGCCAACTTCCGGCTTCAATTATCTTACTGTATTTTATACATGGTGCGTAATATTCTTGCCTAAATTCTTGCAAAATCGTGTATGAATAAAATTTTGCAAGATCGAAGAAAAATCTTGCCTAAATTCTTGCAAAATCTTGCATTAATAAATCTTGCAAGATCATAACAAAATGTTGCCTAAATTCTTGCAAAATCTTGCATGAATAAAATTATGCTAAATCATGAAAAAATCTTGCCCAAATTTTTATAAAATCTTGCAGGAATAAAATATTGCTCGATCTTGACAAAGTCTTGCCTCATTTCTTGGAAAATCTTGCATGAACAAAATCAATTCTTAACTACTTATTAATATTTTACTGTCCTTAAACATCACAAAGAAAGTATAAAAGTCAAGAAATTGAAGAAAACACTAAGCTTTGGGTTACAGTGTACTTTTCATTTCTCTTAATTAGCGTATAATTTAAAAACTACATGGTAAAATTTTTTTAAACTTGGCCATATTGTAGATATTTTTAATGCTTAAAGTATATTTTACCGTGTCATTCCAAATCATTCCAAATCATTACTAAACAAAGGACTGTTAATAAAAAACTACACGGTAGAATTTTTTTAAATTTTTTCATACAGTAGATATTTATATTGTGTAAAATATATCCAAAATCTGGAGAGTGCACAAAAAATAAATTGTAGAAAATCATCGACATAGTTAGATGACACGAATGCGCGTAATATGATCTTATGTAATTAAGTTGAGACTTCCAAATCATTACTAAACAAAGGCCTATAAATGAAAAACTACACGGTAGAATTTTTTAAGCTTAGCCGTATTGTAGATATTCTTATTGTCTATAACATATCCAAAGTCTGGAGAGTGCACGAAAAATTATTAATACAATTTACTTTTTACAAAATTGTTTCAATGTAGTAAACTCTGTTAGTTTGTTAATACCCAATTAATTATGCAGTGACGTAACAGTGCTGGTTATCTTTCTTGAAAGTTTGTTCTAGTTGCTCATCGCTTTTAATTTTTTCAAAATTTAGTGAATCTAGTAAAGTAAATGACATAATTAGTTTACTTTATTATCTTATAATTACAAATCGGCTATTATTTACCACAGTACTTTTTTTTCTATCGCATTTTTTTACGTTGTTAACACGATGTTAACAAAATGTTCGTGTTGCATTATGAACTTATATGAAGTTACTTTATTTCGACGATTGATATAGAATTGAACATGATTTTGGGCAGAGTTTAATTACTAACGCTCTTGCCCGTTTCTGCTTCTTAATCATGTCACTGTAGCTAAATAGGAATGCAGTTATTTGAATGTTTTATGCAGTGCGGTGTTTGAAATTAAATGAAGATATGATCTTCGCACTTTGCTGGACAATTTAAGCAATCGTCTCAGGACCTGAAAAAATCAGGTGACTCAACGGGATTCGAACCCATGACCTCTGCGGTGCCGGTGCAGTGCTCTGACCAACTGAGCTATGAAGTCACACAGTGGTGAGCAGGTCAATATTGTTGGGCTCATGTTTTCTCGTGAAATGAATGTCATATGAATGTTTTTAAAAGTCTAGTTTTTTATTAACAGTCCTTTGTTTAGTAATGATTTGGAATTCTCAACTTAATTATCTAAGATCATAATACGCGTATTCGTGTGACCTAACTTTGTCGATGATTTTCTATAACTTTTTTTTTGTGCACTCTCCAGATTTTGGATATACTTTAGGCATTAAAAATATCTACAATATGGCCAAGTTTTAAAAAATTTTACCGTGTAGTTTTTAAAGTATACGCTAATTAAGAGAAATGAAAAGTACACTGTAACCTAAAGCTTAATGTTTTCTTCATATTCTTGACTTTTATACTTTGTTTCAAGGACAGTAAAATATTAATAAGTAGTTAAGAATTGTTTTTTACTGTTGTATTTGATAGAAAAAGTGTTTTAAAGAGGATTTTTCAATTCATCATTTTGAATGATAAATTTTGGTTGAATGTGGTGATAAATGTTGTGATGAATGTTGTGTTGATTGTCGTGCCCATGACTTGAAAAACCTAATGAATAATTTAATCTTGGTGTACAACCCAATGTCACAATGTCACAATTCACTTGTCTTGAAATATTCAATAAATTGCTTGGCAAACATTCAACGCTGCGGAAAAATTATTCAACAAAACATACCCAAAAATATTTAATAGCTTGTGATGAACACAGTGGTGCACCATAAAAACAACAACACCCACTAGAGTTATCAGCAATATTTGTTTGTTTCGCTGTTTGCAATGAGTATGGCAATTTAGTAAAAAAAGATGGTTTTCAGGAGCTAAATAATGCAACATTTCGTGCATACATGAAAATGATGTTAGAAAATATAGATAACACAAAGCAAGCAACAAAATCTCACCGTCATTTTTCAGAAATAAAAAATATCAAATGATTAAGACAAGCCAATATTAGATTGCAGGCATACACGTACGAGAGCTATCATTATTTTTTAAGTAGGGTGGGGGGTGAAGTAGGTATATAACCCTCATTTTATAATAAAGTAACGGACTTATTGACTTCAAATTACACTTCATAATTTCTTTCTTCTTTATTTTTCGTCCTCCCAAGAGTAAAATCTGCTCAAGTTGTCAATCTTCAAACTGTTTTAGCAGAGTATCTGCCTCCACTCCCCAGTCCTCCCTGTCCCTTACGCCTATTGGTGGATGTTAATCATCTCATCATTTTTACATTCTTTTCGTCTTTATGCTTATAGTTTACTTTCAAAAAATTACACTTTAAAACAACATATTTTAATTGTTTTTACGAAAAACAATGACTCGATAATTGCTTACATAGTAGAGGAACGTCTTGGAAGAGGCTGGCAATTGATGCTTAGTTATGGTGATTTGAAACAAAAAAATCTTTTTTGTATTCAGGTCATTGGTCATTGGTTTGAGAATAAAGGGCACGACTTCTTCGTTTGTCTTGTTATGAGTAATCACGCATAGAATAGTGATCATTTCATGTTTTTATTCAGCTTTACGTTACGCTTTGGAAGATGATGATGATGATGATGATGATGAAGACATTGTATCTTCAGTCAGACGAACGGACCGTTATAGTTTCCATTTCAAGCACAGCAAGTCAATATCATTGAGCTCAGATAAGAGAACAGCTGAACGTCAATGTCAATTTTTGATGCCTGGAAATGGCATAGTTTTTAGTGATCAACCTTTACGAGATAATGAAGTGTTCGAGGTTTCTGTTGATAAGTTGGTTCCAGCCCTGTTTGGAAGAAGTGATATTACACTGGACATAGGTAAGCTAGTAAATAGTTATTTGGATACAAATTACAGCTCCTTAGCGTATCCAGAGCGCTGTAAACGCTTAATTTTTAAAATAAGTAAAACATCTGCGTGGTCATTTAGCCAGATCATGATTTCTTAATAGATATAATTCTAAAGGACAAAATAGTGATTCTTTTTCTTTGCGAAAGTTCATTCAAAATTCAAATATTCTTTTCCAAATTCATACTTTATCTAATCAAAAAACAATTAAGACATTTCCCTATATATTCGATAATTAAAGGTTAACGTTGTTAAAGTTACAATTCTTTAAAGTCCATCTCACTTAGTGGCATATCTACCATAGATAATTCGGGAGGGCAATATTCATATATGAATGCTATAATTTGACGAAAAAAATTGATTTCAAAGGAACTCCATAAGGCAGACATGAATATTGAAATAGTGCTCCCTCCCTCCAAATATTGAGCTGGCTACGCCACTGATCTCAATATACTGGTTTTAGCCACTAGCTTATGGCAATTAAATATTATGTTGACACGCTTATTTATATATTTGATTAAAATATAAGTAAAATGTATATTATGTAAACGTTAGTATACCTAAATGGGGAATGTCATCCCAAAGCCTTGATTCTTTTTTTCCAAGTGTTGCAAGTACGTTAATGCGTAAAAACAACAACAATAACAACAAAAACAATAACAACAATAGCAATAACAATAACAACAATAACAATGACAACAACAATAACAATAGCTTTAACCCGTTACATTTGCAATACTTAGGAGTGACGTCGTTGAATCCATCGTACATGAATTTACCACAAACAATGACTGATCTTACAACTGGAACGTGGATGCTAAGTGGTGATCAGGTCGTGAGAAATAAAGTAATAATCAAACGAAGGTCTGTTAAACTTAATCATAGAGATTAGCAATAATATAGAAGCAGCTAAATTGGAGTTTAAAACAAAAGAACTTCATAGACGTTCTTCAATTGCTACACCAATATGGCGGTTATGACGTCATGTGAAAACGCTGAATAACTGAGTTTCAAATAACTTACAATAAGTGACTAACAACAAACGAGTAAATAGTGAGGGATTTTTCCTTGAGAGGTTCAAAAGGCAAAGATCGTTGGGTGGTAATTTATTACATGTGAGCATCGTTCATCATTTTGTAAACAGAAATATTAACTGAGCAAATCATTTTTCCTTTTTGATGTTTTTGATTATTTTACAAAAAATTCTCCAAAGTTTACTCATATAATGATTCGTTATCTTAACTGTGTAGATATTGTCAAGATCTTAACACCTTATCTATTGGAGATCGTATTGGTGTGTGTAAAAGAGATAATGACTCTCTTCATTTTTTCATTAATGGAAAAGATCAAGGACTTGCTGCTTCAAGTTTATTCCAAGGTAGCAAGAGTAATAAAGATAATATTTATAGTAGTATTATCTTGAACATGTTAAAGATTCACGTTGCATTTGTTAATATTCCTGTTGCATTTGAAGAAGTTTTTGCTGTCGTCGATCTTTATGCAAGATGTACTAAAGTGTCTATTGTATCACCTGGAGGTCCACCATCTGTCTCAAACTCACATCTCTTAACAGGTTTGTACTTTGAATCCATGCCAGCATAGATGCTAGCTAAATTAAGAACCGAGTTCCAATATCCAAGTCAATTTATTCAGCACACATCTGGATGAACACTATTGAAAGGACAAAAAATGGTCCACGAGCTTTTGACTTTAAATGTCAAACACTCATGCATTTGTGCTTTCTTCTTGATAGTCCGTACAAGTAATGCGCTCCGAAGTCGTTCAGTGTGATTGGGTAAATATGGTCACGTGAGTATCTCACCGCCATTTTTGTTGCAAAAGCGCAAATTATAAATAATTTTTATAATAACAAAAGACGAATATTAAAAAAATGTTTACAATGATTTTATGTTTCGTTATAATTGTGCTAGTCAAAGCAATGAAGAATAGAAACTTACGCGCTCCCTTGTGGCAATAACAGTATTAAGGCGCATAAATTACACCCATTGCATTAAATAAATGCTTTTCATAGTTATGATCTATAAACAACGGAATAGTAGTGATCACGTGAATAAGACGGCACAACAGAAAATTTGTCTTTCCTCCCTTTAATGATCAATTTTATTTTGGCTGGCTTTTAGAACAAAAATGGCGGACGCTAAGCAATTTTACTTACGCATGTAATAAAAACGACAAGTTTTTTTTAAGTGCAAAAAAACTTGTCGTTTTTATTAAATGCGCATTATCAATAGTGCTTTTACGCAGTTACGGCAATTTTACTTACGGTGTCCCAACTCATTTTTATGTGCTCTTGTGAAAACCAATCTGAGCTCAATGAATTAAATCAATCAACGAGGCTTTGCAAATCGATTATGAATACATGTAAGAGGAAAAGTTATAAGGTTTATCTTAAATTTATCTGCTTCGCATTATTGTTATTTTCTAAAAGAGACAAAGGATGATTTTCGTGTTTGCACTGGCTTATAAGAACATGATAAACAAAAAAGTATATATGTATACTCTTGCCTATAAAATCAACATAAACCGTCGTCTCAGTTACCCAGGCACCAGCATCATCTTATGTGAATAATATTATACAGATAAACACAGTTGAATTGCTTCTAAGCTCTAATTACATTTTTACGTCGTTGTAAAGACAACAATTTGGAGGCCCGCGCGAAAAAAATTTCACAAGCACAAGAATTATGCATGACAGTTATTTTTTCTAAGCTTTCTGAAAATTAAGATTGCTAATTCATATTATAGCTATTATAAATCAAGTTCAACAAAGGACAGTTTCTGCGCTCCCGGAGAGCACAAGTTTACCAATGGCAAATGTATTCTTTGTAAACGATGCAACCAGTGTTGTGGTTATGGAGCCAATTGTATAAATGCAAGCCAAAAATATCCATCTCCAGGGGGATAAGAAATACGTTAGATGGAAAGTTGAAAGTTTAAGCCTAAGGTTTTAATAAAAAGTTTTTTAATTTAATCAGTGCAAGTGCTTGAGCAGCTATATATCAACGAAAAGCTTCTTTCATCTTTGACATAATTGAATTGCGTTGTATCTTATTGAGTGATAGCTTAAGCGTAGAAAATGAGATAAGGAGCTAGTCAGTATAACGATCCCTGTACAGTAGTAATTCCGAGGTGGGGAACGCCTTCCTATTAAAATACAAATTCTCCTTACAAACTATAAAACAAGCACTAGGGTGTAGATCTCAGATTTAAACTGATCACTACCAATCTATACAAATCATCTGTCCTAGATCTTTAATTAAAAAAACTTACATTACTAAAGGAAAATGAAAATGGGAAACAAGGCTTAGGCTGTGGAACAATGTGGTTACTTATCGCTTAGACTTGGAGCCTTAATTGTTGATCACTTTTGTTTTCAAAGTTATTTATGAGCATAGTAAATTTTAGATGTGTGCACTTTTTAACAAGCTGTCTACTGTGCAGCTATCAATTTTTGTATGTATGTATGCTTGCCGCAGTTGTACATTTAGCTTTGCTAAATAACTAGAGCATATTATCACGTGACTAGATGAACATTTTAAACACGTAATTCTAATATTGTTAAAAGTTTAGTGTTTCTTCATTTAATCTTAGTTTATGTGGCTGCGGCTATGGTGATGGTGGTTGACAAAAATGTGGAATATGTATGAATTGTGCTGAAATATTGAAAGATATGACCAAACATGAGCAAATTGTGAAAGCAATGTGTTTAGTGTGGATTGACTAATGTAGGGAATGTTTTTCATTCTATTATACAAAATGACAGCTTTTTCAATCATATTTCATTCATATAAACAGAACATCAATGTTACTATTGCAAGCAAGCCTTTCTTGCTATGTTTTAATGTTTTATATGAGATATTTGTTTCCCCAAGTGTAAAGTATGCTGGGTGTGCTGTCTATTCCAAGAAGATAAGCCGATTTAATTAAGCGTATAAGGAATTAACATCTAAACTTACATTTAATATAATTGGCTCATAAATCATAGCTCTTAATAAAAAAAAGCGATCAATGCATTTAACATAACAGAGTAATTTTTTCACATGTCGATCAATAAACATTTTTGGAAAATGTTTTCAATCAAATTTATGTCTCTGTTTTTGTAGCAATATATGCATGTGCGATTTAGAATAATTTCATACCGATGTTTTATGAAAGAATATGTTTTTTATTTGATAATTTTCCACTGTTAGCTTTACAGACCCAAAAACTTGAAAAGAATCAATTGCCCAGGTAGCATTGCAAGTTTTAATTCGACCTGGATCATACAATGTTGGAAGAACAACTGTAGAACTTTCACAGCCATTTGATTCAAATTTCAGTGATAATGAATTGGAATGGTCGACGAATGAAAGAGGAGCAATAATTGTAACAGGATTATTGATCAAAGTTACTTAGTATTTGATTATTGATTTGTATGGCATTTACTTTGTTTGGTTAACTGTGATTTACACTAGCTTTTTAATGGCTGTTATTTAATGATAATTCAATTAAATTGTGACAATATCCTAAATCAACCAATAGAACATTATTCTAAATGAAGATATGATCTTCGCACTTTGCTGGACAATTTAAGCAATCGTCTCAGGAATATTTCATCGTCTCAGGAATATTTTGCTCTTGGAATATTTTATGTTGTGTATTTTTTTCATAATTTACAAAATTACTAAAATTTGTACCATCCATTAATATCACAGTGACCAGTAAACATAGTTAATAAATACAGTAAACATAATTAATAACCACCGATGTAATAAATGGTGTTGTAATTAAATAAGAATTCGATGTACAAAATATTTTCAATTTCACTTATTTATTTTTTAGTTGTAACAGGTTTATTGATCAAAATACAGTAGTGTTTGATTATTGATCTTGAATAGCATTTACTTTGTTTGGTTAGCCGTGATTAAAACTGCCTTTGTCGTGGCTGTCATTTAATGATAATTTCATTTAATGGTGTCAATTTCCTAAATCAACCAATACAACATTATTCTATCTCACCTCACCAAATTAAATTAAATTTTAGACATTTCATTTCTTTACGCAAGCAGTTAAAATTGAAGCTTTTACAAACCGCTCTCCCTGTTTTGAGATTAATTTGTTTGATCGTTTTGTACTTTTAGATAAAACAGACGATGCTAAAATACATAGAAGTTGACACTTTTTTACGAACATTTGCTGAGATGATAGTCTTGACATTTTTTAATTTTCTATATTTTTTGATACACCCTCTACAGTGTCGCCTTCTTCAAATTATAAAAAGCAATGCATTTGCTGAGATGATAGTCTTGACAAAAACCATCTTTATCATCTAATTCACCAAAAACAGAATTTAGTCTTCCTCATCAACAGTTATTTTATCACTCTAAAATAAATTTATTCTCATCTCAAACTGTAACAACGAGTACTTCCTTAATATTGTTTGCAAATTCTTCTGAAAGCCATTTGATTTCATAGTTGGCCGTCCACCCTTGCGTTGAAACATTGGGCAAAGACGGTGATTTGACGACCTCCAAATCATGAGTACTCAGTTGGCAGTATGCGAGTGAAGCTTCAAAGCAGATTGGCAGAAAGGTAATAAAGATAAATAATTTTCAATATTTGTTGTACTCTTTCTGGAACATTTTGTGTCAAATTAATCTTACGCTCTTCTTAAGACATTCATCGAGAAGATCCACAAATTCTTCTAGAAGAGCAATTGTATTATCTGTTAGACTGCAGATAAATCCTACTAGTTGAAATGCTTTGTGAAATTTCAGATTCTAGGATTTTCCTACAAGCTCCTTTTCTAGTGCAAAAAATATGAAATGCAATTATAGCAAGTGAGTGGAAAGCCTTTGAGACGTTTAATACTGACATCACAGAGCCACAGGGCTCTTCAATTTTCTAATTCTAAAATCAGTAAAACATTTGTCTTTCTCATCAATTCATTTTGCTATCGAAATAACTATATACATCAGCATCTCCAGATGGTAACGGAAGATTATGTTTTTAATTGGAAATCTTTTTAGGGCATGTTTACATTATGGAATATATGCAACCTTTCAACTGTATCAGTCTTGTTACAAACGAGATCATTTTAAACGCAATTAAAATTTTCACGCGTAATTTTTATGTAGTTATTTTCACTGTGGAAATATACATTTCTTTTCACATCACTATTTTTAGAATCTTTACTCTTTCCTTTAGCAATCTCTTTATTATCACCAGGATGAGACGAACCTCGCTTTATTCTTGAATTTTTTTATTCGAGCGAAACAAACGAGGAACTCGTTTTTATTCTGCGAATGAAAGAGCTTGTTTGAAGATTTTAGAATTCAATCTAAATTCTGCAAAGCATTTTAACACTTGGGGCCGGTTGCACGAAGCTTGAATATCGTTATACATTAAATACTCATAGTAATATTCTCGAACTTGTCAAAAGACGTCTGTATAGTTTTGTCACGGCAAAAGAATTTTGTAATCTTAGAAGCAATATTTTCATTCAGTGATTGCTCAGTTCAAATTTTATATGTTTCCCTTTTAAGAAATTCTTTAACTTTTAAAACGTTCAACCTGCGCCAGGGAGCAAACTCGAATTTAACGGAGTAGCTACATGTATTTGCCATTTTAGAAGAATTTGTCATGTTTTCTTCGTAGATACCAAGAAAAAAGCATGTATTTACTAGAGACCAGATGTTTGGAAAATATGTAGCAAAAATTGCTGAATTATTTTTCTCGCTCAGTTACCCCTCTGTGGATCTATGTTGTAACCTCACATATACACTGCAAACTGTGAACCAAGATTATGGAGGTCATCAAATCACTTAAGGGTCGCTGTGCCTAATGCTTACGCACGGATGAACGGTAAACTGTGAAATCAAACGACTTTGTTTTGAAAGAATTCCAGGCAAAATTGAGGAAATACAACTAGTTGTTGTTGCAGTTCGAGATGAGATTGAAGATTTATTTAAAGAGATGAAGAAATTATAGATGAAGAAAACTAAATTATTCTGAATTAAAGTTTTTAATTATTAATTTCACTATCTAATCAGCCCTGTTATTTTGGGGAAAATGTGTGTTTTCCTGTAAAAATCTATGTTCAGTGCATTGTGACATGGATTTATTCGAAAAGCTGGAGCAAAATATGAATTCATTTTCTCCAGCCACAGGTGGTATTTATAATTACCTAAACGACAGCCTAGTCTATATGAAGAATAAATGTCGGTTTTCGATGTTCTTCTTTACAAAGGTAAGTCTTTTATGGCCTCAAAAATGTACAATAACAATAAAATTTGTAAATTTGTGTTTGAGAATATAAATTTAGAATACTTATCTTGTTCTGACACCATAATCGAAGCATCCAATATATGACATTGATAAAATCAAAGTCTGACATCATGATCTTATGGGTACGCAAACTACATATAAATGAATAACGTTCAAAGAACTCTTTCCAGATTTGATGTTTAATGTTGACCATTATCAAATAACATCAACAATTAGGAAAGTGAAAGCTGTGAGTAAATGAACTATGAAATCGATAACAGGAACTTCAAATTGCGGCTATATCAATATAATATCAAATTAAATTTTAAGTAAATGTTCACACGACAAGCTGATAGTCACTAAATTGTTTTCAGGCTCAAAAATTGTATATTTCACGCATGGGTTAAGAATAAGATTAATGTTAAAAGCGAATGCTGTTGCCAAAGTTCAGTCTATCTACGAGGCTATTTTATGCATGGATAACAGTGAATTTTGTTTGTAAAGAGTTAAGTATTACATTAGAATATTTAAGCATAACTTTGAAAACCAACTAAATAACTTAATCTTGTTGTTTACGCCAAGCTGTCGAAGTAAATTGTTAGGAAAGAATTTAAAAACAATCTTGGAATCAAGTCAGAATAATTAAATCCTTCAATAAAATTTGTAACTCGCGTCTGGAAGTGTATATGGTTGCTGGATTGAGGCAAAATTCGAAACGCTCTTTAAATATATAGTAAATTTGTGTTATATCAATGAACGAAATGTTCAAAACAATCATCAGAACTTTCCACAACTTACAACTGCCCTGAATAGGTCCTAAATATTAAATATGACACTTAAAATATTCAATAAAATTGTCTAGCATACATTCAATGCTGCGGAAAAATTATGCAATAAAACAAACCCAGAACTATGCAATAGCTTTTGATGAACACAGCGGTGTACCATAAGAATAATTAATTCACAAGAGCCATAAGCAAAATTTCTTTGTTGGTTTGTAATGAGTATAGCAATTTAGTAAAGGATTTTAAATGGATAAGCGACTGAAATGGAAAACGACAAAGTTCTTGCTCTATCAGTTTCTACAAATAAAACACATAGAAAGAGGCGGAATACGAAAGCATATCCATTAGCAGAGTCAAAGCCAGGAACAAAAGATCGATAGTTGGGGGGAGGGAAGTTAGTCGTATTTGCATATGCATGTTATAATCCGTATAAAATGACGGTTTCAAAGAAACTCTGCATGAAAAATACAGCATGTCTTGAATATGCGTGCATATCGTTTGAAAAAATAGATTGCACTAGGCCAACTATATTCTAAGAATAAAAAATATCATTATCTTAGACGATCGAGGCCAGATATGCAACGACAGACTGCGGAGCATGGACGTATGAGGGCTGTCATTACTCCCAATGAAATACGCCTCACTTATTCATTTCAAACTACACGTCATAATTTTCTCCGGTATTTTTCTTCCAACTAACGTACTTTTCTATATTCAGTACTGTCTTTGCAGAGCAGCTACTGCTGTCTCCCTTCCCCTACTTTTCCCTTTCCCGTTTGCCTTTGGGCGGATGTTAATCATCTTATTTTTTGGGCGTTCTTGTCGTGTGTACGCTTAGCTTCATTTTTAAAAATCACAGTATCATATAGAGATAAGATAACATGTTTAACTTCTTTCCACAAAAAAAAACGAACATATACTCAATGGTACATACATAGTTGAGCAAGAATTTTAATATGGAGCATAGTGGCCAATTTTTGATGCTTGGTAATAATAATTTGATTCATCCTGGTCTGTGGTCATCAGTTTTAACATATCAAGTTGAGAATAAATGGTGCGATTTTTTCGTTTACCTTGAAATGATTTACGTAAATTAGTAAATATATTCTATGCTTTACTCAGCTTTACGTGAAGCTTTGGAAGACGAAAAAGGAGAAGAGACTGTACCATCAATCAAACGAACGGACCGTTATAGTTTCAATTTCAAGCACAGCAACTTAATATCATTGAGCTCAGATAAGAGAACAGCTGAACGTCGATGTCAATTTTTAAATGCTGGAAATGGCATAGTTTTTAGTGATCAACTTTTACGAGATAATGAATTGTTCGAGGTTTGTGTTGATAAGTTGGTTCCTGCTCTTTTTGGAGGAAGTGATATTACACTGGACATAGGTAAGTTATATAATGACCTAAAATGCTATAAACACTTATTTATATATTTGATTAAAATATAAGTAAAATGTATATTATGTAAACGTTAGTATACCTAAATGGGGAATGTCATCCCAAAGCCTTGATTCTTTTTTTCCAAGAGTTGCGCGTATGTTAATGCGTAACAACAACAACAAGAACAACAACAACAACATTAACAATAACAACAATAACAACAATGAAATCACTCGGATTCAAGTGAATACATGAATAACAATAACAATAACAAAAACAATAACAATAACAAGACAACAACTATAACAATAACAATAACAATAACAAAAACAATGACAATAACAATAACATTGACCATGACAATGACAATAACAATAACAATAACAAGACAACAACAATAACAATAACAATGACAATGACAATAACAATAACAACAGCAATAACAACAATAGCAATAATAATAATAACAACAACAATAACAATAACATTAACGTGTTGCATTTGCAATACCCAGGAGTGACGTCGTTGAATCCATCGTACATGAATTTACCAAGAACAATGACTGATCTTACAAATGGAACGTGGATGCTGAGTGGTGATATGATCGTTAGTGATAATTTAATGATCAAACGGAGGTCTGTAAAACTTACGTTGAAAAATGTTATTTTGAATTCTTAAAGAACTGAAAAACGATGGAAGTAAAGGATAGTTGTAATTTTAATCACCCCAAGGGGTAGTTGTAAAGTTGAAAGTTAGAAGCAGCCAAGTTTGTGTTCCAAACAAAAGAACATCACTGATATGATTATGGCCGCTCTTACGTCTGTAGTGAAAACGCTCAATAAGTGAGAGCTGACTGACAAAGTACGAGTAAATAGGGAGGAATTTCCTACATGAAAGGTTAAAAATGACTGCAACTTTGAAAACCCAGTTTGAGAAAACAGAGATTGACTGTAGTAATTTATCACACCTGAATAATTCATTTTTTTGTGAACATTAATTGAGTGAATTAATCCAAGAAAATTTACTATAAGTTTACTCCTATAATGCAGTTTTCGTTATCTTAACTGTGTAGATATTGTCAAGATCTTAACACCTTATCTGTTGGAGATCGTATTGGTGTTTGTAAAACAGAAAATGGCTCTCTTCATTTTTTCATTAATGGAAAACACCAAGGACTTGCTGCTTCAAGTTTACCCCAAGGTAGCAAGAGTAGTAAAGATAATAGAAGGTAATATTATCTTGAATTCACGTTGTTCATATTCCTGTTTCATTTTAAGATGTTTTTGCTGTCGTCGATCTTTATGCAAAATGTACCAAAGTGTCTATTGTATCACCTGGAGGTCCAACAACTCTCCCGTACTCCCATGCCCTGGAAGGTTTGTACTTTAAATCCGCACCAGTTTAACAGATGGTAGCTAAATAAATTATCGATTGAGCTCCATGTCTATTTAATTATCCAATGAAAACTGGGATGATCTAGCTATACTCAGTCCTGGGTTTTATTCTATTATACAAAATGACAGCTTTTTCAATCATATTTCATTATTATAAATAGAACATCAATGTTACTAATGCAAGCAGGCTTTCTTGCTATGTTTTAATGTTTTATATGAGATTAACTCTATGCTTATAATGAGTGCTTTTATCTGTATGATTTACAAATGAAAATATTTTATAACTTTTCCCATTGAAACAAAAAAAATCATTATTTGAACAAATCAAGGACCATCATTGAATTCTGGAACAAGTTATCAACAAGCAGAGAGACCTCGACCTATTCCAAAACCAAGGACAAATACTTCCCCAGCTACAACGACATGCAACTATCGAAAACAATGTGAAAGTTTTCTTGAAACTTTGAACATTTCAGGTGAGTGCCAAATTCATTTATCCCATTATTAAAGACCCCAAGTATGCAGCATTAAACAATAAAAAATGTGCAATGATACAGTTGTGTTATTCAAGTAATCGTCAAAGTTAAAGTGGCGGCCTTAAAACTTGCAAAACCTTCATATTATTTTCATACCAATTGTTGAAACAAATTTTTGCATAAAGTGAATGAAGTAAAAAAAAAATTCACTACGTTATGAAAAAGAAAAAAGTTTAATCACTGTTTCAATTTGATTTGTATTATATTTACAAGAGTATTAGCGTAAGTGTTTGATGTGGAACAACTAAGTCCTGTACATTTCATTAAAAAGTGTATTTTGAATGAAGCGACATGGCAACAAACCACCAAATAAATAAATGATCCACAAGATATAAAAACCAACGGCAGAAAATAAGCATGTCTGCATAATGACCATGATTACAAACTTGTTCTCAGAATAATTCTATCCCGTAATTCAACAGCTGCAAATACGATGATCTTTTTTGGGGAGTTCACTGTTCTTTGAGATGTGCTTATTAAAAATTTTATTTTGCTATTCTTTGCTATTTTTTCCAGATAATTTTTTTGACAAAACTCCAGAATACAACAAATGTTTTTGCGATAACTGCCATCAAGCTCGTGGAGATAAAGAATGCTACACTCGTGGCAATCCACCAAAGACATATGCTTTACCTCTTGGTTGGAGCAGATTTGCCGTAAAGTAAGTTAAAAACTGCCATTTGCATGGTTATTTTCTTAAACTCACTCAAACTTTACTTTCACTCACAGGGTTGGACCACAAGGTAAAGCTCTAAATATATTTAACAACTGGCATGTTGCCTTCCATGGAACACAGGCGAAATATCTTCAGCCAATATTTAATAATGATCTACAACTGCTAATGCCAGGTAAGCTCTGTGCAAGCTAGTGACACAAGTTCTATTTTCTCAATACAATTATTTTTTACCGGGAGCTATATGTGAAATTTGCTGGTTTTGAAATACTTTGAACTGCTTTAATAAGTTATAGTAAAAGACACACACAATATTCCTATTAGGCGATGTTGCTTTTGGTGGAAGTACGTTACGCGAGGGAGAAGGACATTACAACGATAGTTGGAAACCACGTGGCTTTGACACTAAGCAAATATTTGTTTCCCCAAGTGTAAAGTATGCTGGTTGTGCTGTCTATTCCAAGAAGAAAAGGTGATTTAATTGAGCGTATAAGGAATTGACATCTAAATTTACATTTAATATAATCGCTTCATAACTCATAGCTCTTAATAAGAAAAAGCCATCAATGCATTGAGCACAACAGAGTAATTTTTCCACATGTCGATCAATAAACATTTTTAGAAAATGTTTTCAATCAAATTTATGTCACTGTTTTTGCAGCAATATATGCATGTGCGATTTAGAATGATTCCATACCGATGTTTTATGAAAGAATATGTTTTTTATTTGATAATTTTCCACTGTTAGGTTTACAGACCCAAAAACTAGAAAAAGATCGATTGCCCAAGTAGCATTGCAAGTTTTAATTCGACCTGGATCATACAAAGTTGGAAGAACAACTGTAGGAAATAAACAGCAATTTGATCCAAATTTCAGTGATGATGAATTGGAATGGTCGACAAAAGAAAGACCAGCAATAATTGTAACAGGATTATTGATCAAAATATCAAATGACAGTAGTGAACAGTCATACAGTGGTGACCAGACATGGAGTCAACAAAGTAAAACATTATCTTTGTTTGGTTAACCGTAATTCGCACTAACTTTTTAGCAACTATTATTTAATATTAAATTGTAACAAATTTTCTGACTTAACCAACACAACATTGTATCAGTTAATAATCAATGTGCTTTTTGAATATAACATTGTATGTTTTTGATAATTTAGTGACTAAAATTTAGCACAATTCCAGCAATATAATAGTGACTATAGTATGTATAGTATTCGTATGTAATAATATATTAAACAGTGTATAATAAGTATTGTAAAATATGAATTTGATATGTGTAATATTTTTATTTGTTTATATTTTGACTGATGTCTCTTTGAAAGAAAGAAAGAAAATGAAATTTTTACTGTTCCTTTTTGGTATTTCTATTGCCCAATCCTGCTGATTCCGTATTTTCATAAAGATTATAAAATAGAAGTGAGCTATAGTAGTGACCTTTAACTTGGAAGAACAAGGTTGGAAGAGCAACTGTCGGAAATAAACAGCCATTTCATCCAAATTTCAGTGACGATGAATTGGAATGGTCGACAAAAGAAAGAGGAGCAATAATTGTAACAGGATTATTGATGAAAATACAGTAGTAAACAGTTATCTTGATAATATCAAGTAAAACATTAACTTTGTTTAGTTAACAGTAATTCACACTAACTTTTGAATAACTGTCATTAGTGTTAATATAATTTCCTAAGTTAAACTATAAAGAAAATTATTCTATGAATTAATAATCAGCAATGGCTAAGTTGCACGTTTTAAAATATAGTTTTGCTTTTGGAATAGTAAATTTTTTGTGTGTTTTTTTTTCATAATTTGCATAGTTAGTAAGATTTAGTACCGTACACTCCGTCAATATCACATTGACCAGTACACAGTATTCGCAATTTATAACCTCAGATTGATAATTGGTGTTGTAATTAAATAGGAAGTCGATGTATGTAATATTTTTTTGTTCATTCATTTATATTTTTAATTTATAATTCAATGCAATGAAATATTGAATTTAGGTATGATTTCCTAATAATAAAAAAGATGGCAACATAGATATCTTTGCATGCCATAAAATAACACAAACATTATTAGATCACAAGTCTTCACACCTTATAAGATCAACTTGATGAAACTATCCATTTATTTACCGGACATCTACGCTATACATAATGACTTCCTTTTTTTATTTTTTGAGCTGCTCATTGAGCTGTTCGTTGCATTTGATATACTGGATTGACTCAAGAACTTTGTCGTTAAGGCAGTTTCGTGCAATGCCAATAACAGCTTTACTGCATCCAGATGACGTCCTCGCCAGAACAATAAGTAACTCCGACAACACTTAGAATTTGCTTTTCGTATTTCTCAAGTATCAACAGTCCGAACAAAGCTTTTCGCGATTACGATGTCGCGCTGCAGCGTTCACCAGAAACCAGAAGCTTTATTGATTATGGAAGCTCGCAAGCATTTTCACATTTAATAATGTACTTTTGGGTTTTTTCTCAACTGTGATTAGCTGATGGCAGCGCAGTTTATCCGTAATTGCACAAAAAAGTGTTATTGCTCTGTACAATTATAAAAGCTGTAAATGCACTGTGAAAATGAGTAATTACACTGTAAATACTGTAGTCTGAATGGCTAAGTAATAGTGAAAGCTAAGCAAACTTCTTTCACATTAAAAAACATCGAGCAGAGCTAAGAAAACAAAGATTTTCACAACTCCAATCGTGTAGAAAATAAGAATTACAAACAATGCAAAGAATAAAAATACAACAGCAAGTAATATTTTGTGGTGAATGTTATAAGACATTTCGTCGCAGTCTTTGTATTCAATTTAAACAATTTTACATGAATAAATTATAATTTTATAATTTATATATTTTATACAACTTTGGTTTTTATAATTAATTCATAACAAAGTATTTTGTCGTGCCTAGTCTTAAACTCACTCGTGCATATATTATCTAAACTAATTTACAGCCAACAACCTTTCGCTTTCAACTTGCAGCAGTTTTTCGGTTTTAATACACAGCAACTTTTTAATACAAAGAATAAATGTTTATAGTTTTAAATTAGTCATCAATACTGTAAACTGCTGTTATGCATTTCATGTAGTTGTAGTTATATTGAGATAGAAGTACTATAGTTTAATAGTTATATGATCTATTTCCACCTCATTGTCTCATGTAGCATTTATTATTTTCATTCAAATTATTCAATGCAAAGACCGTGAAATTCCGGGAAGCTATAACGAAAATGTATGATATTTTGACAAGGTGATATTGCGTCACTTTTGTACTGCAAGAATAAATGTCGCTTTTCGACGCACTTTTGCTGAACGGTAAGTTATAAAGGTGTATATGACACTTACAAATTAGGATACAATACTGATACCTGATGACGTCTTACTCTTAGAACGGAGTTTATGACGTTCAACTTTAAGAGAACCGACAAAAAGTTTCAAACATTTGAATACGTAAATTTATATGTTTGTACTTTTGTTCAAGAAATACTTTCTAATTTTGTTGTTTGGACCAAGTAAAATAAGCTGTGTCTACATAGCCGACAGACGGAAGAATGTTGAAGATCTAGGTACTCGGCATTGTAAAACTTTAAAGCTCATCGCTTCCATTACTTAAGAAACATCTCTTACGTCGTTATTTTGTTGGAATGCTTTGTATTATGTAATGTAAAATGCAGTTGAATCGTGAAATTTTACAGTTGACGAGTAGTTAAAGATGTTTAATTCATCGAATGAGCAAAGTGAAAGTGACCGCAACAAGTGAAAAAAAATTATCTAAGAGAAGGTTGACACATCTTAGCCTACTGATATACTTAATAGGTTGATATTTGTTACTGAAAGTGCCTTGGTCTGTGTCTTTCTGCTGTATGAAATATGAATCGTCAACATTATAACTATTTCTTTCTTTTGAAGTCCATTGTTTTTACAGTCAGTAAAAATGCTCATACATGATTTGCACAGGGGAGTAAAAAAGGGCTGGCTACTCCACTGGTTCCATGTTATTATATTGCTAACATAGTTTATGACTTGGTCACTTAGTTAAAATAAATTGATATGATAGAAATACAACATAATATAAAATATAAATCTAACTGTCAATGGAAGACTAAACTGTTGTAGAGTGGTCTGGAAAGACTGGCTGGGAAAGGCATGTCTACACTCCAAACCACGATGTTAGTTTTGCAACAGATTTATGCAGAATTCATTTAAAAAAATTATAACTCATGAAAATTTTGGTACTTAAAAGTAATATCAAATTAATAGCTTAATAACAAAAGTTAGTGATCACGAGGGAAGGAAGTAAAGTTTTAGCAAGAGCGTGATTATAAAACAATTGATAAGGGTTAAACACACAGTGCTATGGCAGAAAATTTAAAGTATGAACGGATCGAGAAGAAGCATCAATCGATTAGCACAGGATTAACAAGATATTGCAAATATGATCCAAAATTGTCAACATACGAATATCAATGCATTGAATAGTTCAGCTAACAAATCCCCCTCCTTCCCTCCTCCCCTCCACTCTTAATACAACCGACGAGAATGGTTCAAAAGATGGGTATTCAACAGACCTTTCCTACAAGAATGAGGCAGCAGAAAATAAGTGGAGGCATGATAATTTTGTGGTTGCATCATAAGAATGAAATTTCCTTAAGGGAGAAAAATAACATTTGTATGAACAATTAAGCACAAGGTATGGCAGTGAGAAGCCGTAATCTCGGTGAACGGCAAACTTTTATGATTGCAATGGGGCTTATGTCAAGAAATAACTTAGTTAAGTGAACAAGGTGAATAGCTTTTTATCTAATTTCTGTCACTTTTGACTTTCAACAACATTGAATATACATTAATATAAATTCTATTTAGAGAGAAAAGATCTGCTTGAAGCAATTAAGTTGTCAAGTATTATCATTTGTCAATGAATCTAAGGCGGCTTCATAGATTTTGTTTGCCCATTTGATGAGAGACGATTCACCTGATAATCACTTAAAATACGATGCTCGAAACACGGTGTTGCAGAATCTTTATCATTTTGTCAAAAATTTTGCCTTAACTTCTTAATTACGATGTTACACACACATGCATATTTCGTTTATCACAAAACGAAATATCCAAATTCAAACTGTATTATTACTATAAATCTGCTAATTTTTCTTTTTGTCAAGATATGACAATGTTGTTGTCGCCTGCATATATAGCTTTATTTTTGAGAGAATAGACTTGTTTCTAGTTTTTCTGGTCATCAGTTTCAACAGCAAGTCAAGAAACCAATGGCATGAATGTTTTATTTATCCAGATATTTATCAGGTATAGATTACTTTCATGTTTTTATTCAGCTTTACGTAACGCTTTGGAAGATGATGATGATGATGAAGACATTGTATCTTCAGTCAGACGAACGGACCGTTATAGTTTCCATTTCAAACACAGCAAGTTAATATCACTGAGCTCAAATAAGAGAACAGCTGAACGTCAATGTCAATTTTTGATGGCTGGACATGGCATAGTTTTTAGTGATCAACCTTTGCGAGATAATGAATTGTTTGAGGTTTGTGTTGATAAGTTGGTTCCCGCCCTTTTTGGAGGAAGTGATATTACCGTGGACATAGGTGAGTTAAATAGTGACCTAAAATGCTAAAAACACTTATTTCTATATTTGACAAAATAAGAAAATGTATGACATGCAAACTTTATTATACCTACATGAGAAATGTCACCCCAAGCGTCAAAGCCTTGGTGCTTTTTCTTTGTAAAAGTTGTAAGTAGTGTTCATGAGTAACAATGTACGTTCTACGCTCAAATATTCTTTCCGCATTCATTTATCATACAATCAAAAGAAAATCAAGAATGTCCTTCCCTATATTTACATGATAAATTTTCATGATATCATTAATTTTTATACAACTGTTCAAGTCCATTTAACGGCATCGGGTTCTAATCTCCTGTTTTGGCAGCTGTATGGTTGACATGTAATGTCGCGTGACTAGGACGTTAATTGGAAGGGGTGTACATTCATATGTTCATTGGTGCCACAATGATTTCTTTTAAAAACCAATTCACTTTCAAAAGAAATCACTCGGATTCAAGTGAATACATGAATAACAATAACAATAACAAGACAACAACTATAACAATAACAATAACAATGACAATAACAATAACATTGACCATGACAATGACAATAACAATAACAATAACAAGACAACAAAAATAACAATAACAATGACAATGACAATGACAATAACAACAACAATAACAACAATAGCAATAACAATAACAATCACAACAATAACAATAGCAATAACGTGTTGCATTTGCAATACCCAGGAGTGACGGCGTTGAATCCATCGTACATGAATTTACCAAGAACAATGACTGATCTTACAAATGGAACGTGGATGCTGAGTGGTGATCAGGTTGTGAGAAATAAAGTAATAATCAAACGAAGGTCTGTAAAACTTACGTTGAAAAATGTTATTTTGAATTCTTAAAGAACAGAAAAACAATGGAAGTAACGGATAGTTGTAATTTTAATCAACCCAAGGGATAGTTGTAAAATTGAAAGTTAGAAGCAGCCAAGTTTGTGTTTCAAACAAAAGAACTTTATTGAAGCAATTTAAATTGTTACAATAATGAATATGGCCGCTCTTACGTCTGTAGTGAAAACGCTCAATAAGTGAGAGCTGACTGACAAAATACGAGTAAATAGCGAGGAATTTCCTCCATTAAAGGTTCAAAATGACTGCAACTGTGAAAACTCAGTTTGAGAAAACAGAGATTGATTGTAGTAATTTATCACACCTGAACAATCCATTTTTGTGAACATTAATTGGGCGAATTAATCCCAGAAAATTCACTATAAGTTTACTCCTATAATGCAGTTTTCAATATCTTAACTGTGTAGATATTGTCAAGATCTTAACACCTTATCTGTTGGAGATCGTATTGGTGTTTGTAAAACAGAAAATGGCTCTCTTCATTTTTTCATTAATGGAAAACACCAAGGACTTGCTGCTTCAAGTTTACCCGAAGGTAACACGAGTAGTAAAGTTACTATTCAGTAATAAACAATCTACTGCAAAAAGAATTTTTCATTATATCGTGAGCAATTTAAAGATTCCGTTGTTAATGTTCCTGTTCCATTTCAAGATGTTTATGCTGTCGTCGATCTTTTTGGCAAATGTACTGAAGTGTCTATTGTATCACCTGGAGGTCCAACATCTTCCCCGTACTCTCATGTCCTGGAAGGTTTGTACATCCGTACCAGTTAAAGAGATGTTAGTAAAGTAAATTATAAGCCTAGCTCTAAATCTATTTACTAACAAAATCACCAATCCACTGAAACTGAGATGATAGCTGTCCACCATATAATAGGTTCTATTTGACAAAAGCAGGCACATTACAAGAACACAAGTTGAAGATAATCAGATCTATACTGTACATAAATTGCGAGTTGAATTGCTTTAAGTTACAACATTTTATCTGAATTTTAACATAGTCAATTTTTTCACAATTCCGACTTTAAGCAAGATTTGCGACAAATCACCAAATTTACTGAGTGGGGGAGGGAGGGCAGCTGGCCTGTCGCCTGACCGAGATTTCGTCCTTTAATTTAAATGAATTGTGTCAAACTATCATTCTGCACAAATAAAAATATTCTTTAACGTTCAAACACAAATTCAAGGAGCATCATTACGTTCTGAAACAAGAGCAGAATCAAAAGCATCAACTGCTAAAACTACAACGGCTTGTAACTATCGAAAACAATGTGAAAGTTTCCTTGAAAGTTTGAATATTTCAGGTTAGTGCCAAATCTATCTACCCCATAATTAAACAGTAGATAAAATGATCCTCTTTGAGGAGTTTACTGTTCATTTAGATATTTTATTAGAAAAATTATTTTGCTATTCTTTGCTATTTTTTCCAGATAATTTTTTGACAAAACTCCAGAATACAACAAATGTTTTTGCGATAACTGCCATAAAGCTCGTGGAGATAAAGAATGCTACACTCGTGGCAATCCACCAAAGACTTATGCTTTACCTCTTGGTTGGAGCAGATTTGCCGTAAAGTAAGTTAAAAACTGCCATTTGCATGGTTATTTTCTTAAACTCACTCAAACTTTACTTTCACTCACAGGGTTGGACCACACGGTAAAGCTCTAAATATATTTAATAACTGGCATGTTGCCTTCCATGGAACACAGGCGAAATATCTTAAGCCAATATTCAATAATGGTGTACAACTGCTTATGCCAGGTAGAAGCTGTGACACATTCTATTTTCACATTTATTTTCTGGTGGTATAATATGTGATAAATAAATAAGATTCCAAAATTTGCTGGTTCAGAAATACTTTTAATTGCTTTAATATCCTATAAAGTAAATGGTTTGAACCCGGGAGTATCGTTACATGTTTGTAAATGTAGATCATCCAGGTTGGTATAGTCCTGAGAAGAACTGTTTTTGTTGACAATATCCTATTTTAATATCCTATCTTAAATGATACAATATTTCTACTAAATATCAAGGAGATGTTGCTCTCGGTGGAAGTGAGTTACGCGAGGGAGAAGGACATTTCAACGATAATTGGAAACCACGTGGCTTTGACACGAAGCAAATATTTGTTTCTCCAAGTATAAAGTATGCTGGTTGTGCTGTCTATTCTAAGAAAACAAGGTGATTTTAGCTTATGATGAATCGACATAAACTCAGCTACATGCAAGGAAAACCACACTTTAATGACAAATCCGACAGGGTTGTTAGATTTTTCTTATTTCTTTATTACAGATTATTTTTAACAAATAGATAATATTTAACCGTTGTCTTGTTAACATTTAACTCGTCGCGGCGGCTCGTGGTTATTTTTTAGTTTTTATCACAATTAACGTCATATCCGTGTAACTATAACTGCATAGACAACGGTTAAATGTTATTTATTTGTTAAATAAACCACAACTATAAACTATCGCTTATACTTACAAACTACGTCCATGAAATGCCATAGGTTTTGCAGATAATTTTGAAACACGAGGATGGATAGTTGTAACTTGTCGTTTTTCAATAAAAAGTGCCTTATCTCCCTACCTCCCGTTTTATATGTATTTGCCGCTAACCAGTGTTGCCACTTGTCGTGAAATTTCACTATTTGTAGTAAAATCGGTTTGAGCGTAGTGACGTAGTGAAGGAAATTTGAAATTGTAAAATTTAGTGAAATGCTGATGAAACCATATAGGCGGCCCAAAAAATCACTTAGCTAGGTAAATAGTTTAAACAAACGATAACTCTCCCCATTCCGTACAATCAATACAATCAATTCAATATAATCAATTAATACAAAGTTTGCGGCGCACGGTCTGTTACGATGGAATGGGGAGAGCTATCGTTTTAGAAATTGTTTAATTGATAGAAAATAGAAAAGAAAATTTACAGTTTAGAATGGTCACTGGTACTTCAATGGTACATGGTTTATATTTTATTGTAATGACAACAATTGACAAAAATTTGTTGTATAATATTAGGCGTAAAACACATTAGTGTAAATCAGCAGCTCAACAGTCTGGAGTTTAAGGTCATTTAATACAAACCAGACTACTGAGACTTGGATAGTGTCGTTCCTGTCCTTAATCTATGGAGTTCTCTTTCGGCAGATAAAATTATTAGTTTATTATTTGGTTGAAAGTGATTAGCACTACATATATGACTCTTTAAGACACACTTTGTACGTAGTTATCAAAAACGACCAAAATTAGGTCATTGTGAAAAAATCCTTTAGTGTAGTGAAATGGACACCCAAATAGTGAAAATTAATCCCCAATGTAGTAAAATTTGATATATTGTGGAGTGGTAACACTGCTGCTAACACTTGATCTAGAATTCACCTAGATAATAATAAAACTTATGTAATACCTCTCTGCTACCTATAGTTCTGTCTTTAATACAAAACAACATATTTCAAACCATTATAAACAAGATCTACACTAATTTTACCACGCTTTTTGAAACGAATGATAAATATATTTTTATTATATTTCATTGCTAGCTTTACAAACCCAACGACTAGAAATACGTTACCTTTCCAAGTAGCATTGCAAGTTTTAATTCGACCTGGATCATACAAAGTTGGAAGAACAACTGTGCAACGTTCACAGCCATTTGATTACAATTTCAGTGATGATGTATTGGAATGGTCGACAAGAGAAAGAGGAGCAATAATTGTAACGGGATTATTGATCAAAACATCAAATGACAGTAGTGAACAGTCATACAGTAGTGAACAGTCATACAGTCAATATAAGTAAAACATTAACTTTGTGTGGTTAACGGTAATTCACATTAACTTTTTAGCAACTGTCATTTAATATCAAATTGTGACAATTTCCTGAATTAACCAACACAACATTGTATCAGTTAATAATCAATGTGCTTTTTGAATATAACATTGTATGTTTTTGATAAATTTAGTGACTAAAATTTAGCACAATTCCAGCAATATCATAGTGACTATAGTATGTAGTATTCGTATATAATAATATACTAACCACTGTATAATTAGTATTGTAAAATATGAATTTGATATTTGTAATATTTTTATTAGTTTATATTTTGACTGATGTCTCTTTGAAAGAAAGAAAATGAAGTTTTTACTATTCCTTTTCGGTATTTCTATTACCCAATCCTGCTGATTCCGTATTTTCATAAAGATTATAAAATAGAAGTGAGCTATAGTAGTGAGCTTTAACTTGGCTATGGTAATGATTTTAGTAAAGCTATTAAAAATGCTAGCTTATATTTTCAACCGGACTTATACACAATCAAACTATATCCAAGAATGATGAACTATGATTCTCAGATATAAAACTTAGCTATTACGGATTAAATTACAGCCATAAACTCAAATTTTTTGTTCTCAAAAAGTTTGATCTTGTATTTACTAATCTAGATGTAATGCGACTCCAAACCTCCCCCCCCCCGCTCCGCAATGTAAATGTGTAAATGTGTAAATGTATATCAAAGTGGTATGAGGCAGAAATTACGTAAATCGGTAAAAATAGATCTGTTTCACTTTAAAACTTATCTTATTGATTTTAGTATAGAAATTTAGGTAAGGTTTGTATAGAATAATTTTTGTTGAAATGACCTGTCTTGAAATGCACCGACTTATCTTTTTATCTTTATTAATGAGCCGATATAAACATATGGCGTCTTTCTTGTTAGACGAACTTTTGTTGTACTGCTTGATGAAAATGGAGTTAAGGAATTAAAAGAACCGCGATAAATATGAGTGAAGGCGACAAACCGTTTGCTTGTACTGTGCCAGGATGTGGGCAAGTAAGTGGAGACAAATTCGACACTATATTTTTACATCATAACAACACTACGCGTTTCTAAAGATGAGGTCATTTTTTTGCTCTAAAACTGACGTCAGTAAAGTGACTTATTCTTATGTCATCTTCATATAATTTCATGCTTTCTTTCCATAGACATTTACGAACAATGATCGCCTCACCATACATCGTCAAACGCATTCGTTGAGAGTGAAAATTGGACCAAAAAGCGAGGAAATTATTCCTGGTATAGTAGTGCCGTTAAAACATTCCAACATCTTCCTTTTAGTCTCATCGATTTGCTCGTAATTTTGATGGCGAAACTTTCACATTCACTAATTTTAGGCAATTTTGTTGTGAAATGTTAGACGTTAGCAAAACCTTGTTTTGCATTGTAAATATATTTCGAAAAGCCCAGAGGTATGAAATAACGTTTCAGAGGTATTCTCTGTGATTATACGGCCAGACTTTAAAGGTTGTGAGATATCAAAAAGGTTCAAACCATTTACTTTGTTGTGAGATATACTGGAATAACTGCCAACTGGATAAGTTTGATATGAGAAATACGTATTGCATTGTTTATTTGAATTCAAAGTGCCCTACGTAGGTTGATGGCGAAGCATGGATTATCTTTCATTAGTTTTTAAATTTTATAGATCAAACTCCAACACCAACAAGATTTTTAAGGAATTGTGATGAAGAAGGCCTGTTTGAAGAACTTGAGCATGTTGACAATCCATTTGAAAAGGTTAACATAACTTTATATCAAATGGCTCATGATAGACATTACCATAACATCTTTTCTTTTACGTACAAGCATTGTGCAACACTTGGTTGCATATGCCAAGCTGTAATGACGAACATTTTGCTGATTCTATATTTTTTATAGGATTTTAAAAAGAATCTATCATCCCAACAGACACATGAGAAAAGGGTAATTAAAATAAAAAAAAATTACTCTTATCCTAGGGTATTAGATCATATAGCAAATATTTATAGAATTTGTTAAATTGTGGTTACAATTTGACTAATTTCTGGATAAAACATTTTTAATTTAAAAAAGTTTTATCTAAAGCATTTAAAATGACCAACGATTACTTTGTTTTATTGTGAAAAATTGTATCATTCTTGTACCTGGAACAGGATCTTGTAGAATTCTGGATAGGATCAATTTTGAAACTTTGCAGGATCCTTGAAAGACAGGATCCTTTCTAGAATTTTCACCAGAGGTTCCTCATTCAGATATGGAAAAAGCTAAAAAGGTTAATTCTTTGAACTTTAGAATCTGGACAATTCAGTGGTTCATACACCTGTTCCTACCTTGGCAGATATCCCACTTTCAAACAAAGAAAGTATTATAGTGGATGTGGTAACAATTGAAAATAATGATGAAGATGGTCATCCACCACCAGTAATGCAAAATGTTGTTATTGAAGAACAGCCTGATGGCATGCCCAATGCCACAGACTTCCTTCGACAAACTGTAGAGCAAGTAGCTGAATCTGAACAAGGTTTGTAACTCAACTTTATTAAATAATGTGCATGAATTTATGTGTTTCATGACGCTTTTAAATCTCTACAAAGTAGCAGGTTTTACAGATATAGTCATTGTCTGGTGCTAACTTCTCATTGCAAATGTGTATGTGCCATGAAGAGATTAACAGTGATTGTCAGATAGGCTATAACTATCCTATACACTAGTAATAAGCTTAAATTCACCATCAAAAAATGTTTGCATGATTCAATGTGCACTTAACAGTTTAATGGATATGGATTGAAGCAATAAATTTTTAAACACTTCATGTCTTAATTTAAATGCATGTCATGTGTTTATTCTTTCTGGCATGTGTGTATAGCTTTGATTTTTTAGTCAGAAAAAATTAATCAGTATTTATTGATAATGTTTCAGAAACAAAGATGACAGATAAATCTCCAACAGTTTCAGTCTTAGTGGCACAAAAAAATACAATTCCTCGCAAAGTTATCCCACCATTCATTGCACACCCTGACATTGCTGTACCAAAAGCAACTCCGGCACCAAACATTGCCCATAATGGAGCCAACTTACATTCTATTCCAACTAGAGCTATTGTAGTGACACCTCCTGGAAAATCGCCTACTGGCTCATTTGTAAAAAGTGCTAAACAGGTATATTCTACAATGTGCAGATGTCATTTATACATAGTAGATTCTATGTGAGTTGAAGGCAATTGCCAAATATGTTTTTATGCAGAAGACAGCAAAAGTTTGTAATAATATTAGAATGAATTGTTGAAATAATTTTATTGCACAACAATGTAGATTTGAGGATGTTGTTATTTTATGACCATGTAAATATTTTACTTTTTTGTGTTTACTCCTGATGATACCTGTACATAGTATGACTAAAATGCTATGTGATCTATTGCCTTCCTTTAATAAAGCAGTTGCCAGAAACATTGAAGATACCAAATACTGACAACTGTCATGATTTTTCATTAATTTTCAGATTTTAAAGGAAACCATTCGTATTCATCAGTCCCAAGGCAAAGATGTAAAAACAAATCTTGGAAATATTATAAGCCAGGCAATGAATGAAGCTGTTACTGCTGTGAAAAGACCATCTTCAACAGAGTCAGAAAATAACAGTAGCAATGAAGACAAAGACCCCAAACCAATGTGAGCATTTGCCCTATAGTTACTGCACATGTGAGTTCACATTCAGGCAGGGCACCACCAAAGACAAAGTTGACCAGAGGGGGAGGCTTCAATTTGTTGAATTTATTGCAATTCACTTTTCCCTAAGTTATTCTTAAATATAAAAAATGGTAGCAAAAATTTATTTTAGGAAGAGGGAAAGCTTAAGGCAATGCCTCCTCCCTCCCCCCTTGGTGGTGTGCCTGACTTAAGGCAATGCCTCCTCCCTCCCCCCGTGGTGGTGTGCCTGACTTTCGTTTGGCAGGAATTTTTTATACATCAACCATACATCTTGAACCCTTCTATATAACTGCCTGAGTTACTAAAGTTCATAAATAAAAAATTTGAGCTAAGCAAGGGTTATGTTTTCAGTTTTTACTTTAACTGAATGGTTTTGCAATTAGAATTCATGGTTTGATCTTTACAATCTATTTATTGTCAGCAAGAGAAATCGACGATCGCAAGATGAACTGAGCGCAGATGAAAAGAGGGAAAGATTTTTAGAAAGAAACAGGTATATAATAGTTTTGTTTTTCATAGAAAACATTTAATGTTTTTAGATGTTGAGCTCTCAGGTCAGTGCACTCCTTAGTCGGGTTCGGTGGGTTTTTTTACGGACGTAACGACATCTGTTGATGACTAGGGTTAAGGAAACGTCAATCAATAAAAACACCACCATTTACCTGGATAATCAACATCTACCAACATGTAATATGTACAAACTAATTGCTTTAAAAACATACTACAAAAATCATGGTCTGCCATCGCGTCGTATATTTTTCCTTAAAACTTTCCCATTTAATTATCTTTAGAGCAGCTGCAACTAGATGCAGGGAAAAGCGAAAATTGTGGATACAAGCATTAGAGAAAAAGGCAGAAGAAATGTCAGACGTAAACAGCCAACTTCAGGTGAGTTGCGTTCTTTCAATGAACCTAAAACTCGTGCAATAAATTTGTTCAAAAACACCTACGTTATGATTCAACACAACATTATGGTTAAGATATTTTGTATGTGTCATAAAAATGGATAGTTAATTCTAAATATCCGCATTGATCAAAATTTTATATGTGCCTAGCCTGCATCCCAGACACTTCTTAATTCCTGATAAGGAATGGTAACCATTTTACCAGCGTTTGCAATGCAGGCTAATTGTTACGCGTCATGTGCTATGCAATTGAGAGCGATCGCATGGCTTGCCCCCTTATCTCCACCCCAACTTTTCCCTAAGAATATTTTTTCTTACCATTTTTACTACATTTAAGCGTAAACTGGGGCAATTAAAGATGTAATAAATTCAGTAAATTGAAGTCTTCCATGTCCAATTTTGTGACGCCGTGTCAGGATAGTATATTTTTCCTATATAGAATGAGATTTCATGCCTAAAACATGAAGTTGCTCAATTGAAAGCTTTACTCCTGGCTCATCGTGACTGCCCATTATCTATTAACCAACAAAAGGCCCATCCTGGTATATTTGAACAACTTCAAGGAGCTACCGTTGTTATTGACATACCACGCAACAGTCAACAAACAGCGGAGGCTGACGCGTCATCAGCTCTGGCACAAATGGCGGAACGAGCTGCTGTTGAATGTAACATTTGAATTAAATTATGTTACACGTCATTTTACGGCGTCAAGGGTTATTGGACTTTTCCATGGAGATTGTTGCTTCGATTAAATGATTGCTTCAGATTGTTAAATGAGCTAAATAACGATATCAGTACCTACCAATAAGAAAAACATGTAGCTACGTATTAATGCGGACAACTTGAGCGATAAATTGACACGAACAATATTAACTATAAATAGCGTAAGGAGATGGTTGGTAAAAAAAGTATACTTAATTATAGTAGATTATTTCTTTTGATTATTTAACGTTCTAATTTATGTACATCTTGCATCCACGATGATTTTTGTTGAGGTTGCTCTACGTAGTTTGGATTAAACACCAATCACAATTGCTTTTGTTTATTTTTTGATACAATTAGTATTTTGTAGGGAATTTAAGAAAATTGAAACCCTTCCTGCACCCCATCTAGCCAAGGCTACGTAGGAGGGGTACGCGCCTCTTGAACTCCTCCTCTAAATACATCCCTGTATCAAGTAAATCAAAACATCAAACAGGTAATTTTATCATAGTAACAAATACTGTAATTTACTCTTCACCGACAGCTAGCTGGGTATATGAGCTATGTCCCTCACTATAGCGCCAAAATTTCGCAATTGGTGATCACAACTGAATTTTTAGAGACTGGCTGAGATTCATTGAGATAACACTTATAAAAATTTATCTAGATGAGAATTGTCTTTTTGTGTGGGGTTTAGACTCATCTCTAATCAACTGTGACGTTCAGCCTATTTCTAGTAGAGCAAGGGGACCCCCAGTGTGTTACGCCACTGTTTGTTGTGTCTACTTAACGCCAAAAAAGTGATCTTGTTCTAACGTAAGCATAAAAACTATGTTTGGATGATTGCAAGCAAATATCATTATATTCATGATCATTATGTTCATATTAAACGGCGAAAGTCAGGCCCAACTGCAGCCCACGTTGGTCACTGATGATAACAGCGTCCGTGCGGATGTATTTATTACTTGTAAATGTCCTCCCCTCCTTTATGTAGATACTTAAACAAGAGTTGTGGCTCTCACATGGCCACAGATGATTTTCAAGATTGAACAAATGCGACTAATGGTGTACGTTCGAACCAGTGGTTAAACAGAATACAGAGCAGCGCGGGTCATTCAAACTTCGCCAATTTTCGACAATTTCCGGTTTCTTGTAAACGCTTATTTTCCCAAGAGTCCTTTGGCAGTGTTTTTTGCACACGATAATTAAAAGTGGAAACGCATACCTTTTGAAAATACGTCTAAATGGAATTCACTTCCCCCATTATATTGACCATTCTTTGATCATATTTCTTAGAAATTTCTTGCGAAATCTAAAATCAAACACGGTTTTGGTGACAATTAATATTTTATATTAATTATTGCAACAAATACGTCATGAAAATTCTATGTCAAAATCAATTGAAATACTAGAGATCCAAAGTTTCAAAAGGCAAGTGTAGTTCAACATATCAAAGACTACAAACTGAAATCAATATCAGAAGTGTTTTTACTGAATTCATTTAAAAAGTGCTTCAAACTGAACAGCTTGCTTATCGTGGCTAAATCTTTTGGAACAGAATTTTTAGGAGCAGCAATAGCAATTAAAGCATGTTAGTCTAAAATATATGACAATTTTTGACATTCTAATGCATCTGTTTTTGTTGGGTATGATGCAACATCGTTGTGGACTTCGTTTGTTTGACTAAAGTCAGTTCTCAAGTCAAGTGATGCATAAAGAACTCACCTCTTTTTGAAGTTCCTTTGTTTTCGTTATAATGACTTCTAATTTTGGTTCCAGTTCACTTTGAGTTTTTGCAGCCTCCAGTTTTCGTTTCACAACGGCCTTACACGACTCTTGCATTTTCTGTGATAGTTTCAGCTTATGTTGAAGAGACTCGGTTAAACGGTCCACATATCTGTAAAATAAACAAAACTGAAATAACAGAAACTACAACACACAACAATTATACTTGATATCAAACTACCTTGGGGAGGCCTTGATCAAAAACAGATTCTGTATTTTGACAGATGTTAACACGGAAACGATATCATCCACTCGCTTTTTCATGTTTTCCACGCTTTCACGTGATTGTCGTTGAAGAATGTCACGTGACGACTGAAACTATCAAAATAGAGCAAGAGGCTTGTAAACCACATTTTGACAACGAATTGACAAATCCTTCACCAAAAATATACCCTTTTATTGTGTGTAGAGTACGCTAGTACAATAAGAGGCATTTTGTAGAAGCAATCTTTAAGATTCTATGCTCCAACCAGTTTCACTTACTTGATTAGATAACAAAATGTTCGTATCATCTTCCATTTCTTTTAATCTTTGTTGTAAAAAAGCTTGAAGCTAATCAGAATAGCTCAATAAGTACGATATGATATTAAATGGGAAAATTATTATAAAAAATGGAGGGCGGAGTTATTCAAACATTGGTGGTGTATGCAAGGTTTTTTAAAATAGGATGCGACAAGGTCTCACATAAACAACATATTACGTATTTACTCGAGCAATACTCGCATTCAAAATGTGCTGTGCAACTATTAATGCAAATACAGACTTACTATTTAACGGATACAACGTAAAAACTACTAGAAGCGTCAAATTTCCCAAAATGCCTATCTTGTATTTAAAAAAGGAGATTTGAACGTGAGTATATTACTCTACAAACCTCCATTATTTCATCAACAAAACAGTTTCGGGTTTGTGGATAGTCGAGAAGTGTTAAAGCGTCATTGCCTTTCGCAATACCATTGCTTGCAGTACCTAAATTTGAATTTTTGTCTTTGCGAAAAGTAATTTTCAAAATCCAACTAACAGGACAACTATTTCTATTCTTACAAAGTAGAATAACAGTTAAACAACTTCCATAAATAACACGTAGCACATAAATCAGACATAATAAAAAATTTGTGAACTTTTTAGAACACTAACAACACTAACATCTTTCTTTCTGTAGAAATGCTCGACAAAAGGATATAATCTAACACCACCCGCAGTGGATTTCAATAAAATGGCGCAGATCCAAAAGAAGTTCAACATTTAAAGATGCATTATTTACCATTGCAGAGGGGTATGCATGATTTATGAAATAGATGCAATTAAGTCACATAAGGCGCGCAAAAAAAGTAACTTACAGCTGTCAATATGAAATTGCTATGAAAAAGGCGTGGGACAGTTGCCCCTTTAATTCATTTTGTACTATCAAAAATACATAATACCTTCTTCAACCTTCATTTCACTAGAATCGTCACCAAAATCAATCGTTTGTTCATCACCAAAATCAATTGTTGGTTCATCACCAAAATCAATCGTTTCTTCATCACCAAAATCAATTGCTGGTTCATCACCAAAATCAATCTTTTCTTCATCACCAAAATCAATCGTTTCTCCATCACCATTGTCGGCATTGCAATTATCGCCCACAGAGTTTGTGCTGTTTCCTGCATCTTGAGTCACAAAATACATAAAAAAACGGCAGCGGAATAAAATGAATAAACAGCCATAACAAGAGAAAATATCAATAACGTGTGTTAACCTGCTGTTCGTTCAATCATCAAAAACCTCACAAATGCATCAGTGAAAATATCGTCAAAGATACACTCAAGTGACCACTTTATACAATTTGATTGTTCAATCTCATCAAACTAATATTGTTTCTTTAATTTTTGTTGTACTTATAAAAACTACTGAGTTGCTCATCCTCCGTCCGACACAAACAGCTATATGTACACTCACACTTTCATCCAATACTATCCTATGTATCCTCTAATCTATCCTATTCGATTCCCCATTATATCTCATTTCACTGTCCCAATCCTATTCAATATTCAACCGACCACCAATGGAGCAATAATAAAAGCAATTAACGGTAACTGTACCTTCGACATTTTTTCATCGACATTTACATCCCAATTTATCTAAAAAACGATTCCTAAACTTCAAACTTAAGATTGTACGAAATCCAAATCCAGAAAAAAACTAGGTATATTACAAAGCACGACTCGAGCTCATTCTATTGTCGTTGTTAATGAAAAAAAAACAGCTTTCAGACCTAAGCTTATTTCTTCATCTGTTTCATATTTCATAATCACCATCCTCAAGAATAATCAGCTTTAGAGAAAGAAAACGGTGTTCAACTTACCCCGGACGACTCCAAATTGTCTGCATCATCAACTAGTTCAACATCAGGATTAATAATCATCTGAAAATTTATTCGGGAAATATATTCGGCAAACATTGCTTTAATGAAAAAAATAGACTTTTAGTATATTTCGAGAATGAATCGAATTATATAAATACCGTTGGAATAATACCAGTTCTCCATTGATAGACACAGGTATTTCCATTTTTGATAACATAACAAGTAAATGGACACAAATCTTTACAACAACGTTCCACTTCATCTTTTCTACAGATGCATAAAAACAAAGATAAAAATGAACAACAAAGGAGGAGTTAAGTTGTGGGTTTTTCATTCTAAATACCAGGCTGGTTAGCTTACCGATGTGGCAACAATATCATAGCTTACGTATTTATCAAACAAATCTTAATCTCGTATGAATGTTTTATGCAGTGCGGTGTTTGAAATTAAAATGAAGATATGATCTTCGCACTTTACTGGACAATTTAAGCAATCGTCTCAGGAACCTGAAAAAATCAGGTGACTCAACGGGATTCGAACCCATGACCTCTGCGGTGCCGGTGCAGTGCTCTGACCAACTGAGCTATGAAGTCACACAGTGGTGAGCAGGTCAGGTGAGGAGAAAGCATGAGCCCAACAATATTGACCTGCTCTCCACTGTGTGACTTCATAGCTCAGTTGGTCAGAGCACTGCACCGGCACCGCAGAGGTCATGGGTTCGAATCCCGTTGAGTCACCTGATTTTTTCAGGTTCCTGAGACGATTGCTTAAATTGTCCAGCAAAGTGCGAAGATCATATCTTCATTTTAAATCTTAATCTCGTTAGCAAAAAAGTAGATTTTTTTCTAAGCTTTTCGACTAATTGCTCACTAGACTTTAGATCTTTTAAAAGTGACAATTTATGCTGCGTAGCACTTAAAAATGGAAGTATAACACTACCTTTTCCAATTCTATTTTTTATACCACGTGTGGAAAGTGATGCAAAAAACTTTGTACTTACTTGGGTGAAATAAAATCCACAAACGCGACATAGTAATCTAGGATATCATTGCAATTCGCTACTTTTCGACAAATATCATCATAAACATCAGGAAGCTCTTTCAAAAGGAGGAGAAGTTCTTGTCTTACATTGACACCCTTAAAAAAATTTGTGCAATAATCTTAATACTGTGTGTACGTAAATAAATGTGTAAGTATGTCAAGATTGTGAAAATGTCACATTTTTTGATAAAAGTTTCATCGTCTTTTAATAAAGATTGTATCATCTTTTTATGGAACTGACTGTATTTTGAATACAGATTGTAATGTCTTTTTGACACAATCTCACTGAATTCAGCAAAGATTGTTAGGTCATTTTAATAAAAATTGCCAGGTTTTGTTATTTAAATTGACGAAGTTATTACGTAAAAATTGTACTTTACTTTAAACGAAGATGGTATAGTTAATTTACTGAAAATAAACTTACTTGAATTCCCATCTTTTTGCAAATAAGAAAATATTTCTCTTTGAAGCTGTTAGCATTCAAAGTATACTCACTTTCCTTTCGAGTGCAGTCCTAAATGGTTCAATATATGAATAATCAATACAGGGCTACAATTGAAATCCAACTTGTAACCACAGTACTATGCAAAACTCTATCTTAAGCAAAAACAAAAAATATATTGCTTTTGGAGGGTACTGACGTGTTTGTAGCACAAAGATGTAGCCAACTATCAGGTTTGGTGGAGCTAAGTAAATTTCAAATCAACCATCATTCATTTCTTTAAAAATCTATTGTTTTTGCAGTTAGTTAAGAGAGAAAAATTGCATACAAGGACTAAATTGACTCCCCAAACTGGACAAGAATCAATTTTTAATTTATTATTACAACATAGGACAGAATATATCTTATTCTTGGTCATTCTACTGAAAAGTTTTATGAAATAATAAAATTTCTTTACCAATATCAATATAGAAGAACAAATAGAAAAAATAGATTTTACCCTTTGTGTTTGTTGGCACTTTGCTATTTGTCTTTTAAGAGAAGGAATCTCGTAGTTTACATTTCTTATCAACATATGACTGGCCTCGGCTGAAATGGAAAAATATGAAAAATCGTAAATGATTTTTGTATAAGCACGCCTGGAGTATCTTTGTATTTGTTTTTTCTATAGTAAATATTGATATATCTTTGTGTTAATAGTCATTGCTGATGTAGAAGGTAATTGCTGGCGTGTCTTGGTCGTAAATATTGATGTATCTTTGTGCTGATGGTCAGGGCTGATGTCGATGGTATTTTCTGGCGTGTCTTGGTCGTAAATATTGATGTATCTTTGTGCTGATGGTCAGGGCTGACGTCGATGGTATTTTCTGGTGTGTCTTGGTGTTGTTGGTAATAGTTGATCTTGCACTATTTTACGGTGTTGTTGATGTGCTGATGTTTCTTGGGGTGAGTGGCAATGCCAGCCCGAACGTTTACTCTTACAATACAACTTTTTCAAACAAAATTTTACCAACAATTTATATGGCAGTGTGGCGGATCTGCAAATATCACCTCACAAAATGTGTACAAACTTTTGAAAAAATTTGCCACGTAAAGGGTTGAACCTTGTGGATAATTATGTTGATAATCATTGTTCATTTCGATGGTCATAGTTGATGTTAATGATTTATGCAGGTGGGTCTTGGTGTTGGTGGTAATTTTTTTAAGTCGACTTCACAAAAAACCAATTACTATGTTCCCTTTTACGCAAAATAAGAAACAATAGTTTATAGCAATTGTCATAACACTGACATTTTGAGCAACAAAACATTTTCATGTCTTTTTTGTTTTCTGTCCGTACCAATTTACATATAAAAATCTTTTAGTGACAAGTTTAGTTATCTTACATAATTACGATCGCAACCAGAAGGTTCAAAATTGCGCATGCGCACGCCCGGCAAAAGTATTTCGTTCCCTGGCAACAAATTTCAAAGATTGTTAACCATTGAAAGCAAGCACTCGCATGCTCATCACAGTCAGCGCTTTCCTGTAAATTCCTAAATGGTATTGTTTACTTTACAGAATACAGGTTACTAAAGCAATCTGTACTAGATTTTGAAATTTTTTGTCATAATTTGCAATTTATTGGAATGCTTTATGCATCACTATTACACTATACAGTATTTTTTCGTGCTAGTACATCAGAAATCCCGTACAAATGGTCGGGTTTCCATTGAGAAGTAGTTTCATAAACAGTAATTGTATACGTATGTACTTATAATCGAGGTCGCTGAAAAAACATTCTTTTCTTAAAATAATGTGTGGGTGGCGGCGGGCACGTCGAAGTCGTTGATTTTCTCATAGATAGCCGAATTCTCAACGTATCTTTTATATTCTTCCTTAAACCTGATGGTACCGTAGGTACACAACATGGCCCAATCTTGTCTGATCGCGTTGAGATAAAATAACATCTTTGTTTATCTATAAATCACTTAAGAAAGAATTTTTTCTTCAGTCCGGTAGATTTTCCAAAGTTTAAAGGATTTTCGACGCTTTTAATGATCTCTTCTGCGAATTTTCTATTATTTGTAGGCATTTTCTATGCAGTTGAGCTGCTTTTGATTTGCTCCATTTTTAAAATTGCATAAGGGTTTTTTACCAACTTTATGAAGTTTGAATCTGTTCCGTAGAAGTTCACGTTTGATTGAAGATCTAAGCTATAACGCGGTTTTGGTTCTATAAATGTTTTGTTAATTTGCAGGGAAAATTTTTCATTATCAACCATTAAAAAACAAGCGCTTGCACATTGCAATTGGATTTTTCCCTTTACAGACTACAGATTACAATGTAATCTGACTTATGCAATATTAATACACTTTCATTGTTTCGTTACGTACGTAATCTGCACTCAATTGAAAGGAGTTTCTTGCTTGAAATTTGCAATGAAGAGTGACCAAAAAGCATCTGCAATTCTTATGTATTGCTATTTTCAATTTGGTTCACAGCTCTTTGGGGATCAGTTACTGCTGAATCACAAAACTTCTACACATTGGGTACTTTCAAAGGATGGCAGTATTTTTACACACCCTGTAGATTTAAGAATGATGAAATAAAAAATATTTACATTACCCAGGCCAACATTGTTTGTTTCATAAAGCTGCTTTATTTCCAACCAATCCTAAAAGGATAAATTACAGAAGTTTGTCCTGTTATTGATATTTTATTTTCCACCTTAAATGAAGGAAAAAATTCACATGAACTCTTATTCTACACTTGCTTGAAGTGGTTGGGAATTGTTGAATATTTTAATGTACAGTAGACACAAAATACAGATAACTGTTTCGTGTAGGATACCTTCATTCTTTTTGATGAATATCTTCCAAAAATATTTTTCGATGCTGATTCTGATATTTCTAAAAGTTCCACAATCCTCACACAATGAAAATAGTTGATATCTGTGTTTAGAAAAAAAAACACCAGCCCTTAGTAGTTACGTACTGCTTAAAGCTGCCAGAATCATATTTAAAACAACAGTTGATTCAATTCCATGTACTGCTTCATGCCAACTCAGATATTTTGAACCCAACTCTTACTTTCAATGTTATATTGCTAAGTGCTGACTGAATTATATGAATCACAAATGTGATAATAAATTAAAACTGATTTTTCAGAGGACTTTAATTACATTGTTCAGCAACTCAACCATAAGCTCAATACATACAGCTTCCAGACAAAAGTTGCATAATTTCATCAACAGCTGGCATATCTTGAATTGCTTCATTGATCTTCTCTCGTATGGTCAAAACTTGTTCTGACCATTTTGAATTACAATGTCGACGGTCTATTAACCATTCTATAAAGTTCAAGGAAACCATATCGTTAACGCGATTAAATCCTCCACCTGAACTGAAATATCACCTTGGTTCAATTATCACTATACTCTCATTTCAAGCATAATGGATAAATCCTCTTTCACAACATTTGTGATAAACGATTGTAAACAGTCTTGGAATTATACATGCTTACCTAAAAGTTTGTTGTAATAAATATCAATGGGTAGGCTCTTTTGTTCTTCAAATCTTTCTCCCTACAGTGGTGATTGTTTAAACAACGACTCCACAGAAAATCATCATAAAATTATGAATATAATATGTAAGTCCCACCTGCATTATTTGAGAATATGTCTTTGTCAAAATATCTTTATTTGAACGCGGTATATTATATTTAATTTTTATTTCTATATTATCGATAATTCAAATAACAAAATTACAGGTTTTAAGAGAGCAATCATTTATCTTGACTCCAGTTCGATATGCAATACTTGGTGTAGTCGAGCATAAGATTCAATTAGAGCGACGCAGAGTTAAAATTTGATGTTGGGGCAAATGTGTTATTTTTATATTCAGTTTTACATCTTTTTTATCCACGTAATTCATACGTACACAAAAATTGATCCTACACCATTCATAAGTACACAAAAATTGATCCTACACCATTTTCTAGGTCATAGACTGGTGGAAAATTGCTTTGGAAAAACCACGCTCATTTTATCCAAAAACTTCATTTTCACACCGCCTGCGTCAAACCTTACGCGACGGACATAAATAACTAAATCGAGTGTACAATTAAATTACTCTTCAAGAGACCCAACAAAAACAGCTACTGTTAAAACTGTAAAATTAAAACAAATTTTACGCCATTTTCTCACATCATATATAGATCTTGACACTTCTCCTAATTTGATTCTGCCTTCACTTTCTTCTTTAATACAGAGGCAGACTGGATGCAAAATGCATGTTTTAAAGTGCATGTGTCCTCCATTTTAAATTTTATTGATTCTGACAAATCTCAAAAAGTTAGTTAACAATTTCTAAATTAGATTTTACGAACAAAAAATATTTCCAGAAAAATACTGCACAAACACAAATCAAGCGCAAAGTCATATTGTTTATAAAAGTTGAAATTCAAAAAAAGTATGTTGCAAATTAAACTTAAACAATATCCATCCATGTATTCCTGGGTTCCAGTCCTCCACTGTTCTTTGCCTTTTTCCCAGAAATCTGTATTTGAGCCGTTAAAACTCTCGAAATTAACATTTTACCCAAAAACTAATTTAGAAGTTGCTAAATAACTTTTTGAGATCTATCAGAAATAATAAAAACCCAAAATGAGGTCAAATGCACTTTAAGTGTCTTTGATATTTGTGCAATATTAATGACTTTCACTCCTTCAATTCTTTATAATCAACAGTACAGCGCACCACAAGTACCTAACCAGTGAATAGCTGTGGATTAGAGAATAAAGGACGGTGCATCTGTTTAACAAGCAGAAATATAATATAATTAAAGTTGCTTAGTATTGTTTGTCTCTCGCATAGCCTTGGTAACGTCGTAATTATACTTTACAATTTATAAATCCGACCATGAACATATCCAAAAATTTCTAGAAGAATAAATTTGTTGTTAATGTTGGCCTCAGATTCTACGAGTCCCACAAATTGAAACTATACTGTCCAATCTACAGCGTTTTGAACATTTGTATTCTCACATTAATTATGCTTTGTTCTGTTTGCGTTTATTCCAAACAAACGCAAGCATATTTTTAAATAAAAGAGGCATGATTTTAAAATTTGACCATGATTTTTGGGAAAAAACAATGCTAGAACTAGAAGCATATTATGTCATTTTAATAAGAGTTATAGAGAATGCTCTACCCATGAGATCACTGGGAAATTTTCCTGTGCACCCCTCACTTATAGTTATACGCTCATTTAAACGGTTGCACCGTCTTTTTAAGAAAATATGATGAAGAAAATACTGTTAGGATTATTAAAGTAAAACAGACGAAAGGTTATGTTGCTGAAATGATAAACTTTTAAAGCAATTTGCTTCACTATCATCAACCTGCATTTGTAAATTTCCAATTTCCAAGTGTACCACAGCATTACGTACAACGCTACAAGCAAGTGCTTGGGACAAACCTACTGCTTGGAACATGATGCAGTTCTCAAAAAATGTTTCATTGATCGTCTAGTTTATTTAGAATTTTACTCTAACTTGGTATTCACCAGACGTCAATAATTTGTACTCGATACAACAGCACATACACATTCAAACTCTCCCCTCCTCTAGACACAGCCATTTGTTACACACAACACACTTTATGAGTTTTCCCAGTGAGTCATGAAGAGGCCAGTCCGCACGATTTCACTACTTTATAAAATCGTCCCTTAGCTTCTATGACTGAGCCAAGGCACTTAAAACTCTTTCTCATTGCGTCAGTCAGTGACATCCTGTCACGATTTCGCTCTTGCTTCGCACAAACAGCATTTTATCACAAATGTCAAAAAAAGTGTGCAGTTCTTAAAACAAAGAAATTTTCTTAAACATCAGAAAACTGGTTTGAGAAACAACAACAGAGAATAGAAATAAAGTAATGGGTTCGTGATCACACTATTTATAGACGACCATGCATAGTAAACATTATTTATGACTGTAGAGTAACATGAGTCATCAGCACATACATACCCATGCAGTTGCAGGTCCATTATCAGGCAAAACAATTTTCAAAAATCCATTGTTTTAGTAAAATTCCATGTTTTTAGAATTCATAACCGATAATATTTTTATTAAGGTAATTTAAATTTCAAATCGTCTATAATATTAGTTGTTCCTCACCAAATTAACTAATCCAAAATATTTGGTCCAAAAAGCTACTTATAACATTTTGCAGCATTTTTAGATGAAAAAGTATAAAATCAAACAATTCTTACTAAAGTTAGTGGTTGTTATAGTTATTGCTTTCATTAAGAAAGATGGTTTTCATCAAATAGATCTGAGACAATTGACCACCTGCTTTGTCCTGTCATAGCCATATTTAATAATTGATTTAACACTAAAGCAAATTGACAAAAAAGTATCGCTTTTACGCATAAAACTAGTCTTAATCAAAGAGCTTTGGGATTAGTTTTTGCATGTAAATATAATGAAAATCATCGTTTTTCGTTTTTCCATTACTCGTAGATATACATCAGAATTACGTTTATTACAGTTCTTTGACGTTTTTGCACCTGTCTATGACGCAGCTAAAATTTAGTTAATATTACTCTGCATGATATTCATGACAAGTTAGAAATAGGAAGGAGTATTTCTAACATGTCAAAAGAAACCAAAACAATTTCGAAAATGGATTTATTCAGATCGCTCGCAAGGTGGATCTTTGTAATAGGACTTTGGATAACGTTATTTCTACACAATGTAAAAACAGGTGTTGTTTTTCGTATTTTTAGTTTATGCTCGTGACATTTTCCACATAGCCGTATTGAAGGACAATTGTGTTTTATAATCGTAGTCATTGCATGGATAGGTATACCGCATACAATTTTTAAAATCAAAGAGAAAATTCTAAACAAATCTTAATCTACCAGAATGCACTGTTGGCTAAAGAACAATAAAAACCGCAAGAAGAGCGAGCTTTTATTGACAGTTGATAATTAAATTGAACAAAGTGTCTGACAGAATTTCTTTCTTCACTAGAACTGTAAAATTTTAAAATCAACTCCGATGCAAATGTCATTTATTCAAATTGCCACATTTAACACATCTTTCTTAACATCGTCGAATACAACTTCATCAAAAGTTTCAGGGAAATGTTTTGTGTTTTCAAATAGTAAAGTCTATAACTATTTTAATGAATGCAGGTAAAAAGTATAATTAAACTGTATGCCTTCATTAACCTTAAATTTTAACGTTTTTGGCGACAGTCATTTTGTACATACCAAGACTTCTTGCCTCATGAAATAGTCAAATGAAGACCTTAGGCTACTTCAAAATTCTTATTCAGTGCATGTTTTGAATTATCTTATGGATTGTCTCAGCTAAAAATAAATCAAAATGAGTGGTTATTACTGAAAAGATGATCTTTGATGACCAAACACATAATAACCAAACCAGAAAGAACTAAAAACAATTCCTAGTTTTTTTAAAGAAGACATAACTATATTATAGTCATAATCGTCGCAAAAACTCACGCACTAGCTATTTTGTTTTATTGTATAGTCGAATCATTCGATTCAACAACTATTACTGTGTCCTTGTCAAAAGAATCATCATTAAATTCTACAACCACGATGGTGTTTTTATCCAATGATTCAACAATCAGTCCTACACCTGCGATATTATCTTTATCAAATGAATCGTCATTCAATTCTACAACTACGATGGTGTTTTTATCCAATGATTCAACAATCAGTCCTACATCTGCGATGATGTCTTTATCTAATGAATCATCATTCAATACTACAACCACGATGGGATTTTTGTCCAACGATTCAACAATCAGTCCTACATCTGCGATGATGTCTTTATCTAATGAATCATCATTCAATACTACAACTACGATGGAGTTTTTATCCAATGAATCAGCAATCAGTCCTACATCTGCGATGATGTCTTTATCTAATGAATCATCATTCAATTCTACAACCACGATGGTGTTTTTATCCAATGATTCAACAATCAGTCCTACATCTGCGATGATGTATTTATCTAATGAATCATCATTCAATACTACAACCACGAAGGTGTTTTTGTCCAATGATTCAACAATCAGTCCTACATCTGCGATAATGTCTTTATCTAATGAATCATCATTCAATTCTACAACTACGATGGTGTTTTTATCCAATGATTCAACAGTCAGTCCTACATCTGCGATGATGTCTTTATCTAATGAATCGTCATTCAATTCTACAACCACGATGGTGTTTTTGTCCAATGATTCAACAATCAGTCCTACATCTGCGATGATGTATTTATCTAATGAATCATCATTCAATACTACAACCACGAAGGTGTTTTTGTCCAATGATTCAAAAATCAGTCCTACATCTGCGATAATGTCTTTCTCTAATGAATCATCATTCAATACTACAACCACGATGGTGTTTTTATCCAATTATTCAACAATCAGTCCTACATCTGCGATAATGTCTTTATCTAATGAATCATCATTCATTTCTACAACCACGATGGTGTTTTCATCCAATGATTCAACAATCAGTCCTACATCTGCGATGATGTCTTTATCTAATGAATCGTCATTCAATACTACAACCACGATGGTGTTTTTACCCAATAATTCAACAATCAGTCCTACATCTGCGATGATGTTTTATCTAATGAATCGTCATTCAATACTACAACCACGATGATGTTTTTATCCAATAATTCAAGAATCAGTCCTACATCTGCGATGATGTCTTTATCTAATGAATCATCATTCAATTCTACAACCACGATGGTGTTTTTATCCAATGATTCAACAATCAGTCCTACATCTGCGATGATGTATTTATCTAATGAATCATCATTCAATACTACAACCACGAAGGTGTTTTTGTCCAATGATTCAACAATCAGTCCTACATCTGCGATAATGTCTTTATCTAATGAATCATCATTCAATTCTACAACCACGATGGTGTTTTTATCCAATGATTCAACAGTCAGTCCTACATCTGCGATGATGTCTTTATCTAATGAATCGTCATTCAATTCTACAACCACGATGGTGTTTTTGTCCAATGATTCAACAATCAGTCCTACATCTGCGATGATGTATTTATCTAATGAATCATCATTCAATTCTACAACCACGAAGGTGTTTTTATCCAATTATTCAACAGTCAGTCCAACATCTGCGATAATGTCTTTATCTAATGAATCGTTATTCAATTCTACAACTACGATGGTGTTTTCATCCAATGATTCAACAATCAGTCCTACATCTGCGATGATGTCTTTATCTAATGAATCATCATTCAATTCTACAACCACGATGGTGTTTTTATCCAATGATTCAACAATCAGTCCTACATCTGCGATGATGTATTTATCTAATGAATCATCATTCAATACTACAACCACGAAGGTGTTTTTGTCCAATGATTCAACAATCAGTCCTACATCTGCGATAATGTCTTTATCTAATGAATCATCATTCAATTCTACAACTACGATGGTGTTTTATCCAATGATTCAACAGTCAGTCCTACATCTGCGATGATGTCTTTATCTAATGAATCGTCATTCAATTCTACAACCACGATGGTGTTTTTATCCAATGATTCAAAATCAGTCCTACATCTGCGATGATGTATTTATCTAATGAATCATCATTCAATACTACAACCACGAAGGTGTTTTTGTCCAATGATTCAAAAATCAGTCCTACATCTGCGATGATGTCTTTATCTAATGAATCGTCATTCAATTCTACAATCACGAAGGTGTTTTTATCCAATTATTCAACAGTCAGTCCTACATCTGCGATGATGTCTTTATCTAATGAATCATCATTCAATTCTACAACCACGATGGTGTTTTTATCCAACGATTCAAAAATCAGTCCTACATCTGCGATGATGTCTTTATCTAATGAATCATCATTCAATTCTACAACCACGATGGTGTTTTTATCCAATGTTTCAAAAATCAGTCCTACATCTGCGATGATGTCTTTATCTAATGAATCATCATTCAACTCTACAACCACGAAGGTGTTTTTATCCAATTATTCAACAGTCAGTCCTACATCTGCGATGATGTCTTTATCTAATGAATCATCATTCAATTCTACAACCACGATGGTGTTTTTATCTAATGATTCAACAATCAGTTCTACATCTGTGATGATGTCTTTATCTAATGAATCATCATTCAATTCTACAACCACGATGGTGTTTTTATCTAATGATTCAACAATCAGTCCTACATCTGCGATGATGTCTTTATCTAATGAATCATCATTCAATACTACAACCACGATGATGTTTTTATCTAATGATTCAACAATCAGTCCTACATCTGCGATGATGTCTTTATCTAATGAATCATCATTCAATTCTACAACCACGATGGTGTTTTTATCCAATGTTTCGAAAATCACTCCTACATCTGCGATAATGTCTTTATCTAATGAATCATCATTCAACTCTACAACTACGATGGTGTTTTCATCCAATGATTCAAAAATCAGTCCTACATCTGCGATGATGTCTTTATCTAATGAGTCATCATTCAACTCTACAACCACGAAGGTGTTTTTATCCAATTATTCAACAGTCAGTCCTACATCTGCGATGATGTCTTTATCTAATAAATCATCATTCAATTCTACAACCACGATGGTGTTTTTATCCAATGATTCAACAATCAGTCCTACATCTGCGATGATGTCTTTATCTAATGAATCATCATTCAATACTACAACCACGATGATGTTTTTATCTAATGATTCAACAATCAGTCCTACATCTGCGATGATGTCTTTATCTAATGAATCATCATTCAATTCTACAACCACGATGGTGTTTTTATCCAATGTTTCGAAAATCACTCCTACATCTGCGATAATGTCTTTATCTAATGAATCATCATTCAACTCTACAACTACGATGGTGTTTTCATCCAATGATTCAAAAATCAGTCCTACATCTGCGATGATATCTTTATCTAATGAGTCATCATTCAACTCTACAACCACGAAGGTGTTTTTATCCAATTATTCAACAGTCAGTCCTACATCTGCGATGATGTCTTTATCTAATAAATCATCATTCAATTCTACAACCACGATGGTGTTTTTATCCAATGATTCAACAATCAGTCCTACATCTGCGATGATGTCTTTATCTAATGAATCATCATTCAATTCTACAACCACGATGGTGTTTTTATCCAATGATTCAATAATCAGTCCTACATCTGCGATGATGTCTTTATCTAATGAATCATCATTCAATTCTACAACTACGATGGTGTTTTTATCCAATGTTTCGAAAATCACTCCTACATCTGCGATAATGTCTTTATCTAATGAATCATCATTCAACTCTACAACTACGATGGTGTTTTCATCCAATGATTCAAAAATCAGTCCTACATCTGCGATGATATCTTTATCTAATGAGTCATCATTCAACTCTACAACCACGAAGGTGTTTTTATCCAATTATTCAACAGTCAGTCCTACATCTGCGATGATGTCTTTATCTAATAAATCATCATTCAATTCTACAACCACGATGGTGTTTTTATCCAATGATTCAACAATCAGTCCTACATCTGCGATGATGTCTTTATCTAATGAATCATCATTCAATTCTACAACCACGATGGTGTTTTTATCCAATGATTCAATAATCAGTCCTACATCTGCGATGATGTCTTTATCTAATGAATCATCATTCAATTCTACAACTACGATGGTGTTTTTATCTAATAATTCAACAATCAGTCCTACATCTGCGATGATGTCTTTATCTAATGAATCATCATTCAATTCTACAACTACGATGGTGTTTTTATCCAATGATTCAACAATCAGTCCTACATCTGCGATGATGTCTTTATCTAATGAATCATCATTCAACTCTACAACCACGAAGGTGTTTTTATCCAATTATTCAACAGTCAGTCCTACATCTGCGATGATGTCTTTATCTAATAAATCATCATTCAATTCTACAACCACGATGGTGTTTTTATCTAATGATTCAACAATCAGTCCTACATCTGCGATGATGTCTTTATCTAATGAATCATCATTCAATACTACAACCACGATGATGTTTTTATCCAATAATTCAGCAATCAGTCCTACATCTGCGATGATGTCTTTATCGAATGAATCATCATTCAATTCTACAACCACGATGGTGTTTTTATCCAATGATTCGACAATCATTCCTACATCTGCGATGATGTTTTTATCTAATGAATCATCATACAACACTACAACCACGATGGTGTTTTTGTCCAATGATTCAATAATCAGTCCTACATCTGCGATGATGTCTTTATCTAATGAATCGTCATTCAATTCTACAACAGCGTTGGTGTCTTTATCCAATGATTCAATAATCAGTCCTACATCTACGATGATGTCTTTATCTAAAGAATCATCATTCGATTCTATGAGTACAATGGTGTCTTCATTCACAACTTTGAACTCGTTGTCACAACGTTTTTTTTTTATCACTCTTGAGATAATTAACAGGAATTTCTCAAGTGATCACGCCAACACATCGTCAAGTCTGTATAAAAAAACAGCGACAGAAGTTATATCCACGGTAAGTGATACTTGGATTGACGTTTCGTTCAAACTTGTTTTTGCTGATGCCTCACGTCTTCCTTTTCGTTAGGTTAAAAACATTTTGAAAGGCAATCGTGGATTGGTTGATGTGATAAATGTAATGTTCAGGTAAGGTTTTTTAATTACATAACATTTCTTTGCATTCAAAGGTTCAAAATTATATTCCTAATGCAAAAAGATATTTTGTAGTGTGTAGTTGAGATCAAGTCTAGTCAGTCTAGAAGCTTCGCTCATTTTATGTCTTAAATTGACTCACGAATAAATTGAATTTGTTTCTTTTGTCATAGTAATGGCAGCCTTTTGGCAAGTTTCGACGTGTTTTTCTTGAGCAATTCAACGATAACAACCGAGGAACTGAGTTCTTTAATTAAAACAGCATCAACCAGCAACAGTTCATTGCAATTTTCCGTTGTCAAAGTGAGAGGTAAAACAGCAAAAGAAGTCAACACCCCGATGTCCCCAACTTTGCTCCATCATTCTAATTTAGTTAATTTAAAATAATTTCAGAAATTTGTACGTCAGGATACTGTTCCAACAAAGGCATATGTACGCTAGACAATAAAACAGAGGAATTGAAATGCAGGTAAACTTCAGTTCACCTCGTGCAACTCAATGGTTTTAAGCATAGAATACTTTAAACGCTGGATTATTTTCTTTATTTAGTTGTAACTCTGAACACATTGGACCAAGATGCAATTCTACGAAAACAGGTTAAATTAGAGCTCCCACCATTAGATTTGGGATCATCGAGAAAAAAAATACTTTATAAGAACATACTTCAATGTTCTACCGACCAAGATAAACCATGGTCCAATGTTTCTACCTTTAAATTTGTTAATTATAGATTTGTTTAACCTTATGCATGCAGAATTCTTTTCACCTAGATTGGCGTATGCTCGCTCGGTCATTTTCCCCAAGCTATTTTCATACTGATCTCAAAGATCTAAGCTGAACAACTAATGAAAATAATTCTCCATAAAATAATTATTTCAGATGATAGTGATGACAATAAGCTGTGGATTGCTCTTGCTCTGTCTTGGTATGCTTCTGTTAATTGTCATAATGCTTATTGTACTGGCTTTGAGAAGACGAAAGAAATATTACATAACGAGGTTAATTCATTGATATCTTTCATTGAAAATATTCTTAAATTTCACCATAAATATTAACTGCATTATTTAATGTTAGGGAGAGCGTGATGTCAACTGGCCGTACATCTGGAGAAATATATTTTAACCACGCATACAGCCCATCTCTGGAAAATGTTGTTGGTTATTACAAGTCAAAAAATGTTATTCCTCTAGAAGTGGTAAATGAAACTAGTTCGAGTAGGTTTAAAAGTGACGATTATCAAGAGGCAGAGTTCCTCTCCAAAAAGAAAAAGAATGAAGAAAAAGAGGAAGAAGACGTTTATGCATCGCAACTTTTGCTTTTTTTGAAACAAAACAATCTTTTAAAGAATTCAAGAGAAGATGAAAACACCCAAAGACCTTCAAGGACAACCAACGTAGATAATGATTCAGACACTTAGTGATAAACAAAAGATTGTAAGAGAAGTGAGAAATAATTTGACAATTTTTTGACTACAATATTAATGAGAAAAACACCATTTTAAAATGGAACATCACGTCGCTGTACTTTACTTTAACCATAGCACTTTGAATAACATAATAACAAAAAATACACCATTGTTAAAATTATCTATTCATTTGTCACTGATACCAAATACAGCAAATACAAACATATCTGCATTTTGTTGTCATGGAAGACGTTTGCTCTTAAGATTACATTCTATCTATACAGATTTCTATACCATAAAGGCAAATAAATGCACAATCAAATGAACACGCTTAATTAACATATTATTTTCATAAGCATGTAATAGCACTCAAACATTTAATTGTTCAGCCAGTGTTTAGTGCATTGACTGTCTGCCTGCCTGAACTATACTGTTACAGAATCTTTTAAGATGACATAAGTCTAGAAAAAGGCGTTGTGACATCAGTAGGTTGCTTGCTAACTTGACTACTTTCCAGGTCGTATAAAGTACGTTTTAAACGGTTCCATTCGTCATTACGTGGAGTTGCAAGTTGCTGCAAATAAAGAAATATTTGGGTTCATATAATTAAGTAGATCTTAGCTTTGATGCACGTTGACAGTGATAGTAGCGACATGGTCATAAAAAAATTTCTTTATCTTTGGAAATGACGAGGAGCACAAGAGCCCCAAAAGATTTCGTATGAACATCTTTCTTTATATTAAGAACATGCAAATAGCACGTGTACCTCTCCAACGTCAAAGAAAAAGACGCGTCCATCATCATTTCCAGTCACAATATGATTTCCATTTTGAGTCCAACGACAACGACTAAATGAGCCCGAACCTTCTGTAGTTGTACTCGCCGTTGGTATCTAAAAATAAGTTATCAATAAAATTGAAATAAAGGATGAATTTAATGAAAATGACTAGTTGATTGAGCAATGCCTGCATCTAAATGATCTCTTAAATTATTTTCCGGTAAATCTTTATCGATGACAGACGGAGTTTGAAGTTTGACATTTCAGTTTGAATCTTTTGATTCCTATTTTACAAATCGAACAGTAAAATAAGGCAGCATTTATACCTCAGTATCGTTATTTAAATTCCAAAGATCCAATCTACCAACACCATTGACAGTCGCAAACACAGCTGGATGTATAGGAGACCATTGAACATCGTATACATAATCCCCGCTGTTCTCAAATGAATACAGAGGCTGTTTGCTCTGTCAAGAAGAATGAAGGAACATAGAACTAGAAATAAGGTAAAATCTCAGGAAACATAACAGTCCACAATGGTAAAATTTGTACTGTCGCGTTTTTAACACGTATGTAAAAGCATGAAAATATAAAATAAACAGGCAGATGAAATATTCTATAATATAATAAAACAATACTATTATCTATCGTTAGCTAACCCGATGACTCCATAGTTTTACAGTCCAGTCAAAGGATGACGTCACAAAAAGCTGAGAGAAGTCAATCTAAACGTATAATAATGTTCAATCAATTCATAATCTCAATCACGTGTTATTCACGAAAGGAATAAATTCAATTAACCAAAAACATTAGAGTCAATTGTCTTAAAGAGTACTGTTCACGAGGATCACTAGGAATCAGACCTTTTTTCAATCAATATCTATCAAAAAGCTTGTGTAATTGAATTCATTCTATTATCAAAAGGACGCTATCGTGAAAAACAAGACAAGTTTATGAAATTAAAAGAATTTTAAAAGTGCATTGACGCTGAAAGGGCAGCCGTGCATTATTATATGACATTGGATTTTCTTGTCTTGTATACTCCATTTGAGGCAAGTGGACACAATCTAACCTCTCGATGTTTCCATTTCTATGTGACATACAGTTATTTTTGTATGCAAAATTACATACACTGTAATTTAATAGTCAAACTATTTCTTAAAAAATTTTACAACGCCGTGGAGAAATTTTTCATCTCTAAAAGCAATTTTCGGGACGGTTACTTCATTGTCATATTTTCACTAGTGTTTTCATTGTTCCCATTTTACCGCTGTATGAACAAGAAACTACAGCTAAAACTTAGTCTCCTAGAGATGGGCAAATGTTAAAAAAAGAGCCGTTCAGAAATAAACTACTATTATCATTTTAACGTCGGAATAATCTACTATGCCTACAAACACAATTGATATGAATGATATGCATGACGCCTTAAAATACACTCTCGAAATGAACACAACAGCGTGATGTTCGAAAATCTATTTTTTGATACACCACGCATATCTATTGGGTGACACTGATGACAGTCTCGAATGACCGATGAATCCTGATGGAAACTAGATTTCTATATGCCATACATCAATCAGAAATCAGATGGCAACTATAGAGTTCTATACACCGAGCAGCATACAGAGAATTATTCAATGACCTGTCCAAAAGCTGAATGTGTGTCCACTCCAGTAATAGGTCCTTGATGACCTTGACTTCCATGTCCCGTTTGGTTTCCTTCAAAACTGTCGATAATTCCAGTTTTACTAAAAAAACCCAAATTAGTTGCTTCGTTAGAAATTTCTTTACAAAGACCACCACTCCTTTAACTTTGTCTACGCATAAAATTTATTTTGGTATCCTTTTCATTCGGTGTAGTTACATACGTACTTACAAGTATCGCCCCAAATGATAACGTCCCTCTTATAAAGCCCAATATCGACAGCTATTACAAAGACTTTTGTGAAGTCGATGAAAATAATAATTATCTCGTTAGGTGAATCAAATGTACGGAAGAGCATCAAAGATGTTTTAGTGATCTTGAATCAAATGTACGGAAGAGGAAGCATCAAAGATGTTTTGGTGATCTTGAATCAAATGTACAGAAGAGGAAGCATCAAAGATGTTTTGCTGATCTTGAATCAAATGTACAGAAGAGGAAGCATCAAAGATGTTTTGCTGATCTTGAATCAAATGTACGGAAGAGGAAGCATCAAAGATGTTTTAGTGATCTTGAATCAAATGTACGGAAGAGGAAGCATCAAAGATGTTTTGGTGATCTTGAATCAAATGTACGGAAGAGGAAGCATCAAAGATGTTTTGGTGATCTTGAATCAAATGTACAGAAGAGGAAGCATCAAAGATGTTTTGCTGATCTTGAATCAAATGTACGGAAGAGGAAGCATCAAAGATGTTTTAGTGATCTTGAATCAAATGTACGGAAGAGGAAGCATCAAAGATGTTTTGCTGATCTTGAATCAAATGTACGGAAGAGGAAGCATCAAAGATGTTTTGGTGATCTTGAATCAAATGTACAGAAGAGGAAGCATCAAAGATGTTTTGCTGATCTTGAATCAAATGTACGGAAGAGGAAGCATCAAAGATGTTTTAGTGATCTTGAATCAAATGTACGGAAGAGGAAGCATCAAAGATGTTTTGCTGATCTTGAATCAAATGTACGGAAGAGGAAGCATCAAAGATGTTTTGGTGATCTTGAATCAAATGTACAGAAGAGGAAGCATCAAAGATGTTTTGCTGATCTTGAATCAAATGTACGGAAGAGGAAGCATCAAAGATGTTTTAGTGATCTTGAATCAAATGTACGGAAGAGGAAGCATCAAAGATGTTTTGCTGATCTTGAATCAAATGTACGGAAGAGGAAGCATCAAAGATGTTTTGGTGATCTTGAATCAAATGTACAGAAGAGGAAGCATCAAAGATGTTTTGCTGATCTTGAATCAAATGTACGGAAGAGGAAGCATCAAAGATGTTTTAGTGATCTTGAATCAAATGTACGGAAGAGGAAGCATCAAAGATGTTTTGCTGATCTTGAATCAAATGTACGGAAGAGGAAGCATCAAAGATGTTTTGCTGATCTTGAATCAAATGTACGGAAGAGGAAGCATCAAAGATGTTTTGGTGATCTTGAATCAAATGTACGGAAGAGGAAGCATCAAAGATGTTTTGGTGATCTTGAATCAAATGTACGGAAGAGGAAGCATCAAAGATGTTTTGGTGATCTTGAATCAAATGTACGGAAGAGGAAGCATCAAAGATGTTTCGGTGAAAACCGTAACACAATTTGGATGACAATACACATCGTAAAAAAAATACATTTCCCAATATCAAATTTCCAAATATATCCAACGAAGAAAAAACCAAACCTTATAAAAGTGTATTTGTCAAAACTAGCATGTGATTAAATGTTCCTTAAGGGGTCAATGTAAATATACACAGAAAAATGTAAAAAATGTGTGATTACCTTCCAAGATAACATGCTGTGTAAGACCATCGATGTAAAAATGAATACACAAATGTAAAAAATGTGTGTTTACCTTCCATGACGACATGCTGTGTAAACCATACCATCTTCACTGCCAACGACAAAATTATTAACATCACCGGCGAGAAACGACATACTCGTCACTGCTATTGATTTTGAAGTCTTATCGTGAAGTTCAATAGATTCCTGTGTAAGTCAAAATAACTATCTATTAATAAAAATTTATGTACTATCTATCGATCCGTAATCGTACTTACAAGCAATAACTAAGGTAGAGGAATGGGGTGTGCATTAGGTATTTACGTATAACGCTGTTTGTAGACAATAGAATTATCACTCAAAATATAGTACGTAAAATATACGGGATTACAAAAGACTTTGGTGACAAAAGTAATCCTTACGCGTTCTTTCTTTGCAGGGCAGCTGCAGCATCAGGGATTATTTAAGAAAGAACAAATTTACAAAATTGTCAAAACGATATGCTTAAAATTGCATGCATTTATCTATGTGACAGCAGAAACAGCGTGCAGGAAATGGATAAATAATTTCAGCATCGACTCATAAAATACCTGTGGCTGTGAAAGCATTTCTAAGCTCCAAGAGCACATTTTACCATTGGTTGAGACACTAATAAGATTATGGGCATTTTGCGTACCAACAACATTCACGCAGTAAACAGGATGCTGTGTTAAAATAATAATAATAATAAGAAGAATATTTCAATAAAACCCAGCTTTCCTAATGTAGCAACGTGTTCGATAAGTTTTACTGAACGCTTTTAAAACAAAATTATTAAAAAACGCGTGATTTCTCTCGCAATTGAAAATAGGTTTATTATTAGTACGTAAGTAAACAACACAACGATGTGGACATCTTTGTTTAGTTAACTATCAAAAATCTATCCTGCTGGTGACCACAATGCTCTCGTGACCACAGTGCAATGGTAATAACATTGCTGTCCTAAACCACAGTGCAATGGTAAGAACATTACTGTCCTAGACCACAGTGCAGAGGTAAGAACGTTGCGGTCCTAACCACAGTGCAATGGTAAGAACATTGCTGTCCTAACCACAGTGCAGAGGTAAGGACATTGCGGTCCTAACCACAGTGCAATGGTAAGAACATTGCGGTCCTAACCACAGTGCAATGGTAAGAACATTGCGGTCCTAACCACAGTGCAATGGTAAGAACATTGCGGTCCTAACCACAGTGCAATGGTAAGAACATTGCGGTCCTAACCACAGTGCAATGGTAAGAACATTGCGGTCCTAACCACAGTGCAATGGCAAGAACATTGCGGTCCTAACCACAGTGCAATGGTAAGAACATTGCTGTCCTAAACCAAAGTGCAATGGTAAGGACATTGCGGTCCTAACCACAGTGCAGAGGTAAGGACATTGCGGTCCTAACCACAGTGCAGAGGTAAGAACATTGCGGTCCTAACCACAGTGCAGAGGTAAGGACATTGCGGTCCTAACCACAGTGCAGAGGTAAGGACATTGCGGTCCTAACCACAGTGCAGAGGTAAGGACATTGCGGTCCTAACCACAGTGCAATGGTAAGAACATTGCTGTCCTAAACCACAGTGCAATGGTAAGGACATTGCGGTCCTAACCACAGTGCAGAGGTAAGGACATTGCGGTCCTAACCACAGTGCAGAGGTAAGAACATTGCGGTCCTAACCACAGTGCAGAGGTAAGGACATTGCGGTCCTAACCACAGTGCAGAGGTAAGGACATTGCGGTCCTAACCACAGTGCAGAGGTAAGGACATTCCTAACCACAGTGCAGAGGTAAGGACATTGCGGTCCTAACCACAGTGCGGAGGTAAGAACATTGCGGTCCTAACCACAGTGCAGAGGTAAGACATTGCGGTCCTAACCACAGTGCAGAGGTAAGTACATTGCGGTCCTAACCACAGTGCAGAGGTAAGGACATTGCGGTCCTAACCACAGTGCAGAGGGGTGACAATAGTTGATTGTTGCAGTAAAATATTCATTAAAGTAAAATAATACCGTGTGAGCTTTAGCTGAGAGTGGTGTCCGTTGAACAGGAGTTTGTTTGTTGCTGCGATTGTCCCATAACACGATCTGACCAGAATATGTTCCACCAACAATTAAGTTTGGATGAAATCGTGCAAACATTGTAGTCATGACACCAGACTAAAGATTAATAAATTCATGAAATGAAATTTTTATCAAAAGTGACCTACGACTTTATCACAACTATAAAATGGAAAAACACAAACATATGTCAATTAATCATGCCCCACTCGCTATTCAGAAATATAATAGTAATAATAATTTCACTAAGCTGATTGCGACAAAACATAAAAACATTACTCGCAATAAGCTTAGTCAACTTATTATGACTGTTAAATAACATATGTGCAATGTCAGGGTTGAAATTGCAGTTCAACTTGAGCTAAAACCACAGAAAAACATAAACCAAAACCCAAGACATCTAATTACAATTACTAAATTTACTTCAAAAAAAAGCTTGGAAATGAAAATGTTCAGGAAAGGCTAAGTTTCTTTAAGTTGTTTTCTCCTTGATAATAAAATTATTGTTTTACTGTTATTAAACAACAGGAGAGAAATTGAAGTCAGACAATCTAACAATAAAAAGATGTGTGAAATACCTGACAATGGAAAATGTATTCAGGTGTCGTCTTCTTATAGTTGATATTCCAAATCAAAGCTACACCATCAGGCTCACGTGGTGCATCTTCATTTTTATAATAGGACGAGACAAGTAGTTCAGGATACTACAACATTACGACACAAATTCATATCAACAGTTTCCTTCCTCATAAGATTGGGCAACATCGAGATACATATACGTATATATCAAGAACTAAAGCTTCATGGGAATGATAAAACCCAACATTTCAAGCACGTAGTAATTCATTAATGTAGCTTTCTTCATGACCAAAGAATCTTTCCGAATAGTTACACATGGTTGTGCAGAAAAAGTGAAACAATTTAGTCTATCACAAGCAAGAAATGGCTAATAACTTTCGGCATAATAGTGAAGCTAATTAACTGATATGAATATTTTTAAGTATGTATGTTTATGTTTCTAAATGGCCAGAATAAAGTTTATAAAAAGAAATTTTGGTTATGACAACAAAGTCGTTTTTCTGTCATCATTCTTGGAGCTGTCATTTTTTGATACCCTCCCCCTCCCCCCTCAAAAAAATTGTAAAACAAACTCGAGCAGATAATCTACACATGACAATGTAAACAATAGTTACGTAGTACCTGTGTCGACCAGTCCAAACTGGTAACAACGCGGTTTCTCGACCATTTCTCATCGTAAAACTCGCGATTTACGGCAATGTTATCAAACATTTGATTGTCCCTAAAATAATAAAATATTTCTACGTACTTAAAATAATAAAACGCCATACAAAATGATTGTGAGAACAAGCAACAAGGTCTTTTTAACCCCTCAGTGCAAGGTGTTGTAAATGTGCAACAATATGGAAACTGCATGAAAGGCAAAAAAGCCTGGGTCTTACGGAGCTAACACACTCAAGTCAACACATACGTAAGTACTTACGTACGTAATTATTAGCAATGTGCGCGTAGTATTTATTTGAAAATTTACCCTTCAACATCTTCAGTTTGACCATAATCAAATGTCACATCTTTTTCAAATATTGCACGCTCAATAATGCGACTCGCTCGATCAAGAAAACTTTGAAAATCTGCCGAAGACAGAATTTTCTCTTTTTGCTCATCGGACAACTCTACAACAGCAGGAGCTAAATAATACACGAACACATTAATCATATCCAAAATATATTCATAATTAGATGACAAGTGGATGTTACAACACCACATGAAGGCTAACCTTTATCCTTGACAACTTCTTCAACTTCTTCCTTAGAAGGCTCTTGAGTTTTTTCTTCAGTGTTTTCGATTTTATTAACTTCAGAAGGTGTTCGTTCCTCATCTTCAAAAATCAATTGAAAAGTTTTAAAGCGCAATACTGCTCTAAAGCTTCATCTTTTTTAAAGTAATAATATTTCAAATCTGTAAAAGTATTTCATTTTACTGTACAACATAAGTGAAACAACGATATTTATTTCCAATTAAACATCGATAAACAAACAATATTTTCTACCTGAATCTGTTGTTTTCTGTGCTACAGGAGTCTGGGTTTCTTTGTTATATGACACAATTTCTTTAGGAGGGATGTTTGTTTGATTCAATGTTGAAACTGAAAGTTTCACTGGTCGCAAGAAAGATCTGTTTTGTGAAAGAAAACAGTGACGTAACATTTCATTCTCATGTTACAAGGTGTAATTCTTGTGCAATAACATGTATTGCTATGGTACAAGGTAAAGTTCACATATTACAAGGTGTTATTGACATGTTTAAGGTGGAAGTTGCAACAGATTGCATGCAAGTTACGAGAAAGATTGGATGGCCTTGTACTGCAAGTGCGAAAAATACAATAAGCATTGGTTTTTAATATGTAAGAAAATGTGTAAACCAGGTGTACAGAACGTTTTCCATGTATTTTATACTATGTATTTACTATAGTAATTTCAATCACAAATATTATTAAAATTATAATAAATTAAATGGTTCAGCAAATTTATGATTAATTTTTTTTTATGTGGCAATTTAGACCATAAAGTAAAACACTTCACATTTTGAGTATGACCATTTATATGAAGGTCTTATAATGTCTTGCTTGAACCATGTATTTCTTAGCCAACTGAAATCTTTTCTGAATATGTTAGGTATGTACGTAACAACTTAATCTGACAAGTTGAGTGAAATATTACCTGTTAGGAGATTCTGATGGCACAGATTGAGGGGAATGTGATACATCAACAGGTTTCTGTGGTGAGCTCTTAGCTAATTAACACAATCATAAATGATATTAAAAAGTATAAACAGATCCATTGAAAACTGTAATGTTATGGGTCAATTTATGGTTTTGCATGAATTGTCTTATTGATGGTAAAGATTAGCATAAAACATTTGTCAAGTTATCAATGTCCAAAATAAAATTTTGACAACATCTACCCATATATGACATAATAAATGTTAAAACCTGACTCATTCATTGAATGAAAAATTACAACATATGCTACGTACGCATGTTACTTCCATTTATTAAGCTCATTCGGTAGCATTCCCAGCTCATAAGTTTTGCTACTGCTACTGTAAACTTTATAGCACTATGATTAATCATTTCTTTAGAAATCTATTGTTTTTCCAATATGTGAACACAGAAAATTAGCATAGCAGGACCAACAATTGCCAGCTGGCTATGCTTGTGAGCTCATTCATACAGAGTTTTTTTACTAAGCAGAATCATGAAATTAAGCTTGATGAAATAGTTAGTGGCATATCTGTTGTTTTAATTTTTATATTCAATATAAATGGATGTACTTACAAATATAATATAAAATGAGGATATACATGAATATATTTTTATTGCACACATAGCAACTCACATGTTATTGTGGATTTGATGCCACTGAAATCAATACCGTCTAAAAGTTGATCAACCTCATATCTTTTGCTATCAAGATCAGATCCAACCTGTGAACTTTCCTTAGTTTGTTTACCAGCTTTACCAGCTTCAATCTAAGAATCAGAAAGAGAGGAATGTATGAAATAAATGATTGTATAAACTATTGCTTCAAGTTTTTCACACTTGTTGTGTCACATGTTACCCTCTTTTAATAAAGTTCAATCAATCAATCAATCAAGTGTTTCAGCTGCTTCAGCACTGTCAATTGATGAAACACACAAATAAAGAAAATCAACTGACTTCAATCTCAAACCAGTGTGCGAATTAGTTCAGAAAAAACGATGTGCAATTTTTTTGACAAAAGTTTTTCTTTAGAGGCATAAGCAAATTGATATTACATTATTTATTATATAACGCTAATTCCTAAATTAATATTTTTAAACATGAACAAATTCATGATTTATGACAGTGTTTTTCGTTAAAAGCGCTGATTTTTGCACATCATTTGAAAAGGTGATGTGCAATTTTTTTCATTTTAGCTAAAACGATGTGCAAATTGCACATTGTACACTGTTAATTCGCACACTGTCTCATACAGATGTAATGACAAATAACATAAACAATTTCAGATGATGCACAATATCAATCAAAGAGCAGATATAATGGCAGGCACTTAGCATCTTTTTGGCAGTTAAGATGTTGTAATATGTTTTTGGATGAAAAAAATTACATAAAATACTTAATGCAAGGCTCTAACATTCTTAAGACCAGCTTTGAAACATCCTTAAGCAAAAATTTTTCAGGTTCCTGGGAAGCTTTGAAAACAGCAGGTCAAATTACTCAAATAAATAAGATATTACATGTGTCATATTGTTGTTATATCACTTGTATGACGTGTTATGTACGTTACGATGGTGAAATCAAGAGCAGCGAATCATAGAACTGCAAAACATTTATAGCATTGTCTTTTGAAATGCTTATCCAACAAAACGTAGCCACTTATAAATATGTTCTTCAGTTTATATCCATACGTCAATAAAGCAGTATATAATATCATTTAATGTTGAGATGATGAAAGAGAATTAACTTACTCTATTTTCTCTATTTCGCCTGATTTCCTCAAGTTTTTTACGTTTCCTTTCTAATTCTGCTTTCCTATCTGACATTATTGATTCATATATGACAACCTTTCCCAATATTATAAGAGTACAACGACGTATAAAGATGGAACACACCTACAAAAAAATTTTCGCCATGTTGTTTTCTCTAGAACAATGCATTCGGGTGACATGGGGTGACATTACAATGATCCCTCACGGAAAATTTGCATCCCCAATGATCCTACGCTTGCTCCATTGATGTTTACCAGTAAACTCTAACAACTCTATGGCATAGAAGATGAAATTACCGGTATCGTTTCCAAACTGAAATAATCAATATCGCTTAAACCACAATAATTTTGAAATGTGAGACTTGTGTAATAGAAAAAATACTAAGGTAAATGGTTTGAGCCCGGGAGTATCGTTACATGTTTGTAAATGTAGATCGTCCAGGTTGGTATAGTCCTGAGAACGACTGTTTTTGTTGTTGTTGACTGACGTTTCGACAACCTTAGCGGTAGTCATCTTCAGAGTCAAATGATAAGAAAAAATGCTAATTCTTTTCCCTAACAACGGCCAACGGTGCATGTACAAATGCAGTGCAGTACGTTGTGTCAGCGGCTGTTTATCAAAAATGTAAGAAAAAACAATGCAAATTGTGTCGCCCAATGGCTCGCAATAATATATGACCATTTATGACAGAATTCACGTAAAAGTATGGCATCTTCTGGAAAGGAACAGAATTTCAAAGTTAAGAATAAAAAGTTCAAAGCAAAAAGTCAAAAACTAAAGCTTTTTCGCTCAAATGAACCGCTTCATAGTGTGTTCATGTGGGGTATTAGTCACACAGTGAGTATATTCGATCTAGCCCGTAATCTGTGCATTTTCATAATTTAATGTACATTTTTATTTTTAGATTAATGAATTAAGCTTAGTCCAAGCGCCGCCAATGTTTTTACCCGAAGATTTTAAAGCTTACTCTAAAATTCGTGTGGATAACCATCTGTTCAACAGGTTCTACAATTGCTTTTGTTTTGCCGTTGTTCGTCCCTTATCCTTTGTCAAATTCATATCTTTGATGTCAAAACAATAACATATATGAAATACGAACTCCTTTAGTGGAATTTCCTTCATAATAATTCATACATTACATCATTTATTTGGTTTAAACAATGGTGTAGTCTGGCAGATAATTTTTGGGAAATTTTTATAAAATTCAGGGATAATTTGGACTTCTTTTTAGAAAAATAACCCTTATATCGAAAGCTTGAACTATGTATGAGCAAAACGAAGCTTGTGCGTGTAAATCACTCTCACCTGATAATTTGTCTATTATGCTGTAATTTTGGGCTACTCTTAGGAATTCATTTCAAACTAAAGCAAGTTTTCACCAGCACATTTCATGCAAACCATTATCCACATGTCCATTTTCATATATGGTTGTTTTTTTACTAGAAAATTGAAATCTTGTGCTCATTTTGTATGAAGTTTTATTTTAGTTAGTATAAGATAATGGCAATATAATATTTTAATTGATTTTGTACCATTTCACAACTTTTACGTTATTTCAAAATGCAAAGCTTCAATTTTAGTGAAAGCTGTCATAGCAGGAGGCTCTGAACAATAAATTTTACAACCAGCACTGTGATGTCTCATACAACTTAAATCAACAATATGTTATAGACATGCACATCATTTAAAACTACCCACTAAGTTGGATGACATTTTATGATTCCAAAATGGATTTAATTTTTTTTTCGCAGGGAAAAATTTCCTTCTCATTTTAAGTTCAAAGAGTATTGTCCCTTGGTTTTCAGAAAACTCCGCGAAGGCTTCAACATTGATGATCAAGCTTATGCAGTAAGCAGTTCATAAACAAAATACATTCCTTTTAAATTTTGTGCAAATCTTTTACATTTATTCAAGTATAGTTAGCATTGTGGATATGAATATTATATTTAAATTCAGATAATGTTTCATGGCATGGAAATCAAGCTCTTGTGAAGTTTTTGTCATGTCCTTGTTAATACTCAGGAAATAATCTAATTGGTTTTCAAAATTAATTCCTGACATAGTGGGCAAAACAATGGGCTTTGCATGTTACCCATGACACCCACGCCATTATAGCCTTTAATCTTTCTTGTATCATTTCCTGCACTTAAAGAGGTTCTTGTGAACTGTTTTCAAAAACATGGCAAATTTTTGCAAAGTTTTCAATTTAAAGAAGAATTGTTAAAAGTTTGTATGAAGTAGACATGCAGGAAGGATATATTTAGAGGATGCATGTGGTGGAAAAAAGATGTGAAAAAAGAAGTTAAAGAGAAAAATAAGGTTGCTCAATAAGTTTTTCAAAAATGGGAGATAGGCTAGCAAGTCCACATGCAGTAACATGAAGTATCAGGCATATACGTAGTTGAGAGTGTAACCCAACAAGATTTTTAAAATTGTGAAGTCAAAACACACTGATGGAGTAAGATGTCCAAGAGCAAGCAATAGTGAACTCAACTTACAAAAAAAGCCAAAGTGAATAAGTGGAAAGAATTATGATTAAGAAAGAGTAAACTGAGAAGGTGGAAGCAGACATGGTTGAAGGGCGGTGATTAGTATTAGTCAAAAAAACAAGTGAAGGATGAAGGAACACAAAAATGAAATCTCCAAATTAAGTTTTGAAATGATAGTCAAACTATCTGAGGCAAGTGGAGATATTGACATTGATGTGATCACATAGTTTGTTGGATAGAAGAGGATCTGAGTGGGTTCTTCAACAATTGTAGTACCAATTTTCAAAAAGGAAGGAGTTGCAATGGTATTTGAAGAAGCGAAGACTAGAGAAGAGGTAACAGAAAGAATATAGGTGGAGCTAGAAGTCTCCAAAGAGCTTGAAATGAAAGTTTGTTTGCTTCAAAGGATTTGCGTTGTCAGCATTTTTTGATATCGTGGTTTATGTGGTTACAGAAAATACAAGAAAGGGCTTAATCATTGGGTTATTGTTGGCTGATGACTTGGATGTGATAGGTGAGACGATGGAGGAAGAAGTTACCGAGAGTAAGGGGCTGAACATTAAATGACAAGTCTGAAAATAGAGAACCGGGGGTCTAATGGCTAATTTGGGACTGAAGGGAACATGGATTTAAATGTCAAAGGCGGTGCAGGCATTTGCATATGAAGGAAAAGAGTAAAGTTCTTAGGAAAGTATTAGAGTTAGAGGTGAAGCGCAAGAGAAAGCGAGGAGGACCAAAGAAGACGTTGAAGAAGCTAGTGAAGAGTTAGCTATAGCTAGACTTTGCTTGGAGAAAGAGGATGCTATAAATTGAACAAGAATAATTGTTGGAGTTTGTGACATTGCCAACAAAGTGGGGATGAATTCGGTGATTCGGTTTACTGGGAACAAACCTTTCGTTCAAAATTTGCCATGTTTTTGTGTCACGCTAGCCGTGTGTAAATATAATATATCTACCTCCATGCAGTTAATATAAAGGTCTGTGGTGACAGTATTCTGAACATGAGCATTTTTTTAAGTAACCTGTGCGTAAAGCGAGAAAGCGCTGGTATTTATTCATTGCATTTCACAGACGCAACTGTTTTATCGACTATTCAAAATTTGCATAAAATAACAATAAATGTGATCTAAGATATTTATTTTTCATTAGCGATCATTTTGCGTCCCGCTATCTCATCGTCCAACATCCGGTAGAAGTGGTGCCACGTTTCTAACTTCACGAAATAAGAAATTTATTGCTAAAACTATGTACAAAGAAGAAGTAGAAATGATGCATCAACTTTTACCAAAGTATTATCAGGTAAAAATCAAAATGTTGAACCAGTTATTTTTTAAACTACTTTTGCATTACTTTACTTGATTCATTGATGTTTGTTAAGTGTCAATTAGTAATACTTTTAATTAGTAATACTTTTAATTAGTAATACTTTTAATTAGTAATACTTTTAATTAGTAATACTTTTAATTAGTAATACTTTTAATTAGTAATACTTTTAATTAGTAATACTTTTAATTAGTAATACTTTTAATTAGTAATACTTCTAATTAGTAATACTTTTAATTAGTAATCAGTTAGGGGCAATCCGTAGTGAATATTTTGAAAGGGGGATTGAAATCAGTAGGTCGGAATACATTGAAGAAATTACAGTGAAAATTAAAAACACTTTACGAACACTCCTATTGGTGAAATTTTGGCTTCAAAATATTCCTTAGAAGTTTTAACCATCAGATTTATTGCTGTGGTGGTTTGAATTTAAAATGAGGTGCTGTAAGATATTCTAACATACTCCAAACAGATCCGCCACTGGTTGAGCTAAATGTTTTCGAGTCAAAGCATGTAATGTAATATACCCTTCTGTTTTTATTTTGTATTAAATAAAAATTTCGTAGTAATATTTTCATTGAAAATTATTGGAAGGAAGGGCGGCAGCTCTTTTTCTCATATACCACCCCATAGTCTGCTTTGGATTCCTTAAAAGAATTGAACAGTTCGACGAAAAAATTCTTTGTGTGATGAATGAAAGGTTGTTCTTTCAATATTCAGTTAGCAATTGTTATGTATCTCGTTATAGTTTATGGTTGAAAAAAATTCAAACAGTTTACTGCCTCATTATTTGGGAATGTATCGAGTTACTGTCGAAAATAAAGAAACGTATTTTGTTATCATGGAAAGCATATTTGGCAAACTAAAGATTCACAAAAAATACGATCTCAAAGGATCGACTGTCGACAGACAAGCTAAAACTAAAGAAAAAGAGAAAGAAAAATCAAGTAGGAAGGTAAGAATGTCTATTGACCATACAAATAACTTGGCTTATCAATGTTATCATTGTAAAAACTTTTAATTCAATTATTTGTTTCATCATTAAATGAGACATGGAAAACAGAAAGTCCTTGTTTGCCATGAAGCCTCCATGAATTTTTGCTAATCATGCATCAAACAGTAAATAAGAGAGTTAAAAGAATGAAAAATGTTTTAAACTTGTTTAAGGTTGCCTTAAATTTTATGTAAAAATGACCGAAACTGTTTGAAGCTTTGCAGTATCCTTGGATATTACAGTTTATTTTGCTTGAAGAATTCGTGCCGACTAAAAAAATTGAAAATCTAATAATCCCGTTCCGGCCATGCCTTTCGATAGCCCCAGACAGTTAAGCACTAGAGCGTCGTTCGGTGTGTCGAGTCAACTACGCATGCTCAGACGATATCTCTAAAAATATGTGACCAAATTTGCCAGTTGCTCCGAAGCCATGCAGGGTTTAATTATAGCCATGAACTCAGGAAGTTGGTTGTGTCAACTGCGCATCAAATAATTTTTTATCAACCTGGCCCGCCCCGAATGTCCAAAAGCAAACTAGCTAAAACACAATTAAAGACATTACACTGCCCACAAAAAGTCGCTTACATGTAAGCTGCGGACTGTGCGTGGTTTATTAAGAGTATAGCTTGTGGTAAGTTTTATTAGAATGTTTTTATTTACCACGAAGTCATTAGATGTTCACCTCTTGATACAATAATAAAAATTAGATGGGAGTTAAATGAAATCTATGAAATATTTTATGGTGTCTTTTAAACTTTGCACTATTTCTTGGATCTCTACTTAATTTTCAAGTCATAGATTTTTGCTAGCCATGTGTATCGTTATTTGCTGACCATTTTCAAAATCTTACAGACCGTTAGAGTTTCCCACTGTTTTCAAAATTCCATTGGTGCTCTGTGAGTAGGGTTTAAGATTATCTCACGAACGAATCACACTTTCAAGCTAATTCAATTTCAATGACCTACAATTCTAAATTAGGTAGTATTTATAACCTGAAGGTATGAAGTCTTTTGCCTTACACATCAGTTAGAAAGATCGACTACTTGGAAAGATCAAGATTTTTTAGCTGATGGGACTAAAATTTATGTGGGTGAAGAGGTGAAGAAAGATTTTATGGAAAAGTTAAAAGATGACGTCGATGTAAGTATATTTGTTTGGAATTTGATGTTAGTTGAAGATACAGAAATGAGTTTTTAAATTGTGACTCAATCTAAAATCATGGTTTCTTTTGTCGTACAGTGGATGAAAATCTTTTGTATTATTTTGATGTACATGCTTAAGTCAAATATGTATGTGCATCAAGTTTGAACTGACTTTTCACCAGCCATGACTAGGTTCGTTTCAATTGATTTCTACACAATGTTTTAAAATGAAAGTACGTACTTAATTTATTTACTACAATCATAAATATTTTCTATTATAATTCTAATTGAGCATACGTATTTTAAGCTCCTGCAAGCGCAACCACTCAATCTGAATACTTTAACTGGGTTAAATCTTTCTTTTAAGTTTTTGTGTAAACTGAAGATTATGGACTACAGTTTATTGGTTGGTATTCACGACTTTAATCGTGGAGATGAAGAATCTGATGTAGAAGATGGCTTCGACAGCCAGGATGAGAGCGACAATGATTCGCCTATCGATTATGACGCATCAGGAACTAATGAGTCAGCTTGTGATTCTCCTACTAGCTCCCCTCCAGGCACACCTCCTGCCACGCCACCTATCACACCCCCACCTTCCTGTCTTACACCGACTTCGCGCCCGCCTTTAAAAAGTCGAACAGTTAGTGAAGACAGTATCGAAGCTGATTTAGGGAGTGAATTTTACGCGATTCCATGTTGCAAACGTATGTTTATATTTTATTGAAAATTGGACATTTTTTGTAAGTTTTATTTTTAGCTATCAACTCTACCTCAGGACTTGTTTTACTTATCGCACACCCCCACACACACACCCTCAAACATACATACACCTTTAGTAGAGGAGCAAACGAGGTCAGGTGCAATATTTTTGGTATCTTTACGTCCCTCGCATAACTTTAGTACTCATTAACATATCGTTACAAGTATTTCCAATTTTTTCGTCATTGGCAGCAGATACAGAACAGTATTACATCGGTATTGTGGACGTCTTGACCTATTATGGCACCAAGAAGCGAACTGCACATGCAGCAAAGACTGTTAAGCATGGTGTAAGTATATGATCGTATTGCTGTATATTATAGCTTCTATGTTTATTCCATAAGCTACGATTCTTTCCCTGCATTCAATATTTAAATGGTGTCTCCACAAATCAATTACCGTTGAAGCTTAAATTCATTGGAGATGCGAGCAAATAGGACAAATAGAAAATTTTCAAAGATTAATCAAATATCAGACCCGTTTATTTTTACTAAAAAGAAAACAACACAATGGAATTTAGAATTCACGCTTTTACTATGCGGAAAAATTTCCCAATAAGAAAATTTATTTATAAAATAAGAATACTATTAACTGAATACTATTCCAGTTTTAATGTATTAATGTGGTTCACTGAGATAGAAATAATTGGCATTTCTCTCTATCAATGATGTGGCCATATATTGCAATGAGGTAAACTACGTACACGATAATGGTGGCGTTCTTATAGTACATTCTCTGTGATTGCATAATATTTGGCAATGTGTTTTGCTCGTTTTTCCAGTGAAACTATTCAACTTATGAAGACCAGATTAGATGTAAGATTTGTTTCATAAATTCATTATCATTTCTCATTTCAGGGCCAGGAGATATCAACTGTTAAACCTGAAGCTTATGGCAAGAGATTTCTGGATTTTGTTGACAAAGCTATAGAGTAATGATTAAATTGTGCACTGATATTTTACAACGACAAAGTGAGGAATGTTTGTTTTGCCAGGATTTTAATGTTTGCTTTGCCAGGATTTTTAAGTTTGCTTAAATTGACGAAACTGTAAGCATCATTGACTACAGAAGAACTATAGCGTCGAAGGGGCATTGGATGGCCTCGTGCCCACCAAACGACGATATGATGACACTCGTGCGTGAAAATGTGAAAAAAATATTGATAAATAAAATAAAAATTTATCGTATAGAACAGTTTTATTGTAGGTGAAAAGCACAATTTCTAATAAAGAATTGCTTATTATTTTGAAAGAAGTCTTGCTGCTGATGTTGGCTGACGTTTCAACATCTTTACTGAAATTTTAACACCAACATCGGTTTTTCACACTGTTTTCTCACAGCTGGCTGATATAAAATGAATGATTGATTTGCAAGTTCTCTTTTCATTGATTTAATTGAGCTCGGATCGATTTACACAGGCAAATACACACGTTTTATTTGTGCTATTTCATAATTAAGAGATAAAAGATACTGTGTTTGCGCAAGCTTATGCAAATCCCGAGGAGGCGCAAGCCCGAATCAGCGCATACGTTTTACTGTTGTCTTCAAAATGATTGGGTGATGGCAGTGCATTATATCTGTAATTACACTGCGAAAATTTTCAATTGTTACGAAAAAAAATTCTAATTGCACTGTAATTACCACAACCGGAATATAAAAAAACAGGTGAATAAAAACAAAACAGCAAGCACTTTCCTTTGGATGAAAGTTTGCAAAAATTGGGCCGCGCCACGAGGCTTTGCTCAAACGAAAGAAGAATACGTACGAAGGGAAAAAGTAGACGACATTTTCAAATACCTCAAGTCAAATTATTTACAAGTACTAGTGTTGTTTCTGACATGCATTTACAAGTTTTTTAAGCAATGAAAAAACACTATTTCGCAGACTGCAGTTCTCTAAAAAGTTGTACATAAGTCTATTGGTTATTGCACATGGAACTATTACGATACCTATACTAATTAGCGAGGTAATTAGCGAAGTAATTAGTAAACAATAGCCCAGCTATCATTCACCATTTTCTTTCTGAAGATCACTACGTCTTCACTGATGGTCTTCAGCGTATATCATTTGTAACTTTCATATGAATCTTCCTCCAAATAGAACAAATTTGCATAACATAACTTGTGCGCATTAAGCTCTACAAAACGTTTGCCAAAACATGCCACAAGTCTCAGATATGCTCAGTGGCAGATCTTAGTTAAGTCAAAATAAATAGTTGCCACTCATTCTTGCTCCAAGGCAACTTGATTGGTAAAGTTTTATTCCATAGAAATTCTTTACCAATAGCTTTGTTGACATTGAGCAAACTTGGCAGTTATAATTTATTTAGACTATCGTTGGACCTGCAACCGCATGTTTTCAAAATAGAGAAGGTGGAAATCTCAAATGCAGTAATGAATGTTTTCACTTTTTCAAAGTGATGATTAGACTTATGCATCAATGCAAATAAGTATTGAAATGTACGTGTATGTGTGACAATACCACAATAACATAATATTTTACAGTCCTAATCTGTATGAAGCTTGACTTTGGCAGGTACGTACTCAAGCATTGCCAACTGACGTCCAATCTTGCCAATGGCAATAACTGCAGAAAAGAACAAACATGGAACCCATAACTGGTTCACAAATGCTATTTTCTTTCTAAAAAATAAACTGAAAACAAGTCAGTTAGTAAGGCATCTCTATATATGTTGAGAACTATGAAAAGAACACAAGAAATACTAATCAATTCTATTCTTATGTTCACAGAATCTGCATTATGGACAAAACAAGCTAGACAAGTAAATTTATGAGTAGACCAAAAAGTTCTTTTTTCATACATTTGAGAACTAAATAAAAGTTCCTGCATTTACATAACTATATAGCACTATCCAGTGTGCGAATTAATGGTGTGCAATGTGCAATTTGCACATCATTTTAGCTAAAATGAAAACAATTGCACATCACTTTTTCAAACGATGTGCAAAAATCAGTGGTTTTAACAAAAAACACTGTAGTAAATCATATGAATTTGTTCAAGTTTGAAAATATTAATGTAGCAATTAGCGCTGTATAATAATTAATGTAATATCGCTTTGATTATGCCTATTAAGAAACACTTTTGTGAAAAAATTGCACATCGTTTTTTCTCAAGTAATTCGCACACTGGCACTATCATGTTGCAACATATGAAAACAACCAAAAGTTGTTCGGGCAGGAGGTGCAAGGCCTCTTGTGGAGAGAAATTCTAAAATGGTATGTATTACTAACTGTGAACAATTAATACAACAGTTATGGAGGCTATGAAATTGTACAGTAGAACTAAGTAAAAGTACAACTTCCCAATTCAAAGGAAAGTTGTACTTTTAGGCAATTACATATTTTATAATTAGTACCACCATTTGTAATTGAGTTTTATCATGTGCATTTTCATTGAAATGTTAAAATTAAATGTATTACTTAACGTGCATTCATTAAAAAAAACCAAATAAGGTAATAACACTTTCATTATGCAAGGTTCACTCATCTATAAGTCTAAAAATGCACAATAGCCCCAAGCCCTAGCAACTTTAGCTAGGAAAACAATGCACCCCCTAGGAGAATCCGCAGCCTTCTTGTCAAAAGAGCATTAATCCACCCCTAGGTTAGGGTCAAACAAAATTGACCTTACAGGTTCAAATTTATCTTCCAAAAACTAATCGAATTTTACCTAAATAAACTGTAAGAACCAAGATGCCAAACACTAATTGTAGAAAATACTGAAACAAGGAAAGCCAGACCAAAGCCATTTGTTGATCGATCAAAATACCACCAAAGAAAAATGGAGAAAACAGCAGCAGTGACAAACAAGTGTAATTCACTTTTAAATCTTAATTTCTAATATCACTATTAAGGATAATAAAGTATTATATCTAACCATATTCATTCATAAAAATTAATGTGGTCAAATGAAATCAGGTCAGAAAATGGCATCACAATTTTATGAAAGTTTGATACATTAAATATGTATGTCTGACTATTCAAAGGTTTTTATAAAATAGCAAAATAACACAATGTAAAGTGTCTGTTAGTCAATAACAACCTGTGTAGACTAATGTTCATGAATTTAAGTCAAAATTATGTTATTTTTAGATGATTTGCACTTCAAAATTCATAACTTACAAGCCTTACAAGCAACTTCATTGGTGAAATTGTATTCTTTAGAACTTCAAAATAATTACAATTTATGAGCATTTTAAATATTGGGCTTTGCTGATGCATTGTTACATGAAATTATGAATATTATGTGGTTAATTTTTATTAAAATATTTATCTTGCTAACTAAATCACTCTCAAATATATCTAAAAAAAAGCAAAACCTCCACTATACCCTTGGCAAAACAGAAAGCAGATTATCATTTGCCTTCATTTGTCAAAAATATTTGAAAAAAGCAGTTGAAAACTGTAGATATAAACTATCAGGAATTACAGAAGATGAAACAATTAAAATGTAGCTTAGTCTAGCTGCTAACTACACAACAACAGATTACTACTCAAAAACTATCAATACACAAAAAAGATACGACAGCAGCATGGATTATCCCAAAAAATAAAACTTCACAGCGCACAACGCTTGACCATTCATTTCTGAGATGATGAGGCTGACCAAATCTCATGTCCGTACAGGGATACATCATTCCAACTATTGATGATGCTAGACCACAAGAAGGTGCAAACCACCATAGCGTTGAATACAAGCGCTCAACAAGCTCGCGTTCAAACACAACTTTACGTCGAAGTTCAGGCAAAATTAACATGACATTTAGAACACAGGAAATTAAAAGTCCAAAGATAAACAAGCAGAATGCACGAATAAAAAAATTCAAGGTCGCAGGGCGACACACACTATTTACAAACAGTGGGAAAGACTTTTTCATTTTCAACACCATCCAACTGTACTTTTTCTTAAATGAAACAGTTTTCCATCAAAATCTACGACAAATGTCTGTGTCCTAGCCTTGGATCCTAGCCTAGATTCTCTCAAAATCGTGTTGCAAAACAAGTTTATAAATTAAAATATTCCTGATCTTGATGTCGTAGCCAATCAGAATAGTCATAGGTCGTGCGATGATTATTATAACCAATCAGAATTAAACGGATGATATCGTGTGATCTGTGGTCACTGGTCACAAATTTCTAAACTTTTTGCTCTCTTCATGAACATTTCATGAACATTAAAAGTTTGTGAACTTTTTGTGAACTTTTCTAAATATTATGCATTTTTGTATTTTCATCATTTTCATAAAGAATGTATCGATAAATCATAGTTCAATGAAAAGAAAATCTTCATAGCTCGACAGTTCTTTCAAAACAACGACGATTTTAAGACAATCCGATGTTTTCCGAATACTTCCGAGAGTTTTCAAAAATTTCCGAGTAATCCGTTAACTTCCGATCTTAAAAATTAGATGTAATATGAACTTTTTGACATTTTTGTGAACTTTTGACGCAAGCGAGCATGAATATTTTAAAATTTCATCTAGCAACGCTGTCACATCACTACAATACAATAATCGCAGATCACAGATGCTGTAACACTGGTGCCGGTTGCACGAAGCCTGGATGGCGTTATCCATTGGATAGCAAAAATTTTTAAACTTGCAAAAAAGGTGTTTTTTGTAGAAAAGCAATTTCGTAATTTTCGAAACAATATTTTATTTCAGTGATTGTTCAGTTACACTTTTTGATTTTTAAAAGGTTTTATAAAAGTTTAACAAATAGATAACGCAATCCTGGCTTCGTGCAACCGGCCCCAGATTCACTATTTCACTATAAGCGTAGGTTGTTGCCATATGCCCCCAGTTGATTGATCGATTTGTGTCGAGTTGATAAGCATCTGCATCATTAGTCTATTTTTGATTTTTTGTGAATTATAGACTAAAGTATATATCATTTGTAATTTATATAATTGATGTCTGATACACGATGTTTTGTCTGTCACGAATTATAAAACAGATGCACTTTCAAGTGGCGCGTTGCGCGTACAGGAATTTATTTTTTGTACACGTTCCATAGAAGTCATCAATACATGTTTGTAATAGAAGTCATCAAGTACATAGAAGTCATCAAGTACATAGAAGTCATCATGTACATAGAAGTCATCAAGTTACCCAAGAGTAAAAGAAAGGAATATTTTTCATATTTATTAAGAAAAAACCGTAGTTATGGGCTGCCTATGAATACACTTGTTTTGAATGATTTTTAAAACATTTCATGATAAAATGAGCATTTGAACGTTGAAATTAGGGTTACTCAGTTTTATTGGGAAAATTGTGTGCTTTGAAGAACTTATGTCTACTTTTAAATTACCTCTTGTGTGAGTAAAATGTATGTTCAACAATACATCTTTCGCAGTTATAATATTTAACTTCTAATAAAGAAAATGGTTTTGAATGCTGGCAGAAAGTTGTTTCTCAAAGGAATTGAACTTGATGATTTAGTGATATGAATCCTAATTAATAATTTCACGAAAAGCAAGAAATGACACATGTGTTTGAGTGGCTTGAAAGAATTGAGCATTACTAAAACATTGATGGCAAAAAATTGTTATAATTTTGTTGATTATGTAATCAGTTCTACAAATTTCCTTACAATACATATCTGCACAATACACGGAAGAAGACAAATCATTTGCAGTAGCGTAGCCAGTCCGCACGTGTTTTTTAGTGAGTTTGAGGAATTTATTGTTTTCGCAAGGCAAATTAAGAAAATTTTGCATAGCCGAACTAAATAAGGTTTATCCTATGCAAGGAATCATCTGAAGAAATTCAAGATCACCAGTTTTATAATTCTGATTGGTGAACAGAAGTAGAGTTTTTTGGCGAACGAGTTTACAGTTCATCCTTTGCAAGATGTTTCTGGATGAAGATATGAACACTGCTAAAAGAAGATACCTTGTTCTAGGTGTGTGTGTGGAAGCCATGGTGTTGTGAAAAGTAGCTAATATCTGACGGAATTGAAAAATATGAGCCGGTCGATCGATAATAACTTGCTGACTATAACAAATGTACGCTGAAGTTAAAAATCAGCAGAATTGAGGAATTTTTCATGTATATTACTAATACGTAATAGAATAGCTTCTGGTTTAATTTGGGAAAATCAAGCGCTCGTAAGTTTTTCAAAGACTTCAAATTGCATCTCAATCGTGCATATGTTTTTCCTAAATTGCACTTGAAATCATGCTAACTTATACAAAGAATTTCGTTCGTCATGTAAACGTGGTTGATGAGAACATAGTACAACTGCGCAATAAAACGTTTAACATATGCCATGAAGCATTTGTACTTTTGCTTCACGAAGTTTAATTGTCAAAGAGAGTAACAAATTTTTTTCCAAAAAAACTTGAAAATATTATTGGAAGAGTGCATAGATGTCCAAAAAGATTTGGGGAAAATGCAAAGCGAATATCAGCGTTGACGTTTATAAACCTTCAAACAGTTCAAACAGAATGGAAAAAATAATAAATAAGCTTGACAAGGATAATGAAAAAGCTTGACTAGGACAATGAAAAAGCTTGACAGGGACTACAAGATATTCTGTGAAATATCAAGAATAGTTGCGATCACATGGTTTAGGTAATGAAGAAAGTTGTACGAAAACCTTAATCAGATCTTTACAAGTAGAAAAAAAATTTGTGACTGAAAAAATCCGTCAGAAAGATACAATTGCATTGTTTTGAAGATGTAACTGGACTGTTCTGAAAGGTGCAAAATTGCAAATGAAATAAAGCAAATATAGTTAGTAAAACAAACAGCCAAACACCGGAATGCATCTGTTGACATAAGAAATTACATGCCATCGTAATTCAGTTGGTGACAAGTTAACTTTCAAAGAGATGATCATTTAAAATTTTTTAAACTACTTGAAAAAAAGCTAGTTTGCAGATGATACGGGCGTATCTAAGGTATCTTCTTCCTCTTGTGAACGTTTGTAACTTTATAAATATATGGCCAAACCGGTGATGCTTTGCAGAAGTTCGGTGTGACGGTGTCACCTCATCGAAAGCGTGGTATGATTTATATTTTCTCTTAATACTGATATGCATTCAAAAGTAACTAGTCATAGGATTTTCAATTCAGTTTGTTTTCGATACAAGCGTGAGAACGAAAAGAAAATGTTAATCCTTACAGAATCATTCAATTACCAATGGAATCATTCCATATTTTTAAATAAATAATATTAGAATATATAGTATTAGTATATAATCAACCGGCAGACAATGGAAAAAGCAGAGAAAACCAGAAATTCAAAAGTTTTTGATAGTCATACGCGTTGTCATCTGTTTATCATATGGTGACAATGAAGAATGCAGTAAAGGCGTGAAGGAGCCTGGTAACTAGTTAAGAGTTTTGCTCAGCTTAGAGTATGTACGAGAAATTGATTATCGAAGCAAGGCTATTTTCATCTGATGTAGTTTTATTGCATGGTGATATGCGAGATTGAGGAAAGTATTTATTAGTATTTATCGAAAGATATTTTTGTGGAATAGAAGTGTGAGTTATGCTTCCAACTCAAAAGAACGGAGACGCATTGGTTTCGCGATCATCATCTTATATGGGCAATGCTCCTCAAACATTTCTTGTACGAGCATTGTACTCGTACTCTTACGAATTTCAACCTGGACAATATATTTCTTTTGAAGCTGGAGACTGTTTTGTTCTAGTTGAAAAATCCAATGACGATTGGTGGCATGTAAAGAAAGGTGAACAAGATATATATGTTCCTGCCAACTATATGACGGAGTCACAAATTGAGTTTGGTGATCACAACTCTGCGAACAAACTTCATAATCACAGTTTGCCATCGCCTTCGTCAGATTATTCGTTTCATGACAATTGCAAAGAAATTTCGAATAACAACAACGAAAATAATACGTCGTTTAGTGGTGGTCATTCAAGAAAGATAGTTAATGTAAACGATCAACCTGAGAGGATATACGCTAACGTGTCTTTAAATGTGCCAGAGGTATGTTTATTACTAGTTTGCTTGGATAAAATCTCTGTTTGTTTGCTTTCGCTATAAGGAAACGAAATCATTCCGCTGTAGTAACATAAATCACGATTCCGTAATTCATAATTTAGCCATTGTTTACAAGGCCTAATTATTTTAGACAGACAATTAGGTCAGAAAAATTTTTGTAGTCGATTTGTTTTCATATGTTTCATTTTTCTATTTACAAATTCGCTGCTTCGTTATGGTTATTTGGAGCTTATTTTGTGTGGTGTGTTATTCAATTCCAACCTCAAAACGATGTGATGTGAATTCACTGTGGGCGATGGGAAATTTGCATCGCAATTGTGAACTAATTAATAAAGTTTTGATTTTGGTAGCGTAAAATACGACACTTTTTAGAATATCAAACTCATAAAATATTTTCTACATTAAAATATGGTGAGAATTATGTACACAAATGATAAAATAACATGTTCTCACAACCAGAAAATGGAATCAACCCTCACATTGTTTTGCATATTTCCTTAAGTATATACTACGTACGAAAAGAAAATTTTCTTTATATGGTTTGGAATTGGTTCCTTCCCATATACTCTTTGTTTTAAATATTATGTGGGTGTTAGCGATAAAAATATAAAGTTTATTTTTATTTGTTTTCATCATAGGTTATTTGAGAAATTTGTGAAATAAATTTTGAATGTTTTGTTTTTCAACGTGGTTATATTTAAGTAGCTCAAGCTGTATTATTCTCCACTCAATGCAGAAGCAGAAGGAACTGATGAATTTTAACAGATAATGCTGTTTCATTATATATTGTTATATAAATTAATCATTTTCAGAGTTACTCAATATTGAAAACTTTCAGTTGTGTGGTATTTGAAAATTGTGCTGGTTTGTGCTGAAAGAAATAAACATTTTTAAGAATATCATTTTGTTTCTCAAAATCCCAATTTGTGTGAGTTCTGGATATATTCACTTTCCTGTTGTATGATTTTTGATCATATCTTCCCTGGTATTTTAGAAATCCCTTCATAATTAAGAAGTAATTTAATTTAAACAGGAGGATAATATCTTATTATTAGTTGTCAGAATTGTCAGAATTAATGCATGTTCTTGTATGCCATGTGCTTTTTTGTATACTGAACAGTTTTGGTTTCTGCAACTTATAGCAAAATGCCATATATAGGAAACAGCATGTACTAGTATATCATTCTGTCATTGTAACTCTTTGCTTAGTTGAAGTAAAAACTATAATGCGCTATATATTCTCTTCTCCATGATGTTTTCTCACATATTTTCTCAGTCAAGAAGGATCCGCCATCTTTCAGCTGGTGCAGCAGATGATCAAAAGCAAGCACTTGAATCATCAAGACCTCAATCCGTTGCATTGCCATCTGGTTGGTCATCAGAAATTGACAATAAATCGGGAAGAACATATTACATTAATAACAAAACCAATAAAACATTTTGGCAACATCCAAGTGATGGTACAAGTGTAGAACTACCAAATAATGTATGCACATTTAATTTCCTCTATATATATATATGTAATTATATCTATTGTATTTTATTTGAATAACTGAGTTTGTCCTTTCAATGTGCTGTGTCATACAAATGCATTTGCTTGAATGTTAATTGGTTTAAATCTGTTTTATGAATTTATTGTCAGTTTACTTAATTGCTACTTTTGTTTAGTAGTATAAATTTCTAAAAATTAATTTTTTTTAAACATTTAATGTCATCTGACAGACTCCAGCTATTTGATTCATATTTTGTATGCTGTTCACTTAAACCTTGAAGTATGAATGGTCCATGTAAATTTAGGTATAAGACAATAATGAAATGTATGCGTAACTTACTTTAGTCTGAATATTGTTTTCTTCTTTTTGATATTTTTTTGTGACAAGTTAAGTTATATCAAATCATGCAATTAAGTGTGCTGTTCTGAGAAAAATTAACCTTTTGTTGTTATAGGCAACACAAAATTCAAACAGCTTACCTAGAGGCTGGAGGATGGAAAGACAAACATCAAATGACTACAATATTTTTTATGTCAACGAGTCTAATAATGAAAAGGTAAGCTAATGTATCATTTATATTTGAAATGAATAATTTGTAAAAGTCTGTATTAATAAAAGTTGTACTCACTTTATAACTCTCCAACTCACTCATATTCTCTTTCTCTCTTTAACTATTAATCTGTGTCCTTTACCTTATGTTACTTTCCCTTTGAACTGTATTTGCTTCTTATTCTTATTCATATTCTCTGATTTCTTCTTGTATGTATTCCATTTTTTTTCGTCTTTCATTAAAATGTTTATCTTTTCATCATTCAACAGTGGCAGGCATCCAAAGATGTCCAAGGCCGAACGTATTATTATAACACAAAGGGTGATACGGTTTGGGAACTACCGTCTAATGAACAAGTTTCAACCTTTTTCAAGAGCGTAAGTACCTACGAGTTATGTACGTTAAATTCATAAATGTTTTAGTGCAGTTTGTATAAAAGCATTGTGGTTTTGCCTTTTTCATTCACTTTTGATGATATTGATAACAAACACGAGCTGTAATGTTAATGTTTCACTTTGCAATCCAATTATGAAAGCGTGTATATTTTATTTATTGAGCTAAATTGGATTACCGTCTTTACTCTATGAGATGTCCCAAAAATGAAGACTGCGAAACATGCAAAGATATGCAAACAAAATATTTTTAACACCATTCTAAAACTAGCGTCCACTTTCTTTCGTAAAATTCACCATTAACATTGAAGATTGAATATATTCCGCAGTGTTGTTCATGGTTCCATTGTTATCTTTGTAAGAACGTTTGCATGTATGTAACAATACAAAACTTCGAGTTTTCCTTGTGGTCAGGTTTAGCATTGTGATTTCTAACCCTGTCAATATTTCCGCGACTGTCTTGCTATGTTATATAGGATATGATATAAATCCAGTGCTATATGTATGTACTACACTGCGTTGTTAAGTTATTTAGACTCTTATGTTCGAACTCACCATTACCTTAGCTGCATTGAATTAGATATACTGCAAATGTTCATAAAATCAAATTAACTGTCTGAAGGCGTTTTTTCCCTGACCCAGTGATAGAGGCACTTAAGAAAACATACAGCAGTAACAAAAGCGTTGTCAGCCATTACTAAAATTAGAGATGCGCTCTCATGGAAACTCTAATTTTTCTAATTTCTGTATAAAAAACAGCGTATGTATGAAATAGGTTTAGCACGGGTTGATGACAGTGTTAGCGCTGCTATAAGCGTCATGTCGCTTATACGTGTGTTAACGACTAATGTTAACATAATTTCTAATTAGCAGCAATTTTAAAAAACACTTCAGAAAAACGACGATTTTTTTGAAAGCAAACATGTTTCGGCATTATCAGAATGCCATCTTCAGTGCAGAATGGTTAGTGTTAAGTAATATGATACGTAATATGATATGAATAAATTAATTACAATGAATAGGAATATGATCTAGTTACAAAATTATAAAATATTTACAAAAAAGGAAAAGAAAAATAAGTATTAAGAACTTATAACAAAAAATATTATTATAAAGTAAATATAGTGTTGTAATGACTAATGTTAAATGGAAAAGCCAAGACTTTGATCGACTACAAATATACCAGCCAAGTTTATTACTTTTCATACATTTCTTTATCTTTGAACACTTATATTGATTTAATGAATTTTGGATGATCAAGAAAATTTCGTATTCTTTGTTCTATAGTCTGAAAATAGTAAATTTGATCAAAGAGATCGGATGCGCTCCGATGGATCTACAATTGACATCAGTCAGTTACGAGATAAATCACCTAATGCACATCATCGTCATTCGAGATCCACATCCTTGGTTGGGGGTTTAAAAAATGTCAATGATTCTTCTGTAGACATGAGTAGCTTCACTCGGGTATAAAGATTTTGGCTTTTCTATTTTTATAATTTATACTTTAAGTAAGTTTATGTATAATGCATAAGTAAATACTGTAACTGTAATTATGTTTCTCAAGATATAGTTTTTATTGTTTAACATATGTTGTCATTTTAGGGTCATAAACGTACGTCGTCGGATCAAACAAGAAGTTCGTTGATTCTTTCAGACGACTTTCATCCATCAACAATAATTACGACCTTGGATTATGTACGTGTAGCTACTTATTTTCTATAAGTAGAAGTCGAACAATATATTTTTTTCACATATAAAAGTAGACTTTTCACAATGTAGTGAAATGTATCGCACTTTGACTACATTGTTTTATTGCTATAGTATAATATCTTAGACAAAAAGTCTTTTGGTATAGCTATGATCTATTACTAAACTACTGGATTTGATAATTTTAGTCCATCAAAAAAGAAGGAAATGTTTACCGTAAGAAGCTCTGCGAGGTCGGTGGAAGAAAAGTAAAGTGAGTTGGTTCATTTTCTGTTGCGTTATACATTAGTGCTACACGAATTTTTTTCGTTCAACTGCTTTTTGAGTCTTGTTTCTTTTTAAAGTCGTCCATCCTAACTTATGTTTTATACTGTCCTTACCATCTCTATCATAGTTTGATAAACTAATGATTTTCATACGGTCTTAACCATCTCCTTGCGTGGTCAAATAAAACTAATGACTTTCATACGGTCTTATAACCATTTCCTTGCATGGTCAAATAAAACTAATGACTTTCATACGGTCTTGTAACCATCTCCTTGCGTGGTCAAATAAAACTAATGACTTTCATACCGTCTTATAACCATCTCCTTGCGTGGTCAAATAAAACTAATGACTTTTATACGGTCTTATAACCATCTCCTTGCATGGTCAAATAAAACTAATGACTTTCATACGGTCTTATAACCATCTCCTTGCGTGGTCAAATAAAACTAATGACTTTTATACGGTCTTAACCATCTCTTTTCGTAATCAAATAAAACTAATGATTTTCATACAGTCTTAACCATCTCCTTGCATAATTAGATAAATTAATGATTTGCACACCGTCTTAAGTAAGTAAAGTAAATTTGCAGTGTCGCCTGAAGTCTGTAACGGCCGAACAACGAGGGAGTCTATTCCCTTTTCTTTAGCGCTAAACAAGGGAGATTTATGCTGAGGTGGAGTGCCACACCTACTATCAGCTCCCTGCTACTTTACCGCGCTGATCAGATTACCCGATTTGCGCTACTCAACGCTGAGTTGGCGAAGACTGGCATCGAACCTTGGACCTTGCGAACGCTCTACCGCATCTCCTGTATCTCCTTGCATGGTTAAATAAATTAATGATTTTCATACGGTCTTGACCATCTCATTGCATAGTTAGATAAATCGATGATTTTCAATATTACAACATAATTAATCCTGTAATGAAATGCGGCTATTCATAGATATATGAATTTTTTGTTTTTGTTAGTAAAAACTGGAAACCTTGCTATGTGAAGCTCTCCTCAACCAATATAACCTTATATAAAAATGAGAATGTAGCTCAATCGGTGAGTTTTGATTCCTATGTTGTCTGGAAATTTTTATTTACGTATAGCTAATTGTTTGCTAGTTTTACTTTATACGTATAATGGTGCGTTTAAAGTAGTTGTTGTCTTCATCAGCTTTTGCTACCAGGTCTACCTTTGTTCCGAATAGTAAAAATCCTTCTTTATTTACATTTTGTTTTATTTCTGGTTACCTTTTTTAAATATTCTTCACGATGAATGCGATTTCTTAGTTTTGGGAAACTTTTAATGGCAGACTCAGGTTGTATCTATTTTTTTTTGTATGATAAGAAACAAGGTCTAGCAAAAGGTATGCCTGACAGTGGTTGTGATCTTAGAGGTGCTGTTGTACAGAGAGTACCAGATGAAGGCAAAAGGAAAAACATTTTTCAGGTTTGTGGATTTTCTTTTTACTTGTGTTGCTATTCGGGATATAATTCTAGAAAATTTTAAAATCTCCAGAAAACTATCATTTTATCCAAATTTCTCAAGAATGTGTTCAAATGCAGTATTTTAGCATCGTTGACTTTATAAAAAAGTAAAAACTACCAGAAAAAAATAATCTCGAAAAGCGGAATAGCTTTTCATTTCCTAGATGACAGGAGCGATATTTCTAGAAATTTCTTGGAATTTAACCTGGCGTGGGGGGGGGAGGGGATACTACCATTTCAGATATGGAACATCTAAAGGCACAGTCCGGTGCTTTTATGTGTCCTGCATTTAACTAGTTATTTTCAGAGGATAACGGCACTCATATTTCTAATTTAAACAGTTCGTTTTTTTTGCTTGTACAATTATTTTTTCTATTTTCAGATTACTACAGCGACGAAATTGTGTTTTCTTCTGCAAGTTGATGATATCAAGGAATTTAATGCGTGGTATTCCTTGATTTCTGACGTTGTTAAATTTCTGGTTAGTCGCAATAGTGTTATTGCTTTTTTAATGCAACTTGACGATTCATACAAATTCCAACAAATGTTGTAGTTTCACTAAATGCGAAAATCTCTCAGCTTTACTAACAAAATGTTTCAACTCAACATAAGTTTAGGTGGTAATGAAAATTTAATTTACTCGCATAAAAACTACGAAAGGCCATCCACGCTGTTCTAAATGTATCATTAATTTTTCAATTTAGGAGGAAAGTGAACCAGTTGGTAAGATATTTTCTATTTACTAATCGTTTCTAATCGTACGCCAAACGCTCATTTTGAACAGAGCAAATTTGGTTGATGTTACTTAACTATCAATACGAAAATTATCATGTAAGTTTTGGACTTTTGTTCATAAGTTCCTTCACAAATTAATTTTTGGTTAACAAAATCTCATTAATTAAGCTGCTTTTAGAGTAAGTAAACTCATCTCAAATTTCGATTGAATGCCGACATTTAGTTGATTTTCCATACTAACTAGGGCAAATACTCATTATACAATGTACACTAATGCTCATGATATGAAAGTAAAAGTACCGTATCGATTTTGCTGTATGTTTTGTAGAGAAAGGTTTACAAGCAAGACTGTATGGTGATGTCACCCCTGCAACACATCGAAACTCTTTACCAGCTACTGGTGGCATTACAAGGAGAGGATCGAAGAAAAGTCTAAAATGTACGGTTGCGAAAGCATACTTTATTATATGTCAAATGTCCACCTTCACATGTCACAATCGTATTATTTTGATTTAATCACAGTGCGTGGTGAAAGCGACAAGAAGATTCGTGATAAACTAAAGAAACTCATGACAAAAAGACCAACTTTTGAAGAGCTTCAAAAGAAAGGAATTCTTAAAGGTATAGAACTTAATTGTTGAAATTGTTCTATTGCAAAATAAATTTGTAAAAACGTGTATCTGTGTGTGTCTCATTTAGACGTTACATTCGGCTGTCATATTTCAAAACTGTGCGCTTTGGAACAAAGTAAAATTCCTAAAGTGGTTATTGGCTGTATCCAAGCAATTGAAAATAAAGGTATATGATTCTTTCCTTAAAGTGCGTACACACGCAACGATTTCTCAGTCCAACACTGACGCCATATTACTTGTTCCTACCATATTTGGAAAGTCGTCCGACTCAAAAAATCGAATGAAAATATGTAACAAACGACAGATTTGTTCCCAATTTTTTTATGTTGCTATAACTTCTGAAACCAGCAAATTATTATTATCGAAAGTAACTATTGAAATGTCTTCTGTAAACCCGGAAAAAGAAAGTATCGAGACAAGAAAGCCAAAACAAATAAAACCAAGTCTGCAGAGAAAAAGACAATAGTCAAGATTATTTTCCGAAAAAGAAACACGGAAACTTGACATTGATTTGCCCGTTCTTTAAGCAATTTTTTCTCTCACAGCTGTTTATTTTCTTGTCTAACACGACAAATTTTCCATGTACATGTATAGCAAGAGTCACGTAATATGGCGTTAGTGTCGGCCCGACAAATCGTTGTGTGTAAACGTACGTACCTTTAGCTATTTCTCGCATTTAAATCTACAAAACGTGCAATCGCAAAACCATAAACTTGCATAGAACGTTGAACTACAGAGTTCATGCAGCGCCTATGTAGCTAACTAGCTATAGAATTATAGAATGTAGAAGTATAGAATCTAGAACTGTAGAATGATAGAATCTACAATTATAGAATTATAGAATCTAGAACTGTAGAATGATAGAATCTACAATTATAGAATTATAGAATCTAGAACTATAGAATTATAGAATCTACAATTACAGAATTATAGAATGTAGAAATATAGAATTATAGAATCTACAATTATGCAATTATAGAATTATAGAATCTAGAACTATAGAATTATAGAATTATAGAATTATATATTATATATATTCTCTGATGATGGCCCTGGAATACAGTCGCAACACGGTGCCATTCCAGTAAACTGCTATAGTGACAAGAATCTCTCGTCCATACGCAGTTTAAAAAAGAGATTTGACTCGTCTCCAATCCCTGTGGGCTTGATAGAATTATAGAATCTACAATTACAGAATTATAGAAGGTAGAGCCACAGTATAGAAACAAACAGTAGTATATATCATTATACTACTGGCTGCGGCTAGGCACCACCTAAGCGCTCCTATTGGTCAGAAAATGCAATTTACTGGCTGCCACTGTACTGACATGCGTAATAAGATATGCATTTTCTATAGGGTGGGATTTCTGTTTGTTTCTATATTGTGGTAGAGCTATAGAATTATAGAATCTACAATTACAAAATTATAGAATCTAGAACTGTATAATTATAAAATCTACAATTATAGAATTATAGAATGTAGAGTTATAGAAACAAAGAACCTGTAATTGTGCAATTGAACAACTAGTACTAGAATTATAGAGAGCAATTTAACCTACGGCATAGCTGTAGCATGTATAGGGGCATCGAAGATTTATAGCGACTGTCATTTCTGCAACCATATCAAGAAAGTTCATAACGCCTTTGAAAATAAAACGTTGTTTAAATGTTATATAATATTGATGATGTAATATATATGTCATGACTTGTAACGTGAAATTATAACTTGAACATTTCAATTTTCTGGAAAAAGCCTTGGCTAGTAGATTTCTGTATCTAAAGCTCCGTGTATGTAATAATGATGTATTTTCGTGTATACATTATATTCATCTCAATAAATAAAGCTTAAGCCAACCTCGTTAAAACACAATGACAAATGTTAGAGATGATTAGTAACTATATCGATTTAAAATCGCATGACAACAATGTAACCAAAATAATTGCTGCAGCTTTCCATCTTTAACGATATGATTTTTTTATTTACCAAGGTCTCGACTTCGATGGTATGTACAGAATATCTGGTAACGCGTCACTCATTCAAAAACTCAGATTGACTGTTGATCAAGGTAATATTGTTAACGCTTTTCTTAGATTTCATGTCACTTCCTTATTAAGTTTGAGAGGTCGGTAATACTTCTGGGCGGTAAAAGCCTATTACTTCTTGTCATTAGATTTGCTTTTTATTAAAAAGATTCATTTGTTGACTTATGCTGAGATAGGCTACTGTAATTTAGTGTTACAATTCGTACAAATATGAGGCATTGATTATTTATTGGTCAGCACCATGGGCGGATAAATGCTAAACTACGAAGAGGGGTGCAGATTTTCCAGGGGGGTGCATCATTGTCCTAGCTAAATGTCCCAGGGCCTCGAGCTATTGTAAACTTATATGCTTACAGATAGGTGAACCTTGAGAACCGAAATTGTTATTAGCTTTTTACAGATTTTTTTATAGAGTTAAGTAATGATACATTTAACGTAAACGACAACTTTTTTTAAATTTTTTATTGCAAACATGTTTCGGCAAACTTATGCCATCTTCAGCACGGCTTAATAAATGAAGTATTTACATAGAAATAATATATAAAGAAATAAGATACATGACAAGTGTATAGAGAAAAGAGATGGAAGCGGAAGTTATTTACAATTATGTTGTGATTAGGCGTGTTAGGTTATTTACAAATTAAAGATAGTATTGACATTCTGAATTTGTTAAGATTAGGTTTAAGTTTTTTTTATGTACAGTGCTTCTTTATATATTATCTCTATGTAAATATTTCATAAAAAAAACTTAAGAAACAAATTCAGCATGTCAATACTATATATTGCCAACGACGAGTGAAGCACGAATACAACAGTTGCTTTCACACGTGACAAACCAGGGATAAGAAAATAAAGTACAAACTGAGTTGACGTGGCAAAGTAACAACTTACTTCTCGTTTAATAATTTATTTCAATTTTAATGTTTCAATGAAAACGCACATGGTAGTAACTCAATTGCAAATGGCGAAAGTATAAAATATGTAATTGCCTTTGAAATGATAAGTTACTGTACAATATCTTAGCCTAAATTAAAAACAATGTTTCCTTTTTCCTTACAGAGGAGGATGTAGTATTTGGTCAGCCGCCTTACGACGATATTCATGTATTGACTGGAACATTAAAACTTTACTTTCGTGAATTACCAGAACCTCTCATTCCCTTCAACGTTTACGATAATTTCATCAACGCAATCAGTGAGTTTATTTGGAGTTCTCCGGACAAACAACGTATAGGTTTTAAAAGCTATAACGGATAAACTAATTCAAAATCAGTAATGTTTTATTTTTTAATATTAGCTTTCATTACTGTTTTTATACTATTTTTCAATATGTGTTTTTGAAGTTGTGAAATTTTATTGTGTTAGCGTTTATTGCATTTTGTATGAGTAAACTGAAGTGTCCTGAACCCAACCCAATCAATTGAATGGTAAATGAGCCTGCTAGTTTTTAAGTTCTGACGTAACGCTAACTGAAAAGGTACATCACGAATTCTCATTATACTTTGTATTACTTCGTGTAACACAGGATTACGTACAAAACAACAGAAAAGCGATGCCCTTCGTGCTCAAGTTGAATACCTTCCGTCTCCAAACAATGAAACATTGAGATATTTAATGAAGCATTTAAAAAGGTAAGCCATTATGTTGTTCTGACAATCTTTATTTGTTTTGTCGAGTAAAGGAGAGCTGCTCTTTAACACTTATTTTTTCGTAGAGTAATGGAAAATAACAGTAAAAATCGAATGCATGCTCACAACATTGCCATCGTCTTTGGTCCGACTTTGCTCTCCCCAAAAGAGGAACAATTTGCTAATATCGCCGTAAACACTGTCTATCAAAACCAGGTTGTCGAGTTTTTGTTGTTAGAATATGACCAAGTCTTGGGGAGCGATTATTAAATTATGTATCTGTAATCATCGTCTGATTGACTACATACTTGTAAATAATTTACTTGTGAGAGCACTGCGTAGTTAAAACATATTTATATAAATTCATACCTCAGTGCAAGCCCTACGTATACAAACCTGAAACCATAACCTCATTTGCACTTAGATAATAGTCGTACGTTTTCTGAATTGTGTGGTTTCTGAATGTTTAATGTCAGTGATAGCCGAAATTTTTTGTAATTGAATTAAACACGTAATTCTCTATTTATTCCAGCAGTTCTACTGTGTCAATTTAATGCTGTCGATGAGAACTGGCAGTAAATAGTTACTATTATTATGTTATGTACAAATTTTATACCACATCCTGTCGCGTTTTAAAAACTTCACAATGAAAACAAGTTAAATTACTGGTTGGTATTGTTCAACTCTTTCCAGTAATTGATCTGAATAACCAGGAGAATAATATCTAAAACAAGCAAAAAAAAAACTGTTCACACTTTGCATTTCTTTCTCTCGCTGTCATAAAAGGGGTGGTGAAAGCAATTCCCTCCTTCAAGATCATACTCTTCATTTGTAAATCAATTTTTTTTGTTTTTGCTCATTCAAAAAAAATCTTGCCAGCACCACTGCGTGTATAATTCTTTGCCTCGTGCAACTCCAAGGTTCTTGATTTCTCTCCCAGGAAGCGCAAGATAAAGATGAAGACATACTAGACATAAAGCACTTACCTGACAATTTCTTCGGGATAACAACTGTTTATGGTAGAGATATGTTCATGAAGTGCTGACGCTGGATCTGCTTTTATCTCTTGGACTTTTTTCAATCCTCCAGTTGTAACAAAAACTCTCCTCGCTTTACTGTCGTGTGGCAGCACTTTAGCAAACTGACCTACGACGTGTTTCAGTATGTTAGGCGGAGCATCGTGTAACAAAGGCTCCAACGCTGGAAGATGAGTGCACTTTTGTAAAGTGTTCTTCAATGATCGCTTAGCCTGTTAAACAAGTCTTTCTCCAGTAAATGTGTCGTGAAATTCACTTTTCGAAAGCATAACGTACGTACCTTAGCTTGTAAGTCTTCAGAACTACCAGTTTTTAGGTAAAGTTGCAGTAATCTCGGTAGAACATTTGCTACGGCAACAGCTTTTGCGTGTTCTGGTGTGTGGCGTCCAATCTGGCCAAGTGCCCAAGCTGTCGCGGCCAATATGTGGTCTTCCTTTTCCTCACTTAGAGCAATAGCCAATTGGACAACTCCCTGGAATATGATATAACGTATTTAAGGACGAATGCTACGAATAGTGATAACACGTCTAAAAGCTAATGAAGTGGATACCTTAGATACAATAACTGCCATAGCCAAATTTTCAGAATGGGCAGCAACGTATCCCAGCATCATGATTCCAGGAAGGCGAACATTACTATGAGAATCTCCAATATAATCAATAACAGCGGCTACACCTCCAGAATTCACAATTAACTGCGAAAGCTATAAAAAGAAACTGAAATCAAGTTGATCTTCAAGGTTGGTGAAGTTTTGAGAAGAACTATTGGTGATGGCTGTAGATATGCACCTCCTTCAGAGTCCTTTGCAATCTACTTTCGACCTTTTTACTACAATCATCAACAATAATTTTCCTCGAGGCCAATCAACTTGCACAAACTTTAAAACTGTGTTATTTTAACTATTCAATTGAGCCTTAATGTTAAAATATTGATGGAAGTCCAAATGAAACAAACCTCGGGAGTATGTTTTGCAATTTCACGAATTAACGTTGCAACATTTTTTCTTACATATTCATCTTGTTCTAAAGAAATGTAAAACCACTTGAAAACACAAAATCTTCGTAGACATGAAGTACATGCTATGCCATACATACCTTTAAGACATGTAAGAATTGCCGGGAAGATTTCAGCTTCCACAACCATTTCCGCTAAATCCACAGAATGCTTAGCAATCTGGCTAAGTGCTGAGAATATTTGACGCTATAAAATTAGTGAACAATTAAAACTATGCTACAAAAATAAAGACATAAGTTATTCTTCTTGATAAAATTACAGTATAAATTTGCGCAATATTTTACAATTATTTCCTACCTTTAATTTAGAATCAGGATTGAGGATCATTTGCGCAAGATGCGCAATCGCTCCAGCATCTACGACTGTCTGTGCAAGCTAAACCAGGTTTGAAAAAGACAAATTGTTACCATGTTGTATGAAAACTAATAAGGTGACCATGATCTACGCTATGATAAACATGACGTACACCATAAAGTGATAAACATGATTTACACAATCGTGATGACCATGATCTGCACCATCATGATGGCCATGATCTACACCATCATGATGACCATGATCTACACCATTATGATGACCATGATCTAAACCATCATGATGACCATGATCTACACCATCATGATGACCATTCTCTACACCATCATGATGACCTTGATCTACACCATCATGATGACTATGATCTACACCATCATGATGACCATGATCTACACCATCATGATGACCATGATCTACACCATCATGATGACCATGATCTACACCATCATGATGACCATGATCTACACCAGGGGTCGCCAAACTACGGCCCGCGGGCCAGATGCGGCCCGTTGGGACTCTCAATCCGGCCCGCAGAGACACTTAAGAAAGCCAATTTCATCACTCACATTGAGAAAACTGAACAGACTAATTGTGATTTTGCTATGATATTACTCTTGGTTGAAATTTAACCTTTAAATTTTGAATAAATATTTTCTGAACTAATGAAGCTTGTGTAATGTGCTTCGTTTTGCGCATTTAATATACGTGACAAGTTTTTTAAAATAGACATGTTTCGACATCTCATGATGACATCTTCATTATAAGTGAAATAATAAATGATACAAGGTTTATATAAAAGTAATATAATACATAAATTACAACAATAAAAAGGAAATAAGATAATATAATGAGGAGCGTCCGAGCGTATTATAAACTAAATATTGTATTGAATTTAAAAACTTGAACATTGACGTCAGGGTTAGTTTTGTTAACGTGGAATGCTTCTTTGATTTTAAGGGAGAATGAGGTGTCGGCAGTGTCGATGATTTTGAAGCAAGAGGGTGAATAGTTGGTTTTACATAAGTGAGATTTAAGAAGGTGTCGGTAGATATGAGAGTTTTTGTCTGTTGTGGTATGTTCCCTAATTCTGGTGGATAAATGGCGCGAAGTTTCGCCAATGTATCTTATTTCCTTTTTATTGTTGTAATTTATGTATCATATTACTTTTATATAAACCTTGTATCATTTATTATTTCACTTATACTGAAGATGGCATCATGAGATGTCGAAACATGTCTATTTGTATGTCTATCATGTACTTCGTTTTACTAAAATTTTCGCTCTTTGACCAGCGGTATACGGTTCGTCGGCCCTCAACATGCTGGATGAAAGTTCATGTGGCCCTCTGGCTGTAAAGTTTGGAGACCCCTGATCTACACCATCATGATGACTATGATCTACACCATCTTGATGACCATGATCTACACCGTCATGATGACCATGATCTACACTATTGCAATGACCATGATCCAGGACTGGAAAATGGCCGACAACATTGCGCCCATGGCATCTTTCTGGAAATTACTAGCGATGGGTGAAGGCTTGTTTTCAGTCATTAAAAAGTTCCCAGAAAATATTTATTTTTGAAGTTTGCTCTCTGGAAGTGTAGCACTAATCCTGGCCTGCCATGATGAACACTATCTTGATGATCCTTATCAACAATATTTTAGTGTACATGACGCTGCCTTGGACATCTCAATCTACATTACGTATCTCATTAAACACACTCTAGACTATTCTGTCAATCATCATGTAGCTTGTGGTGTGAAATATTGAGAAACTAAAGTGTTTCAACCTCAGGCGAATGCTTGCAGATATCACTGAGACCAGAAGCTGCAATTCTCTTCAAAGAAAGCTCTGGTTCTTGAATGCACAATACCAATAATGGTACAGCACCAGCATCAACAACAGCTTGTGACAGTTCTTTATAAATAAAGCTATGATCAGTAATTGCTATCATATCTATTAACACAACAATGCAAATTAATAAACAAAAAAGAGAGTTCAGATAAAAAGAGCGATGCATTTTAAAGAGCCTTGAACATTTACCAGCATTATGTCTTGCAATGTATCCTAGTGCCCAGGCTGCTGCTTCCTTTACTCCAGGATCAAACTCTTCCAAACAAATTACTAATGCATCCAAAGCACCACAATCTACTACAGCCTGTTATTAATGGACAATTGACAATAGTCAGCAATATGTTATTGAAAATTTAATAAGTAATACCGTAAATGCTCGAATAAGCGCCCAGCTTCCAATAAGCGCCCCGCTTCGAATTAGCGCCCCCCCTAGGACTCAAATTTTGAAATAAGCGCCCCCCTTCCAATAAGCGTCCCCCCCCTGGCACAACTGAAGGCAGTTCAGCAGCAACTTCAGCAAACACTGGAGAATGATCCTTTTCAGGATATCACGCTATCAGATGTTGAAGATGCTGCCCTGTGTCAACATTGCTTGATGACAGCGATACAGAAATTGAGATTGATTAAGGATCAAATGGTTAGCGAAAGACGCGATATAGCATAAACAATGTCAGTACTATTTTCATTGTGTGTTAAATTGAAGACAACCGCTGAACATTAACGGCAGGCTTTCTTTATATATACAAAACATTTCACGATGTTAAACGCATTGTACAATACACATGCCCTTTTAACGGGCACCAGGAAATCGCTTGGAGAACATTTCAAGTTTCACAAAATGTTAATGTTGCTTTCTAGAATGTTAACGTTTTCAAAATTTTCATACTTATGTTACAGTTAAGGTCACAAGAAATAAAATACCAGTGTCATTTTCGTCAAACCGAAAATGAAATAAGCGCCCCCTTCCAATTAGCGCCCCCTCGCCTCCAAAAATTAAATAAGCGCCCCGGGCGCTTATTCGAGCATTTACGGTATGTGCATAAGATAGTCAGTAACATGTGATTGAATATATAGTCAGTAACATGTGATTGAATATATAGTCAGTAATATGTGATTGAGAGAATAGTCAGTAAAACATGATTGAAAGTATAGTCAGTAATATGTGATTGAGAGAATAGTCAGTAAAGCATAATTGAAAGTAAAGTCAGCAATTACATGATTGAAAATATAGTCAACAACAACATAATTTAAAGTATATTCAACAATAAAACATCACCTGGGCTAATTCAGGTGAGTGCTTTGCAACAGCTCGGAGCACAAATGCTGCAGCCTTCTTATAAAATCTCTAAATTAAATTACAAAATGCAAATTTAATTTTTCACTCCATGACAACTAAGTCTTTGTTAGGGTGTAAAAAACCATAATACATTATATTGACTTCAAATATTGTTTTGGTCATTTGGGCTACTGAATTTCCTAATTTTATAATTTCTATATACAGTATAAATAATTATTTGCTATCCAAGAAATATAGCTGCATGAATTTATTGATATGCCAGTCTAGTAAATTCATTTGCCTCAGTATCATAGGGCAAACGAAGGAAATAGAATTTCATGAGTGAACACTCAAAATTAATCTGGCAAAATTAATTTGCCAAAATCTAGCTTGTATATCTCTCTAAAATTATTCAATATTATTAACATACATTTTGCTCAGCAAGTGAATAAACTAATTGAGGCAATATATCTCCCTTCACAACAGCTTCTGCTAAGTCGTCATTATAATTAGCTAATCTTCCCAAAGCCAATGCAGCAGTCTGTTGAATTGTAGGAACTATGTCCAGTAACAAGGGACGCAACAATGACATGACACCTAAACAAGATTGAAATAACATAGTTAACTAAGGATGATAAAAGATTTTTTAGTGTTTGGATAACCAGGGAATGTTGTGAATGCCTGATTCCTCTTCCTCCAGTAAGGTATTTTTTACATGATATTCAATGAATCATGATTGAACATGAATTGATTGTGTTACAACTGTCATAACAAAGTTTTTCAATCATCTAATGAGTTAAAGTAAGGGGATTGTATACAAGGCTTTAGTCAGTTGTAATATTTAGTACAAACTACTCATTGAGTGACTCTTTTGGTTTTCATAAGTTACCAGACATGGATGAAAGACGAACCATACAATTTACCTGCATTTTGAAGTGTTTCGATGTTTTGAGGACGAGAAGCAAGTTCAGCTACTGTCTGAACAAAGGTTGCTCTTGATTTTTGATACTGTTCAAAGACTAATTTAAAATCAAAAGATTCAAAACATATTACTTGCTTTTCTTACTCCTTCAATATTAATCAATCACATTCAGACCAAAACAAACTTGAAATAATTTTTAACAAGTTTCTCATTAGTCATAACTAAAAAGGCATAGATCCACCTTGTAATACTTGTCTTGTACTCATTATTGGTTATTTTTCGTAAAACAAAATTTTCTCTGAAGGAATACGAATAGTAAAATTGTGTCGTTTCTGGCGTCAAAACTGTAACTTAGCAACAAACGAGAATACTGAAGTTTCCAGGCATATTTTACGTTGATTAAGCGCTGACATAAGGTGGTCACAGGCTCAATTTCAATGTAAATCAAACACCAAAAAAATTCTTTTATTAGCAAAGTTTATGAGAATTTTAAGGTAAAGATATTTACTGTATTATTACTGGATTTTGAACTGACTGTTGTTAACTCTTGTGAATTTGGTGATAAAGAGATTTTTGTGAAGATATAGTAATGTTGTTATTGTTGTCATGTCACTCATCGACATGTAATTTAATTTTTTTTTCTATTTCACGTGTGGTGCGCAATGGTGGTGCGTCCGTTATGTAATTTGAAATGCCATGTGTGTGTGAAATGAAGTATATTCAATTCTTGATCCATGTCACATGATAAAGCTGGTCTTTCATTCATAGTGATGAGGAAATTCACACGAATCAATGAAGAACAGGAAAGGCTAAATTTTGCCAACAACTTTCATACAATGACCTTATATTATTAAAAACATGAAATGAATGTGAGACTTGCTCCTCAAGCACTGAGCGAATTTTTAGCTGATACTAATTACTTTTTAGACGAATCAAAAAGGTTGCTTAGTTACAGCAAACGCCCTTCCCTTTTCAATAAGAAAATTAACCAAATTTTGACATGCTAAATTCACGAAATCCTTTCGGGAAAGGTTTTATCAAAAGATTAGACAAGTAGAATTTTTATCCATTATGAAATTATTTCTAGTGATTTACAAACACGGGTAACCAAAAGTTGCTCTTGGAATCATATTTCAATGTACATTCATAATCATACTTCAATGTACATAGTATGAAGCCATTACATTACATTTTCCTTTTGCAATTGTATTTTCCCTGTACGTACTAAATGTCAATTGACTAATCAAGTCCTACCACTCTTTCCTTGAACAGAATCAAACAACTTAACTCATTCTCATAAATATTTGCTGGTATGTGCTCTCCTTCGATCAGTCTCGCGTAACTTGTAATTTTGTGCCATTTGACCTTCAGAGTGCTCCAGGCGCACGTCAAATAGCAAATTTTGCTTTAGGTAAATACCGCATTTGATGATGGCTACATGCGAAAAGAATATTTTTGGAGAATGGGACACTCTGTAAAGCGATGTAAAGGTAGCAATGGTTGTCTATGCTCATGGGTGATGTACTTATGTGCGACAAATAGAAATGACTATTATTGTTGCAATAGCCTCATGTAAAATTTTGGAAAGGCGTGACGTTAACGTAAACCGAAGTCGTAAACCTTTTTCAGTAGATTCGGGAGAAGACTTCCATACAAAAATTATTAATATCAATTCCCCTATAGCGATTTTCCGTATTTCTTGTGTGACATTTTGCATAATATGGCAATAACATAGTGAACTAGTTGTCGCAACTCAATATTCGGATTTGGTCTCGTCGCGAGGGTATTCTTTCGGTGGGGAGGCTTGCGCTTGCCCCTTCTTTCTTTTCCCTACTTTATCTTGTCTACGCTACTAGTGAGTAATTTTGAAGTAAACTTGAATATTTTTTGAGTTATGTCATGTAACATTCTAATGGACAGTGTAAACTGACAGTAAATAGCAAACACACAGTATTGTTAGAAAGACTTTAAAAAAATAAATCATTGCAAAAATGAATTGAGTTGAGCCAGTTGTACACTGCACAGCAGTAACACAAAATTTTGTAAGTAAATAAACACACAAAATGTTTATTTTTGTATCCTCGTGATTGGAGAGAAGATACTTTTTCTAACGTACGTTTTTACCATGGATCTAAACCATGAAGTACAAGAAGGTGTACAACTATGTGGCGAGTCAGTGCAGGTGCCAGATAAAACCTTTCAAAAACTTATCGTGACAGCATACGACATCATTTTGGGAAAACAAGATGACAGCAGTATTGGTGGTAATATATTTTAATAATTTACATTTCTAGGTGTGAGAATGTGTTTCAAAGTTTTAGGAGTTAAACATTGTACATACAAATAAGGCAAATATGCAGAGTTGATAAAAAATTCACTATGAAGTCAGATTGTTGGATTACATATTATCATTGGGAAGGTGCACAAATATGTGTAATAGTATGATATTGCTTTGGCACGAGTCATGTAGGAACTACACTAGAGGGAGTTTACAATTTCATTATTTAAAAATTCACTGGGAAATAAACATCAGTGAAATTATCTAATAATCTACAGGACTGGTAAGAGTGTGCTGTAACGATCGGCAACTCAGATGTCAATTTTGAGTAAACGTGGCTCTTATGCAGTGTGCAGTTTACAAACTTTCCTCTCTCGGTAATCTAAAAATCTTGCTAGAGCAAAAGTTTTTGAGTGGCTCCCAAGTAATCTGTTCATAGCTGAGGTGCCTCTGATATCCATTGATCTTTCCTTTGTATTACAGTGCTTGGTCATTAGAGAAATTAGACAAACATGACTTGATAGCACATATTAATACTACATGTATACACCTATTTTGAGCATTTTTATTTTAATAGATTTGGTAAAGTCTGGCACATTCAAGCAAGCTTATTATGGTGTGGTAACGTTAATCTTAGAAGCAGTAAAAGTCAATAGTAGTGTAAATGATTTGAGGTTTGTATAATTTTTCTCGAAGTTTTATAATCCCAGGCTTGCCAATATGCTTTAGAAGCATTAAATTTACCATATGTCAGTGTGTGGGGGCTCTAATTTTAATTAGATTTTGGTATCTACTTGTTGCCATACCATGTTAGCTTTTTTTGTTAAATTATGTTACATTATTATGACTGGGAGGTTTTTGAAAGCTTTCTCCATTAGTCACAATTTCTTTAGCTTACTTGTTTGGTATATTGGTATTTAGTGGTAAACTTGGCACCCCTTCTGCACCACACTTAGCCAAGGCTAGGAGGGTGCACTTATTATATTCTCACAATTAGGAATGAGCCAATAAAGAAATTTACCTTAAAACTGACAAAGAAGTTGAAAATGGAGTTTATTCCTTGCAATACTTACTATGTAAAGTTAAATTGATTTACAATCTTGTTCGTGCATTGTCAATATCTAGTTTTGACAGGTTATGATAAAACAACACGATATGTAAGTTTCAAACAGAAGTAGTCTGCTGCATTTTTTTCAATGGAGGTCGATCCAGTCTCATTAAATACACATTTGAAAATGTACTTAAAATGTTATATATAAATTTGGGAGCTAAGGTACTTCAATGCAATTTTAAATGTATTCTTCAACCTGCTTTTATTGAAAACCCATATACGTACTGTGTCCAGCTCTGTTTTGTTACATTTACATTTGCCTTTACATTTTACTTATTTTCATCAACAACATACTACAAATGCAAAAGAACGTTGATTACTGCTGAATAATGCTACAGGTCACCAATCACAGCAATCCGTCAATATGACGTCACAATGTTAAAATCCTTTGTGGAAACTCTAAGAAACTAAAGATTCATGCAAAAACTATTAGAAACTAGTCTTCATTCCACGGCAACATTCAAATTTGTACATGTATATAAAAAATGCAAAAGTATCTTATCCTGTGAATTCTATAATGATTTGAGTTGATAACAGAAAACTTTCAACTTTTAGTTCGTATTTGGAGGAATGTAAGTGGGACTCCGAGAGAATCCAATTTTTCAATAACGCATTCACAGTAAGACTTGTAATTTAGATACTGCAGTGTGAATTAAGATAATTTACTGACTTGAATGTTTTTATTTGTTTATAAGAAAAATTTTCCACATATTCAAGCTTTATTGAGCAGGTAAATGATTTTCGTTAACATCATACATTCTGCATTGATCATTTTTAACGATTATTTTTTGTGTATAGTTCGAGAAAAGTTTTTCCACATATTGTTGATATTGACTGGCGTTTGGATTATTACGTAAAGGTTTGGTGCAAGTTCTATTTTCATTAAAGGCAAATCAATAATCACGAGTTTAAAGAAATCAAATCAATAATTTCAAAGTTGATTAAAGATTTAGATTAATAAACGCAGGATTGATTTTCAGGATCGATAATTACCTATACTATTTCTTGATCATTAATGTAAAACATGAAATGAAAGTTTTTTCTTGACTTTTAGAATAAGCATCTAGATAAAGTAAACAAACCTACTTACTTGATCTCGTTGAAAACTGAGGTATTGTACTTCGTTAGTTGTGAGCCACTCTCTTTGCCACTGAATCATGTATGTACGCAGCATATTGACCAGGGTGCATTCCGTGTAAACACCACGCCGAAGGTTTCAAAATAACTTTTTTTGTTATGCCAAAATGTTGAAGTTTCACGCCAACCCAATATAAGCCGAATTAAGAAATTATATAAACGCAATTATTCATGTTTAGTTTAACCATTTCAACAAATGGGAATAATCAATAGTAATAGCTAATTTCGCCCTTTACGCCAAGACGGTAATTTCTCCACGCCGGAGATGTCCGAATTTTGTGCACGGTCTGCACCCTGGCATAGTGACTATATCGATGACGTTTTAGTATATGCGTAGATTGTAAAAATGTTTTGCTCGTGTTTTAATTAAGGAAAGTGACAAAAATGGATACAATGATATTCAATTTTCATGTTCCCTTGAACAGCTACAGGTATGCACTCGAAGAATTTAGATGTTTTCAAAGTAGTAAAAATGTTTTTTTATATAAAAGTAGATAACTTGTTATATACTTGAATCTAATGCTATTTATTGGTCAAAGTTATGTTTTTTATAGGATCTTGTTGGGAAGTTAAAAGACGCTTGCAAAAGTTTGGAGAAAGCATGCCAAATGTAGATAATAAAACAAAAATAAATAGTTTCACTACAATCTCCGATTTGTCTAAAAACAAAACGGTGCTATAAAATATATCTCTATAAAAAATTGTGTAGGTCAATATGAAGTGCCAAGTGAATTACGTTTGAAATTTGAAAAGAGCGCTATTTTAAAGAGGCAATTTTTACGTAGATTTTAATCAAATTCAATGGCTCCTATTACATAGTGCCTGAAATTAGCATTGAGGTGTTCAGGACAAAATCAGTTGAACTGGGAGGCAGGAACCCAACTACACTGTTTTAGTATTATTTCGTTCAAATCCAGAAAACTTTTTACAGTCAGATACTTATAGTCATGCTTGTATTAGAAAAGGTAAGCTGTTATACAATTTACGTTTAAGTCTCAACACCCCGCATACACAACTTGGTTTTCAGCAAAAATTTGAAAGTTGGAAGTTTACTTTTTCAATTGATACGTACATATTTTAAGTAATCCTTCACAGTTAAAAGACACATAAAAATTAAATAAACAAAGTAATTTTGTTGATCGGAAGCATTTGTGCTTTTCTTTCACCTTTGGTCTGTTAGTTGTTTGTGAGAAAATAAGTTGTTGTACCTATCACAATTGTGTTTTTTCTTCCGTGCTTTCTTAATTTTAAATGTCAACCTATATATCATTATTGTGCAATATAAAATAGAATAAATTTTTACAGCATTTGCTAATGTCAATTTACGGAAATTAACTTCACTCCATCATTGTTTGATGTGTATCTACAGTCATTGAGCTTTCATGTATATCATTGCTTTTCAATATGTTTGTTTGATTGCTTTTCAATATTTCATCAGTGGAAAAATGACTGGAAGATAGCACATTAGGCACAACACCAACAGCCGTCGTCAATGAATTCTGTGTTAAATCCTGGACACAAGCCTTGGGCAGCACATCAAAATTCAAATCCAAGGGTGCAAGCTGTAACATTACATGTCAAGTTGAATACAGCTCATGTAGATAGGCAGCAATTATCATGATATAACAACATTATATAGTAAAAATCAATGGTTACTAATGCTAACAGCCCATGATTTCCACATGCTCTCTAAATGTCAATAATTTATATCTAAGTAATGCATCATGGCCAAATCACCAATATAAAATGAAGTAACGTTGATTTTGTTGAATGGATGGAACATAAAATAGAATTATCAAGAAAAGTTTATCATAATCAACAAATTCTGATCATGAAATACCACTATTGATCACATGTTATGCAAAAAACCTGAGTATGCCACATGGCATTCATTCAATATGATGCATGCCCATTAGCCAATCAAAATCTGTGAATTAAAAAACAAAATCACCTTTCCATATCTTCCATAAATTCTTGCAACTTCCTTCAGTGTCAAGTGGTCAAAAAGAACTTCATCACTACGTGAAACTTCCACCTAGAAAAGTATTTATAAGTTAGTCATGAAACCATAGCTATTTTTTACTAACATACTTATTGCATATGGGTCCACAAGGATACAGGAGTAATGTTTACCTCTTGTGTGTCTTTTACAAAGAATTTTGTCCGCAAAAACTTTTTCAATATCTTTACTGGCATTGCTGATGGACAGCGAAGGTATCGAATTGGAAAAATCTACAAGGCAAAACAACTTGTTCTAAAGTTAGTTACCAAAAGCATATGAAGGCTTCATTTGATGACAATTTTTCTTTGGAAGTATTTCACATGTTTATGGAAGTAATTACAAACAGTAATACAAGAAAAAATGAGTACTTTAACATTATTTGTGTGAAAATGCAATGCAAGTAATCTCAACTGGCAAAATAATAAAAAATGTTTGTGAAATTAATCAAACATGTATGAGTTACAGAACCCAGATAAACAATATTTTCATGCATCACTGGACAGCAGTGTTTACCTTAACTTGTTCATTTTTGTTTCTATTTCTCCTACAAACAAAAATTTATAATCAAACATATTAAATTCACAACACTGACCAGTTATAGAGCTAGAGTTTACACATGTGATATCTAATATGAAAAATAATTTACACTCTTACTGGCGATGTTCCAATGTGACATAAATAGGATCTGGTATATGGGGAACAACACCATTTACACCATCTTTCAACTCGGCAACCTTTTCTTCTTCTAAAATATGTTTAACTTTGCAAGATAAATTATGTAAAAATCAATTACTAAAGAGTTTTTTTAACAAACATAGATTGTACCTGAATTCTCGTTTGCCAAAAGATGCTTTTTCAGTTCTTGTTTTGCTTTGTGATAATCTAAAGGGCAAACATACATGTTTTTGAACTTTTAAATGCTAAATAATGATGAGAATACTATAAACAATATTTTTACTACCATCATATAAAGATGGGACCAATTTGTAGACAATATCTTGAAGTACTGGGTCAGGTCTATAAAAATACAAAAGATTTTTTTATAAATTATAAAATTAATACTTAACTACTTGAGAGAGAAAAGAAATATATGAAAATATAACTACCTGACATGTAAAAGAGGTCTAGTCTTATGAATTTCAGTATGACAAACAGGACAGTTACATGATGTTTCCAAGAATTTTACAATACACCTCTTGCAAACTAGGTACGTATAAATTACAACATTAAATTCCGTAGTTCACAACAAGGAAGTAATTTCATAAAACCTACATGAATGGAGGCATTCCATTATGGTTGTAGCTTCGATAAAGTAACCTCCACAGATAGAGCATGTTATATTTCCATTTAAGCTGTTCAATTGAACTGTTCGTAACATGTTGAGAATATTTACAAAAAAAATCGTAACGGCGTCTTATTTTTATAAAATATCAGTGATAAAAGTTGCTAAACCACATGTTCTTTGAGTCTTAGTGAACAACTATTAAAACTCGAAAAAGCCTCAAACAAAACGATTTGTGTCTTGACGGTAAAGATGGACGAATTGTCGTGTAGGCTTGTACGGGGGCTTTCCGGGGGCTGTTAGCTTACTTTTTTCTCATTACCTCACGGTCACTTGTTTTACGTTATTCACTGATGTTATCATCACATTCTTTTCAATAACATAAAGTCAAGAAGTCAACGGAGTACCTTTAAAACAATGTAATTCAAAGGAATATTTGTCTGAATGCAATAAAAAAACTTTTAAGAAAACTTTTATTGCATCACATGTAACATGTTGCGGCATTATTCTACGATTATACGTGCTACAACAAAAAGTTGGTTTTTTTACATTCAGCTTGCAATTTAACATAACGCTGACTAGTATTCACGAAATATTGTCCGATAACAAATCTATCCAGTTCTTTGGTCGACGAACTTTGCTATAAATGGTCAGGGGAAGACCAAACTCGACTGAAAAGTTTTGGTTTCATCTCACTTTTTGCCAGAAAATATTATTATCACTAAACAACAGTATTTTGCTCATTTGTCCATTTGTTCACCACCCAAGATAATGGCATTTAAGTGTATTTCTAGTAACTAAAGGTGCCCTGATTGAGCTCTTCATCACCTTGTTCATTTTTGATTAATTCAGTGGTATTATTGTGTTAAATTGTAACACGAAAGAAGTTTCACTGTATCATAAGTAAACAAAGTTAGCGTGCAATGTGGAACTGTGGTAGTTGGTAACTAGTAACACAAGTGGATTCAAGTGAAGACACACTAATATTTTTTAAGGGGGCTCATGTTTCGACTCTTTAAGTCAGAGGGACACGTAATCCTACCACTATGTTTCTGACGGTCAAGAGATCAGAGGCCGGTTCACAATAGCCGAATAGCGCTATTCACTGAATAGCAAATTTTTCTGAACGTTTAAAAAATCTCTTTTAAGAGAAAATATGCGATTTGAGCTGTGCAATCGCTCAAATAAAATATTGTTTCGAGGATTACAAATTTTCTTTGTCGTAAAAAAATATAAACATAATTTTTACTATCTAGTGGCGAAACAAACGAAAAACAATGAACTTTTTCCAATTTCAATAAGGGGCTTGAACTTTGAAAGTAACCAATTTCCGAAAGAGTTAAAAAGTTGTCAAATGGCCAGTAAGACGTAAGATGCACAAAATTTTCGGGCACTGTTTCGCCAAATTCAAAAATATATTATGTAACTAAGCATGCAAATAATGAAATTAATGAAATACCTGATGATGGCACTTTTTCGAAATTCCGTGTCAAAATATGAGCTCGTTGCAATCAAATTTCAGCATACTCTGCTTTTCAGTTCTTTTCTGCAACTGTAACATTCAAACATCATCGGCATTGGAGAATTATAGTTCATAGTAGCCAGTAGTTCGTCCTGCTATGGAAATTTTACAGATCATTAGCATTTTTTCTTTCTTTAGAAATCTATTGTTTTCACTGTGAGTAAACACTGAAGTATTTACATAGCACGACAAACTTACGGGGCTGCTACGTCGATGATAGTGGCCGTTATGTTGGAAATGAACAGTAACAGCGAACACACTTTACAACATGTTTTCATTTTGTAGGTGGAGCTGTTCCTAAACCAACCTTTCTTTCAACTCTTCATGTTTTTCGACAACGCCAGGGGTTTTCCAGTTATAACAAAAAAGTTATATAATATTCTTAAGTAAACATGACGTGTGGATGTCACGTGAAGAAATCCTGATCAAATGCTAAATCACCATATTTATATTTTGCTATTTTTAACCGAAATCAAACAACGTTTCGGCTCATTTAGTATTCTGGTGATGATCAATGTGAGTTTATAAAACACTGCCTGTACGTGGGAAGCCCTTGAATGCTTGATGTGGTGATAATTGTGAAACAAATACATTAAATTATGAATATTTAATGCTTAAAATTAGAGTGAATGTCTTAAAATTGAAATTATGAGTCCCTAAGAAATTGAAGTTTTGTAATACTCAAATTCTTACATTTTTCTTTTCGCTTTTCAGTATCCAATACAGCGCTAACGATCGCGATCGCTCGGCAATGATCACATGACCAGGTACTTACGTCAGCAAACAGTCAGCATTTTGTTCAGCTGTTTGTGACTTTGAGACTGTATGCCGTCAGGGACAAAGTACACCAAAAGGAAGTACGATATTTTTGTTGAATATTGTCCAATCGAAGGTAATTATTTGATTCAGTCTAGAGTCTGATAGGAATATTTCGTATATGGATGGTTTAAGTATCTTATTTATTCATCACACTTCAAGTTTATCGATACTATGTCCCAGAAATTTGAGGTTTTAATTGATGACTTTCACATAAATCTGTAGCCATTTTAGATCTGCCAAATTATGTCGGCTATAGGGTTTTCTGCCTCCCAACAAGCAAGTCAGTTATGTCAAACGGGACGTAAACTATATGACATATCTTTTTAGATGTATTCATGAATTCGTGAATAAGAACAGGGTCTGACACTATGATATGAAATATTTTGAAATTTTATGGAAGAGTTATTTTGGTGCAATCTTTTGCTTTTAGACTTATTATCATACAATTTAAACCCCAATACAGCGTGAATTTTGATGAATTTGCTTACGACATTTCACTTTTTGCTCTACTCGCATATTTAAACTATTACATCCTTAGGGCGGAAAAGTTTTTCTCTGTGTTTTTATTTCCAAAAACTAAATAAGACCTTTCGAAGGCAATTTATCACACTATTTACCTTTCTTCGTTAAAGAACAAGCTGTACATTACTGGCTAGATCAAGTGAATAGAAATATAAAAATGAATACAAATATACAAATTTCATTTTATTGATTGACCAAGTGTTCATTTTTTATTTCCCAATGCGACGAGTTTGTGGTTTGTTGACCACCTCTAACGCTGTTGTTATAAATCAAGCAGGGCAACTTTGTTTGTGCAAGTTAGAAGTGTTTGTTCATTGTCTTCAATATTGCTATTATACTACTCTTTCTATGACAAAACTGGAATTAAAAATATGAGCAAATTTAGCGAAATTGGATACGGCAATCGAAAACAAAGAAAATGCGAGAGCACTCAGATGCACGAGTCCTTCGACTGAAGAAAAGAACAAAGATTTGATCAATATTGTTTTAGATTTTTTGTATCCACGCAAAATAATCAATGACTATAGTATCTTGTTATCATTGGTCATCGACATAATGTGAATACATGTCATGGCTGTACTTGAGTTGCTGCAACATTGGCAAGTACTCGTGATGCTGCAATGATCTAATTTAAAAGGACGTTAATAGTACTAGCGATCGGGTCTTTTTAACCACCATTTACGTATGCAAAGATCTGAATTAATCAGTCCATTTAAATCAATACTATTTCACGTTTGAGTGTTTGTTTGAAGTCCGGTCACTTGCACTGCAAAATAGTTTATGGCATTCTTTCCTTTATGCAAATAAAATCGATATTTACATGATTAGAAAGTGGTGGTTTTGAACGGATGTGACTTTTAAAAGTACGAATTCGCTTCCTTATGCCTGATGCACAATCCCTGCAACCTTTAGCAAACGCAGAGGATGTTACAAAAAATATTTAACATTTACATCAAGTTGTAATTACGTGGAAAGAAACACGAAAAAGATGCGTTTGCCAATGTGAAATACTCAGTCTCCGTTCCATCACTACACAATTTGACCTTGCTTATTTTGACATAGGTTAAAATTAACGTTAGAATTTCTTTGTAGAATAATAATCACAGACGGTGGGCTAGAACATTGGAAAACATGTTGCCAACACTAAAGATTGCGGACATAAACAAGAACATAACTTGTCCATTATGCAAAGGATATCTTATTGATGCTTGTACGATTGTAGAATGTCTTCATTCATGTGAGTTTTAAGGCTATTGAAGCCAATTCTTTCTATCAAAACTGGGCAATCAAACACGCGTTATCTTTTATTGTATAGATACTCGACGGAGTATTTATTAAACAAAATCTACTACATTGACATTGCACATATGATACTAAATTGTTATATGGAACAGCAGTATTCTTGTGTCTCTATATCTGTCGAAGTTTTTTTGGTAATGTAGGCAGGCAATGTAGTATAAAGACATTTTCTTTGTGATCTTTTCCAGTTTGTAAAAGTTGTATTGTACGATATTTGGAAAGCTCATATGACTGTCCAGTTTGCAATACTGAAGTGCACAAAACTAAACCTTTGGTCAATGTAAGGTGTGTTTGTACGTTAGAGCAAGCCACATGCGTTAAAGTTTCGCATCAAAGAGAGTGGATTTAAAAGTCTACGCTTGATTCTGATTAACTTATAGACCAGATCCAACTTTACAGGATATCGTTTACAAAATGGTTCCTGATTTATATGAAAGTAAGTTTTTGCGCGTTTTTGCAACGATACCAGTAACTCTACCTATTTCGAAAAATGATTGTTCTTCTTGGTGATTGTTGTGATTTAGACGAAGCCGACGTAAATGACATTACGGCATTTTACATAGTTTTTTTTGTGACAAATGATGGCAAGGCCACGTACAGTGAACCTAATGGAAAAGTGAATTTAATGCCAATAATGATGTGTTTTTATGATTAAAATTTATGCGTGCAAGCTTTTAATTCTAATTAAATTTTTACCAGTCGACTTAGCAAGTGCTTACCATGTAGTGAAATATATTCTTTCATCAAAAAACACGGAAACTCATAAAAATATAGAGATTAAAACTATGTCCAACCTCATGAATAATTACTCATATTTCGCTCCTGTCACTCTTAGCACTTGTATGAGCTAGAGCGCTCAATATTCCTATATGCTTTAACTGTTGTGTTGAAATACGTCTTATTAACAATTTAGAGGAATGTTTGAGTCGAAATACGTTTCAAACAAACGAGAAGTGCAAAGAAAATCATGGTACACGACATAAACAATGATAAATTTGTTGAACATAATATTTTGTTTGAAAGTGCCTGATTACTGCGCATAGCCTATTCTTTAAACACTTCTCGTAACTTTTTTATAGGGGATAAAAACTATAACATTGATGCTCTTTCAAAAAAGAAAACTACACAAAATTCTGACGCTGTATATGTCACACTCCATCATCACCAGTAAGTCAATGAGCAAGTTACAGCAATGAAAGAATCAATAACTATTTGATAAAGCAAGTGGTTAACTGTATAAGAAAAATATTATTGCCAAACAGACCCCTTTTTTCTCCTCGTCTTATCTTCTCTCAAAACGTTGTCATTTTCAGTGTTGACAATTTTCCTAGTTTTCTTTTTGTTGTTCTTCTTTTCAACTGCAACGATGTTTTTTAGACGAAATGTTTTGAAGAATAAACAGCGAAAGGTTTGGTCATTATGAAATTTAGTCAGCTTGTCAGTCTTGATATACTGATATGTTTGATTTTAAAGATCTTTCCAACGCGGTACTTGCGGTGCTCAAAGCATGTTCCTGTTCGAGTACTAAAGAAGCTTATTGAAATGAAATTTGATGTTAAGAGAAAATGGGAGGTAAGAGTTAAAGTATTTAACTAGTTTAGAATTCGAATGACATTCCGTTGAGGCTGGTTTATTTCCGGGAATTATTTTTCAATCGTGTCATGTCTGTTTACCGAGTCAAGCCCTTTAATAGTTTAATTCAAATCTTAAATAGACATGTAATTATTATATAGAACAATCATCTATCGCTGTTAAAAAAGATGAAAATCATTCCTTTTTGTTTGAAGGCTAATGAATGGAATTGAACATTAAATAATAGTTTTGTGATATTTTAAAGGAATAAGGGATATAAACATCCCTGATACATTATTAAGTGCTTTTAACATTGCAATTTTTCTAAAAGTCTGTTCCAGGTGTTGCTAATCAAAACTCTTTAGCTCTTGGCGACTGCATGAAATGAAAGATTATCACTGAAATCTGCTGTCGTAGTTTTTTAATTTTTATCATATTTTCGTGTACTTCCATAATTTCGCATTAAAAAAGTTGTCGTCTACGTTAAATGTCTGATTTCTGTGTACCTTTTTTAAAATTCGCTATTAGTTGTTCTTGCACGAGACGGTTACGTAAAAAGGTCAAGGAACTGTGGAAATTAGTTTTGCATAATTTTACGTAAAGAAACGTTTGAAAAAGATCAGTTCAGCTAGTTACAACGGATAAAATCACATTCGTTTTAAATATCAATAACCAGGTTTTGTTTGCATGGTCATTTCATGTTTATTTTCATTTTTCGAACGAAATGTATTTATAAATTTTTCATTGTCTCTCTATGTAGGTTGAAATAACGCGTTGTGATGAAATTCTAAGCGAAAATTTAAGTCTCAAAGAGATTTCTCGCATTTATGGACTGCATGAAAAGGTATGAAATTTAGCTTTTTTCGTCAGATATTTGTACCGAATTATTAATCGGTTTTTTTGTGAGACACTTTAAATTTTTGACTATTTGATCCATTGCAAATATTTCATTTAAAGTGCTTATATCCCCAGGGAAATAATCTATTTAGATATATTTGACCATGTTGATAACGTTTGCAATATATTTTATAAGACGAGAATTTGATCTTCCTTTACTTTTTGGGAGTCAAAGTTCGCTTTTTTCGTGTTTGACTGCGAGGAGCTGTGACTGACGTCAAGTTCACCGGAAGTGACGTAATTGGAGAACACGCTGCTTTTTAACGCTGTAGTTTATCGTACAAATTGTAGTAAAGTCAAGAAATGTATTTTTCATTAAACTTGTTTATATTGTGCACTTTGTTATTGAACCACACTCTATTTCTATAACGTTAAAAAGCAGCGTTGACTCCCAAAAAGTAAAGGAGGATCAAATTTTCGTCTTATAAAATATATTGCAAATGTTTTTAAAATAGTCAACTCTATCTAAATAGATAATTTCCGTAAGGGTGATAAAGGCAGTTTAAAACAGGAACACTATTGGTAAGTCTACAAATTTGCAGCGACTACAATGGTCCTTATGAATCGAAAAATTAGAAAATATTCATTTTTGAAAGGATATTCATATTGGCTAATCTTGTTACGCCTTTATGTGCTTTACATGCTCACGACAGCTCAACGCCAAACTCCACTGATGGCATTGCTTGTATTAAAATGTTTCAAATTAAGCAATATGCGAAGCGAATAGTTTATTAGGTTTATAAAGTGATTATGAAGCCCCACTGAGTTGATGGAATCAGCATTTAGAAAACAGGTGTTAATTCATATCAAGCCCCATGACGTCCAAATTTTACTGGATAAATTTAAAAACATATTTTTCGCATGAAAATTGTTTTTGTCTACCCTAACCTGGTGTTAAAAACTTATGAACTGTTTTTCATTTACGCTCAACACTCATTAAATAAAGTGCTTCAACGTATCAATGTGCAGGCGCGTACAATTGAGGCCATAACAATGCTGATGGCTGCATTCGACCAACATTGAAGAAGTAATAAAGTTGTTGAAAGTGACTTATGAAACTTTTTTAGACCGGACCCATTGATCTTAAGTTTGATATCATTTCCAATGAACAAGAAACTCCTACTTCCACGTTCATAAGCACTTAGAGAAAAAAAAAGGAATTACCGTTTTGTCGGGTAAAGTCTATTAAAGGTTGAAGGTTGAATTAAAGGTTGAAGACAGCTTCAGATTTCTCAACGATTAGATTTCTGAGAAATCATTTCTCCACCATTACACGCACTCAAATTTACTGGAATGGTGGAGTCTCTCCTTGCTTTAGGTTTGCTGTAGTACTTATTGATTTTTATATGGCAGTTAAACTGATGACATACCCTTGCTGTAGTCATAATATGAAAATAAACAAGGCTCAAAGGCAAAAACAAAAACCACATAATCAGTACTTCATCACAATAATTTTAATCATTTCATTTGAAAGCACACGAAGGACAAATTCACTATTGTTTAACTAGTTCTAACAATAACATAAAACATTATTAACATTATTAATAATTATTCTTTGGTTAAGATGCTGCTGCATACTTCCAAACACATTGATTTTATGTGAACATAGAAACTTGAATGAACTGAAAAGAAAAATCAACATTAGCTTTTAGCACTAAAGAAGAACTACATACATTGTTATATGTTAACATTTGTGATGTTTGTCTAAAACATTCATAATTAGCTAAGCTGACTTATGTTTATGCAAAAATTAACCTATCGCAATGGTTGAAAGTGGAATTGAATTAATTTACAGCTGTTAAACTGGCAGGCTTGTTGCTTGAACAAGAAGCAATAAGAGAAAAGGACTTTTTCTCTTGTTTCTCTTATTTAGCAAAGAACAATGCTTATGTAGGTGCAACTTCCATACCTGCCAACACAATATCTAAAAGCTTATTAATACTGTACCTAAATTGTTCATAAAGTTTTAATTGATGTAAAGATTTCAACTTTACTTACATCATCATACTGAAATGTGGCCACACCAGTTTGCGTTGTATCACGTCGACGAAAGTGATCTAGAGATAATTAGTGTTAAACATTTAGTTTGAGAGATGTTTAAAGATGAAAATTGGAATTTTACAAGTTTTGAGTGAATTTTTGAACATTTGAAGAAAGATTAATTTGAAGCCCAGTAATAATGATAAAATGATTGAAAAATAAATCAATCTAACCTTAATTATTTGGTCATACAAAATTATAATCGTTCAACATATGCATAGAACTCACCAGTCAGACTTCGAAGTCGCACAGCACATGCAACAAAATCATCAAAACTTATACGATGATTTGTAGAATATCGATTGACAATGATTTGAATTGCAGTTGGGGAAAGATTGTAACCTAAAACAGCAAAATAAAAACAAGTAACCTTGCCAAACAACAGATCTCAACAAAATAAAAAAAAATGAAAGAAACAATAAATGGATAACAAGTACAAGCACAAATATAGTACCCCAGCTAGTCAATGCAGCTTGTAGTTCATGTGGTTCCACAGTTCCTGATCGGTCTCTATCATATTGCATGAATGTTGTCTGTGATTATAAAAACTTTTAAAGATGATTCAAGTGGACAGCTAGCAAAATACATAAAATTCCATTACATTTAACTTTATACCTTCCAATGGTTAAGAACATTCCATAATTCTTTGAATTCATTGAATCCCATTCGAGCATCTCTATCTCTCTTACAATGGGGTTGAGGAGAATAAACTGGCACATGGTGATTAGTAATTCTCTTCTATAATTTTTCTTTCTCTTTCAGCATGTTTTGGACTCAAACAATATTCAATTCAAATACCCAACTATGTCAAAAACAATATTGTTGTTTTGAAGAAGTCCTACAAACATACTGACGAAGGATACGTTTAACATTGCAATCATGATTCTACAAGTATCCAAGCTAAATTCTAAAAAATTCCAAAAGAATCAAAGCAATAGAACAATTGAAAAATTTAAAAAACCTGAAAAAAATAAATCATACGTTGATAGCCTCCTGAGATTCCAGATGATGTTAAACATCTTTGTAGCTCGTGTGCATCAATTTGTTGGTCCTGTATGTTATTACAAAACTTAAATGAAAGAACCATCAATTTCAAAGTTAGGCTTGAAAATAGATTTACTGACCTGGCCTGCAATGGCAGAAAAGTACCCCCATAATGGATCAGGGCCAACTGGATATCCTGGACCCTATAATTTTAATATTTATTTTCATATTGTATCTTTAATGCCTTTCAAAGCTATTATTGCTCTTTTGATTTTCTTGAAGACTTCTATTTAAGGGGTTGGAGGACTTAACTCAAGATTGGAGCTTATTTTTATCACCAGTCAAAGAATTGATTCATAGTCGCGAAAGCTACACAAGTAGATTTAGTCATCTCATTTGATGTTAATCATTGCAATAGTATTTTCAACATGGGCATCTTTATATGTTAGATAAGTATAACAACTTAAAAAGCTCAATGGATTGTCACACCATGACTATAAACTTGTCAACTACTGTCAAAATTGCAACACTACCAAGCAAATTAATTTATCGTGTTGAAGATTTGTACATCGGATTTAAACATAGTTAGCTTTATTATAACACGTTCTTTTCATTATACTTACACCTCCATAACCTGGGTAAGCCATTTAAAGAAAACGTTGACAGGGAATAACTAACAGGAAGGGTGTGAAATTCCAAACAAATTGCAAGTTGGAACTCTCGGAGCTCGGTTTTTGCAATAAAATTCTTTTGTGGCTGTGTCCGATGTCCTAAAAGTCAGCGGTTCAATGAAACTGTCTTTGATGTAAGCTCATGTGAAAGTTAAAAGGTGATTTTTTCTTTACGCTTGAAAAAAAGAACGTTATAACATAAAACTAAAGCTGCGTTTACACTATACCGGATTCGCTTGTCACGACATCTTCATTTGTTTTAAAGGGTTAACTGTTTGGAGTAAAACCTTATTAAGCTGATAGATTTAGTCTATTTGTTTGTGTTTCTGACGTTGAACAATTTCACTGCCTTTTAATACAGAATATTCAACCTGCTACGATAGCAGTCCGGTATAGTGTAAACGGGGCCTGAATCATGATTTTTTGTTCGTTGCATTGTGCTTAAATCACGAGGGAAAAATTTATTTTAACAATTTCAATAAAGTTTTGGTAAAGCGTTACGCAATTATTAGAAATTACATGACATCATACTATGCCTCAGATCAACAATTTGCTTCAAGTTTTTAAGGTGAACAATAAGGCTTAAACTCGCACGATTTGGGAATTATTTCAATGAATTATTTGTGAAATTTGGAAGTATGCAAATGAGTAGGAAGAAATCGAGAGGCTGTGGTATGTCCTTGAGGTAAGTTGATTTTGTGTTGTACATTTGAGTTTTTAGTTGAATCTAATTTCTTTGATAACCGATTCGTGATTTATACGTCCATCCTACTTAACTGACATTAACAAGAAAACTGTATAATGTTAAATAAGAGGTGTTTTCCATTTTGTTTTCAGTGGCACGATCAGAATCTCGGTCGTTCACAGTAAATACGGAACCGTTACTGAAAGCATAAGCACTATACTATAGTCGCAGTTTCGAAATATTCGATTATTTTTTAATATGACAGTTTTATAGCCAAAGCAATGAAATTAGATGATTAGTAAATTGAATGACTAAAGGGGTGTTTACATGAATCCGGAATGACTTTCAATCCCGATCGAAACGTGATGTCAATCCGTGTTTACATGGGAAATCAACACAAGGATTGACATTTTGCGGGAATTTTGAAATTTGAAGATGGAGAACATAAACATTATAGCAACCTTTTTTTTCTGTTGTTCCTGCGTTAATACAGCTTAACACTTGCATGAAACTAATTGTTGTTTTTCTTCGCACTCATTTTAACCCATTTAGCCTCTTTATTTGCTTACGAGCTTCAACTTGCCAGAAGACAATACCCATGGCACATGCGTGCTTCGTCATTAATCACAATATCATTCCAGAATGAAACTCAATTCGCGTTTACATGAGATTAAAAGTAAATTTCGATCCGGAATGAAAATAGGAATGAACTCGATCCGGATCGAGTTGTGACTCATTCCGGATTAATGTAAACATGCAATAGGATTTCATTTAAAGTGGAATGAGTTCGTTCTGGATCGAAAGTCATTCCAGATTCATGTAAACACCCCCTAATGTATATTTTTAAAAGGAAAAGAACTTTTCCAAATACTATTGCATTGTAGAGCACTATCTCACATATGGATGCGTTGTACTCCAAACTTTGTATATTTTTTCTATTTTTACAGATGTCCTTACCAAACATTGATGTAAAAGTATATCCAACTAGTATGATTATTGGAGCCGTAGCAGGGTGTCTTGGTACAATGATTTTAATTTCAACTGGGATATACATTTATAGAAAGTAAATTGAAAATTTAATTGTTTATGGACAGAGTCTCAGAGGCCTAACTTCTTCCCAAATATTTCCCTTGGTGTATTAATAAGGAGTTATACTGGGTGTATAAAAAATGAACAACAATAAGGAAATAGCTGCTAAATTAGCGTGCAAGATCTGCAAAAACATTCGGTGGAAATAGGTAGTTAGACACTTAGACTTACAAAGGCTCATCTAAAATTAGGGGTGGCGCCAGAGGGGGAACGCCCCCCCCCCCCATCGAGGATAAATGCGGCAATTTGTCGGGGGGGGCGAACGAAAAAAATTAAAACAAAAGTTTTCAAATTCAATGATTGTTGTCTGTAGCTGTCGGCAGTCCTGATCAAAGCCATTAGCCTAATTGCTTTGTCGGAAATGAACTTTCAAGTTATCACTTAACGAAGAAGCTCAAGGAGTTTTGGGATGAGGCTGAAACAGTATACCCTCGTTAAGATGTTTTCGAGAATATTCAACGTTAGCTGTTATTAGTGAACAAGCTACTAGAGCAGTATTTTATAAATAAGTTTGGGACATCTATGAGATCGTAAACAAAGTTAACGCTAAGTTGGGGAAGATGTTTGATTACAAGAACATGGTCATTATAAGACAAATTGCTGTTTTGTCCCCAAATTTCACAAAATTCTCAGATGAAAAGTCTCTAAAGGTTCTGGTTTGTCATTGACATTGTCGTTAATAAAGTATATTTTCATGCAACGCATGCACGACTAGTCCATTATAACGTGTACGGATTGTTTTGTGGTGTATAGGTATTATAATTTCTTAAAAACAAGATATGATTACCTAAGGTTTTAATGCAGTGATTCAAAATGAGATCTTAAAACTGAAGGTTTGTATTGACAATCAATTAAAGAACAATATTTTAACGTGGTTACAAAAACCAAGACTCAGCCCCCTGTCGGGGGTTTTAGCCTCTCTGTCGGAAAATTCCTGGTGCCACACCTATCTGACATTAAAGGTTTCGCGAGTAACAACCATTTTGAATGTTGTTGCTAAATAGCACTTTTGAAATAGCTTGCGCACAAAAATGAATAAGCTACAGAGCAATTGAAACACAAGGATTAAAACATGGCACATGCTATTCACGCTAAACAAGTTTTAGAAAATTTGGCTGATGCGTATAATCCTCGTTATAAGCCTCATCAATTGTTTGTAAATTTGAGCCTAAAGTAATTCAATATGAATAATTGATGAAGATTTTAAGAAAATGGGTTTGAAAAGGGAATACGTAAATAATCTGCAATTGGGATACCTAGCGTTGGTGTACAATTTGGCCAAATTTCATCGAAGTTTGTAAGCTTGAACAATATGTGTCCTATTTTAAACATATGTGTTCCAATTGCTTTTAAGCTTTGTTATTTTTGTGCGCAAGCTATTTCAAAAGTACTTCTCAGTAAAACAATTCTCACTCTAAAAGTGGTTAATACTTGCAAAAATTTTGATGTCATATGAACCATTGGTGGTCAAACTACTTATGCCATGAAAGATTTTTGCAGATCTTGCACGCTGATAACTTTAGCGACGTTTTCCTATCTGTTCAGGTTTTTTTTCACCTTGTAGATGTTGTTAGGTTTTGTGATGTAGCCATGTACCTTCTTTAGTATAATTTGACTTACACCAACAAATGTTACAGATAACTATACGATCACATCTAATGTTCAACGTCTTCTATTTTACAATGATTTAACTACTTCTATTTATACAAAATTTACGTAAGATTATTTTGGGTTCTGCTAACAAATATGGTTTATTGACGTCAACGGAAAACTACTAGGAACTATAAAAAGTATTGTCTTGATAACATTATAAGTATCTCTTAACATTAGTCATCTAGTTACTTACACTTGAATTAATGATTTACTAATTATGGAAGAATATGAGAGCATATCTTAACAGATGTTACTTAAATATGTCAGTCAAATTATTGTTTAATACATGTTAGTGATATTTTGAGTTGTTCCCCAATAAAATCTTTCCGGCCCTACTGTTTATGGTGGTCAACATGTTCGCATGTATTTATTATATGGCAAGAGTCACTTTCGGTGAAAAAATGCGTTTCGATTGGCTTTGCTGTCCATTACGCAAAAAATTCATCAAATAAACAGCAAAAGCACTACTTGTCTCATTAAAAGTACTTCTGCCATGCAAAAATTTTAATCAGCCTCACTTTTTTGGGTCTTTACACAAAAATAAAATACTGAACATCTGTGCTTCTGTAACAGGAGCTTACTGAAACACAGTGTAATGTAATAAAAGCAGCAAGGCTGTGGTAACGTCATTGGTGCTGACAAGTGTGAAAATCAATTTACGTTATTCATTGATTACAAAATGGGTAATTTTACACGTTTACTGGAAAAACGAGAAAAGTTTCGATTTGCAGGAAAAATTTTTTCTAGGATGTCACAGTCAGAGCAAAATAATAATAAGGCAATAAATGTTGTTGCCGTGATATACTTTAGGACAGCCTTCATCGACTCCAATTTTAAGTTAATCTATGTGAAAAAAAAACTAATAAAATAGTGAGGAAATTATCGATTTTTGTTGAACATCAAGGAATTTTGGAGGTTGGTCATGAAATCTTAAAAAACATTGTATCTTATGCAATAATGCAAAAGTTTTGGCTCAATAAAACAAAATTGTTGGAGATTTGCGACTACATTTCATACCCTTCATCTTTTACTTTCAGAAATAAATTTTCGCCACTGTATACATTTAGTTTTTCCACAAAACTGTGAATTTATATCTCAAAATTGTAAAATCTTAATAATATTAAAAATCTGAATAATAACAACAAATAGATTTTGTGATGGTGTGACTCCTTCCCAGTCCCTATCCTTCAGACCACGTGATTTTCGGTGTCAGATAACAGCTGCAATACTTGCGCACAGTAAATGATAATATAATTAATAATTACCTCTGTGATAAACACACCATTTGATGGTTTACTCTTACAGCTTTTTTTACCAAAATATAATCTTTTAGGTTTTTAGAATTCAGAGCGTCACGTAGGAAAAGAAGGTCTCGCAAATTGCGAAGATTTGCACTTACTCCATTTTATGAGGATCCAGTGCACGAAAACATTATAGAAGTGAATGAAGTACCGTCACCAGTTTATGTGGAGAAAAATATTGCTGATCACAAGATAATCATTTCTAATGCCGAGGACGATCTTTCAGATGACGAAGCAAGCCTTTCTGATCAAGAGGACACCGTTTGTGGTTCGGACGAAACCGCTTCTAATTCGGAAGAAACCCTTTCTGAATCCGAGGAGGAAACCCTTTCTTGTTCCAAAGAAAGCATTTCTGATTCAGAAGAATGCTCTTCACATACGTCCGTTTCAGATCAAACTTCAATTACAACATGTTCCACTGACTCCGACGATAGCGAATCTGGATTCCACACATCTTTGGAGTATAACGAAGACAATGAAGCGCCATCTATAAACATTTTTCCTGATATTTGGACGTATGAAAGTCTAGTCACGTGGTTAAAAAATTTCACCTATGGTGTTTCAGAGTGCTGATTTTATGATACCATCTATAGATTATATAATAAAAAGTTTAAAATCGTCTTTATATCGAAGTTTTCACATCCTTGATTAATGAATGTCTTTGATGCAATATCTTTATAATGAAGCTAAGTTTTCCTAAGGAAGAATAATCTCATCAATGAAACATTTTCTTCGTGCAAAGAGTAACTACCTTCGAGAACTAAATGTGCATTCATCTTTAAAGAAATGAAGAAAGCCACATGACAAAAATAAATCGCATTTTGTTGCCACGCACAATAATGTGAATGCTTTGTTGCTGATCGGTAAATGTCAAATCTTGAAGTACCTGTCAAATTATTGTCAAAAACTGTGACAGGTGGTAATGGTGGACGAAAATATAAAGGCAAAAATCAAATTTGCATAAACGTCCACATCGCTCATTTCGCATTCATTCAGTGTCATTGTTCATGAATCTCGTGGAATAATTTAAAAAACGAAAGACATGCTAGTTTCACATTTCTTCGTGCAATAAGTCATCTAACAAGTCATAGCTTTGAGAGAACTACAGTCTGTCATTGACAATATAGCAATTTATTTAACGGAATGGGCATTTGGAGTTATATCAGGTAAAGTAAAACGGAGAAGGTAATTTGGTGTTATCATATGAGTTTTGGTTATTAATGTTATCGAATTTTAAGCTATTAAGAAAATTAGACGTTTCAAGAATTAGTAAAAAATTTTAATGCCATGTATGAAATTTACCCTCTCATGTCATGTTTCAGGAAACATTAGCACTACGTTTGAAATATTTCCTTCCTTATTTTTCCTTATTTTATATGTATTAATTAAAGTCCACACTAGAAGTCATTGAAATCAGAGAAATGTTAGCAAGACATGAACTGTTTAGATCCAAGTTTTTCCTTGAAGCCTGTATGGGAATAAACATTGAATGACATTAACGACTTACTTTTTAAAGTTCTTTTCAATTGCTTAATGACTTCCTTGTCCAATTTATGTATTATTGTTAACTCTCCCTTTCATCTTCCTTGTTTTATACAGTTCTATCTTGTATACAGTAAGTTATATTTACATTAAACTAACATTAAGATAGCTCTTGCAAATTAAAGCTTTTTCAGTGATATATTCGAATGATCTGATGAATTTGAACTCTCTCGCCTTTTTATTTACATATGTAGTTCCTGTAATCTTGCGACGAAAAGAAAAAAAGAAGGGCTTTTCACTGTGAGGTACACTGAGCTTGTTTATTTATGCAGCTTCGTACTTGTTCGAGGAAGGGGTCAGCATTCAAAATGACATTTAAATACTTTTTGCTTCTTATAGAAAATCAAAAGAAAAACAAATTGTAAACATTGACTCGGATATCTTTCGTAGCACATTACTTGAAGATGTTAAAGAAATTCGAATTCAAGAAAATTATGATGATACTGAAAAAAATGAGTCGTACCTTATTTCTGATGAAAATACCAAAGGCAATAACTATCCTATTTACTTTGAATATTCTATGGGAGGAAATTTGCAATGCTACAAAGAACATCTGAAAAAGAACTTCGTACTGGAAAATAAGTCACGTTGTGCAAAAGACTCAGAGATTCAGAGATCTAGGAAAACGTCTCATAGTGATTATGACTCCGAGCCAGAGTCATTGCGTTATGCACGCAAGCCACAAGAGAATATGCCTCATGCAGTGAACGCTATAACAGAAGAGCCCGAGTTGCTTTTTGATTATTATAGCTCTATATACCAGCCTGAGTTCATGTTAAACATTAATTCAGACTCTTTTTGTGACGATCTGCCCCTCACTTTAGAGCCGGACAATTCTGGAGAAGAACACACCACCATAAAAAAGAAAGATGAAAGACAAGAAGAAAGACAAGAATGTTTCATGGATATAAAGACACCAAGTTCTTTGGAAAACAAAGATTGTGTATTCATGTATACTGTTGAAGAATTTTGCCCTATGGGTGCACAATTGACAGAACAACAAAATATTTCATCTCCTGTCGATTACAAAGTTTCTTTGTGTCATAACGTTGATGAACAGGAAGAGGATACAAAGAGACAAAAGGTTGAATTTTTGCATGATAAAAATAGACAAAGGCAAAAAACAAAATCATCCTTGGAAACATGTCTGAACCCATACAAAGTCAAAGATCTAAGAATACCAAACGTTCGATGGCAAAATGAAAAAAATCAACTTTTTAAAACTGAAACTACAGCAGATGATTGTGACAAAACAATACAACAAAATGTTAATAAGGAAGATTATCTTCAACAGAATAAAATTGATAGGACGAGTCCTTTATTGCAAGAAGCCGATAGGAAAAAAATGACAAAAGCTGGAGTAATTCATAATGAACAAAAAGACGAACTGTCAACAGAGGTGCTATCAGAACAAATAATCAAGGAAATAAGTGATCTTTCTGAAAGCATCATCCATGAGGAAAATAACATAGCATTAAACGACTTTGTTTCATTTGATGAAGAACTGAGCTCAAAAAGAAATGGAAGTTGCTCTGAGCGACCAATAAAAGAAATGGAAGCAGCGCTGAGCTCAAAAAGAAATGGAATTAGCTCTGAGCAACCAATATCGGAAATATCGTTCCTGGAAACGACGCATAGAGCTCGCCACAATAGTCTTGAAATATTCGAAATGTTGGAGAGACAATGCATGAATGAGGAAAAAAAGGTAAGGATTTCAGGATTTAAGGATTTCAGGATGAAGAAAATAAGATTTTGTGATTAACAAAAGTAGTTAATGGTTATAACAATGTTAGGAAATACATTGAAAGGTGAGGTAAGGATTTAAGATCAAGAAGATTAGATTTTGTACTTAGAGTTGAATGCATGGTGACTCTGCAAGAGTTGAAGTTGGCAGTATTACTACCTAGATGTAGATGTAATCTAGACTCTGAGTAAGAAGAAAATAGCAATTTCCCAACTTCGTGTGATAGATATATGCTGCACAGCTTCAGCGTGACTGATTTGTTACTTAGTATTGTATTTTTAATGCATTAATATTAAATGTAGCTTTTGTCAAGTCTTTACATATTTTACATTGATCCAATTACCAAAAAATAGAGTGAGAGTTAAAAATATTGCAAGTACCTACAACTAGCTCTGAATTTTTTCTCATTAAATAGACAATCGTGGAATGTAAGTCTCCTACTGAAATGATAAACATCCATCAAACGTACCAGAAGTTACCCAAAGAATTCCAAGAAATAGCGAGAAGATTGTCAAATGGAAACTCTACAAAAAATTCTTCAATTCATCAATCTCGTAATGATGAGAGTGATGACGGCTCTTCGCCGCGTTCACCCAGTGGAAGGCCGTTATTTCGAACACCAAGTTACAGAATGCCGAAGACACCAAGCTTAAGTCGGCATCATCCGTCAACTTACGTTTCTCAACATACTTCACCACGTTCAAGATCCTCATCGCGCATGTCTTCGAGAACCTCGTCACCAACACGAAATTAATGTTTCTGAATAACACGACTGATCATGTATTGAAGAAGAAATATCTGTATCACTGTGCCTCCCATGCCTTTCTCACACTCCTTATAAATAGATAACTATAGTTGATAAATTGCTTGCCTGATAGTTCCACTGGTTAGTTTAAGAATATATTTTGTACTTTCTATTTGTTTAAGAATGCTTCGTCCACAACCGCGAAAACGGTATTATTCGTAATAATTAAATAACCCATTGTTGCGTTCAAATACACGCACCGACTTGAGTTATCCAAAACAAGGAAATAACCCTGTATTTTGCAGTTTTAATGAGAAAACTTATTAAAAATTTTGTAGTGTTTATAATAGTATATTTAGCTTATTGATATTTGAATAATTTCCTACACTTGTGCAATTCAAAATCACACAGGCTATAAAAAACTCGCATAAAAAAATCTGGGTTTTTTACTTCTTGCCACATTTACGTTAATTTGTTACGTGTGTCAGCGGTGTCAGCGCGAACAATTAATGACGTTATGAAATGACAAGAAAGCAGCGCTTTGATTGGAGAGATTATGACATGTTGTCATAAACCGTCATTTTCAGATGTCTGGCTTTTTCAAACAAGCAAACTTGAGCCGGTAAACATGAATTTTTACTATTCAATGTTTTGATTTCAAGTTTCTGGTCGTAAACTTTATTTTGGTAAATAGGAATGGGTAAAGCCCATATTTAACAACGTAAGACGTCAATCATTCTGTGCTCCTGTGAGTCGAAAAAATGTTAATGCGTTGTTTGATGTTTTTTATGGAAGAGGTATGTTATAAGCTCTTTTTATATACGTAAGTCAATTTTGTTTTTGATAGGTCAGTTTTGTTTTTGTGAGAATTGTTGTGAGTTGTGACTATTATCACTATCGACACAATCAAATTAACATGAAATAATCTCGACTGAAAGTATTAAATGCAGAATTCTATCACGTGATGTGCGTCAAAATTATTTATAGGCTAGAAAAGAAGCTCCCCGCTTTTTTCAGTTCTCCAGCTACTATGACTATTTCAATCTCTTTACCTTAAAAATGGGCTGTTCGAGAATTCTTTTTATATTGTGATAGATGTATCCAAGAGCGGATCCAGTATAGACACAGTATAGAAACAAACAGTAGTCCCACTCTATAGAATTTTTTGTGAAGCGCATATCGTATTACGCATGTCATTAGCATAGTGGCAGCCAGTCAATTGCTTTTTTTGGCCAATAGGAGCGCTGAGGTGGCTATCTGCAGCCACTAATCTAATTAAATATACAGCACCAAGTTGCAAAGTAGAGTGAGACTACTGTATGTTTCTATACTGTGATGTAGCACTGATTACTAAAACATTTCCATTAATAAGCTATATCTATATTCAAGCTCAGAGAGGGGTGCGCACTCCGGCCTCCCCTCTGGAACCACCCATCGTATTAACTAAATTACTTCTAAAAATTTAAAATTATGTAAAGATGTAAAAATTAATTTATCTTGTATTTGCTTACATTATCGTGAATTTATGAATTCTTTCGGTAATTTGACTCCGGTTACAAAGGTATTATTTCCACATTATAAATTGAGTCGTGATGTGATCAACAAACAAAACTCAATTACTCACTATAAAGATGTCTACATCAGCTTAACAAATAATGGAAACCACTGTGGAAGTTATTCCTAATTACACGAGTAAGTTAAAAAACTTTCTGCGTTTACTGTTTGTCAATATGTGAAAATTTCAGAGAAAATAACAGTAAGGATTAGATTATACATGTTTTATTGTTATTGTAGGCAAAAGCTTACGAGTAGTACGTATGCATGCATAAACACAGTGAAAAAGCACGGACTAAATTACAAACATTGCTAAGTTTTAAGTCTGAAGTTCCATAGATTGTATAACTGTGGCTGCTTATAGATTAGATTATTCACGAGAACCGTTGCAAATATTCGCTTTACTAATATTCGGTGTTTGTGATGGTTTCTATAACAACTCCAAGGCGACGCAAGCAGGATCTTCATACTGTTTGCCCATCAACTTTCAATTAATTTAATTGGACATATATTAGTAAGATGGGGCAATCCATCAAATTATATTGTATATTGAAGATGTCATTACTTCAATCTTTAAAGTTGTATTTTATAACACTTATACATGATGTTACTTCGCAAAATCTTACGCCAAACGAAGATTAATTAAAAACACGACAAATTATAGATAAAGAGTACAAAGTATAAATGCAAGACTTTCATGTATTCCATGCATTCTTAGACGGTAGACAGACCAGAATCATGTCATTAACTTCAGGTTTGATTCGCTTTGGATACACCTCTCCCCCCCCCCCTCCCCAATAACTATTTGTTGTGACTTGTGTGAATGATGAATATTTGGAGATACTGATGCAATGTCATGGATGTTATCGATGCTTGTCATATCCTACATTTTAGCCTATCCAAAAGATCCACAAAAAAATGACGTAATGGTGTATGAAGAAGCTGCTGCAAAGAGTCTCGATGGGCAGCGCTATAATGTCACGTGCCATCATAAAAAATCATTTGACACTGAATCTCATTTGCAATATGAAACTAAGGAAAACAACAAATTACATCATCGAAAAACACAGCATTTTGTCCGAGGAAAGGTATTGATCTGCGCTTTCAACAGTTTGATATATTCTTTTAAGGCCAGATAATCATATCCTTTAATTTCACTTCTGTGAAAAACCATAAAGATATTTTTCAACATTCCTGGATGCAAAATCTCGCTCTTGAAAAGTGCAAAAAAGCTTGTTCCCTGAGCAACTTTCGCTAAGATCTTATATTTCTCTTTCTTTTCAATAACATATACAACCCAAATATGACATATGGCCAGCTGTGTTTTTACAATAACAATCTTTACGTAAAACTCCAAGCTTTAGGCAAATGAACAGTTTGTGGTTTCATTTCAGATGGCTGGAGGCTCTAGTACAAACACATTGCTCTATGGCAACGATACCCTAACGAAAGGTTTCACTTTGCCACAAAGTCAGGATAAAATAGACGACAATAGTTTTTTATATGGATCAAATGCAGTGAAGAGATATCAAAATACAAACCCGGCTAAACGTTTAAACCATAATTTTCCTCAAGGAGAAATGACGTAAGTATTGTAATGTATGTATGACGTAAGTATTGTAATGTATGTGTGACGTAAGTATTGTAATGTATGTGATCATGACAATTTTTCGCCAAGCATTGGTCTTGTGATATTTATGACTTTTGCTTTTTTTGTAGAGATGGACAAAAAAATCGATATCGAAAGTTAGCGAAAGAAGAAGGTAAAAAAAGGTCTTTTTTATTCATAAAGAATTCTACGACTGTGTAAATAATTTAAAATCGACTATGTGTAATTTAAATCTTAAGAAGTATTCAGCTTTTTGTAAATTTAAATTCTCCCGTTTAGTTTTTGACTGAACAAGCCACACTAAATTTGTATGAAAAACTCTTTGCTCCCATTTTGAAAATATATCTTCTATAGATAAGTTACATGGTTTCATTGGCATAAATTGCAGGACAAAGAGTAAAATCATCAAACGGGACAGAAAATAATAAACAAAAAAGACAAAAGTTATTGTTTGTTACTGTCATATATAGTTACTAACAACATATACAACCATGATGAAGTCTATGACAAGTTTCTTGTTAACCGCCACTCTTCCCATCCCCTGTGTTTTGCGCCTTTTCTTTTTTTGTGCGTTTTATTTTCATCTTTTTATTTCTCTTATCTTTTAGACAATTATCTCAACAACTATTATCAGCAAAAAATACAGCAACAATCGTTAATTGCCGAGGAGAAAAGAAAGGTAGCAAAAGAGAACAATAAACGATTTTACCACCCATTATATATATAAATTAATTCGTCATTCAAAATCAAGCAATTATAGAAATAATTATGTCTGCTAAATCTAGACAACAATCTTCCATGAAAAACATTGGCGTACTATACGGATATCTGTATTTTTTTTGTTTCAGGATCTTGACATGCTCAAAAACTACAATCCATGGGGCAGACCCGGAGGAGGTGCACCTCGAGTAAGAAACTTGTTACATATACTTATTTTATTTGGTTGATTGTCGAGCCAACCTAAACAAAAGCGCTGCTTAAAGATACGAGCAAAACGGTCAGCGTCTAAAAAAGCAAACGCATCAAGTGACGCAAATTTCTTTTGATTTCTACGGAGTGGATCAGTTTACGAGCCTTGGTGACATTTCATTTGTTATGGGACCGTGAAAAATGTCCTCCAGAAATTTCGAAACTCATACATCCAGTTTTTTCACAAGTGTCATTCTGATGTCAGTCATTTCACAAGTGTCAGTCTAATTCATTGAACTAAAATACATGGAACGCTACCAAAACTTACACCCAGACACGCGTGTGTAGTTCAGTCAATTTTCACTCCGTGAGAGAATCTCGAAACACTACACACGCGAGTCTGGGTGCAATCTCGTGTGTCTGGGTGTAAGATTTGACTTTAATTATATGCTTCAGATGGCGTTCCATATATTTTAGTTCTCATTTCATACTGTATAAGTGCATGTGTGTATTAAGGCCTTTTTTAATTTCCAAGAATAGAAACCTCTGAGCGATCACAAAATGGCACATAGGCCAGTCCGAGCTTACTTTTATATATATGTATATAAGGCTGGCTAACACAATGCTAAAATGACAGAAATACAACATTTAATGGCTCTTCTCCTTCATAGGCTAATATCAGTTAATAGCTACATAAAAAAGTTGTCCATCTTATAATCCGACTATTTGTAAAACTAAATCGCCTGAGGGCAACGCATAACAGAATGGTCAATATTGAAAATAGGACTAAATCATTGCTTTAATCCATATTAACAGACAACATTATTTTTGCTCAAAACCAATATACATTTCATGTGTTATCAATGCAATGAAACCATTGATAAATATGATTCTTAACGGAATTTATATTTTTTGTTTGTTTTCTTTTATCAGATATGATAAAGTATATTTAAACTCGTTAGTTACTTGTTTTGTGAACGACTTGCAGGGATACAACAACAATCAAGTGAATGCAAACGTCACAAAAAATGTTCAAAAGTTAAAGCAAGATGTAAGTGTAGGTGATGCTGCATTGCCATTTTCCATGCATCGATTTACCACAATTTTTTGGCTTTGTGATATGTTCAGAATCGTGTAACGACTGGAGCTGGTGGTGGAGGCTCTCCAAACAGGACATTCTCGGGAAACGTTGTAACTTCTTTGAGAATCGATCCTGAGATAAGATTTCAAGCTGCACAACATAACTCCAATATTGACCCCAGGCTTGTAAGACAGTTAGCTTTTTTACTATCTTATGTTGTGTCTCATGTAGTTGTAATCAAATTTCTTATCTTACAAATGCTTTAATCTCATGTGTTGCTGCTTTCAAAGAGCAAAAATAATCATGGTATATTTGTAATCTTGTTATCAATCTCCAAGATATATTTCATAATGAAAGCGTTTTTCGCATAATCGATAAAAATTTTGTTTTTACAGCGTTACAAACCCGATTATTCATATGGTTTAGATTTGAGTAAGTTTGATATTCTTAAAAGTCAGGCCAAATTTTATATGATATATTTGTGCTGACGATTTATTCAGGTGCGCAAGTGAATGAAGTAACAAACAGAAAAATATTGGAAAAACAAAAAGAAAAGGAAGAAGATATTAAACTGGTAAGAAAAATGGCACTGCTTGTGTATTTTCATAAAAACTTTAAATTACGTATCCATTCACAATATTTACATTTGAAATTCCACAAATACAAATTACCAAATGGAGGGTCTTGAAAGAGTCAATGCGTTGAGAACCATTTTTTTGGCCAACTATTATTTAATATCAATGTGTGTAAAATAGACTCTTACTAATGTTCAATCGTGTTTTTTCAACAGATAGAAAAAACTCTCTTTCCAAGTCATAAATCAATTCTTGCTGATGAAAAAGGTTTTCTATTTGCATCATTTTTATTATCAGTGGGGAATTGTTTGTTGATAAAGATAAAAATTTCTTATGGTCTATTTTACATGAATTATACCAGTCAACTTTAGGGGCTGTATAAGACCAAATACTAGATTTATTGAAGCTTAAGATAATTCAATATTTTATCTAACAACTTACTTAGATCTCTCTGAATAATAGTGGCTTCATCCAATGAGTCAGCATCGATTCGTCTTATGTTGAATGCCAACAAGTCAAATTCGCGTAAAAACTCAAAGCCTGTTTAATATATAGTCCAAAGTTTAATAAATCATCGACTCGTTTGTCTTTAATGTATTTGGTGTATGGAATGTTTGACATTTAAAACCGGGCTTTAGCTACGTTTCACGTTTGAGCAGAAATTGATAGTTTCTGGATTTTTTTGCTAGATGTCCGTTATGAATCAATATCGTCAACGACTGTAAGTAAAATGAAACGAAAATAAACAATAGAAATAAACGCTCAGAGATGTTCAATCTCTATATACTTATATATGAATGCATTTGTACGAGTAGGATCAGTTATACGATCCTTGGGGAAAAGGTGTTGGAGGTCTACCTGAGCGAAATCAATTCGGAAAGATCTTGAAAAATAGACGACATTTGACCAATATATCAGAGGTAAGCTATACATCAAGAAATCAAAACTAAAAAAACGCTGTTAATTCACAAATATGTATAGGTATTATTCAAATATGTCAGTCAGTTTGCAATTGCTTTTATGTGTAAAATAAATAAAGAAGTGGAAGTATTAAACCACCACCAAGCATTGCAGATACGTTCATCCATTTTACTGTATTATGTATAAACTAGGAAAACAAACCCATCACCAACTACGCTCTATCCTTTTTACTTATAACGCAAACAACACTTAATGATTCTTTGTCTTCGTAAATTTTTTCCATGTTAGAAGACAAGAAGAACAATCTTAAATAAAAATTTGAAACCTGCATCTAGCCGTGTATCATATATGTTTTTCGATACTATAATTCGATTTTTGAGAAGTTTTCATGCTTTTAAGGCTTCGTTAAATCCAATTTCATTTATTCATGACCCCGTAGAAAAAATTCAAATCAATATAAAAATAGTTAAAAAAGCAAGGCAAAAAGCAGCTTGTATATATATTTACTCTTTGTAAACAGTAGAATTATACGACTTTGACAAATTCGACTTACGCTAAATCTGCTATTGAACATGAAGCATGTTTTTGTGGTGGGGTATTAGTTTTGCAAAGGTTAAGTTGCAGTCAGAAGGTTGTCAATATGAAATAAGTTTGGAGATAATTTACTTTAAGTATTGATCATAGAAACCCAACAAACTGCTCACGTATAGTAAGTTATTTAACTCTTTTACCTTATCTCCCAGTTTTTCCCTTTGTACAAGATTTTTCAAAATTAGGTTTTCTTGCACTTTACCGATTTTAAGTTCAAGAACATTTTTACAACGCATGGAGTATTTTTTCGTCACATAAAATTGTTAAAATACCTTGCCACATGAATTTCTCATAATAATTTAATTTTTAATGAACGTTTTTAGAGTGTCCCAATTAAGGAAAATATCAACCCGAAGAAAAAAATCACCTTGGTGAAAAATCCTTTTGGCCGTAAGTGCAAATCTAAAGTAATTTCTCCTTTAACTAAAAATATTAATTAAAAGAAATGTGTCCAAAGCAATCTTATTGCCAAATTAAAGTTTCTATTCTTGGCTCATTTTGCCATCTTCTTTCTAGAATCTTGCGTTAGAGAATCAAGCCCAAACGATAGTTACAATCCCTTTGGAAGACCAGGAGCTGGTGCACCACTGAAAGATGAACTAGGAAATTTAATAGTTTATACAAGTGGAAAATTAGCCAATGCCGATATGGTAAACTGTCACCTAGTCATGTAAAGCACTGGTTCACTAACCAAAAAATATATTTCAACGACTAAGACCATATTCTTTACATTATGCATGCCTTCACCAAACCTCATGTCATCCATGTTTACATATCACCTTGTATTACATCATTTTCTCCGTCTTCACTTTCCTGTTTTCTTTTCATTCGCTCTATTCAAAGGGATCTGCCCAATTAAGAAAAGATCGTGCAAGAAAAAAAGACTATCTATCGGCTTTAGGTAACTTTTTACAATCTTCTTCATTTGATTTTTATTGCTCATACATTTTTAACAATGTCATTATTTGAAGAAAAACAACAAGAAGAAATTAAGAATTTACGTTCAACACAACGAAGCAACATGCTGAACTCCGTAAGTTTTATGGTCATTAGTATAGCTTTTCTGCATGAAGAGCGGCACTAATTTATTTGGAAAGGTTGACCTAGCTATACAACCGTCGTCTGAGCTTATATTTGCCATTTATTATAAGAAACGCTGCATGTGTTTGCGCGCAACCATTAGTTGCACTAAATACTGTCGCCTCCGTCTATTTAAGGCTAATCCAGGTGTTGTAAGTTGGTTGTGTCAAGGGAAAGTTGGACAGCCAGAATACGATTCTCTGACTAACAAAATGAAATCAAATGCGAAAGCTACATCAGACGTTACTCGAGAGGTTCGTAATTACTTCATTTCTGCTGCAAAATTAAGTTGAAATATTTAATATATGATGTAATCTTTTGTAGAAACTTCAAATTCGTCGATATATCAACCAAAACAGCAAGCGTTATTGCGAAGATTTACAAGAAATGGCAAATGAAAGAAACAGAAGAAGACAAAACGAAAGAGCACAACAAAGAGAATTATCGTTTCATGTAAGTTTATTTATGTGACCATTTTTGAGGTATGAAGTATGTAGTAACATTTGTTGAGGTATTTTTCAATAAATGGTTTCCATCGTGACAAAGTTTTCCTCGTGACAAAGTTGTTTCTATGAAACTACAAAATATATTCTCATGATAAACATTAAGTAATTTAGTAAATTGGCTTAAAAAATTTGCTGATTGTAGTACAACGTCCGAGAAATTGTGATTTGTTAGAATGGCTGTTTTTTATGCAATAATGTAGTGGATAATTTATTATATTTGAACGATAGCACATAAAGACAATGAACGATGTTTGGGGGCGTCCTGGTGGTGGAGCTCCCGTAACTAAAGCAAAAGATCAAATCATATCACCAAGAAAACATTCAGGTTTGTTTTGATAAAAGATTTTTTTGTTGGTTTTAAGCCTTTATGCTTTAGTTTTTAATTGACATTTTTAACGTATTCATAGATATGTCGCTATATAGGCCACTTTTTTAAAAAGTCTTTTTTTTCAAAATGTGTTTCTATTGATCAAAACTTACCTACGATAAAGAAGAGTGCTAAGAACTTACATTGAAACCTTTGGACAATAACTTTTGCACTAATCTCTTTGGAGGCGGTGGGGGGTGGGGTGGGGGATATTCATTAATAAATTCATATATGCATGTGATAATCCTTAAAAAAAGGAATTTAACTGAATTTAACACGAAAAAACATGCTCATAAACATATGTTTTAGACCAATGTTGCATAAACGTGTTTTGCTACAAAATTCATCGCTCATTTTCATTATAGAGCAACTCCTTCCGACTACAAGATCGAATTTTCGATGAGATAGCATACTCCTCAATCAATAGAGATTCTGGGAGTGGGAAGTGATATGTTTCTGTAAAAACAATCAAGTGTTCTCATATTTTAAAAGTTTGAAAGAAAAATTGCTTGAATTCAGGTGTACTCTTAATTCTTTATACGCTAAGGGAGGAGGGATGGTCTCAGAGTTGCATCACTGGACTTTTAAAAAATCAGTTTTGGTGGAAAAAGAGTTTGTTCACTGATATCTTGATTTAATTCAATGCATGTTTTTCTTGAAGATTCAAGCAAGTACCGTACCCCCTGACCCTAACCAAGTGCAGTACCCCTCTGACCCTAACCAAGTGCAGTACCCTCTAACCCTCCACATCCTGCCTGAGTAATAATAATGTAGTGAAAGGTGAAAAACAACAATACTTTATAATACTAAAGTTAAAAAAGTCACAGGGCAGAGTAATTTGAAACAAACATTTTTTATTTATAACGAAAACTCAAACAGCAGTTCAGTTTAATTATTTTCAAAAAAGCAGAAAACAAGATACATAAAATTTACGAAACAGCGTTTATTCATATTTTGGTCTTTCATCCTTTAGCTTGGAATAATCAAATGTTGAGTAGAACTGAAATATAAATTGAAACAATAAAAGTGAAATTATGCTCCAAGATCTGATTTTCACAGCTATCTCGTGTTTGACAGAATAATATAAGTCCATTACCTTTTTTTTCTGATTGTGTGCAACAGTGTTCCATGGAAGATTTTCCCGTTTGTTGTACCAACTGAAATTAAAACATCATAGAACAAGCACACTTGCAAGGAATCTTCAGCACATTAAAATGTTCATTATTTGAAATGTTCATTTACTTACGCAGCATCAGGATGTTGGAAGGCCATCCTAAACAAGTATCCTACGCTAAGGAAACATCCAAACACAACACATGCTGTCACAGGATAAAGCTAAATAATATATCTTATCTTCAGTTTTGAATACAAAACAGAGAGTGAAATATGCTTAAAGTTGAAAATTATTGATTCATTATGACTACTAAAATCTGCAAGAAAACTATGCCACTTCATCAAGCAAACCATTTTCTAAAGAAAATCTTCTATTGAGCTTTTGTATAAGAGACAAAAATCTAAGAATAATTTGAGACTGTCTTTTTCCTATGCATGATTCAAAAACAGTATAAAACTAACAATTAAAAAACAACAAAGCATTTAACAAGTTGTAAAGTAGCATTATTTGTAACCAATGCTTATGACTACAATTTACAATTGATCAATGATCATAGTTCATCATAAAACATTAATGATTTTTCCCTAGTGCTGTGACTGCTGTCCAATAGAATATTTTCCATACTATGTAACTGTGCCAGTGTACTTTTAGTTCATACTACATTGAAAATTCCCAATTACACAATGCATAGCCTGTGACATTATGAAACGACTTTCCCACAATTCAAAAATAAATTTTCGTTCAATAGTCATTGACTTGTTTCAAATCTAATATTATTAATATGCACGTTACAGCTAAATTATTCCTTGCATAGCGATTTTATATGAACACAGTATTCACTTATTTAGGTTTTTTGTATAAACTATTTTTATACTCTCCATGGAATTTATGGAAATATTCTATAATAAAAATTTCGTCACTACATTCATGTAAAAACTTTTTAATTGTTTAAATGTATGAGACAATTCTTACCTCTTTGTTTTTCTTCAATATAGACAACATTTTTGCTGAAACTTCGGGATGTTTTAACCCTTGATACAAAAGGGAAATTATTGAACAGGCAAATAAAAATGGCGAACGCCAATAAATGGTTTCAATTGAAAACGTCATGTAATACGTAGTATAGGTAACAGCGAATGGGCAAAAAGCGGATGACCGGTGAAGATCGGGGGAAAAAAGGCGGGTGAAGAACTAACAATAGTGCTGGTAAAACCCAGTTTCAACAATCCTGCATGAACTGGGATTGTTCACTTGGAATATACTTCTTGAAAGCAGAAAATAAGGAAGACTGCAGATACTGGTGTAAAACTCATTGGGAAAAAAATAAGGGGGTTAAGTTGTCGATCGCGCTGTGAAAAGTTCTTAGCTTTTTTAATACCTAGGACTAGGTTATATGTACATTAGAAATACGTGAAAAAACGTCAACTAAACTCACTAACTTTATATTGCATTCGACAATTTTTTCTTGGTGAATGTAGATTTTCACTCAACTTAATCTTTCTAGTTGTTCAGTCAGTTTCACAGTAACTATTGCCTGAATCAATCTGGAACCACATGGGTACTTGCACCTTAAATATTCGTATACTATGACTTAATGCTAGCAGCTTGTACAAGGAAAAGAAAATTTTACGATGTTGTAATTCAAAGGAGCTCATTGAGTTGTCGTTTGAAATCAAAGACACGAAAATCAAAGTATGAGCTGTGTACGAGGTCTTACTTCTCTAATCTCTACATTTGTCGTGTAAAGCGAAACTTGTCAAGTCAAACATCATGTGTGTAATTAATACATAAAGATAACAGTTTAACCCTTTAGACTCGTCACAAAGTATCAATAACATCAAAAGATGATTCGAAAACGTAAACGCTATTTGCGGGTTGCACCGCGGTCTACGGACTTGAGCATGCAGTTAATGTCCAACCACAATTACTGAATTCGGATAACATTTTTACAAACACTATTTTGAGTGCAACAGAGTGGAAGCCACTGTTACAAATTAAACGACTGGTGTTGTAACCAAACAACAAACCGGTGAACTCGGCCCATGATGTAAAAATCCTATACAACTCATTCCTTTTCAGGAAAGACAGCAATGTCAAGTTGATCATTATTAAAATGCATTATCCATATTTTTGAAGTCTTGTACGGTCGATTATTTTTTTTGAAACATAAATTCTTGAAGCTTGAACTTAAAGATTTACTAGCAGAGATATTTTCATACACTGTCACAAGATATTACTATTAAACATTCTTTAAGCAAAATTACACATAAATAAAGTTAAATAAAATTTGGTATGAGAGTGAAAATAATACAGTAAAGAAATTATTACATGAACAACTCAAAATAGTAGCTACATGAGAAATTTTCGAAAAATATTCTTGCTTTAAAAGGATAAGTTCATATTGTTAAATATTTACAATCTTTGTACATACAATGACGAATTTTGTTGTAACGCATTTCAATGACAATACCATGAATACATTAGACAAGTGAAAAAAATCCAATTCTTACTTGTGTGGATTAACATTTGAGTTCTTTTGTGTGATATTAATCGTCGATATTTGGCCTATCAGTTTTCAATGTTTTGAAGTCCAATGACGGAGAATACAGCTAAATTATTATAGAAAATGTGTTTTTTTCACGTTTAACAGTTCAATTATTCAAATATATATACTTTCTTTATCAATTAAAGCAATGCAGCTGTTTACCTTTATTTGTTCTGTTGGCTTGACATTCAGCCATGGCGTTGGATTGTTTGTCTTATCAAATCTGCACAGAATGAAAAAACAGGTATAAGCCGATTGGCTATAAGCTCTTCTTAAACATGTCATAGTTGAGTGTTTAAGATGGTATAGTGTAATCATTGGCAAGAGACCACACATCGAATTTCATGTAAAAAACTTTAGAACATGTTCTTACATGGCATCTGGAGATGTTAAGGCAGACCTGATTAACATGACAACACCAAGTGTAGAAGCAAATCCAGCAGCTGTCAGTACTGGAATTATCTAAGAAAAATGAACAAATTGTTCGTCGATGAGTAAAACATTTTCTTAAAACTTAGAGAGTTGAGTAGCTATGTATAAACAAGCACAATTGTATCATTTCCGCATTTCACACACACACACAGTCCCCAGCTTTTATAATTGTCTCAGTATTCTACATTTACATAAGTTTGTATTTGGCCGCAACCCTCGATTATTTCGACGGATAATCCATCAAATGTTTCAATAAATTCGCAAGAGTCGTATCGTAGAAGTAATAAATTGTATATGATGTACCTTTACGTTTACAAGACTATTATTTTGAAATTTGCCCATCGTTTCACTTTCCGAGATAAGTATAAACGATAATTTATGGCAGGCTAAATTGGATCATTTCGCTTAAAGCTATCAATCAAAAATGAATTTTTGAAAACTAAAGCCCACGACACATAAATCATCGCATTAAAAAACAACCATTTGTTTTCATATATGACATAAATACTATTATAAATGGGCTAAAATAGAAATTGGAGAAATCAAGAAATCTAAAGCCTATTATCATCATTCTTGCAATATACGATACCACATTTCCTACCCTTATATAGTATTCTTAATATGTCTTATGTTTTTAATGATGTTGCAGTTATTAGCTATTAACCTTACGACCGTGTAGTATATACATACAACTTTTAACTCAGACTCATTTGTTTCCAACGATTGTATGAATTTAATTCATGACTCTTAGTTATTTAGTTCTTACTTCGGCTACTTGCCTCTTTATTCTTTATCATGAATCTTATGAATGACATTTTTAATCTTGTATTTCTTTTCTGTGTGAACAGTACTGAACGAAGTCTCACAAGAAATGATACAAAATTATAGGACTCCACGCATTTGTAAAGAATAATTTTATGACGTATCTCCTACGACCAAAATTCTATCGGTACAAAAGCATGTCAGACCTCACGTTCAGAAATAATATCTTAATTTGAAATTCTAAAAAGTTTCAAACGTGCGACCTGTCATATGAGGTTGAATTTATTAGCGTACATAGGCTCGTGTATGTATAATTGAATCTATTTACAAAGATACCGTAATAAACCCGAATTTTTAATATTTTATGTATCTCGCCTTCATGTCAGTCATTACTATTTCAAATTTTGAGGAGATTCAATTGTTAATGCAGTCCTAGATCCAGATCATCATACCCACTTATCGTAAGAAAATCAAAGATTGGCGTTATGCAGAGAATGCCTTGACGCCACTATGCACTTGTGAATAAAAATGTAAACAAAACATAATTAGTATTGGCCGTGTGTGGGAAGGAGAAATTAGAAAATCATGACGTACAGTTCAGCATTGAGCTAAATTTTGTTATAAGTTACAACAGCTCATTCGCCTATATATTTCAAAACAATTTTAAATTTATTGAAGTCTGTGGAAATTGAGCTATAAAAATTTCTTTTTGCTTAACGCTGGATTGCTAATCAAACTCAACAAAATATTTGAAAATATTTCATTGGATCTAATCAAATCCTATTATGCGAAACGTAAACTATTTCAGTGAATTTTGTCCTTTATGTTTTATTAGCCGGAATCTAGGAGGTTTTATTTTCAGTCAATAACGAACCCTGCGTGACCCTACAGTTTATATTGGCTCATATGACTATGGGTCAATTAGTTTTTCTTCTTAATCGAAGTTCTTCTGTATAATTTACAGCCCACTACTAATGACGTCATTAATAGAGTAAAAAAACGTCAAATGTTCGAATGATTTCTTTACAAAGATTGCATTTGCATAACCACAAACAAGCGGGCTTTCACCATTTGGGTGAAACAAAAATTTCAAAGTTGCATCGCAGGTTTTAGAGGTAGTTCATTTCTAAATTTACTAATCTCGTTCATAAGATACTCAGTGAAATGAACCATAAATCAAGAAACTTGCAACTGAGATCATTCACTGGGACATTGAGATGCTCTTTTTGTTTAAAAATATGCTTGGGCTTTTTCAGAAAAAAGCAAAGAAAATAATGTAAAATTAACGTGGCTTTAAATATAACAAAAGAATATTAGTATTCAGCAAGATTTTATAAGGTAGCAAGTAGTCCACAACTGGACGCTTTGCTGTTCCTTATTAAAACATGATTTGAGTTGCGCGAATGTCTTAACTGCAGCGGTTAATGGTTTGAAATAACAAGACTTTTTGTCGCTGTAGCCCAACGAGAAAGCTCATTGTTGTGATCATACAACTATTTAACTCTTTTGTTCAGTGATAGCACCTCAACATCATCAGCGGCAGACATGTAGATAAAAAGTTCAGTTTTGAGACCATTTATAACAACATTGTTGTCAAGAAGGGGAATCAAGTTGACAGGGCCTCACCCAAATGGATGGCTATGGCAAGCTCAGCCTTCAGACTAATCCATAGTAAATTAGATAGTGAAAGTGATTGTGAAACTTAAATTTGAGGACCAACATTAACATTGCTTCTTCTCGGATTTTTTTATTAAATCTTTGAACGGCTAAAGTAACGGATAATATTTAAGCTTTTCACTTTCATCACCAGCTGTATGACCTTGGCATTTGGCATGCAGGTTAGATACTGCTATAACAGTTTAGTCTTGTACAGCTTTGACCAAACGGTCGTACCCATACGCTGCTAAACTCGAGAATGTGTGGGATGAAAAATAAGTCCAACGTGATCAATTACTTATTAACAGATGCATCCTCCTATATACTACAATTCACAACTAAACACTGGTGTACTTGTCATGATTTACTATTGTTTATAAAATTATAATCATCACGAACACGAAAATTTTTTATCTTTTCAGCAACGTTTCAGAGACACGTAACAGCCATTTTCCCCCACGCACCAAGTGAAATTATACCTGGTGGTGGTTTCAGATAACTTGAGTGTATTTGAAGTGCAAATGTGAATCATATTGGTACTAATCTCTCTTCACGCTCTTGCTCCTCGCCATTTTAATCGCTACAATTATCAGAATGAGGTTTGGCAGTCATAATGACAAATTCATTGCTCAAAATAACAAGTTAGGGAAGATTAAACAGCGCGAGTCGTAGTAAGTGAATAAAGTATCCAGCTCAATAGGGGGGGGGAGGAGAGTAATTTATACATGCATGTTATAATTCCTAACTGAAAACAACTGATTTCAAAGGAACTTAATTCATGAAAAGGAACATGCAGGTATGAATAATACCACCCTCTTCACGCAATTATTGTGCTGATGACGTCATTGATAAATATGCATGTGAATGTAAACTTAATGAAAACAACAGCAGAATATTGTGGAGTATAAATTAAACACTCTATTTTTCATTATCTGTATCTTTATAATTATTATAGCATTTTCTGTTTTTTCTACATGGGTTTTGCTTTTGGATTTCTGTAGAGCATACAAAATAACCAAAAATTGTAAAGTTTATTGAAAAATCTGATGGAGTTTTTTGTAAGTTATAGTACTTTTTTTTTTATTTTAAGATTTTCTACAAAGGTACGTGTTTATATTGACGCATTTTGTTTGGTAAAATGTACGTGTCAAATTGTACCTTTTTTGCATGAATCGTCTGAACAAAAAAAGATGAAAACCATGAATAAGTTGCTTTGTGATAGCTAATATCACCGGTTTTCATAAGTTAGTTTAGAGAAAGTTGCCGTCGAAGTTACAAATGTTATTGGGAAAAACGAGTTTCTAACTTTTTGTTACCACTAAACTCGTACATTTTGTAGCAGAATTGAGTTTCGCAATTTTAAACAAGAAGGCAAAAGATTATTTATGTTTTGATGACATGAAGTAAACGTAAAACAAGAGGACTGTCGTCTGTACTCTGGGAAAACTTGCCCTCGTAAATAAATGTGATTTTAATCGAATTTAAAAGGAAAATTTAAGAAGCAAGCTGATGAAATTTCTTCTGTCGACCAGAATAAAATGTGTATGGGAAGAAAGGCCGGCGGACAACTTCCCCATCGCCCATTGGCCAAGAACGTTTGCTGTAACTCGCCAGTTCAGGATGATCAATTGATCATCCTAACTAGACTAATCATACATTCGTTGATCGTTACCAATTAAATAGCCATCAGGAGTCTGATGGGGTGACAGAAGTCCTGAACATAGTTTTGTCACTCTTCGTACAGATCAAGCGACTAACTGATGTGGCCGTTGATCGTCAATCGATCAAGCTATCCGATTGTCTTGCAGCATTGCTATTAAACGTGCAAATCTCGCTTATTTACCAGTTCAGGAAAACATAAACACAAAAATTTTTTTTAAATAGTGTCGATGTGAAAAGCGACAAGAAATAAAAGGTCGCACAACACAGAGTACGACTTCTCTCAAGCGCTTCTTATAGAAAGTGATGACAATGAAGTCAGAAGCATATATGGATTATCTGTTACGGATGAAAGTGCTTAAAGGAATTCCAACCATCATTGAGATGCTATATTATTATTGAACATGATTACACGGATTAGTTTCAAAAGTAATTACGATCACTGTAAATAAATGCGGTTTTTTCTCTCAATTTTATGTAAATGATGGATTAATGAAAATTTCAGACAATAGAAAGCATGATATATTCACATATATGCACACACATATATAAATATTTCTATATGTAGAATATTTTGAAATTTTTCTAAGAATAAATGAGAGAAAGACTTGGTTATAAAATAAGCTGAAAAAAATTACGAAGAAAATTTATAGCTTGCTAGTGAATCTATATTCATAAGATGCAGGAATTTTTACATTCAAGTGAATGTATGTAAAAAACTTCGATCGCTATTCATTATCTATGTCAATGTGCATATCTCTACAAATCTTTTAATTTACTTTTTGCCTTTTTAGTCTTTCTTTTTTATTTGACAAATTTATGCTAAAGCGAATATTTGTAACTCGCCGTAAATATATGTCAATACGAATAATTGCTTCTTAATTTTTGAATCGAACATGCATCGGGCTTCACCAAAAACGTACGTGGCTTTGAAGGGTACTGGTTAAGCCTTGTAAGATCATTAAAAAGCAAATTATGGGCAAATTTTCAAGTTATTTAAACTTGAACACTGAAGGATGTCATCAACAGGTTTTCTGCCTACAAAACTTCCAGTATACTTGTTGCAAAATTTTCCAAGTCTGGATGTAATATCAACTAATATCAACTTAAAAATTTGAATTTCAAACCGGCGAGACCTTATACGAGTCAAGTGGGTAAGTATGTTTAAAATGTAGCTAAGTGTACCAGAGTAACCAGATATTGCAGTTACGTATAGCACATTTATTCATTTTGTCTTTATATGATTGTATCTACATTTTTTCTCACTATGGACAATAAAATAACTGCAACCTATAGTAAGACCAATGTCCCTGCGTTGAAATAAAGGTAATTACGGCGTAGACTATAAGCTCTTTGCTCTCCTGCTGTTGACGGAGTGACCAGAGTCTTATCGTTTTTCTCAAAAAATTTCAGTTTAATAGGGGAAAAAATTTAAGATATTTTTTATCTTTTATAGTTGGCAGGTGTGCCCCAAGTATTAATTCACATTTCATACACGATCAGTAATACATTGTTTTAGCTTGCCGCTTCCACTTGCAGGAAATATTGTACGTCTTGCTTGAAATCATTTAAGATTTTTTTATGTACGTTTTAGCAAGAAATATTCTTCTAAAAATACACATAGATCGCGCTCTGCATAGAGCCCCATTGATTTTTTGGTTATCAAAAGCCGTCAGCTTCTTTTGATTAAAAATTTTTTTCATCTCTTAGCAGTTAATTTTTTGGCCGAATTCGTTTGAAAGCGTGCAGTGAGTAAGACATGTTATTTTGATTGATTGACTCTACTGATCTATCGGCGAACCATATTTTGCTTAATGCATATTTATAGATTGATTATTGGCTCCTGTTTCCTGTTTTGCAGTCACATTCATTATCACTATTTTGATTTTGATTCGTTGACACAAATATGGCAGTACCATTTCAGCATTTCATGGTGTACAAAGTGCAGTTCAGTACTGGGGCATCTCACAACATAGATCCTGCATGCATACTCAGCTTTTTTGTTGTCAATTTTCTGCGAGGGTCAGTGTCTTACTAATTTGAAAATTTAAATTTGAACTCATGTGTAAATAAAGAGTTAGGTTTCTTCTAGACACTAAAAATTCACAAAATTCTATTATTGAGTAATTTGTCTGCATTTAAATATCCCTCGTTATCTCTAAGACGAAATCCCTAAATCTTGGGCTAAATGCCGCAGTGATCGTTCAAAATGCAAATAATTGTAACTTGATGCCTTGAAAGCTCACTCTTTTACTTAAAAGCCTTAAGTAATTATTTATTGTTCGAAAAATTTTAGCGTCTTATCAGTGGTGTCGACTTACTCTCAAAATAGTTGCTGCGTTCTGTTTGTCTAATGCGCAGCACTGTTCATTTTTTCACAAGAAATAGCTTTTGTATAACATATTGATCTATAAATCGAAGACTTATCTATAACAAGTTAGTCATATCCATTGTACAAAATAACTGTAAAACGATAGAAATAAAACCTATTCCCTGTAACATCATGACAAAGTGCTAACTGCGGTAGACTATGATAAACAAATAATGTTCCGCGGTATGTTATCTGTCATAGCGAGCTGTCAAGTTAAAGCAAAGTACGAGGCTTAAAGTTTTTTGGCTTTTCAAAATAAAGACAGCCGTCAAAAATGTATAATTAGCACCAAAGTGACCAGCCAATCATCGTTATTCTAGCTAATAGGCCTTAATTCTGATTGGTGAGTAAGCTGAAATATTTTTCAGACATTAGGCCATGATACGGTGTATGGCCACTTGAAGTAGTTTAATATCATGGGGCTAACAATAATCCCCTTAAAATCTTGCAAACGTTCGTCATGTGCACGTTGTCAGTAATCGTGTTCTGTACTTTCGTCGTTCTTGGGAGCTCCAGAGGTAAGTTAAGTTGACATAAAAGTCCTTTTACAGTTATAATAGCTGCCACTAATATTAAGTTTATTCTCGTGTTTGTCTATGTTGTATTTCCTATTTCACGCGTCAATAAGGATATATTTTGGTTGTTCACCTCTGAATTCTCTTTGAAACGAGCCGAAATTAAGGAATATTAACAACGATAATTGTGTATTCAAAATATTATCGGTATAGAAATGGGAAGTTTACCGTTTCATTTATATCAAACTGTAAGCTTATTTGAGTCGTCAAGTTTGTTAGAATTCGCAGTTGTTTCCGGTAGCATTGTGGTTTCTTCTATTGTGTATTTTATTACTTATATTATGTTCGTCCCTCCTAGTTTTGTGTTACCCGCAAACATTGTCATCCCATTATTCTTTCATATTAAATAGGAAAACCTTACAATCCCAAATGTTGCGAAAATATTGGGCGATTTCGAGACTGTCGGCGAGCCTGCAAGAAGGTTTGTGACTCAACTTTATCGTAATCTTTGTGATATGTGTTATCATTTTTTTGTATATCTTCTTGAAATTGTTCCGAATTCATTACCTACGCAATTTAGCTTTAAAATTACTTCTTTAAATTAATGAAGTAGTTGTAAAAAATGTGCACAAATTGGTGTACATAAATTGCTTCATGTTTCCATTTCGCTGATAATGGCGCTTGTTGACTTTAGACTGCCCTCTTATAGAATAGTCGAGAAAAGATTTAGTATTTCTGACTGTAAACACTGCGTTGTGATTATGCTTTGCTTTTAATGGTTTAGGCATGGAATGAACGCAATTCTGGAAAGAAGCTAGAGCTTGCTCTAAGTTTACCCAAGTCGTGCCCTTCACATCTGGTAAGTATATAAAAATTATACAATCAGTGTTTTCTATATTAGCTCAGTTTCAGCTGTGCATTGTTTGATATTGACGTTTTACAATGATTGTCATTTCATAATTTTGCAGATTTCTCTGTGGCAGTGTTTAAACTCATCCATTAAAGGTATAGTCTTGTTCCATAATAGCATGCTGTGACGGGCCGGCCCTGGCGCTGTTACGCCAAACGTTTTACAAACAACATATTAGCAGAAAATAATGGGTCAATTATACACGAGAAAATCATCTGATCTTTTAAGCGATATTACAAATGTTGGAGATTTCACGATATTTGTCTTAAAACTTCAAATGTTCCAACAATGAAACGTGTTAATCATGATGCTGGCGTGACTCGCATGTGTTTAACCCAATTTCGGCTTTTGTTTCATGATTTTAGCAAGTAAACGTTACTTGATTTAGTGTTATTGTGTCATTTTAAAAATAGGCCTACACTGTACATGTCTGATGGGGAAGCAATTGGAAAGACTGTAAACGTTTATTTGATCATTATATGTTGTGTGGGTTAAATGTTTGGTGAACTTTAATGGTGATTTAATTGCTTCATACATTATTTCGTAAAAATCATTTTAGTACAAGATCATCTAGATCAAGGTGTTAAAGTTTTGAAAGTTTGCATTGTTTATTTCGACTTTGCATTTAGTAACAGTGTCGTTGCCTTGGTCGTTCGCAACTGTAGATATATCTATGAATATTTAGGACTTTTGTTTAGATGCCGGCTGCTACACGCGGCTTCAGTTTGCATTGGAATTAATAGGCTGATTTTGAGCGCGGGTTCATGAGTTTTTTTCTGTTTGTTCATCTTAAGTGCAGATATTTATGGCGCATTACTTCTAATTCCTATATTCCTACTCAATTCATTTTACTATTGTGCATCGGTTGACTTCGTAATTTGCAACGTGCGCTCTTTGTATAGACAGATGTGTAAAAAAATAATATGCTGGCTTCGGCGGTTTTGCAAAAGTACTGAATAACTTATCTCGATAACGCCTGGTTTATTTCTTTCTCCTCTACAAGTGTCATTAGTCTCATGATATTTATCATTAGGAAAAGTTACAAGCATTCTTAAATGACTAATTATTGCCTTGTATGAAGTATATTTCAGACAATGCCTTAGTTGGAGTCAAGCCTCGTGCTGTGCCGCAGTTAAAAATCTCTTAAATGAACTGTGAATGACATGCTGTTTTAAGAATGAATCAGTGCCTTTGCAATTTATAGCAAATTACTTTATCTGAGGGATTTAACTTTGATGTTTCTAAGGTGTACATATTTCAAGGGATTTTGTCTATGTTATATCCTGTATGTCATTTCCTATTTACACCTAAAAAGCTTTAATTCCTGATCCTCAAGAATTTTTGAAGTTTTATATCTGATTTAGCTGATGATTGATAAAGACAAGATTGATCAAAAATATGATTTTTTCATCCATTTTAATTTGTTAATATATAAATATAAGCACTGTCATAGGCAGCCAAGTAAAATTACCAGAGAACTTTTCCAATGATGTCTGTTGAATTAGTTGATGTTTTGATGTTATGTTTTGATGCTATGTATGCTTAAGGTGTTAATGTGATAAATATGGTGTTAGTTTACTTTACATCTTTGTGGCTCCATTTTGTACTTTTCTCATCACATTTTGAACATTTTTTTGCCATTTTCATATTTTGTAGGATTTGAACTCTACACGCATCCCAATTTATTAAAAGGAGATGGAAGAAGTTGCTGTCTCCTTGCAATTGGTGCATCCTGTAGACAGTCCTGTTTCACAAGTACAAACCTAGATAATATTAGGAAAACCTGCGAAGAAGATTATGAGGTTTGTAAAATTTTGTTTTATTATTGAGTGCTGGGTTTTCATGGCAATTTAGATAAAATTGATAACAAGCTACTTGTTTCCTTGCTCCATAACTTTTTGCCCTATTGCTCCTTGTGAGAACACTGTCATACAAATGTAGTGTACTGCTCAAGATTAATGTTTACAACAAAAGACCTAAAAGTAGCCATTTACCACAATTTAATATATATATTTTTTAACTAAAAAGTTTTTATCATACCTTGAATTGAGAAAAAAATGAAGTGTTGCTTAGTGGCTATTATGCTTGTGAATGAAAGCAAAATGCTATTACAAATATTTTGCACTGCTTATTACTGCGATTGATCTAATAAATGCTTGTAACCTTTAATTAATTCTAGGGGGTGTTAAATAGGTAAGCGTTAAATAGGTGAGCGGCATTTAATAGAGAGGCGTTATCAATTTTATTATCTTAGTTTAAACAAATGAAATGAAACTAAGACTGAATATAAGGTTTCTTATTCCAATGAACAAGTCACCATAATGATGTTATTGGAATAGTACTGGTAATAGTGTAGATGAGGGTGTTTATTTGAGACAAGCCATATATTAGAGACATTGCATTTATTAGAGACAAGACATCTAGTAGAGACAAGACATCTATTAGAGACAAGACATCTATTAGAGACAAGACATCTATTAGAGACAAGCCATCTACTAGAGACAAGCCATCTACTAGAGACAAGACATCTATTAGAGACAAGACATCTACTAGAGACAAGCCATCTACTAGAGACAATACATCTACTAGAGACAAGCCATCTACTAGAGACAATACATCTACTAGAGGCAAGACATCTACTAAAGACAAGACATATATTAGAGACAAGACATCTACTGGAGACAAGACATATACTGAAGACAAGGCATCTTTTAAAGACAAGGTGTCTATTAAAGACAAGGCATCTATTACACAAAGGTTCCATTAGATGGATGCTTCTCCCAGAGAGAGGTGTCTAATACAAACTCATGCTACACCAGGGGTATGTTTAATACAAAGCATTTCTTTGATAGTTGGCATTTATTGGATCATTTACGGTACTTCTTTTTATTCTACTTTTCATGTTCATTTTTTTGTCATCTAGGAATCTCTTCTTCGTTGTGTTGAAAGAAATCATGGTATTTTACTATTTGTAGCATAGTGTTTATGTGATTTTTCGAGATAGCACACCAAAGTTTGTCAGTAAACAATTGGCTTCAACGTATGTATCTTTTTGCACTTAGCTAGCAAAAAGTGTTGTGTTGCTACAAAGAAAAGTTGTGAAAGGGCATGCAAGAGGGTAAGTTTTTTTGTGCAATGTAAATATTAATTTCAATCAACCAGTCTACTAGTTTGGTGAATATTGCATAAGACTTCAAAACTCACATGTAAAAGAGTTTTTCACTAAACATTACATTCTACTAACATATTTTTAGGTTTTTGCATCACACAAACATCCTAGTCGACACAAGTTAATGAAACTACAAAAGTCTTGTGGATGGAAACATAACCATGTTTATAATTGTGTTAGCAATCTAACATTGACAACTGAAGTCACTGGTAAATCATAACCTTTCCATGTTTTTTAGTCTGTTTTTCTATTTTTATATCCCATCCAAAAAATGTAATGACCGGCTAAGATTAATCTTCATGTTTTTACAACATATTTGTAGACCACAAATGTTGTCAGACTTTGCAAAACAACTTGTATTGTCAGAAAGTTTGTAGAGAAGTGAGTTATTTCATTTGTACATTCTTTGCTGTGAGGGCAGATTGAGTGCATGAATTTGCCTGATGATGGCTTATTATGTGAAACACAAAGTCATTCTTAATTCATGCAATATGTAAATATTACATTAATAATTAAAGAATTAAGCTTAATTCCTATAGATAATGGCATCTCAAAGCTCTATCAAGGAAAGAATTTCTATGTTTGGGAAAGTTTGCAAGTTGCCATTTCATGTAAGTTTTCCATAGGTGTTTGTTTACCGCAATGTGTTAATTAACAGTGTGTTGTTTGCAATTTCCTCATTGTTTTGGCTAAAATATAAGGAATTGTTTATCATTTTTTCATACCATGTGCAAAAAAGTTATACATTGAAATTATTACTAGCATGCCAATTGAAATTATTTGTATTATAATAACAATACGATGTTTTATGTATACTACTGCTACATCGCATTAGTAATAGATTTGAATGATATATTATGTATGTATGTATATATGGCATGTCATTTGTTTTTATTTTAGAACCCAATATGGAAATGCTTTCTTATTCACACCAGTATGTATAAAATAGAAATTATTGTTTGATTTATGACACATGTGTAGGTATATGCATTCAAATTGATTTGGTGTCTTACATACATAGGTTCGCCAAACACCAACAAACCAAGCCAAGGTATGAAATGTATACAATTATCCAATCGCAGGAAAGAATGAATTATTAAAACATACAACTTAAAAAAAATTACAATAGTTTAACCAAAGAGAGGAGAAAGCTCTCAAATAGGAGATAGCTAACATACTTGTTCTATTTGCAAATCTTGAGACAATTTTTCCCAATGTGTAAACAAGAAAATGTGTTTTTGCTCATCAAAATTCAACAAAGTATGCAAAGTTCACAATTTGGTTTTTTTGTGGGAGGAGATTTAGTCAAATTGAAAACCAACTCATTGTATACAATTTCCACCCCCCCTTTTTTATGGGAGGAGATTTAGTCTATAATCACCCCCCCCCCAAGTAATATTGATGTGTATAGCTTCATTATATTTACTATTTTAGAGGAACGTAAAGTGGATGTGAGGTTACATTGTTGTTTGAATGCCAAAACAGAGGAATGCTTTAATTTGTGCATAAAAGCCTTTACTGATGAACCAATTGATAATAACAACCAGTTCAGGAGGAAATGTGCATATGAACCAAAAGAGGTTTGTATATTGTAAATATAATATTTTTTTCTGTTTGTGAATGTTCTTACTGTGGAATTTTTAATTTTAGAATTCAATGATGACATGTATTGCTGATGGTAAGAAGCCATAAATTTGTTTACATTCTAACATAATTCTGATTTTCAATCCTTTATTTTCTGTAGTTTCTCAACCTTGTCACATTGGATGTCATGGCCTTGGTTTTTGCACAAATTTCAACTACAGGTGTTTCTTATATAACACTCATGACATGTTTTATTGTCATTGTAAACTTATTTGCTTTATTCAAGAAGAATTTTTGTAAATAAAATTCTTAGATTATTTATAAGTTGTTGATAACTTTAATTGATAATTTTTAGGCACACCGAATTATTCAGGAGTTGTAGAATTGAGAAAGATAATGCTGCTAAATCTGATTATGAAAATTGGGTGAAAAAACAAAGTGTAGAGATCCATTCTATGGACATAATTCCAGTGAAAAACATCAGCAAATGTTTGCCTTTTTGGAAGGTACGAAATATGCATTACAGTATGTATGTGTGTTTGTCCCAGGTTGTAAAATTGCTGAGAAAATTTTAGTCGCCTGTTTTATTGAAAGTAGAACAAGCTTATCAGCATACTGTGTGTCAGTTAAAAAGAGTCTAAAATTTCTTTTTTTCAAAGCATCTATGTCAATACCATGACTTTCAAATTTGGTATCTCTTCCCTTAGTCCAAAATTTAGATACATAAGAGAGCAATTAAATTAAATAACACTACTCTACACACTTGACGCTTTGCAGCATGTCATTGCTGCTGAATTGATCCTTATTGGTCACAAATTATCCCAAGCACTTCCTGAAACAGTAGAATCGGATGGAGCGTTTATAAATTTCATGCTTGAGTTCGAATGCAGGAGGTGCTAAGAAGGAATTGCGTGGAAGAGAAGAACAAGCACCATTAATGTGGAAGAAACCGTTAAAATTCGAATTTTTTTTTGAGTAATAAAATCTCAAGCAACACATCCATGACGCAGAATATATCCATGACTAGTGTAATGAACAGATAACTGATACTGGAACAAAGATATTTCTTTGCTCATCGCATTGGGATGAAAATTAAATAAGTATTATGTAGAAAACCACTATCACAATATCCTTTGGGTATCGGAAAATTTTAGCCGTAGTTACGTATCTTCGGTTTAGTGCAAAGAAAGTTGAATTCTTTGTAGGCTTAGTTGCCATTTTTAGTTTATCTTATCTCATATGCATGTACATGTTAACGTGGAAATTTTGTTTTTAGGTAATTGCGTGTACGCTGCATATACAACCTTGCCATGCTAAATCTCACACATCTTCAATATGCAGGTAATACATGTATACATTTTCATATTTTAAACAATTAATGTTGTATCATATCATGTGCTTAGAGTTCAGTAAGTGTTGCATATTTGGTACAATTTTCCGTCAACTCTGCAGTAGAGTATTCAATATTAGATCAAGATTTAAATTCCGAAAATACAGATACCATTCCTGATGGCCTTGATTACGGAATAAGCGGCCTACTGTCAGTCACAAATGGCGCCCTTAATTTTTCATTATTCGCCATGTAAAAATATCTTAGAAAGGTTAGGGGTTAGCCTTTGGTTTGTTATAGAGGGTATCAATAGGTGAAATTCCAATATTAGTATTATTTATTACAAAAATTCTTAAAATAGTCGCCCGTTTAAATCTTTTCACAAATCAGGGCAGAATTCTTTAGTTAAATTTCATCGTCAAGTTTAGCAAATATGATAATTTCGCCATGCGTTATACCTTTGCCTGTCAATTTTTTATGGCTAGTGGCCATGCAGCGCTTCGTGTGTATTCTTCCCTATCGTGTTTTAAGGGCCTGACTACTTACATGAAGCAAGTTGAAAAGTTAATGAAATGAAAGATTTCGACTTAACATCTGTTCACTTTATTCAGCTTTCAACTTGGGCTTTCAACTCACTTAATGAAGTCAGTCAGACCTTATCAGCATGTATAGCATGTCTTGATCACGTGTTTTAAATTGATTTCCAGACATGATTGTTTAAAAGTTCTGAATGAATGTGCAGCGAAAGAAAAACTTGGTGTTAGAACTGTAGAGATGATTTGTAAAAAACTATCCCCGGACAACCAATCATCATGTATACCTTTGGAAGACTTCATGAGTGAGTCATTCTTCGAATATTTGTAATACCAAGTAAAGATGTAATTTATACTGTTTAATATGACATTGTCATGCGCTATTTAACATCGTTCATTTCTGGCAACGGTAATGTAGAAGTTAAAGTTAACATAGAAGCAGTTCTTTCTGTAATGTGATTGAAAATTGTTGTGATTTTTTTGTCAATTCTGTATGTGATTGAAAATTGTGGTGATTTTTTGTCAATTCTGTATGTGATTGAAAATTGTGGTGATTTTTTGTCAATTCTGTATGTGATTGAAAATTGTGGTGATTTTTTGTCAATTCTGTATGTGATTGAAAATTGTGGTGATTTTTTGTCAATTCTGTATGTGATTGAAAATTGTGGTGATTTTTTGTCCATTCTGCATGTGATTGAAAATTGTGGTGATTTTTTTGTCAACTTTTGATCGTTCATGTAAAGAAGGTTGACTTTTCAACTCCTTTTCTTTCTAGAACCTAGTCTTTATCAAAATCAGGCTGACGAAGGTATACAGCGATTGTTTTGTCTGTTTGTTGCAAATTATACTGTCAATTTATGTGGATGTACGAATTATAACATTTCCATACTCTAGATATTTTGATTAGTTGTCCTAATTTTGTACGATTCCAACAATTATTGGTTATAATTTTTGATTAATTATAAATTCTTAAAATGATTATCAGTCTACTCATTTTAGTGACCCGTCCGTGTTATCCTAATCCTTGTCGAAACAATGTTTGTGAAGTAAATCGTCGTTCTACAGAAATGCAGAGTTTGTCGTCACATAAATGTTCACCAGGTAACTTATGGCGCTTATCGTTGTAGGGAAGTCTCAATACATTTTAGTGAGAAGAACAGGATATCTAACGAAACATACATGTTTGCATGCGGATTTGATATAAGCTGTTATATTTTTCAATTTTCAGCCCCGGTTTTTTCATTGTCTCATCTTTAGAATATATTGTGTAGTACCGGTGCTGTGTACATTGACCAATGGCACATGTATGTAGCCTCATTATTTTTTTTACTAATGAAGGTTGTCCAATCGATCATCAGTCTAAGGCCATTATAAAGAACGGAGACTTTGCTCGGGTGAGATATTTTAAAATCAGCAAGTATTACCTGCATCTTAAGGCGTGTTTAGTCGGCTTATCTTACTTACCATGATTTCCAGCTACCACTTATACACCAATCAAAGTCTCAAGGATGCTTTAAGATTTGCCGTTGTGAAAAAGGAAAATTCTCTGCATGCCCAAGATTACCAAGCTGCGTAAGCAAGAAATCATGTTACCTAAAATTAACCAATAGTAAGTCATGAAAATGACACCGTTCCTATTTACTTGCTCGTAGATTTTAAGGATTTTCGCAATTCATGATTTTACTTCTTTTTGTCGTAGATACCTATTTGCATCAGGAAAAGTTTTCCGTCAATTGTAATTTTTGCGTTTGCTTTGATGGTGAAATTATCTGTTCCCAATCTCAATGTTCGTCTGCTGATGTCACGAGTAAGTTTTGTTTGGCTCAAGGGTTGTTCCAGGGTTGATTACATTGGTTGATTATTTTATTTGTGTGCTTAAAGAACAACTTTGCACGATGGGAATTTTCGCGTTTTAGCCAGTGGTTTTTAGGCTCAAAGTATTTTCGGCATATAAAAGTGGTGCTAAGAACTGTAGCCGTATTAAGAATTATGGGTTAAATTAAACCGAAGATTAACTAATCCAGCGTCGAGCAACCCCCTTCTGCTGAAGAAAAGAAAAGTAACTGCTTTGTACGTGGCCCGAGACACGGCATGCTCTGGATTGAAATTAGAATTTTTAGAACATAAAGGTTTCGACGTAGTCCTAATGTGTCCTCTGAGCTACACATGCTTAAATATTTTTTAGATCGATTGCGTAGAAATCATCTGCCGTATTACAACAACACTCTTAATGGTACGATACTCGAGTTAAGCATTCATTTCTAAAAATAAACATTGTACAACAGTAATGTACGATTGAATATTGATCTCGCCGCATTTTAGACCTTCCTTGTCATCAATGTGACGATGTATATAACGCAGTTTGTGGAACTAATGGTAAAACTTATCGTAATCCATGTTTTGCCAGGTATGTTTAAAACTATTCGTGTATTTGATGGAATGATAAACATGTGAAGGGTTATTTTTGTGCCTTTAGGTGTTCGCGTTTGAAAAAATATCAGCTTAAAAGTGGTCAATGTTCGACACGAAATTCGTGCAATATTTCTCCTTGTAAAGATGATGAAATGTGAGTTGTGCTTATGATTTAGTTGTATTTTTGTGACACTTAAATTTCGGTATCTACCATTGTAAATGTTTTAATTCTTTTACAGTTGTGTTATCAGTAGAAAAGTTTGCGTTGACATCCTTTCCAGTTGTCCTCAGTTTCTTTGCAGTAAGTGTGTTTTTGATTGTTTGTTCGGTATGCGATTGTAATTTTTTATGAATTTAAATCCATTTTGTTATAAGTAAAGTAAAGAACGTATCCACCTTTTCTTTCAAGTGTAAGCTATCAAAAATCCCATAGTTTTAGTAATTCAAGGAATGATGCTTTTTGAACGATCTAACAAAATGTTCGTTATTTACTTAATGTGACAGCTTGTGGACCATTGGCGATGATTATTAAATTATATTTAGTTAAAAGAAGTACGAACAACACTTCTTCGATGCAGCCGTATTGTGATACGGAGAACAACCAGTATTTAAATAAGCACGCGGTGCTACAAGCTGGAAAAGAAATTGCATACCAGGGAGATTGTAATGTGAGTTGATGAATTTTTGAATGTAGCAGTCAAAGAAGCTCTAAATCAGTATTGTTGTTGAATACAAAAATGTAAAATACAGGCTTCGCTCTAAGCTGTGTACACCCTTCAAGCATTTTAAAGAAAATTTTGCGTAGAACGTTGTGCAAGAACAATAAAATAAATTTACGATGTTACTCTCCAGTGTACGCATGGTGAAATGAAAACATTTTTATTTTATTTTCTCTGAAGTTAAGAAATAAAATGCCCGGTCTCTTGCAAATTTCGTGGAATCAACATATTATATTTCGTGGAATCAATAAACTTGTTTCAATAATTCATTTTCATTCTTTTTGAGTTCCGTAATAAATTGCATGGAATATGTTATTTTTTGATTTACGTAGCTTTACAGTTGTGTTATACTTCATAATTTTAGTCATCCTGCGCCCCTGGTGTTCTGAAAGTTTGTGGTGTCGATGGTCAAACTTATAGCAGTGTTTGTGCATTGAAATATGCAAAGATGCTGCTGGATTATGAAGGACCTTGTAGAACTGTTGGGAAATTTAACAGTAAGTTCTTGGGAAGTACCAGTTACTTAATCAACTCTAGTATTTTATTCACTAAAAATTTCTTGATGAACACAGTTCACAAGTGGCTACTCTACTTATATAGATGAACGGTCGGTAAGATGTGCTGATATTAAATGTCCTATGTTAAATCCCTCAAACTGTGAGGGTATTACGCCCCCAGGTGCTTGCTGTGAAGTTTGTGGTAAGTGGGGAAAAATTACCTAATTTATCAAATATAATGTGAATATATGATATTTCCCTGTAAATAGACACTACTAGTTCAAAACCACAACCGAAGTATTGAATTTTGTTAGCAACACAGATGACTATTTTATTCGATGAAGACGAGATCGCCAAAACAAACAGACTCGTTAGAGATAAATCTCAGCCAATCACACAAGATGATGTTGTGGCAAGAGTACGCAGACACATTTCAATGGTTAGAGAGAAAATATATTTATTGCTTCTAACTGTAGCACGTACTGTGAAGTCTGGTGTGACGTAAGACTAGAGTGGCGTAGCTAAGTCTGGTGTGACGTAAGAGTGCCAATGGACTGTAACTTATGAACCCAGGTTATCACCCAGTCTACCGAACGTATGCATGAGTAAGAAATACAGATTTTTCTGTACGGTTGCGAGTCTCAAAATCTTTCTTCGATCGTTTCACTCGTGTGTGTCACTATTGACACATATTTAGAAACACTGTTCTCAAGTAGCCCCGAGCGAACGCCGGACAAGTGTCTTTTTGGAAAATTACAGAAAACGTATTAGTTGGATCTTGACCATGCATGTGCATTTCGATATGTGCATTTTAGAATTTATTTTCTTTAGAGCGAATGTGATGTATTTGGTTTCTACAACACTTATCGTAATTTTGTTCTTCTCATCACGACAATTACTGACAAACCAACCACTTTACAGGTAAATATCAAGCATTTGAACAATGAACTAAAGTATAGTTGAGGATTTGGTGACATACTAGTTGAAAATTTTTTATTCATATCGGTTTATCTTCAGTTTTTAGTTTGTATGAAAGAAGCTGAAAAAATAGAAACATTAATTAATACAGAAAGTCCAATCTTTACATCGGACGAGATCCTCTCTTCATTCCGTGCCGTTAAACTACAAACGCCATTATTGTCAGAGAATAAGCTAGGAGGCGGAGGAAAATCCAGCACTCAAACAAGTAGTATGATGTTACTTCTCGTTGCTACAACACTATCTCTTCTAATATTCAGCAGGAGGTAATGAAATCACGAGTTTGACATGAATTGTCGAACTTAACGTAGGTTGAAGTAAATGGTTTAAACCCGGGAGTGTTGTTACATGTTTGTGGATGAAGATCTTCCAGGTTAGTAGAGTCCTGAGAAGGACTGGTGTTGTTGATGTTGACTGTTGTTGAGAGTCAAGATAAGCTGAGGATAATTTGACTCTGAAGATGACTACCGCTAAGGTTTTCGAAACGTCAGTCAACATCAACAACTACAGTCGTTCTCAGGACTCTACTAACCTGGACGATCTTCATCCACAAACATTAACATAGGTTAGTTAATTCGCTTCAACTTATTGCTCTTCATAAAAGAAGTGTTTTGGAAAACAAGCCATCAATAAGCATGGTGTCTACTAAAATAAGTAACGACTAACAAGCGAGGTAGATGTGAAACTTATAAACCATTTTACATGAGTGAAGAGAAACTGTTCAATATCATTTAGGAATGTTTTGTGGTAATCTTTGACGGTTTAAATAACAAACAAAATCTCAATGAAAAATTAGTAATTAATATAGCGCAAAAACTATTGTAATATATTGTAAATATTGTAATAGATTTTATTTTTATGCAGAATTGAAACTGCACGTTTGAAATACAACTTTGACCGTTGACCATTAAACTTATTGCAAATTTGCAATTTGGTTCAAAATTTTCTGTTGTCAAGCAGATAACGAGATTTTTGGGGGGTTTTTGTTGCATGTCATGCAGCAGAATAATATAACAAAATGAATACCATTTACTCCATCAAATATATACACCATTCCATGTGTTCAGTATGATTGTGTTTTTACATATTTCCATACTTCACATTTAGGTAGTTGATCCAACTAGAAAGTGTTTTCAGTTCGCTGGTAACCTTAATAGGTGGAAAACGGAATGTATAAGGTTCAATTTTTTTGAAATTAGAATTCAGCTTTCTCAGGCACAGTGCAATTCATACATATTATATCCATTAACATGTCAATATAAGGTTCAATTTTTTTGAAATTAGAATTCTTCTTTCTCAGGCACCGTGCAATTCATACATGTTATATCCATTAACATGTCAATATTGCTACAAATTTTAGATGCATTTTTAAGTCAATCACGTTAAAGTGCAAACTTCGTGATCATGCAGAACGTTGATTGACAATAAACTTATCGACCATATCGATTTAGCTAATTTATAAATACAATTCAAGTGAAAATATTGTAAGTCCTCTCATTGAAATATCCTCCATACGTACCACATGATCCATAAATATTACAGTAGCATCTGCACCACGTATCTCTTCTACCCTGATATATCCATTAGTGGGATATTCGCCGTCGATATGTAACGTACAAATTACTTGACCAGCTCTGCCAAACATAACTTTGACTTTCTGGTGATCTTCATCCCAATCAATTGCAAAACTATAAAGACAATATCATGAACATGAGCCTCACACCTTCACATGAAAGTTGTTTTAAAGGTGTATGTATAGCTATTGCAAAATTTATAGATACTAAAGATGCAGACAAGTTATAATATGTTTTTCAATTTGTTATTAGTGTAATTTTTTGATGTAAATAACTTCCTGACAGAAATGTCGTGTTCAAAGTTATAAGTCTGTTAGAGCTACTTAAAAATGTAAGCAAGGTTGATGTTGAAGTGCACGGAGGAGCTCAGAGTGCCTCGTGTATTTATACCAACGAGAAACTTAATTTTTTAAAATTTTTGTTGTTGCTTAGGGTAATTATATTTATACCATCGCAATATTAAAAAATGTTCCATAATTCCACATAAACTACGTACTATAGATTAATCATTGAGTCTTCTTACTTTTCTTGTAGAGATAGTATTTCTTTTGATAACATAACTCGGTTATGAAGTCGTTTCTGAACTTCAAAATTGAAAGCTTTCAGTTCATCAATTGTGTTCACATTATTAATGAGATCTTGCATGAAAGATGTTGGACTGTTCGACTATAGTAAAAATTACACAAAAAAATTGATCGTGCATTCACGAGCAGGTTCAACCCTCGACCATCGGTCTCAGGCTTGCACTGATCTGCTCCCGAGTTCTTCCAAATGTGTCCTAGGTTTGCATAAGCCTGTGCAATCACAGTAAACATCTTTTATCTTAATTGACGAACATTTACTCTAATGACAAGTTTTTAACAAATACTTTTCAACATAAGCATGGCAAATGAATGATAAAACGTGTGTAATTTTAAAAAACTTTAGGTGTTTTTTTTATGTGCCTTAACGTCAACGCAGTTATGTGGGTACTTTATTCAACTTAAAGCAAATTCAGTTTTCACACAAAATGTTTAGTCTTTTTGTCCTTGAAAAAGCAATAAAAGAAAGAACCCAGTTATAGATGCTAATTTTCCACATTTCTATATTTGGCAATTAAACATGACTTATTGCCGTTATAAGGAGAAGAATGCATGCATCGAAAACGTAATTACACTGAGAGGATGATAAACAGTAGAAGAATGCAATGAAAAAACGTCATCTCACCGTAATACGATCTACGCTTGTCCTATCTTTAGAAAAATGAACCGTAAACGACATAGTTGACATGGGAAGATCGTTTTCGTTGACATCCGAGATTTCATATTCTAGCCAAGTGTCACCAACATTAATCACTCGAATACCAAAGGATGATACAGTACGATAAACGAATTCTTTCCTGTCCATATTGTTAATTTGTTATATACTCATACCATAAATACTGTAAAATAAATCTATAAAGATCTTTTGCTACTGAAGCCAACATTTTTTTATTATCCCACGAAATAAACTGAATAAGCCTCCCAATTGTTCTTCAATAAACCAATCCTACAAACCACGTTCGAATTTTCAATTTCGCACTAATATACAAAAAACTATCAACAAGATACATGAGCGTATATATGCGCAATGCTGGTTTCCTGCACGTAGGTAAATATTGAGAATACCTTTTTTGTTGATCCGATGAGTTAACAGATTTAAAATAATTAAACTTTTCCTCCAATTCTCTCATTTTACTTTCAGTCTTTTCATATTCCGGATGAAGCAGGGTGTTAGTTTGCATGAGGTTTTCCACTGCAGCTAAGCATTGATCAACAGCCATGTTTACCCTCTCCTAAAGTTCACAATTCTCACATGTATCTTACATATGCACAAAAATGGTTTAAACATAGCTAGAAATGTGACATTTCGTATCATGCAAGTTGAAATGTTTTGTGAAAAACAGGAGACGGAAAAGTAACACCTTTGATTTTCTAGTTCAACTTTAAAAACATCTTGATGAATTGGATTTATACAAGGTGCATCAGGGATGAATTTAGAAAAGGGTGCAGGGGGTGCGCACCCTCCTGGCCTGGGGTAGAAGTGGAGCAGAGGGGGTGCACGAGAGTCATCAGAGCGCGTAAAGTGGAAATAGGTAGTTAAACTTCCAATGGTTTGTCTGACGGTAAAATTGTCGGAAAAAATAACAATTTTGAAAATGAGAATTGAAGTAGTTTGCGCACGAAAATGATGCAGTGAAGAAACAATTTGAACACATAGGGTTAAAATATGGCAAATGTTGTTCAAGCTGACAAAGTTTTAGGAAATTTGGCTTATGCGTACGTGAACGCGTAGCTTTGAAATTGCGAATTATTTTGAAGTTTTCGTTTTTTAATGCCATCGTTATAATCCTCATCAATTATTTGTAAATTTGAGCTTAAATTACTCCAAATATGAATAATTGATGAAGATTTTAAGAAAATGGAATTTAAAAAGGGAAAACGCAAATAATCTGCAATTTGGATACCTAGTGTTGGTGTATAGTTTGGCCAAATTTCATTGAAGTTTGTAAGCTTGAACAATATGTGTCATATTTTAAACATATGTGTTCCAATTGCTTTTAAGCTTTGTTATTTTTGTGCAAGCTATTTCAAAAGTACTTCTAGGTAAAACAATTCTCACTGTAAAAATGGTTAATACTTGCAAAAATTTTGATGTCATATGAACCATTGGTGGTCAAACTACTTATGCCATCAAAGGTTTTTGCAGATCTTGCACGCTGATAACTCAAGCGACGTTTTCCTATCTCTTCAGTTTTTTTGATACACCTTGTATAGCTGACTTTTTGGATATATAGTCCAACTGTGTTTTTATAAACAACGAAAATCTTTCTTAGCCATGTTTGTATTATATGACAATTTTCTAACCACTTTTTCTGTTAAAGTTGCTTTTACATCAGTTGAGTCACTTGGCTGCAACTGCATTTTCTAAAAGAGAAACAAAAAAACATCAGAAAACAAAAACAAAACATATTAATTCCGATTATAAATATAAAAATCCAACAGAGTGTTTTTAAAAGAGCCATCAATACAATGTTATGAAAAAAATTGTTTATTGAAAAGCATGCAACCACAAATCAAAATTTGGTGATAACATTACTCACACAAAGATAATTTTCTTTTTCTTTCTGTAATTGTGCCTTTTTTTCGCGCAATTTTTCCAGCCTTTCCATCTTGAAATAAAGGACATAGAGTGATATTTAACATATTGCCTCAAGGCCCATTGTACTTGGTAAGGAAACATAATAATTTTGGAAAATTTGTCTTGGTCATAAAATACAAAAGTGAATTCTTGTCACAGAGAAATCCATATTTATGATTTACCTTATTTTTAACAATAGAAAGACGTTCCTGATTTCGTTGTTTCTTTTCCTCTGCTTGCTCATTTACTACATTATAACACATGATGTAAGAATTACGTATTGCAACAAAACTTTCATGCTGATATAGTGTAGAAAGCTTGACTTTTTCTCCTCCAGTGCAAATAATTTAGGTGACTGTAAAATTGTTAAATAATTGGAAAATCTGCAGGATAGCTGTGCCACTGGCAGTTCTGTTATGAACAAAATAAATAAGATACCAAATTGTATATTTTTGCTTTCTTCTTCCAATTCATGCTCAACCAATTCTATATTATTCTTAAGTTGTTCGGCTTCTTTCCTTTCTTTTTTAATTAAATCTTAAAAACAACAAATGAATATTTCATTGGTAAGATACAAAATCTTGAAAGCTTAACAACAAAATATATATTATTAAAACTAATACCATGCTCCTTAGCTTGATCATCACAATCCAGCCAATTTTCTTCAGCATTATCAGAAAAACCATCCTTCATGCTATTACTGAACCATAATGCAGCTTCAGACAGCGACCATGCACATTTAAGATTGCTGATATGAGACTAAATAATTTTACAAAAAAAGCATGTAATAATAATTGTGTTTCATGATCTAAATGAAAATCTACATTTACAATTAATCACTGGAATTAATCTGTAGTTCAAAACATTCCCACTGGAGTGCTTTCCATGTAGCCTACACCAAAGACCTTTGTTGTAAAGTTTTAATTCTGTAATACATTTCATAATAAATATTGTCAGTGTATATTTGGTGAATAGTTTACATACGAATACCTTCACTTGGTGAATTTTGTTTATCTGAATAGAATCTCCGGCTGTAGACACATTTCCATCAACTTTATTGTCATCCATAGAAACATCTTCAATACATTTAATCGTCACTTCATGATGACACAAGTTTCTAAAGAGATAGCAGTTATTAGTAGAAACAATAGCACCCAGCTTTAATCCAATGTCACAGAGAACAGTTTGCGTAAAATTTCATATTTTTACATGAAAATTCATGTTATATTATTAAGATACGAGTAGATTTTGGTACTTACTGCTCTAAAAAGTCGTTCATTGTAAAAAATTATAGGTTTCTAACAATTTTTGTCAGTGGTCGTACCGCCAAAATTTAAATTTTTTTGAATATTGATGTTCACTCGTTCGCATCGTCTACAATGACACTCGTTTCTATGGCAATGTAATTGGGCACACTATATAATGGTAAACCAGTAAACCTCATCTTTTTTGTCAAACTTTATGATTACAAAGCATTTTGCTCACGTATGTTGAAGTAGAGGTTAAGGTGCAGTGTTTAGCTTGACCTTGCTATTCATGTTTTTGCCTTTTACGTAATTGAGTTAAAATTGTTTATATTTATGACAATACAGTTGTATGTAGTTTTGCATCCCTTTTTGGAGAAAACTAATTGTCATTGAAAATGACCAGTAGCAAAAAATATTGACAAAAAGCAGAAAACTCATGACGTTTCACCGTTTGTAACATTGTATTTTAGTTGGTATTCTACTTGCGAAGAAAATGTCCTTTGCTCACCAGTAAAAGCTTTAAAACGCGTATACTGATGATCAGTCTAAAACTGTTATTTGGATCATCATCATCATATATTTTCGCGCCAGAGCGATCCAAACTCGGGCTGGAAGTTTGGAAGTGTTGCGGGTGTTGTAGCAATCAGTCGAAATCAGGGACGGCACGTGAAGCCTTGCTACTTGTCAAAACATTCCCACTGGAGTTATTTGGATTAGAGAGTGGAAATTGAAGTTTGTGATGAAATGATATTCACCAGGGCATAGTTATAGATGCAATTCGTAGACATAGAAGAAGTTTTCTTAGAAATGTATTAATATTTTTTGCAGTTCCATTATTCATATCGCTTCTTTCCTATTCTTCATGGCTTCAAAACAAGATGCATTTCCTGTTTGAACATTTGCACGTCTTTACTTTCTCGATCATCACGGTCTGTCTGTATTATGCAAATAGGCGGATGAAAAGAAGCAGTGAACCATAGCATGAATGCAAAATAGTCTTCGACGACAGCAACAAGAACAACATGCCATAATAAATTGTTTAATTCGAAACTTTCTTTTTACTTTATGGCTAAGAACGAGAAAAATGGATACCAAGAAATCGAGGGAAGTTCATCTTCAATGAATCAACTTTCTTTAGCGGAATCTGCACAAGTATTAGAGGAAAATACAACAACACCGTCTCCATGGTTTAGAAGAATTTATCATGGATTGTCTTCTAATAGACAAAACTTTTGTCTTCTTTGTATTTTTGATTTTCTATTTACGTTTTTCCTGTGGATAATTTATGCTCAGGTAACAAGCAGATCAATTTGTGCCCGAACGTTTTGATTTCTTGACTAAACATAAATATATCACCATAGTGCGTACATTTTGCGATTGCTATCCTCAAATTTCTATTCGAAATAATTTATTGTCCTTATCAAATGTAGAGTATAGGAAAAAGTGCAAGATTAATATAGTCCATTGTCCATGCAATATCCCAAATACATAACCTCATCCCCCCTTGTATAAACCCAAGAAAATGTAATCACAAATTCGTCTAATTAAGCCCAGGTCCTTAGGCGAAGGTTTGCAGCACGTAGTAATTAGATAATGTGCATAGCTTTTTATATTTGTACCTAAAGCAATATATATTGCAGTTTATATCGACAATTTCATCAAAATGACGTTCGAACTTCGAGATAGTATGGTCAATTTGTCTAATGAAGCTAAATAACAATTGTCATTACAAAATTACGTTGATATCATGTCTCCTGATAAGATTCTAACAGTACGTTTTCAATTGTATTTCAGATTTCAGTTAGATTAACTTGCATATGCCTTAGGCCTTAGCCCAATGGTTCGAGGCTTATAGTAAAATAACACTAAGATAACATGTGATAATCGGCCGTACCAGTGATAAATGTCAATTTTACATACGTATACACCAGTATTTACTGCTAAATGTTCATTTTCAAAATTTTTAATCACTAAGTAAGTAAATTAACGATCCACAGGAAAGAAAAATGTTATATTTTGTTAGAATTTTTTTGCGTACAAGCGGCAATTCTACATTTAGTCGAAGTCGAACACGCGGTAAATATTTCGTTTACATAAACCCATAAGCAAAATCTACTTCCGAGAGGTGTCAGCGAGGTGAGGCTGTAGTTAATTGTGCCAACTGCTTTCCTAATCCTTGTTTTCATTTGAATGTCCTTTCAAGGGAGTTGCTGTGAAAGGACTGAACGACTCATTATCCACAGAAATTGGACATTACGGCATTTCTAGTTCGCTTTTCGATATTTTAGTAAGTGTGTAATGGTTATTATCGGCTAATGACCTCAATGCTTATTAATGATAATTTGTAACTAATTCTTTCAACACAGATGGTCTCGCTCGCTCGAATTTTTGTACTGCTGCTGGTGTATGGCTATTGTGATAGTAAAAGCGTTCTGACTGTTGCAGTAAGTGCTGATGTTAGAAAAGAAAATTACTATCTTTATGACAAGTTTCTATCTATTATTCTTTTTCAGTTCACTACTTTTGCATCTACAGTCTATTTAATAGTCAAGGCATGTTTGTTTGAGGTAAGTGATGTCCGTTTGGTACGTCGACGAATAATCAAAACAAATATGATGATTTGAATTTTAGTTTCAGCTTTCTGTTTCTAATGAGTTTAGCTCGTTAAAGAGGCTTAAATTACACTTCAGTAGCAATGAATATAAAGTAAATATTGCCCATATATATTTCTCAAATTTTCAGTTTGATGCAAAATCAGATGACAACGAGAGTAGACCAGTTGATTATTTACTTCATATTGGATCATTTGTTTTAGTTTGGGTAGAAGCATGGTATATGCGAGTAAAAGTAAGATAATTATACGTTTAGAGTACTTTTTACTACAAAAGAAAAAATTTTTCTGTTGTAGTAAAAACTTGTCGTTTTTAAATTTATTCAACTTTGTGGCTATCGTTTTTTTCCGTTTTTTCTAGGTTCTACCTCAAGAAAGAAGATTATTGCAACGAGTTTCCAAAGGTAGCTATCATCGATAGTTCAATTCTATTTCAATCATTGAAGAATTTGTTGAGTATTGTTGCGCATTCTGGACAGGTGAAATTAAAAGTTCTAATTTATTGTAGAAAAGCCTCCTGAATACGGATCAATCACAAAACTACCTGCGTACGTATGCAATGAAATGTAAACAATTAACTGTCTTTGTACATGCGGTAATTTTTCTTTTTAAGGAGTTCAAGATATTCTGTGTTATCTTTCCATACGCCACCAGATCAAGGTGCGTCTTCCATTTTTCGCACACCATTGAACTTTCAATGCTCAATGGAAATACATATTTTGTTTTGCTATAGATATTTGTTGTTTTTATTAGTAAAATAAGAAGGCGAGTATTTTATTTTTCGACGTTGAAATTTGACTGAGATTGCACTTGTTATGAGCAACACAACAAATACTAATATGGTTCTTTCTTTCTTCCACTGGATAAAAGAAATACATACAAACACAATGTGTTCTTCGGGAAGGCGGCACAAAATTTAGCCTGGGGGGCTACAAATTTCATTTACTAAATTTACCGCGTCTTACTTTATTCTTGTTCATGTTCTTTTGTCCTTTAGATTCTGGTGAAGAGGAGGTGGTTATTAGAGCGGTAAGATGCCACTCTGACATTTTGTGCTATGAACAATCCATTTGTGAGATTTTCGACAGACTTGATGTCTATATGAAAGTTTAATATGAATGTTACTTAGTTTCCTGATTCCAACTATAGAATTTGGAATACATAAAAACAGCAAGAAAAACGACAAGCAAGACATTATCATTATTGTATGCTGAAAATTGCTGGAATATTGAAAAGCAAAAGGTATACAGATAGTAATTGCAAAGTCTATAATTCTATCCACTAGTTGAAAAATCGAATATTTCAAGAACAAGCTCTAAACATATAACGAGAGCGGAAATAACGGAAAAATCTTTTTGGGGTTGCTGTGCCTCAAACCAAATTGACGTTGAAATAATTTGCAGAAAATATTCACACACTTTAATACCTTTATAACACATTTTCTTTCTCTAAATTGACGCCAATCTTCCTTACGCATAATAAAAAATCCTACTTCTTCCAGGACGACCTTTTAATCGAAAGTACTACGGTCGAAAACATGGGAAAAGTACTGCGAGTGAGAGTATGTTTGATTATTGATATCTCAATTGACAATTTATGTGATTTATTCAAAGAAGAAATTTGAAGTTATTGTTTTGTAGGCCAGTTGAAAACTTTTCTTTCTTTTAGAATAATATAACATTCTAAAATAAAAAACACAATTGTTTTTGAGTCTCTATTTCTAGGCATTCATCAATGCTAGTCAAGAAATCGTGCATTCCCTTGTCTTTGGAGATCCTGAAAATATTAAGAAGTGGAATCCAACTATCACTCATATCGAGGTATTTAAGTACCATAAAAATAGAGTGTGCTCACCGAGTGTACTTCGATTTATGAATCCGATTTAGCTAATCTTGATAAACCAAGAGCTAAGTCAATTCATCATCATTTACTCGTTAAACTTGTGTTATTGAAACATCGCACATCGTTTACAGTATAGTTTTGTATTTCTTTGTACGTGGACGTTTGTGGAGAAAACAAATGCTTAATTGAATAGAACGTGTTGGGTCCTATGCATGATTTTAGATCCATGAAATAAATGAAGTTGCATAATATTTTGATTATTTAATGCTTTGAATCCTAACGATATTAGAACACGTGTTTTTCGCGTACGATGTTTTGTTGTCTATATTTCAGGTTATTGAAAAAATTAATTCGTCTACTGAGCTTGTTTATTCGACCATTGCTGAGGTTGCTGGAGGTCTGCTATCAGCAAGGTATTATAAATTGTATGAATACTATGGCTTGTCTTAATACTTTTGCGTACTATGGCAATAGTGTTTTTGTGATGCATTCAACTGAATTTTTCCTTTTTGAAGCAATTCATCTCTTTCACCCAAAGCATTCAATTGCATTATCATCACCTCAATATATTAATTTTATTGGTGATTTACAGAATTATTTAATTTTTGCCAACATTTAATATTGTAAACGAGGATACTTCATGTACTCCATTTCTATGTTATAGAGATTTTGTCAGTATAAATCATTACCAAAGAATTGGAGAAATGTTTATTTCTTCTTCAACTTCTGTTATCTCACCCACTAAGCCTCCTGTTCAAGGATTAGTGAGGTAAGTCATTCACAAGTTGCTACTTATTTATAAAAAGCTGCTGTATAAAACTTACGTTCATCATGTTAATTTTTGATAAGATTAAAGTTGTAACTGCTTGCTATCGCAGAATGCTAAAAATCATTAACTTACAGAAAGTCATGTGTCGTGATTAATGTGCAAGTGCAAAACTTTCTTGATTTTCCAGTGCAAAAAATAAGGCAATTTCTCTATCGTTACATTCAAAGTGGAAGATAAAAGATTTTAAAGCAATTTTTCTTTGGGAAAATTGCCTTGTTTTCTGCATTGGTTAAATGGCAAATCAATAACGCCTGGCGCTTACAACAAATCACTCAAGTCCTATATTCCTATTTGGATCATATCATTTTATTCATTTGGTCCGATAATTTGACTGAATTACTGAGTAAAGCACAGGTTGTAATCGTTTCCGTCAATGTCGTTCTTAATTTTATGTTAGGGGTAAAACTATCTTAAATTCTTATGCCCTTCTTCCTGCCGAAGATACCAGGGATAAATCAGAATTTGTTTGGATCGTAACAACTACTTTGGAGGTTGGTGTAGCACTAAGCACCGTTGTACCGGCTAATGGTTTTAAGGGGAACGGTCGGTACATTTTCCTATGTTTAACTTTTTTAACGATGATCATTCTTACGCTTGTACTCTTTCAGCCTTCGTTAGTTCCTCAAGCGATTGTTGATCGCTCAATACCAGGCTTCCTCATTGAATGCGTTGTTAATCTTCAAAAAGAATGTCAGCTGATCAAAGAAAACGCCAACACTCCATTATAGTGGTAAAGTTGTTTTATTGAAGTAGGCATTTGAGGAGACAGAATTAAGCGAAGCATATTACAACAGTTTAATTTTGAGCTAAAGACTATAAAAAAATGATATTGTTTATAAGTTTCTAAAAGATAAAAACCTAACGCTACTTGCTTCGTTGCTTACCATTAAGGTATTTTGAAAAACAAATTTGATTTTGACGTTCTCTAGTCTGTCATTAGTATCTAACTTTATTGCGGAAAGAAAACACAATTACTGTTTTACAAAATAAATAACGAGCACGAACATAGGAAAAAGATGTATCAGGTCCCACTTTATAATGTTACAATGCATTACTAAATGATAACTTCACAAACATGTAGCAAAACTAGTTTCATTTGCATGCAGTAGCAGATCCGGGGTATGTCAGTATACAATATATCAGAATACTTGTACTTTAGAAATCTCCAACCAACCAATGACGTTGTTGTTAAAGTGTGCAGAATTTATAATTAGCTGTTATAGTGTATTTTGTCCTACCCTAAATCACAATTGCTTGCATGAAACTGTTAAATAATCAAATTTAAATAAACTATATGTCATTTGCAATTTGTGATGCAAAGGCGGCGGAATATGCGCGAAGAGCCACGAGGATGGGGGAATTGTTCGAAGTGCTTCCCATCAATAGGTTGAAAATGTACCGTCTTATTACTTGCATTATTAATAAAGGTTTTGGAGAATGCCAACTGCATAACATCGCAATGCACCAGGCACCCAAAAATCTCCCTCGTCTTTCAGGAACAACGATAAAACTTTTATTCTTTTGATTTTTGAATCTCAATTACAATTTTAATCAGCAATCACAAATCAGTAGTCATCTAGCAATAGAGCATTCGTAAATAATCACAAAAACAGGTGAACTTTCGGTTATTTTTTTGGGGTGGGCTCTACCCCCTGTTCGGCCGCCTGTGTTTTGATGTGTTTCTTGATAGAACCGATGTGTTTGAAGAGTCGCATTATTTTTTCTTAAACAGAACAAAGAATATTTTTCGTTTGCACCATGACAGGGATTTACTGTTCCACACAGTAGTGTAATTTATAATGTAATATGCAATACTGGGGTAAAGTAGCTTCAGTTCAAGCAATTCGTACAGTCGTGTTTGAAATGAAAAATTTAGAAAACAATAATTATGTTACTGCATGTTGTTGAAAATTCTCCCACTTTCTGTCTTCCCATGACCTGCGCAGACGAAATTATATCATATGACAAGTCTTCCAGACACTTTCAATCAATATCAGGGAGCAACGTTGCAGTTTTAGACTCGATGCCGATTGTTAAGCACTATACACATGATCCAATGGTTTTGCATACTTGGTTAGTTTACGTGGTAGATTTCATTCGATCTTATTTAAAGCTCAAATTAAATTTGATCTTCAGAAACTATCTTTTTTTTCTAATCTTTTTCCATTAACCAAAGTAAATTTCAATTTCATTGCATTAAGAATCACGACATTCAGTTCACACTCAAAACCGGTAACTTATGTCCTACTCATTTCATTTGTACGGCTCATTGTGTGCTATAATTTTTTCCACACTAAATAAAATGTCTACTAGTTCCTCTCAGTCAATTTAGCAGTTTGTTGTAGTCTACAGCGAACTGCTAAACTGACTGAGAGGATTTTTATGAATTCATGAATAAAACATGCTGTGATAGATGTCACAAGGCCAGGCTCCACGTTTAATTTACTAAATTTTTGCTCTTATTTTCTGTGTTGTGTTGGTAGCGTGATTTCTTCTAAATCAACCTGTATGCCTCCAATTTACTCAGAAGTACCAAGTACCCGGTGATTTATCATATCAAAAACTCTTATGCGATCATTAAATCTAAGGTGACTAACTGAGTGACTCTGATAAAAAAGTACAACATGACTTTTTGAATTTTGTATGAATTCTTGTTCAAGTAGCCAAACAAACAATCCAAGTAGTCCTAAATATTTTTTGCCAATTTACGGTCAGTCATCTACGAATGTTGAACTTTTTCAATAATTTTTAGTGGCTACATATTGTGACGTTCTTTCCCAACTTATAAATTGGTTTCGATCGTGAAGTCGCTAAACTTTGGATTGAAGATGATTTTGCTCAATTACGTTCTGCTTCAAGCTAGGGTGGGGTAGTAGGTAGAACCAATTATGTTTGTATAGATGTGCTTGTACATCATTAAATGTTTTTAGGGAGCATCTACCTCTCTCTCTCAGCTTAATAAAGCGTGATGCGTTATATGCAGAAAATTACCGCCCACTACTCCAGTTATTTACCGTGAACATGCCGCCAAATCTGATTCTTTTTGAGATCAGTGTGACTCATAGCCTATAGAATGTACTTCGTGTGAACCATATGTAAATAGGATACGAGCATCTTGTTTGTCGGATTGTTTGTATCAACATTTGATCTATGAGCCTTTGGTAAAATGATTTGGTTCAATGGAACTATACCTCAAGCAATTGCAGAGTCAAGAAGGATTGGTTCGTTGTTTATTGTTTATATAAAAGGTTGGGAACAATCTAAATTCTTGTAATAACAGTCGCATGTTAGTATTCTGTGTGATGATTTTGTTGATGGTATCTTTTACATAATTTTCAATTACGTTGGTAAGATTTTTTGTTTTTACATTTCTAAGTTAGATAATCATCTTTTTACTTCATTTTTTTAATCAGTCAAAGCAATACTGTTGAAAGTACTTACATACACGGGGTAATTTAGTCAAAAATATCACTGTTTAATGTACTTCTAGTTAGACTAGGTTTGTTCTGATGCAATTAGGCTGTACATATATTAGTTAAATCTAATTAGTTGGATCTTGCCGTTTGTACCAGTGTCTAATGTTGACTGTTTCAGTGTTGTGTTTTGTATTTTGTGAAGTAAAATTGCTCTTGTTAATAAATATTTAAATACCTAGAGTGAAAATAAAAGTGGTGGTGTTTCTGTTAAAGAATTATCATCTCTGATTTATGATTTGTCAGTTTTGCTAAGAGACCACCGTAGTTGCTTCTTGTAGAGTTATTTAATGCAATTATGTTTGTTTGATTGGTGTATAATTGCTCTATTGGCATATTCTTGAGTCTTCTTTGTCATCTTGTGTACTTTAAGCTTTTATACTATCATCTTGTGTGCTGTAATCTTGTCTTCCATTTTCATGCATACTATGCTCCATTCAACATGATCATGCACATCATAACAATGTGTGACAAGATCATCCGTAGTCAGATCTTGATACCATCATCTTATGTACCTACGTATGAGTCTATAAACTTCTATGCTGTTTTCATGCATACTATGCTCTGTTCAACATGATCATGCACATCATAACAATGTGTGACCAGATCATCTGTAGTCAGATCTTGATACCATCATCTTATGTACCTACGTATGAGTCTATAAACTTCTATGCTGTTTTGATGGATACTATGCTCTGTTCAACATGATCATGCACATCATAACAATGAATGACGTGATGATCTGTAGTAATCACTTATACATATAAGTTTATGATCTTTTATACCACCTTATATATAATCTTATAGACTATAATTTTCTTCTCCGTGATCATAGGTATGTACTTAGTCAATATTATAATGATTGCGATCTTCTATTCAGTAGGAACCTGAATAGAATCTTGTCACTAGAACTTAGTCAACTTGTATCTTAGAAACTTGCAACAACTTTATTTTGATGAAAAGTATCTTTATAGGAGATGATGAGATTTCGAACAACATGGATGCTTTATGGGAAAATGAAGAGGTGATTATGTCAATATGGGTATTGTTGGATAAATTTTTGCAAAAATATGTTTTTATTGTCACTTTTTAAAATTCAACCTTAAAGTGGTACACAGACACAGTTTCCTTTAAGATGAAACCAAAAAGAATGATACATAATGCTTTATCCAACAACTACAAACAATAACAACCTTATATAACAACGTTTGAGAAATTAACCTTCCACTCCTCTTCCTTGTAAAGAGACAAGTCTACTCAAAAGCAGAGAGCCTTATATGCTACAAGTCCCGGGCTTGTGACTGGTATAGCGGAGTTAAAAGGTGAAAGGTTTGTCATAGATTAATCAACTGAATATTCCTGCTCATTTTCGTTTGGAAGCATGTTAAACAGTTCATATGGACAAAGCTCGATTTCCATATTAAATATTCAGTAACATAATCCAGTGTTAATGTTAGACAATACATCATTGCCCCTCAGTGAAAGCACCCCATTTTCTACTGGAAAAGAATAAATCTAAAATCGATGTTAAACATAGATTGTCACAAGCATCCCGCTTGCCGATATGTAGAAGTATAATTATAAGGTTAAATAGTTGAAAAGGTTACAAGGTTAAATATGTGTTTGGTTATTTCTTTATTCTTTTCCAATGGAAAGCGGGATGCTTTAACTGAGGGGCAATGATGTATTGTCTAACATTAAAACCGGATTATAATACTGAATATTTAGTATGGAAATCGAGCTTTGTCCATATGAACTGTTTAACATGCTTCCAAACAAAAATGAGCAGGAATATTCAGTTGATTAATCTATGATAAAAACCTTTCACCTTTTAACTCTGCTATACCGGTCACAAGCCCGGGACTTGTAGCGTATAAGGCTCTCTGTTTTTGAGTAGACTTGTCTTGCTTACAAAAGAGGAGTGGAAGGCTACTTTCTCGAATGTTGTTAGATAAGGTCGTTAGTTGTTGGATAAAGCATTATGCTATCATTCTTTTTGCTTAATAACATTCCAACTATTTAAAATTATAAGATGAAACCAATATTGACAAGAAATTTCTATCTCTAGGTAAAACAAGTCTGTCTCTCTGATTGCACATCCATTCGACTGTTTGCTGAAAGGTTTGTGTCAAAGTAACATTTGGTTGTCTACTGCGTTTTGTTGATATTTACTCTTTTAAAGTTTTAATAAAACCTAAATATCTTTTTTTTTCTTCCAACAGCAATGAATTAAAGCAATTTGCACTCATTTGTATCTTTTGAATGTTACTGAAATGTTTTGAATAAGTTTCCATTATGTAATGCTACCAAAAGAGATCTTCAAGGCCATGGCTACAATGTTAATTTGGGGGTGGGGTGTTTATTCTTTTGCGTAGTCAGTTGTGCCCAACTGATTTAGTTTAAAGTGATAAACACCCCCAAACACTGGTGTATGCCTGCCTAATGTGGCTGGTCATGCTCCAAAATATGTAGCTAGTATTGGCAATAGCGCCAACTCACCATTTCACATGGCAAAATCTTTCTGTAAAGTATGTAATCTAGCAGACAAAGCTTTATCACTAAGATTTGAGTTTGATGAATTTATGCACCTCACTTTAACCCAAAGTTAGTCTGCTGACAAAAAAATTATCTTTGACAAAAGGGAAAATGGTAGCTGCCCCAGTGGCGCCGTACTTTATATCCACGTGTCGTGTTTGTCTTAGCGTACAAAAAACATCTTACTAAGTAAGGGATTGTTGACATCAATTTTTGGGATAAAGTTTGAAGAAACCTGAAAATATATACACCTTAATTGGACGACATTAGATCCAGTTGTTTGTATACCTTGTGTGTATTGTCTTGATGGTGCTGGTACTCCACAAGAAGTTATTGCTGTATCATTACCTCCAGGAGAATTCTTGCAGAAAATAAAGCAAGCTATCGAGGTATAGTGTATACTTTGTAGTCACTTTCATTTTCTAAGCTTGCACCAGTGCAACAATCAGGAACAATGCGTACTTATTCATTATTTAAATTCCAATTTTGCTCAGATACTGTGACTGGTCAATTTCATCAACAACAACTTAGATTATTTAATAAATTCTTTGTGATTCACTAACGCGCATATTGTTAAGATGCAGGTGCGATATATACGTAGATATGTTTGTATTACTTAAATTACGAGCAGTTGCATAGCCAGCCTGTAAGTTTTGGTCATGCTATGTAAATTTCCTATCATAAGAATTATTTATTTCCCATAATCATAGAGGACTATTGCTTTTTTAGTGAGTAAACACTGAAATATTTACATAGAACGACCAAACTTTCGGGGCTGGTATATACATACTGTACGTAGTTACGTTATAAGACGATTTAAAGTAAAACGTAAAGGTGTAACTTTAAATGCCCATGTAAATGCTTGAATAGTACTGAATTAGATTTAAGAAACTGATTTTGGTAATATACATGATTAGGAAATAGTTTTCAAGTAACTGAAGTGATCTTATAGGTATTTACTTATGTCTTATCGGTGTTTTTTCACAAGGGTTGAATGAACATAGGTATCGTTTATGTGATGTTTAGTTTTGTGGTAAAGCTTGATTTTAAATTTAGTGTTTCGATTTAGGCCATTTTCTCTAAAGTAATTTCTAATTCTGTATTAGAAGTTATTTCATACAATTTTTGGAGGGTTTTGGTTAATTTTTTTGCTATTTATGTTATTTTCAAGAATCAGCCGGCGAGCATTTCTTTTAAGACATATAATGTTTGTTGAGCGAATAAAATTTTATTATGAAATCTAGTCACTGCAATTTCATTGAGCTCACTACCAGCGCATGTGTTTTATTTTTTAAACAGAGACATCGAAATACATTTCCTAAATTAGAAAATGATAGTCCCAGACAAGAAGAAACGTCTTCATCTCAGTCATGTTCATCGTCTTCAACACCCGAAGCATCAACTAGCAGAGAGGTTTGTATGTCCATGTCCTGATGAATTTTGAATGGGAAATTTTTTTATTCAGTTTTTCAGTGAGTTTTTCATTTTAATATCTATCCTAAAACAAAATTGTTAAAATATAGATCACAGTCTAAGGATTTACTCTTACAATAAAGAAAGTATGCTTCAATCCTTAAACTACAAAAAGTATTATGATTTTCGCGTAAAAAAGGAAGCATGCAGGCTTTGAGTCCTGCATTGGTCAGGCGTAAGGACTAATACTACATGATCACAAAAATTTTATAAACTAAACATAGTAAAAATATAAATTTTTTTTAATTTATAAATTCCACATTTTTGGGGGAATTTGCTGACACTCTGGGGACATATTTGGACTTATATGTACAATGGTTTGGTTTTACACATATGTATAAACCACATCAAGCCCCCTCCCCCCCCCCATTCTTCATAGTATTTTTTCTATCGTATTTTGTATACTATGCCTTTTGCAAGAAGTAGTATCTGCATTGAATTTTCTTGTAATTTTGTGTTTGACACAGGTAACTGGGGAAAGAAGCGAAGTTACACATGACATTAATGAAAGAGTTGCCAGGTATAGTTTGTTTGCACGTGAGGTCACAGCTTTATTATCCGCAATGGGGTCGGGGAAGTCTGGGAAAAATCAACATGGCAGTAGCATTGGCAGCAGTACAATTTTGTGACGTAGTAGTGATGTGGGTGAAAACACTCTATGATATAGATAAACTCGGGATTTTATCAAGTTAAACTAAATACATTTGTAGTAAATAAAATATTTGTCGAAAAATATGATATGTGTTTTACATGTTATGCCTAACTATATTCCGTACTCCATGTAAAATGTAAATAAGATGCCTAAGACACCGAAATTGTCTCAATTTGATCTTAGAGCGAAGAAATTGATTGAAGAAAAAAAGAAGGAAAGGGCCGAAAAAGAAAAAGAGGTTCCTCAATAATATAGTACAAAATTCTTGCAAATATTCTTCTTATGATCAGATGACAAGTCGTGTTGTGTTTCACTACGATTTTTGTCCTCTGAGCTTTTGTTAGTGGTGAAAATAAATTAGATGAACGCACATTTTGATGCAAACTAATGTTTTCCGTAAGTCGCTTACTTAATCACGTGTAGTGCACGTGATGAAATGCTTGAATAAGCTTGCCTTTAGAGTTTGTGATTTTCATTTGAATAGGATGCTCATCGAAAAGAAGTGGAACGGAGAAAAGACGGTAAGATAATGTCTAAGGCAAAGATAGACAGAGAGCAAATGCTCGCACAGCAAATGGCTGACAGGATAAAAAATGAGAAAGCAAAAGACAAAGCTGCGAAGGATGCTATACGTCAAAAAATAGCTCAAGATAAAGCAGATAGAGCTGCAAGAGAAGAAGTACAACGACAGGAACGTCGTCAAATAGCTGCTAGGATCGATCCAAGCCCTGCAAATTCTAATTATGGCAAGCTTCGGTCATGGTAAATAAGATTTTTATTCGAGTGATGTGAAGGTCATTTCTTGTAAAATATTTTCATTCAACAACGTCAAAATATATTAATTTGTCAGTTATATTGTGTTTATTAGTTATATTGTGTGTGCTTTTTATGGTATGTCGTTACTGTTTGTGTGCATGGATTTGTGGGTGTTTTTTCTTATGTTGTGTGTGTTTTTTAGTAATAGTACGTATGTTGCTTTTTGTTTTGCTATATTACAAGTGTTAATTTGCTATGTTGCGTCTGTTTGTTTTTAAGTTATGTTGTGTATTTTTAACTCATATTGTCTTTGTGTGTTTTCTAGTTCTGAAGTTCGTATACAGTTTCGTTTACCCGATGGAAGTTCTGTGACTCAAAATTTTCCTGCAGACACTCTTTTGGATGGCGCAAGAGAATTCATTCGCTCGGTTTGTATATTATATATTCATCCGTTTCATGTATGTCATTATGTACTAAATGGCATTTAGTACTAAATTTTTATTTTTCTAACTTTGACATCATTGAATTGCTTTAGCGCCAAGTTTAATTTTCTTATTACATTTTGAATAGATGCAGAGAATTAAGGGTATTTTTCATGTCTATTTTTCATAGTCATTAAGTTATGTGCACCATCATTTAAGATCAAACATTCATCAAGTATAGAATCGTTTGTTATGGCGTAGTAAAAAGTAAAAACCATTACTTATTACATACGAAGCTATGACATTGTGTATAGTGCAAACGATTGTATTTAATTTTGACCATAACTATTTTTTCATCTCTATGTTTAGCGTATGGATGTCAGAAATCAGATATCGTTTTGGACAACGTTTCCACGCAAGCATCTCGGAGAGGATGATTTTCACAAAACTCTTGTAGATCTGGATTTAGCTCCAAGCGCTGCTTTGATCGTCGACTTGGTAAAAAATACATTAAGTATTTCATTTTATTTTGTTTTGAGTAATGTGAGTGAAAGTCAAGTTATAAAAAATGCTTTTTACAGACATCAAAAACCCACAGTGATGTTTCTAACTCATCTGGCAACAATTCATCTTTGACATGGATCTTTACGCTTATTATGGCTCCGTTCTTAGCCTTAATATCATTTTTTAAATTTCTTTTGAATTCATCACCACGAGCACAACACCAGCCGGAGAGCACTCGCCCAACAATCAGTGAAGACTCTAAGTAAGTTTTTAAAAGCAGAATTATTTGTCTTTAAATTTCTTCTTTTGAGAGAAACCAACTTTACTCTTGAGAATAAAAAAGGAAGGTTTTGCTACAACTTTTTCTAGCCATTAGTTTTCGAAACTGCACTGTAAAAACTTAAATGTTTGTAGTCTAGATGTATATTGTCCAGGTTAGTGGAGTCTTGAGAAGGGTTGTTGTTGACTGACGTAAAAACTGTTGGATTACAATGAAAATAGAAAATACGTTTGCGATAATTTAAACTGGTTACGAATAGTACGAATTTAGAACCGTAGTTTTTTAGAATAAAATAAGTGGAAGCAATGTCTTATCCGAGAATTCTTTAACATTTTTTTTAGTCCGTCGTCTTCTTCACTCGGCTCGAATGCACGAAGGAGAATAACGAGAGAAAATGAAAACCGTTTTAAGAAAGATGGAAAGATTCATTCATTTCAACAAGATGATAAAGATGACGATGAAAATAACACTTGGAACGGAAACTCTACACAACAAATGTGATTTCAATGTCGTAAATAAACATTAATATGGAATAAATGATTAAATAATAATTATTTCGCTGTCAGACATTTTGTATTTGTATTATACATACAGACTTGCTTATATATTTTTGTCAGGTGTTTTGAATATAGATCATTTTTCATTTATCCTTTCTGTTTTTCGGATCTTCCGACCTAAAGGCTTAGACTGGCTAACAATTAAATCTGTCTTACCCAGCCGTGACTTGAGTACAGTAAATTTTTGAAACATAATCCTTATGCCGTGTGTATAATAAAAAAGACCTTAAAATAAAATAAATATTTTAATTATTGTTTCAATAATGGTTTTAATAATGTCAGTAATTGTTTGATAAAAAACTTGGAATACTTCATTACAAAAGTTAAAATTGGGTGAATTATTTCTTCGATAAAACCGGGTGAGCTAGCCAGTGGCCGTTTGTGATTTCAATTTAAGCGTAACTAAAATGAATTTCAGTTTCGTGTTGTAACAACCCTAGGTGATTGGTCCCCATAACAAGTAACATAAAAATTAACATGAAGTAATCCTGAATAAACTCTTTCATAATTGTCTACAGACTCTTCGTGTTATGAAAATTATTATTTGTCATTGACTACATCTTTAAAAATGACGGCGATTTCTCGTCGATTTCAAATATCCCCTTCGTTGATCATAGCAGTAAGAACGCGAACTATGGCAGGACATAGTAAATGGTCAAATATCAAATTCAAAAAAATGCATAGAGACATTGCAAGAGCCAAGATTCTTGGTCGACTTCATAAAGAAATAGTTACAGCTGTGCGAGGTAAGAATAGATTTATAAAATAATGCGAAATTGATCAGCATAAAGATAAAGATGTTTGTACGTTTTAATGACTGTAACTGTTGATGCACTATGCAGGAGTATTTATTTACAAGTATATGATAGATGATGTTGGCATGTTGCCAAGTACATGCAATGTATTTAACAATGTGTTGTACTTGGATATTTATTCCACAAAAATTCTGTTTCTTCATATCCAAGACCACCAAAAATGATTTTTTTAAATGCAGTATAGTGGGATTATGAATAAACATGGGTGGACCATGAGGGTGGGATGGACCATGAAGGTGGGATGGACCATGAAGGTGGGCTTGGTCAGTGAGAGTGGGTGTGGACAATAAAGGTGGGATGGGCATTGAAGATAGGTGTGGGCCATGATGGTCAGGGTGAACAGTGAGAGTGGGAGTGGACCATGAAGGTGGGGATAGACAGTGAGGGGGTAACATCCTGCTATGCCGTTGAAGAAGAACTTCTTTACATATAAGTCTACTATTTTTCTATATGATATGACATTGGCATGTTGCAATTTTTCCATCTTTAAAGTTTCATATCACTTTATATTGATAATAATCAAGTTATATTTCAGCTGGTTTTAAAAAAATCAGCTAGAATAAAAAAACAAGTGACTTTTCTAGAAAATGGTCCGTGTCCAAATCTAAATTCAAAATTAGAACATATAATTGAAAGAGCAAAAGCTGCCAATATGACTAAGGATAAGATAGAATCAGCTATCAAGTCTGGTGTGAAGGTATGGCTGACATGTTCTTCAATATGAATGGAAGCTTTCTTCTTTGCTTGTAAGTCATAACTTACATAGATAAAAGTATAATTGCACAACACATGCAAAGATTGAATAATATGGCAACAAGCTGTTTATTTAAAAACATACATTGAATTGAAATAATTACCTTTTGTGAATGTTATTTTAATTCATTTGTAAATATTACATTGTTTGAAAACTTATTTGTGTTATTTGTCTGTAAACTTGGAAAATTACTTCCTCGTTCTGAAATTAAGAAGTCTGTTATATTGTTGCTATAATGCATTTAGAAAAACAAATCAGAAATGAAGTTGAAGTTTTAATTTGAGGCATGTGTCAAACCGGTTTCAAATGTTCAAAAAATTTCAATTTTGCAATGAAAAGCTCATTTTAAAGTTTAAAAAAGCTATGTACATTACTTTTGGTTTGGTCTCATGTCAAATTCCCCCTCCCTCCCTTCCCTTAATATCTACTGAATAGGTTCATGTTAAGTAACAGGAAATGTTGTTCTTATTGACATAAATATGATATAAGCTTATTATAACACCATTTTTACTGCAACAGCCACATATGACTATTTTGTTTGGGTTCTTCTAGAACACAGATAAATCATGCCACAGTTTGTTGATTGAAGGACATGGACCAGGTGGATGTGGAATTTTAGTTGATACATTAACTTCAAACAACAGCCTTACCAGAAATGAAATAAGAACATTGTTTATGAAAAATGGGTATAAAAAACAATATTTTGTCTACAACGTCAACATTCATAACTAATTCTGCATTTTAATATTATCCAGTTACACTGTGCTGTTTAAACCTTTTGCACATGACTCTGTTTCTTTTTTATATCCTACTCATATTTTAGATTTTGAAATATGGGTTTTTTATAGTACAAGGAACTTCTTGCACAACTTGACTTAATATTACAGCATAAAAGCAAGCATTCACTAGCTCCAATGGCTTGTTTTATAACATACAAGACTTACTTTGCCATAATCTACATTTTAGGGGTCATGTTGGTGATGATGGCTCTGTGTCATTCATGTATGAACACAAAGGTATGTAATGTAAGCCTTGATTTCAGTTTTAGTTTAATGTTGCAGTATTTTTATGTGTAGAGCAATTTGTAGGAGAATAATGCATCCGACTACATTTACTTTTTCGGGATTGAGTGTCTGATACTTTTTAAATCTCTTGAAATTTGTGTTTGTCCACCCCTTACAAATTTCAAATATGGACAATCTATGTTTTAGCCAGGAAAATTTAAAAGTGCACACAATTATTTATTTCAAACATTAATTGAGACAAGTAGAGCAGGAAATCCTTGTTTGCCATGAAGGTTATGGGTGAGTCAAAAAGGCAGAAGTTGTTTGAACCTTTGCAGTGTCCTGGGAAGGTTATTTTATGAGATGCATGTACACGTGTGAACAAAAAAACTGAAAGCAAAAATCCCTTTCCTCGCCTCCCAATACCCAGAGACTGTCACGCACTAGAGCATCTTTGTAAATTTTGATAATTCAGTTCTTATCATCTGGATATGGCAATAGACCACCAATAGACCACCAAGGCGCATGCTCAGATACTTTCTCAAATAAATTGCGACTAAGTGCGGTTCTTGTTTACGTACACTCCATTGACTCCAAAATATTTGCTAGTAGATCCATTTGGTCGTTGCCATGACCATGAACCTGGCTCAGATGATTTCTTTAAATAATATGTGACCAAATAATCTCAAAAGCATGCATGTTCATAAATTCATCCTTCTAACAAATGATTAAAGCTTGTTTTCTACTAGCCACATATCGTAACATAATATAAATTCTTAGGATTTATATTATGTATAATCTCTCTGATGGCTTTGAATAACGTATCGTTACGTATCGTAGCAAAACGTAACATGGCGCATGCGTGCTTGTGAATTTGATGGTCAATAGGCGCCAGCACGCATGCGCCGTGTTACGTTTTGCTACGATTCGTTACGATACGTGGCTAGTGGAAAACAGGCTTAAGCGGAATGCAAATGTTCAAAGGATTTCTTTAATAATTTTTAACTAAGCTACGTATTTACACCAAAATCGGTTTTTGTAATGATGCAGTTACTCGTTGCCTTCGATCCAGGTGGTTGAAACTCGATTAGTTAGTGGAGATTATGGACTGCGCTTGCTCAGTTGATTTTTTAATAGTTTTCAACCAAGTGAGCTAGTTACTTCCAGGAAGAAAATAGCTTACATGTAAACCGTCAACAACCAGACTAAAGATAATAACTGGTTATTTAGACTTCAGCCTGTGATAGGCTTTCCAAACATTTATTTTCTATAAAGTCAATGGATGTTCTTCATGAGAGCTACATGAATTATAATTAAATAAATTCATCAAATTTTGTATGGTTGATTCAAATCACGAGTCAAAAGACCGTGCTTTTTTGAAACTTTGCACTATCCCTTGATTCCTGAATGGGACACTTTAATATCTGCTGGGTATTATTTTAGTTGGGCTTAATTTGACTTTTAGGGATAGTCTGCATAGAAAATAGATGGTCATCTTCCGATAATGTAGACGATTTACATGAAACTTCAAGTAAGGTAAGGCAACTGTTAATTAAACGATAATATACTATCTTGATCTTTACTCTAGAGTTCTATCATTCTAGGCTGAAGAATTAGCCATTGATGTTGGTGCAGAAGATTTTCATTTTGCAACAAATGCGGACGATTTGAAGCTCATACAGGTACATAGCGTCTAACAACACAACACAACGCCTGTTGTCCATCCATGTTGTTAAGGGGCCGGTTTCACGAAGCGATATTAATTTGTGAATGTTTCAAAAATTTTACGTGTATAGGTATCTCTTTGTACCATTTGTGAATTGTTGTTATCGCTGTTATTTTTATTACATTTATAAACACGGAATGAAGATGACTTTACTTTACATACCAAAATAGCAAAAATGTACTTCTTACGTTGAGCGGCGTCAAAAATGTTTTGTGAAGACTTTCTCAACATTTTCTCAATCCTTGCTTTAAGGAAAGCATGTTTTACTACTTTCTACGATGGACTTTTATTTTTTTGTTCTCAACATTTTCAGGGAAACGCTTGACTCACATTTCCTACCCGACAGAATTTTTTTTAATTTGCTCGGTGGAAGAATTAGCTAAAACCTGCTCGGTTGTATAAATAGTTCGAAAGAACACAGGAATTAAGTTTACATATGTACGGTTTTTTCATAAAAAAAGGGAGTTTGTCTCCTCAGTTGTCACAGCTTCTTAATATTTCAAAAACATGTCACATCCATATGTTATGTGGGAATTGCAAAAAAGCCAAAACAGAAGAAACAAATTAGCGAACGAAAAAAATCTGGCTTGTTGTATGAGCCAAAGAACGGCATACGTTTTTCATTTCATCTACTGTTACAATCGCTTATTTTGGTCAAACGGGAAAAGTTTCTCTTTGGCAGTAACATTAATTTACATTTATATGTTTGCCATATGCAAGATAAGAGAAACTGTTTGTGGAAACTTAGCTGTAATGTTTAATTTTTATAGTTCGTATGTGCATCGAGTGATCTCATTCAAGTTTCAAATAGATTAACGAAGGAAAAAAACTATACGCTTGTGTCGGCCAATTTAGAGTATTTACCTCGAACTCTTATAAAACTAAATGATCAAAACCTTGTTAAGGTAAGTAAATTACTTGAGAAAATTCACGAACACGAAGACGTCATCAAAATATACGACAATATCCAAGATTACGAGAGCGAAACACTGAAAGAACTCTGATTTTTTATGAAAGCCAGGTTTGTTGAGAAATATCGCAGCAATTTTCTTGCGGATGTGGCTTATGACAATTTTCAATTCATTTAGCCACGTAATGTTGTATATATATGTGTTTGGTATAGCAATATAGCAATGCAACAATATAGCAATGCAAAATAACGTAGGACGCTCATTGCTTTATACTTGTTAATACAATAATAGATGAGAATTCGTTTGATTTTTTACATGTTCCATATTTAAACATCTTTGGTTACTCTTAATGTATGCATCTCTTCGCTTCGATATTATAGTGCTAATATTACTTGATTATGCCAGCATTTCTGGTCATAGAGTCATAAAAACTTTCTTGCTGCTTTTTGAGCACTCTTTGCTCGTTCTTTTGCTGTCAGCTTTCTTGGTTTTTCATTTCGTTCATTATGTGTAAAATTTCGTATCTGGATTGCTTGTCTTAACACGTTCGTCTTCTCTTGTTCCCACAGACATTTTTCACGAAAGTTATAATACAATATTTCATCGTCTGGATAGCTGCAGTGAATTAAAACGATGTTTGACATTTTTTTGTTTGTATTGTGATGATTGTCGAGAATGTTTATCCAACGATTTCATGAAATATTAGATTTTAATTTAGAAATGTACACATTACGGGGGACGCTGCAAATTTTTTCCTGTATAGCTAATGGTCAATATTTTTGCTCTCGCTATAATATCGTGACTGTGACACCCTCAACATATGGCTTAAGATGTTTTGAGATGGAGCAAGTATGGATGAAACTTGTTTTCTTTTAAGTCTGAAACTTTTATCTATTTGTGCGATAGAAGTTTGAATTTCCTTTCTCGAGCAACAACGTCGTCACTTGATCCATTGCTGCGATATTTTTCTTAGAATTCACTGTGTCAAAAATTTCAGCTCGTCTAACAAGGCAGTCGTAAATTTCTGGGAATGGTTGCACGAAGCTTGGATAACGCTATTGGATAGTAAAATTTTCAAACATATAAAGAAAGATTTTATATTTTTGTTACGACAACGAAATTCAATACTTTTAGTAGAAGTATATTTTATTTCAGTGATTGCTCTATTCAAATCTTAAATTTTTCCTTTTAAAAACGTTTTTAAGCGATTTAAAAAAATTGCTGTCCAATGGATAACGCTATTCCGGCTTAGTGAAACATGTCCCTGCTGTTTTATCTTCAAGCATTTCTACCAATAAAAGAATGTACATATTTTATTTACGTGGTGTCAGGATTTGATCTTCATAATAATAAATAGTTTCAACTCCTATAAAAACTATTTAAAAGATCCCTTAGTTAAAACAATTATGATATACCTTTTTCAAAATCTTACCTTGATTCCAATGCTAAAATATTGGCAACAAGGAGGGATTCCTTTGTGGCGTATTTAAAAAATAACTGTTTCTTGATTTGTAAAATCTTGGCTTTGCGGCTGACTAGAAGAAGTTCTCTACCTGTACAATGAAGAACTTCTCGTAAGTTCTAAAAGAAATAAGATGTCGTTACTGTCGTTTAGATCGCTAAAGTAATTGTTCGCATAAATTAACTTACAAAAACATCTCCACTCTTCATTGTTGCTATATTTAGATAAGTCACGTGTGTATTCGGGGTACCAGTAGAATATTCGTTGTGGAAGATTGTGAGTTCTTTCCTCAGTTCCATTTCAACATCATGATTTTTACGAATGATTGTTGAACGCCACTTATCTGTTTTCTTGTATGAGTGTAGACCTCCATTTCTACTCTGAGGTAAATGGTTGTAGCTTTTACCGAATGTAGAAAGTACTTCTTCTGCTCCTCCCATCTTCTTCAATTTTTCCTCTTTCTCTTTGACATTTCTGCAACAAAAAATATTTACATTGTGCAATGAACGTATTCAACCTTTAATGTCTGTATGCATGTGCTACAAATATTCTCGGTTGAAGTATCTTGATCATTTTGGAAAGTTTATTGAAAAGTTCTTAAATTATAAACAAAGTTCTTGAATTAAAAGCTTATTACAATCTTTGTATTTTCTAGAATCACTCATAATGATTCCTCAGCAACTGCTTGTTGAAAAAGAAATGTAAATTTTGTCATTTTTGAACAAAGTAGAATTTCTAGTTGTAAATACAGTTGGTATAAATTAATTTAAAGTAAATGGTTTGAACCCGGGAGTATCGTTACATGTTTGTGAATGGAGTCATGTAGATCGCCCAGGTTAGTAGAGTCCTGAGAAGGACTGTTGTTGTTGATGTTGACTGACGTTTCGACAACTTTAGCGGTAGTCATCTTCAGAGTCAAATTATCCTCAGCTCATCTTGACTCTGAAGATGACTACCGCTAAGGTTGTCGAAACGTCAGTCAACATCAACAATTACAGTCCTTCTCAGGACTCTACTAACCTGGACGATCTACATCCACAAACATGTATAAATTAATTTGTTACATTAATGCGGCATTTATTTTGCCATGCTAACGAAACCTGGTATTATAAGAGTGTTACCTTGAAACAACCCTGTAATCTTCGTCCAACTTGCTTGTGTTAGCGATCTTCCTTAAGTCAATCTGCTCAAAGAAATACTCCAGTTCATTTTTAATCTCTACTTTACCTGAGAGCGATCGTTTTTCTCTTTATCCGAGTCTGATAAAAGTGAAAGATAACAGCCACAACTACTGTTCTCGTCTTCTAGACGTCGTATGAAAAATTTTTTTGAATGTCGCGGCCTTTTATTAAAATCCATTGCTTTTATGACACTGCATTGTCCCTATAATGAAATGCATGTCCTTAAAATACATGCAATTTCTTTCGAAAAACAAAAGCGAAAATATAAATGTTTTAGAAAATAAGAGAAAACAGTTTACCTCCATACAAAAGTACATCCATTCTTCTTCATTTTTGCTGCTACGTACTATAATTTTGTTTGATTTGTACTAAAAAAACAAATGCTTCTATTCATTACTTAACCTTTACTTTATAACCATATTCGTTCCAATCATTTAGTCGGATTAGGTTAAGTTGTAAGTAGAATTTTTTGCCCTGTTTCTAGTTCAATTATCACGTCAAAAGAAAGAGAATCAACGAGAACGTTTTTTAATACATTTTAAATAGCAGTGTTAAACATACTTTATGTATTTGAGATTCCTGGCAAATGCGTTTGATTGCATCATCCCTCCAGTTTTTAAAAAGCGGCAAATGTCTACGACGTATTTACAAAAATCAATATTTAATCCAACGTTCATTTGACAACATTGATGTGCGTCACTCTCCTATATTTTATACATACCTACAAAATTCCATTTTCTCTTTCATTTCGCTTTCGTATATTTTGGAGCAAACATTTTCGAACACATCTTTATGGATAACCATGAGTTCGACATCCTCTTTTACAACGACTGAAGCTGTGCGACTTACGTTGCGCAACAGAGCAACTTCCTATGAAAACACAGATTGATAGCCGATTTACGTTGCGTTACTGGTGCCGGTTGCACGAAGCCTGAATAACGTTATCCACTGGATAGCAAAAATTTTTAAACTTGTAAAAATTGTTTTATATTTTTCTTACGACAAAGAAATTTCGTAATCTTCGAAACAATATTTTATTTCAGTGATTGTTTAGTTTGAATCTTATATTGCTTTTTAAAAGGTTTTATGAAAGTTTAAAAAAACTTGCTATCCCATTGATAACGCAATCCTGGCTTCGTGCAACCGGCTCCTGAGCAACTTCCTGGACAATCGAGGTATGTTGCGAAACAGAACAACTTGTGCACTATAAATAATTTCTTACTCCAAAAGCATCGCCCTGATGTAATGTACTGACAGTTTTATAAACTACTTTGTTTGTTTCAGCATTGAATCCTTCTATGTTAACAAACACTGAACCACTGAAAATTAAATAGAAAGCTTGTCCAATGTGACCCTTCCGTAGTATCACGCGTGGGTATCGAATTCTATAATGAATAGATTGAACATCAATGAGATTGTGTTTTGTATTATATCGATACTCGTTTTTTTTCCAGTAACTTTTACTTTATTCATAGTCTAAGTTGAGTAAAAGACTAGATTTACCGTAAAAACTTCATGGAGCGACACATGGCGAGTTGAATTCTTCGCGTAAATTTATCGTATGTGAAGAGGCCTTGCATCATTGCGTGAACTCGCATAATTTCTCCATCGGTTCTATCATTTGGACATTTTCTTAATATTACTTCCGCCCACTTCGGTACGTAAGAGTAAATCTGAAAAATGATGGTGTGAAATTTTCATTGTTTGTGGAAAGGCATTTAAATGTGGTAACAAATCTCAAACTAGACTAACATGATAAGAGGCATAGCTTTAGTTTGGTAGGTTTTGTTAAATTTAGAATTAAGGCTTCCGAAAGTTGATGGCCTTCATCGGCCGAGACCCGTGAGTTATTAGCTTAGCTACATATATTCTATTCATGAAAAGTGGTTTGTAGGTGTTCACCTGTCGTATCATATAACTAGTTAATTCTTATTCATGTTACAAACACAGTATATAGGCATGCAAGTGTCATTTTAGTTTTCAAATACCATTTGTGATTTCTGGTACAATGACTTGCTGAAAAGCACTTCTGCTGTTTCTCTTGTATGTCGTCTCTCTGCCCAAGCAATTTGTTTTTCACTTGCTGGTGCTAAATCAATCGAGTTTTGTGCCATTATGAGCCGAACTCGGCACAATAAAACCACATTTTGAAATGTTTGTTTGATCTTTGATTGAGCCTGACAATTTAAAGCATGGAAATCATCAGACGCAGAATTGTTTTATTAAAAAAATAATTAATGCTTGATTTTTCGTTGTAATATAAGAATTGATTCAATGGCTAATGTTTATTTTTTCAATAACAGACAGCGATTTGCCAATCTCTCCGAATCTTCTTAAACTATCAATCATTATGATGAATACGACTTTCGCAGGATTTGCAACTATTGTAATGTCCGACACAAAAGAAATTTCAGTCTCGTGCTTAATACTCGTGACTACATTTTTTCATTTTACCTCAATCTTCTGTGATAAGGTTGTGTATATCCAGTGAAATGTCAAATGAAGTGTAGTAATTTTTAATTGGACAACTTGGGAAATTGTAATTACTTCACAAAATTCACATTCTTCTTACCCATGATAGGTTCATAGTTCTTTGATGCTGTAAATCTCTTCTTTTGTCTAAAAGCTGGTTCCCGATCATAACATCTCCGCAATCTTGAAAAGCTTGTGGTAAATTTTTGAAATCTACGCTTTTTGTGTTCTCCTTGGCGGTTTCATACATAAGTCTATGCACTCTTCGCGAAAACGACTTTTCTCTCAAGTATGAAGTCATATCAAATGTTTTATCATTTTGCTGAAAATTTTTGCCACGTAATTGGAGTATCTCGCGTGGATTAAGAAGCTGCCGTGAGCTTGGTGGTGCTGATCTTGCTCTCAAGAGCTTTTTATTGCTGTTTTTAACATTCTGTTGTAAAGGAGTGTTTCTTGAATTGCACGATGGTTGTGTGACGAATGATTCTTCCTTTTTATTCTTGCTTACTGAACTTAAGTGGCCTGCGTCTCTTTGGTTTCTTAAACCAATCGCCGTTTCCGAACGATTTTCTTTCATCTCCATTTTCGTTTCTATCTGTAAAATGATTAAAAATATGCATTGTTTACTGCACTGAAGCTTCGTTCAGAGAGCTTTCTATATTCTATTTTCCTCGTGGTCAGCAGGATAATATTTCTCAGTTAAACCTAACCAATATATGAACCTGGTGAATATTTTGAATCTTTAAGCTGTGTGGGCTCATGCGGACCGCTTTTAGCCAATCAAAGAACAGGAAAACGAAACATTTATTTCAAAGTCCAAGAATATATATTGACTTTTTTATTCAGTAAATTTGCTATGAATCTTTCCCTCGATACTTTGAGTAAATATGCAGTAATTTTTTCCTTCGATGTATTGAACAAATTTGCAGCGATTCTTTCCATTTGAGTAAATTTGCTATGATTCTTTCCATAAGTATATTGAGTAAATATACAGCGTTAAAATTCTGTGGCTCACAATTAATTGAGTATATTTCATGAGACTTAATTGGTGAAGGTGATTTGTTTGTTTGGAAGAGTCAAAGAAATCCCTGCGTCACATATCACGTTGAAGAACAATGCTCTTATCTCTTAAAATGTGTCCAGTTCTACCTACCATCGTTTTGTAATTTTTCTTTTATAGAACTTGTTTCGTTTTTAATTACCGGCGCTGTGACTATACAATCTTTAATACTTGTCGTCAACGTTTCGGTCCGTGAACCATGGAGTCATCGACAATTCTTGCTCACGTAATAGTTTATTTCAACTTAAATTTTAATTGTTGATATACACAGTTCGTGAATTATGAATGACCGTTTGTACTGTTCAGAAAATCATTAGTCTGTACTAACGACCACTTAATGTGAATTATTCAAGTCTACGACCACATTATTACGTTGTCTTGGTTACGAAGTTCTACTTCATGCAGTATTTACAGTATAATAAATTGTTGCTTGGTAAAACTGACGCCACGAATCTTGAAGACAGCCATTTATGCAAATTGTTGCCGTTACAAATTGAAACTTTTTCATTCATTGTTAATTTACAACGCGAGGTTTGACTAAGCTCCATCTTTCACTTCTCACCGTCTATTTCCTCTTAACTTTGTCGTAAAAATGTTTCAACCAATATTTTGGTGTTCGTTGTCTTTACTAAAACTTTTAACAAAAGTGGATGACCGTAATTTTATATCATCATAGGGCTATCACAGTGATCACAAGATCGACATTAACATCCAACTTCAAGAAGGTTTTCACTCCAAATTTAGTTCAATGGCGTTGTTGGATACAAATTTGATTCGACAGGTTTATTAATTAGACCATATAAGTTATGATTTGTTTATAAAATATAAACCATATCACCGGTGAAACTTTACTAGATGAATTATTCTCATTGAATTTTTGACTTTCAAAATTATTTTCTATAATTATGTGGTGTAGTTGCGAACCAGCAGAAATTTTTTCCATTCAGCGATAGAACAATTCCCCTGAGACAGTGCTGAGTTCAGTGGTTACCTAATATCCTTTTATAATTTCATGGAAATCAACTTGCCTTCGAATAGTTGAGTCGGCATAAAAAATGATTGCGATTTTGTACTTACTCGTTATGTATGATAGAGGAGGAACCATTATTAAATAGAGTGGAAGAGAAAAATGATGAATGCAATCATTTCATGAAATCATAAAAACTGAAAGAGTACTTAGTACCAGCTTAGTAAACAGAGTCCCATCCCATGGATACATTACAATGTTATATCACCAATGCCAATGAGGTATCCCTTGAGTAGAGACTGTTTTTGATGCTGAACGGCATACCAGCAATAACAAAAGTAAAGAACAATAGCTACTCGGAGTTATCAAAACGTCCAAATTAATTTAATGAAATTCTCACTACACGCAACCATTTTATGGAACGATCTTTAGCTATGACGCCTTTACAATAAACACAACTTTAGAATGTATTATTTTCATGAAACTGTATACGAAACATTACATCGAGATCTAAACAAGAAAACTTAAATATAACATTTTAACCAACATGTAAAACACGCAACTTTATAACTAAAAAACGTCCGTCTTTCAGGTTTCAATAATTTAACACCAACTATATGTAACGCGTGATATACATCAACAACTAAAGACAAGTTTCGATGGTTCTCTCTTCTTTACACATCTGACAGTGGACTCGACAGCACCACACAAAACGGCAATTACATTTCACATTGACTACGGACACTTCTGTCTCAAAGGAACGGCCACAGCACAATTTGTTGCAGTTATCTGGTCCTTGAGAAGTGCTGTTGCATGTGCGACCTGACGTTCCCATAATTCCCCTTGAGTAATTTGGTTTGCAAAAATTTTCCGATCGCTTGAAGTATACAAGTTTTCCTTTGATTTTCTATCGTCAGAAAGCACTCTCTTTTTTGTACGCGAAGACATTTTGATTTTTGGATACAATTCTTTGCTCGTTCTGTTCCAGCGTGTTCGCGTTGGGTTTAGATAAAGATTCCAAATTTCCTCTTCGATTTTCTCCAGGTTGAATGGGAGACGCCAAATACATACTTTTTGATAGCAGATTTTCATCAAGGGTGAAACACATTGGCATTGTCGAAACACGCTTCTTTCCACGAGCTAAAAAAGGCGTATAAATGGCAAAATGATATTAAAATGAGTCTTTTGAAAGAACTACACGTTTCTTTTAACGTTAGTACAAAAAACTGGAAACAGAAAGTGAATACTCTGTACTAAATTTCTGAGAAAATATCGTTCATTCTTATACACGCAGTTACCTGAGCCAGAAAAATTAAAGGCAACCTTGCCTGAACTAAATCCAAGCATGGTGAAATATAAGTAGGAAAATGAAAACTGGTCAATTTTTTTTGATCATACAAAAAACTAAGAACATAGGAAATATAAGAGTATGATGGCATTATTTCAAACTAAGAGTGAAAATACATTCTGTGTAGCACATTCAGTATAATACAATATCATAGAAATATTTTTTTGAAGAAGTTTAAGTGGAACAAGTCAGGCTACTTTAGTTCATCAAAATTAATTTAACAACTACTTTTTACCTCGAAACCAATCATTTGATTATGTTGCTTCGCTTTTTTCTTGTGAGATCTCGCTTTATTCGGTCCCATGAAGCCTTTCGCGAGAAATTCTCCGAATTTGACGTTGGGTGAACAACCTTCCAATATTCCTGGATCACCACTCTGCTCCACCATCCCGCAGCCACAATAGGTAGTTGGCTTATCCTTACAGCCAAATGCAATACTTATCATGACACTGGCTGCAGTCAATGCGTGAACGTACGCTGTTTCTGCCGAAGCTAAATATGTTGGATGTGGATGAACGGTAAGAATATTTTTAATTTTTTTTTATCAGAAATACAAGTAATATGATTCTTTATCACAAAGATTACTCCAAACAAAGTATTAACATCTGATCACTAGTCGTCGTTACTATGAAAATGTAAAGTAGGTTTCTTTCTTTTGTGCACCATGCAGTGTGCTAACTATTGAGACGATTTGACTGAAAACACTGTTTTGCTAGTGATTTGCACATAAGCAGATATCTGCTTCAAAAATACTTACGGTTCTGAAACCTATCAAGCGTACAAATTTTAGTAGTTTTTTTATGTTTTTCAAACATCCATTCAATTATTCACTTTTTTGAGAAACCTGTTGCTTTCATACACACAGAAATATTTGCAAAACATGAAATAAAAAGTGGCTCGCTATATCACTAGTTGAAGTTAGTAGAGAACTACCTTTTCTCAGCAATCTTTCATCACTCAAGACTTGTACCCAATTCAAAGGAGAGCAGTTCCACTTGCGGTTGATAAACCTTTCTCTACATTTACTTAAGGCCGTGTTCACACCTTCTTTGATAACATCAATCATTTCGGGAAAACGATAGCAATACGATCTCTGATATTTGTTCATCCAGCTCATGTTTCTACAATATCTTCTCTTTGCATAGGGCGATCGAAAATTTTCATAGTTACTTGTCGTTTTCGCTTCATAACTGAAGACTTCAACAAAACTAGAAAAACAAAGGATTCAATTAAATTGTGTGATGAAAGTTTTTCGGCTTGTGTAATCGAAAAAGCTTATTAACTTATTTTATTGACGAAAGTTGTTTCTCCTTAACAAATTCTCTTGCACAATTTTTTTGTGCGGGCAAATCTAAAGCCAAAAACGGCAAGAAGTCAAGAACCTAGTTAGCTATAATGTTTCACGAAAAGCAATACAGTTGACGGGCATGTCTTTTTGATAGACATCTGATTTCGCGGCGTGGAAAGTGCGACCTTTGAAGTGAGTAGTTGTTTTGTTTTTCTCAAAATTGAGAGATTGAGGCAAAACATTTTAGTACAAAGAAAATTACGCTATATTTGGTTTAACAGAAAAGACTGTGTTTCAAGAATTTACTCCGGCTGGGTAGCGGCTAAAATTTCTGACGCGGTGAATCTGCCTGCATGTGCATAAGTCATGGAACCATTTTCCTTGCAGAGAATCAACGAGATTATCAAACAAGAGTGTATTACAGTCTTACTAGTAGCCTTACATACTCTTCTTAAAGCTGACTTAAAATACTATTTCTAGAACTCGTCATGCATGTTGTTGAAATCGATTGTTACTAAACATGTTATTTGCTTTCCACGTGGAGTATAACAAACATGTTTGTTTATGATTATATTTATACAGTGTGCCAAGGAAACGAGTTGTGCGTTTTTCTGTGACTTAAACCATACATACCTCAGTATAATCATCAAAAGCATCAAATGTTTTCCCATTATGTCCATTTTCAAATTTAATCTGCTGTAAAATGGCTCCGCAGGACTATAACGAAATTATTTCTTCTTCTGTAAGAAAAGCAAATTTTTGCTGGTCGTGATCAAAAAACTGTCAATTAATGACTACAGAAACGCAAAAGAAAGCAATAAAAAGTAGTTATTGTACTCTAACTTAATAATAGTACCTAACTAAAGAGCTGTCTACTTACTTACCATGTGCACCGACTCGACTGTGACCTTCTCATCAATTACTTCACTGTACAACATGTCAACATGTCATTCAATTTTTCAGAATAAATTATCAGAGATGTGAACGTTGGCAAATGTCGGTCAGAATAAGCAAGAAAAGTAAATTCTTTAAAAACAAAATTTTCAGTTAAAGCAATTATTATACTTTGACAAGGGAGTCTTCCCTAAAATTTGCGCCGTATAATTTCTTTGGTCATAGTCATTTTTTATTCACTCAGTTGTGCTTAATTCGATAACTCCCTCAAGGCTCAAAGTCAAAAGCGTGCTTTGCAATCAAGCTTTACAAACGAAGATTAAAACTACAAGAAAATATTTCATCAAAAGCAGTGCAGTGGGCACATGTTTATGTAACCACTGTTTTGTGAACATTTCCATTTTCTATCTCTACTTCTTCATTTTTGCTGGCGTTTATAGCCGTTTGTGTCCTACCAATGTTTCAAACATTTTTTTGAGTTGACAAGTTAACTTCTGATGTTTGATTGCATGGATTCGTAAATTTTCGAAGAGCCTTTATATTGACTCGTGTGTGTTGTAGTGAGCTCTTGATAGTTTTCGATTTTTTTAATTCACACAAATTCTCCGTTTACCACAGTATGGAAAACAAATATTAGTCCTACTCCACCTAATTTCTGTGTGACGCATATATCTTATAACGCACGATAACAACAGCCAGTGTTCCTAATAAGATTTTATTTCAAAATGTTTCAAATCGAGGTCTACATGAATGTAAAATACAGGCATAGGCTTCATATTTTGGTTGTAGAAACCAGGCTTTCTCGTGAAATCTCGATAAACTGTATACAAACCTAATGATGCGATCCGTGGGAGACACAACTAATATACAGGCATATGAAATTATGAAATACACAAAACCAGTGGCGTAGCCATGCGCGCAGTTTGTTCATGCTATGTAAACTTTGATTTTCACTCACTGTAAGAGCAATAAATTTCTAAGGAAATGAAAAATACTAATTTTGAGAAATTTACATGACATAATAAATATATGGGCTGGCTACGACTCTGCACCAGTACATAATGTTACAACAAACAAGATCATGCTTTTTAACAAACATATGGTCACTTTGAGAATTTTTTCACTTTACTTTTGTCTTCATAAAAGAACTTTACTGAGTGTAAATTAAAATGTTCTGAGTGTTAATCATTTTATAATTTATGTTGATATTGTGTGTAGCAGGGTTGTTAGTTTGATATTTTTTTTCTTTGGCTTCGAAAAAACAATTTGGGCATCTGGATTCCGTTTTGAATTATATTTATATTTATCTTTAATTTTAAAATTTCTTGTAAATATGTAGATCTGATGAAAAACATAAATAATGGCGTGCCTCTTATAGCATAGCTACCACGTAAATGGCATATCTAAATGATAAATTTATAGAAAATAGAAAGATGATAGTGAAGGTTTGCTTAGCTTCAGCATGACACGCTCCTGAGTTCTGATTACCATGGTAACATCCAGCCAACGTTTAAAATTTGCATATTCACCATAATTAATTTCAAAAGAACTGTGAAAAATTGAAAACAATAATAACATGCAATTGGGGCTATTGTTCATTGCAAATCAGACGCATGAAATTTCTTTTATTTTGTTGGGTTGCTTCGGGAATTTGCATAGCTAGAACTCTGGTTGAGGTTGGACTACCATTGCAGCCGAAGATGAATAAATTATTACCAGACTACACCACTTGAGCAAGCAGTAACCATGCTCCAAAGACATTCGATCTCGTAAAAATGAAAATAATACCAATAAAATGCCTTGCTTGCCTGTCTATCAAATAACCAAATGATCTGCATTCAGTCGGCTTTCGTGAACGAAAGTTTTTGCGAATAAATTCCATGATTTTGTTTGAAAATAAAAAAAACAAAGTGATATTGACGATGAATGAATGCGAGCACATCACTATGAAGAACAAGCAAAGAGAAACGAACTAGACAAAATAGCAAATCTGTGCAGAATGCAGCTCCTATCCAGCTAAGCACTGATAAAAACCATAATATTATCAAGAGGTAAAGTTGGTATAAAGTTGAAATCAAAAGAAACGCGCAAGTTTTACTTTATATGTCGGTCGAGTAATGTAAAGCAAAATTGTTAAAGGAAAACATAAACTTCAATCAGCATTAAGGTAAAGATATTTATTTTCATTATACTGAATAAGAATTTGAAAATTTAATCTATGGCATTCTCCAAAGTGATAGTTAATAAGTCTATCGCATGTACGAAAAGTTGCATACATATGGTTTTAAAATACGACTAAGTATATTGGGTGTTCAAGCTATCGGGGCAAATGAGCGTCGACAAATTCATCATCGCGCTAGACTAATTTGCCAAAATTTATCCTGAATTATCTATTGTTGGACTTCAAACGGCTCATATCTTACATTAGCTAAAACTATCTCAAATCATAACCATTCTTGGAATGAGATTTTTTTACTGAGAAGCGCATGTAAAATTGCTGCGCCAATAGGGCCTCAACAAACGTGTAAAATTGCAGCTGTCGACAACAAATTGCAGAGTCTGAAGATGACTCTGAAGATGACTACCGCTAAGGTTGTCGAAACGTCAGTCAACAACACCAAAACAGTCCTTCTCAGGACTATACCAGCCTGGACGATCTACATCTACAAAATTACATGCGCTAAACGCAATAGAAAATGTCATAAAATTTCTCGATTTCTTTTGTTTTAAATGCATTCGGCTCTTGCAAAGTTTGGCGTTTGAAATGGACCTAATGGAAGAGATGGGTTAAAACATGGCACAATAAATTAAATTGACTAATGCCAAAGCGAACGTTCAACTTCCAAATCACTGATTATTTTGTGGTCGTTGTTTTCAAACACTATTTCGTTGAAATTACTCGTCATTTATGCATTCATTCATATTCTTGCATACTTAATTTTTCAATCAATTGGTGGGTTGCAACCATCCCCTTGGGAGTAAGAGAACAATGGAATACTCGCCATGTTGGATGAAATTTGCATTGTAAATAAGGAAGATGGAAAATTCTTTGTTAAAATCATCAAACATGACAGCTGTGACGTAGCTTGTAAACCAAGAATACAGAGCGAATTTATAGGCTTTTAAAATAATTGAGATCAATGTATCCTGGGGCTAACTCTGTCTATTATGTTTGCAAATTTTTCAACATCATTTAATCAATAAATGCATCTGATCGTTGTCCTTCGATTTCTTTCTTTGGAACATATTTTCTTTATTTTCTTCAAATGATATGTTTCATGTGCTGTAATACCGATCAACATTTTCCTCATTTTAAGCATATGTACGGCCGTTACCGGTCTAAAATTGCAAAAGGGGAAAACAACACGAGCTTACATTGTGCATAATAAGTGTGGAAGACGGAGTTCGAAAAACTTGTGTTTAAAAGATGGATTAATAAGGTGTATGCTCGTCTCGGTTTCATTTGAAAATCATTGCATGGGCTGAATGAATGGCGAAAGAAAAAAGAGAGTTGATCCAAAAAAAAGAGAAAAGAGAGGGTTGATGCCTTTGATATGCAAGCTTACGACATTGGCATTCACGTTTGAAGACGAACAGCATTTTGCAACTTTTAAGACAAGCAAAGGTAATACATGAAACGATCAAGTGAAGCAAATATGAGTCGTTGACTGAACGAATCAAACAATGTGGAAATGATATCAGATATGGACAGCAAAAAACGATTGTGAAAATATTGGAGATGGTATTGATCATGATAATTTGTTGTATTATGGATGAACGTTGAGGCCTGGAGATCAGTCTTAACATGAAATAGGAAGTTTCTGGAGGAAAAAGAGAATTAAATGCGAAATTTCCAGGGAGATTCCTTATTCTTTGTTTATTGTTTTAGACCCCTATGATTATATAAATAAACAGTGCTGGTGCTAAGACGGCGGCGGCAAAAATTAATTGTAAAAAAATTATTATACAAGAAACATAGGCAATGGATAAGCTCTATACAAATGAACACAACTGGTCTTATAAAAGGGGCGGTTATTATGTAAATGAAGTGGAACATAAAGGATAAAACTGGTAGCAAATTGTTACTTACATTGAGGGCTATTGATGAAGGACATGCAATTCATGCAAAGTATAAAGGAGAAATAACATATATGACTTAGATTTTGCATTGGATTAATAAAGAGTTGAAGGAATTAGATTTGAAGACACGGAAGAAGCTGACGATGTTATAAGCGTTTCATAAGAAAAAAATGTTGGAAGACTGATTATAGTGTTCTCGATTTTGAAAAAGATTATAGAATCATGGCGTTTTTGATGCTGAAATTTGTTGAAGAAACATTACAGATGGGAGAGACAGTGAATGACTGGGAGAATCAAATAGAGACGGTTAGAAAATATATGTTTTTAAATTGATACTGTATGTGAGAAGTAAATGCATGATTGATATGTCTGAGGAAGCTGACCAGAGGTCTTGGAGGACATTTGCAAGTAGCTTAGAGTAGGTTATCCGGGAAAGAGAACTGAACATCTAGAATAATCTAAAAAATACTCAATACATGTGTGGTTTTAGACTCATTGATCGTGCAAGGGTTTATGATATGTAGACTTGGAAGAAAGTGCTGACCCTTCTATTTGATGATTTTTATTTGTGCGCTTTCGGAAGATAGAATGAATCTGAATTTAGTTTGCAAACTTTTCATGATAAATCTTGGAATTTTCAAGACCGTAGCTTGTAAACAACTATATCACAGGCATTTTTCTTATTTTTCTAGACACCTTAACAAATTTAAAGCAGTTATATCTTATTTAGAAGCTTTTTTCTTTTGCCGCTTTTATCAACCGTCTTTTTATGTTCTAAAAAGTGTGCTAATGCGAATGTAATTGAGTTTTATTTAAATTGTTTTTAGTGCTACGTTTTGTTTAATTTTATGATAGATAAATAGATAGATAAATAACTTTATTTACCTAAGCTGGTTTCGTCAGCAAAAGCTTGTTTCCACGATACTGACGATAGGCGTGTAAAATATAAAATACAG